AGCTCAATAAAATGATGATCCTGTCATTAAAGATCGAAGAGATAAATGCTAAAACACTTCAACAAACTTAATGATATAAAATTTAGTTAAAAGCAGGACTGAAAAGGTGAATTTTGAGTTCGCTTTTGAAGAGCTGAGACAGACGTTTATCCATGTTTCTCGTCTTTTTGATAAAACAAGCGAATTGCCTTCTGGTTCTAGCGACAAACATTTATTAAACATGCAATGCGAAGAGTGAAAGCAGTGTCCTTTTTTAGTATGAAGACAAAAAACACTTAACCACAACCAAATAATTGATTAAGCAGCTATCTGATTCTTGATTAACCATCAGCAATCGGGTTAGCGCGTATAAAAGCGTTGCACATTCCCTCTCTCTTTATCCTCATTTTCATCCCTCTCAATCTGCCACAGTTGACCCCCTCCCTCCTTCCTGTTTTTTGGTCGCCATTGTCCCCCAGACTCTCCTGGAGCTCAGTGAGAGCACAAAAGCACAACAGACCCAGGAAGTGATTAGTGGCTTAACGAGGAGGAGGCTTTGCGGGGAGTTAGGGGGCTGCACGGCCTCCTCCATGAGACAGGGTGAGGGGGTTAAAGTTTCAGGGCTTAAGAGGTCAGTGTTAAGTTGTTGAGGTCGGTGGAGGGGTTAATTAGGAGCTAGTCTTTTGTTTACAGGGGATAAGGAGATGCTGGAGTGATTCACTTGGTATCCTCACTGTGTTCCTCCAGCCACCCTGGAAGTGTCATCCACCCATTTTTTAGCCGGTGCTGCTTTCTCTCCACCTCGCTGCTAATTGTCCTGCAGCTGAAAAGAGATGTAGCTGAATTAACTTAATTGTCACCATTAGGACACACTCACCCACTTACCATCATAACACACACGCACACACACACCTTGAGGATGTCTCCCGTTAGTGTGTTTTGGTCTGTCCTTGTTGCTTCAACTAGAAGAATGTCTTTTCAACTTGGAGGAGCTCTAGCAGTGACTGTCGCGCAGAGAGTGATGTGTGTGTTTGTCTGTTGTCTCGCTTCGAAAACACACTCGCACAGAAACATAATGTGGTCCTCTGGATGCTGAAACATCTCGAGTGGAGCCCCAACTAAAAGTATATTTGTGAAGAAGAGGATACTTCACTGAACTGAAACAGCCACATTTAGTTGGTGTTTGATGTCTTTGGACTGAAAGAGTTATCAAACTTTCTTAAAAAACTAGAGTGCCAATTTAGAGCCATACTGAGTAGAGATCCCAACATCTGTACATTATTGCCGGGTTTTGACAAGGGTTATTTGTACATGTCATGAGGATAGTTCTGGTTCTGTTGCAGCATTTTTAAAGGCAAAGAGTCTGAATTGTAGACTGGATGTAACATGGATGTAGTCCCAGTGACGTCAACCAATCGTTCCTTAAAGGGATATTCTGGCGTAAAATTCAGTTAGGATCAAACACACCATTACATCAAGTTAGACACCCCCCCAAGAGATGACTTTGCCGACCGCTTGCTTCTCTAGTTATACCAACTTTAGTAACGACCGCACGATAGCAATACACAGCGGTCTCAAGAGCACTAGTCACCAAACATCTTCTTAGCTTTGCCTGATTTCTTTAGCAAAGAGACTAAACACAACTCACCCACTCTCTTCCAGCAGCCGCTTGTTTGTGAGGAGTCCTCGGGCGAGACCAAACTGACTGCAGCGGGGTGACGCAGCTCAAGGAAGAACATTTATGATAATGTCTTTATCATTTCCTTGAAGTAATAATCACCATATAAATCATTTTACACTGCAGACGCTGTAGTTCTTCTGCCTTAGCGTCTCGGTCTGATTGCATTTCCATGAAGAAATGATCATAAATGTTCTTCCTTGAGCTGAGACACCCTGCAGCAGTCAGTTTGGTCTCGCCTGAGGTCTCTGTACAAGCAAGTGGCTGCTGGAAGAGAGTAGGTGAGTTGTGTCTAGTCTCTTTGCTAAAAAAATTAGGCAAAGTAAAAAAGATGTTTGGTGGCTAGTACTATTCTAGGACCCTTCATGTCCTGTTGATGAAGTTAGGTGCTGTTCTGAGCATTATTTGTGGCTATAGAGTGGCGTTTTGGTTGACCGCTGTGTATTGCTATCAGGCTGTCGTTATTAAAGTTGGTATATCTAGAGGAGCAAGCAGTCTGCAACATTCATCTCTTGACAGAGAGATGAATGTTGCATGTTGTGTTGAAGCTCCATTTAATGGCTCTCATATTCTAGCTACTACCCAGATGCAAACAAGCAGAGGTGAATGGAATCTTATGGGAATCCCTTGAGTTTTGTAGCAAGCCTCGAGTGGACACCTAAGGAACTCCAGATTTGACGCTCCTTCGTTTTATGAGGTAAATGTTTTTATCTGAATATGTTTAAATCATTACTTTAGCAGTGAGCCATGATTATTGATAGAAAATCCAATGTACTAGAGCATTGTACTCTCTTTGGTCCATATTTTCTGAGAAACTCGAGTCCCCTTGTTTTCTGATCTGTGCCTATATCCCAACCTCTCAACTCTCACAGATTGGAAAGCCATATTTTGTGTTTATGTTGTTGTGTGTTTGCAATACAGGTCAAATCCAGAGCTGGGTAAAGGACCAAAATTTAAAAACAGGACCTCAGCTGTGAAGTGTCCCTTGTTTGTGATTCTCCATATATTTAATGTTACCATTATCTCACTATCATCATCATTAAAATCAATTTGAATTCATTAATTAAAAGACGCAGGGATTACCAAGACAACCATGAGCCGTACGCCTCATCAGGGGTGAAAAACTGGCACACAACTCCTCGCAGCATTGTGCAGGACATCTGTCTGTTTAGGTAATTGGCATTAACCTCTTTTTAAGCAGGGTGACCCCCTTTTTTCACAGCCAACACATCTGCACTGAGGCTCATGGGACGAGTGTTTGTGTGGGACAAAACAAAAAGAGAGGGTCTAAACTCCAAGTACATTTTCTGCAGTATTTTAAAAAACATAAATCAGAAGTTGAAAGTTGATTTTCCTTTTTCATGACACACTTTCTCTGCGGGATGCTGCCACACTCCAAAGCATATGGCCCGTGGCGGCTGTAATGTGTTAATGCTGATTGAATATGCTCTTCTATTAGACTAATGTTAGCAGGTTGTATCAGCCTGATGCTAATCCAAGCCAACAGAATGGAGCAGGAGCGCGGCTTATCTCTGAACTTATGGATATGAGAGAATAGAAAAGTGATTAGAAAGTGATTAGAGTGCAGGGAGACCACTTAGGGAAACATACGCTTTCAGGTCTGGGTGAGATTTCCAATCACACCGAGCACATTACTGCTATTAATGATGAGAGAGGCTTACTGCCAGGACCACACAGGTTATGAGATTTAACTGATCAGAGACGGAAGTGTGGGCTCAGGTTCAGGATGGGTTTTCTTTCACCTTTGTCTTTTAAAGTAATACATTTGGATCAGGACAGGTTTGAGGTGTCTCATGACCATCATATTTCTTTGACTGCTATTGTTTATAATCTATTGAAGAAAAAATAGATAGCTGTCAATATCAGTAAATGGACGGCACAAAGGAAAGAGTTTATAACCTCTTAGACATAATCGCATTAACAAGGTGACAAGAGAAAAGTTTGATTTATTGAAGCCCAAATCAAGCCAATACTGCGGTGGCCGAGAACTGCCACTGCAGCAAATAAAAAAGAATGCAAAAAAAAGAATAAAGAAGTCACAACAGAAGTTACTGATGCAAAAAGAAGAAGAAGAAAAAAGTCTGCTGCAAATAAATAAAATAAATGAAAAAACGGTGTAGATAAAATAAAGGAAAAAAAAACAACAATAGAAGGTATTGCAGCAAAACAAAAATGGCGATGCAAAAAGAAAAAAAAGGTACAGCGAAAATAAAAGGATGCAAATAAAAAAAGCTACAACAGAAGTTAAAGAAAAGAAAAGGCAATGCAACAAAAAACAAAAAAATCTGAAGTGAGCTGCTGGGGACCAATATTGATGATTCGCCGGTCTTTTACGATCTTGGCACAGAGGACGACGGCGAGAAGACGAGCAAAGAAGTAGGTGGAAAGTTAATTGTTTAATTTTACTTTGTGTGCTTTTCAATGTGTCGTTTGGTTAGGCCATGTAGCGCCTGAGTCGATATGAAGTTGAACTGGAGGATGTCAGTGTAGTGTTAGCTTCAGTCCCATTGTGTTTTTATTTTTTTAATTTTATTTGCATCCTTTTACTCGCAGTAAGTAACTTTTTTTTTCCATCACCGCTTCTGTTTTTTCCTTCGTTAACTTCCGTTGTGGCTTTATTTTTTTATCTGCACCATTTATTTTCTTATTTGCAACGGGCTTTAGTTTCTTTTTTTTGCATCGGTAACTTTCGTTGTGACTTCTTTTTTTTTTTGCATTCTTTTTTATTTGTAGCAGTGGCGGTTCTCGGCCACCGTACAATACTAATAAAATGAAGACACAAAGACCCCAGCTAAACCTTTGCAAAGCTCCACAAGAGAAGATACACAGATGGTGGTGATGTGCTTGACATGCATCTCAACTGTTTAGGTTTCTGCTGCTCCTGTTTAAGATAAAGAGTTTTTTTTGGGTTACATACCATGTAAATCCACTCTATAGTTGTCTGGTCTAACATAATGACAGGTGAAAATAGGTGTATTAGGTCTCCTTTGACGTTTTTTGGGGGCTGCGCTAAATCTTTTTTTAGTTCCACTCAGGTTAATCTGGTTCAGAGCTCGTGGAACAAAGTGGTCTTAAAAACTGTTTCCTTTCTGAAAAGGCTTTATGTGTCCAGCTCGTGCTTAAAAAAGAAGAGATAAATCCAGTTTGATTGACAGCGCTGCCATGACAACCCCGCATCAGCTGAAGGCTGTCCAATCAGGAGTCAGCCTCAGTGTCCCTCCCTGACTCCCAGGTGAGCTAAAGAGTCAGACTTGAGCAGATTTCTGTCAGTCTGTGTCAGAGCGGGTCTTCCTCACCGGTTTGGCTTCACTGCTTCATCCAGATGGTGTTCAGGTCACCACTCGACTTTTTCTCTGCCTCCCGTATCCTCCTGCCCCACTTCACGGATGGGCCACCTATGCTGCCCCGGTCCAGGTCCCCGGAGGACCCTCCCGCCGCTTGTCCTCCTCTGGCTCTCCCGGGATTGTGTTTCTCTGCGGCTCAGATCGCCAGCGTGTGCGAGACCCTGGAGGAGACCGGAGACATCGAGCGGCTGGCCCGTTTCTTGTGGTCTCTCCCGGTGACCACAGACGGTCGCGACTCCATATCTGAGCACGAGTCCGTACAGAGGGCTCGCGCAGTGGTGGCCTACCACACGGGGAGTTTCCGCGAGCTCTATCACATTTTGGAGACGCACCGCTTCACACGCGCTTCGCACGGCAAACTGCAGGCGATGTGGCTGGAGGCGCATTACCGGGAGGCGGAAAAACTCCGGGGGCGGCCGCTCGGGCCGGTCGACAAGTACCGCGTGAGGAAGAAGTTCCCGTTACCGAGGACCATTTGGGACGGAGAGCAGAAGACGCACTGCTTCAAGGAGCGCACGCGGGGGCTGCTAAGAGAGTGGTACCTGCAGGACCCGTACCCGAACCCGGGGAAGAAGCGCGAGCTGGCGCACGCGACAGGGCTTACACCGACCCAAGTTGGGAACTGGTTCAAAAACCGGAGACAGAGAGACCGGGCGGCAGCAGCCAAGAACAGGTCAGTGGAATCAAGTTTTCCATAGAGTTTGGTACAAATGACAGCAACCAGGCGGTGTTTTTTTAGAATCATAGTTTTAATACCAAGGCAGATGTTTCGTTCTTTATTTCTCCTTCTTATTCATTACAAATTGTATCGGTCTCTTAATCGATCATTTTCTTTTGAGGCAATTTCATCTCCACATGCAGCCATGGCTGTGCGTAAAAGGGCCATTCATGCGTAAAAGCGCACAACCTCTAAGCCTGTTGGTTTTTGTTCTCCTTGTGGCCTCTCTGTCTTCTCCTCTTTCTCTCTCTCATTTTAATTTAGTTCGGGGTCAACAGTCCTGCTTGATAGGGCAAACCTGCTCACTACAGATTCATATGTTAGGGATGTCAAATACTTTGATCTCCTTTTGGCAGTATTTTGTTGTCACACACACAAAAAAACAATATAGGCTTTCATGTTTTTCTCTTTAACTGTATTTTAACTTCCATAGTTTTACTCAAATGAATTATTTTCAACTTCTAACAGCTCTTTTCCTTTCTTCTCAGGTTGCAGCACCATCGGATTTGTTCAAGCAGAGGAGAGTGCAGTCCGGATGATAGCGGGGAGCGAGTGGATGGAGAAACTCTTCTTTCAGTGACAGACAGTGACTCTGACTTGGATGTCTGAAACTTTAAAAAACACTATGAAATGGATTTTTGAGGCCTGGGATGGTCTGTGAAGGATTACAGAAGAAAGGAGGATTTTCCCCCACTGAAAGCTTGAGAACACGAAATGCTGCAGCCCACCAAACAAAAGATTTCAGGTCATATGAAGACTTTTTTTCTCCCTGAAAATATGACACATTTTTGTTGAAGCTTTTGATATTATGATGGCAAGCTGCAAATCGAAACCTACATTTTTTACTTCACAACTGGATGCTAAAGCTTCACATCTGATGACCCAGCTTAGACCATCATTAACCTCATTAAACAGACATCAAGCTGGGGACCCCCTTTGGACTCATGGAGAGACCTTTACAAACTGAAATCTTTCAGTGAGATAATCATTCGTATTTCTTCTAAATATATGTATTTTTATCTGAAATTTGTTTTTTTTTTTCTAGAAAATTAAGGACCCCAGGATGTCAATGCTTTAGACAATCAATAGGCACTACAATCTACCTCCCTGTTACTCTGTTTTAGTCTGTTTGTATGTTTGTATTCAATTCCTGAATCCCCTACTTTTATTCTAACTTTATTTTAAGTCCTCAGAGTTCTCTGTACTGTCTGTGATTCTGTACCGTATGTTCAATTTGATGACAACAACTGTTTCAGGATTTTGTATAATAAAGCTATTTAATTTATGACTTTAATCGTGCCGAGTTTTCTTTAAGCGCAGTTCAACTTTGTCAGACGTGCATGTGTAAGTAACAGTTTACACTCAGAACTATCTTGTTCAAATTTTCAGTCATTTTTCTAACAGCCTGTTTGAACTGTGTAAGCCAAATTAAAGGAAATATACAAAGATTTTAAGGTGCTATTGTAAAAGGAAAAAAAAAAAACAACTTAAACAAATAGGCGAGAGATATAGCTTTAAAACAAGATAGATGTTATAATATCAAATAAAATTGCATGTAATAGCTGCTCATGAACAAATCTGTCTTATGAATGAACCCTTTCGTCAATCATTTAAATGCATGGTAGTAGTATTGATTCTGATTTGACCTCTAGGCAAGGGTCCAGTGACCCACTTATTCCACAGTTGTACAAATATGAATCCGTAAACTCTTTATCTCCATTTCTGAGAGCAGCAGCGGTTGACATAGTTTTTTTTTAATATAAAGACAGACAGGAAACACCTGGCTGTGAATGTAGAGCAGCGCCATCTAGCGGTGAATGTAAAAACAGTGAAGCCTTATTGCCATGATCAACAGATGAGAACAATTCTGACTCTTTAATCCATTTATTTTTTAACTCTATGTCCGATATGCTTATTTTTCATCTCTTCTTTGTAACACTGAAGTGCAATATGCATGTTTGTCCATTCAGGCAAGATTATTGAGGAATAGGAACATTTACGGCAGATTATTTCCATATCAGACGTCTTGAGAATCACCACCTTCTGCATATCTAGGTGTTTTGCTGTAAACTTATTTATTTTCAAGTAAAAATTGGTTGCATTGAGTAAAAGGATATAAATTGATGACATACTGAAATAATTGAAAAACGTGGTCAAAGTCATACACAGGGCACACTTGTCATCAGATCAGTTCCCCATCCAAACATGATTTGGTTGGCTAAATTTGGCTAAATATATACCTAAATATATATAAACCTGGCTCCCACAGACGTCACAGACCTGCTCCACCACTACACCCCCTCTCGTGCCCTCTGATCCTCAGAAGGAAATCTCCTTGCCCTACCCCCTTGGACCAAGCACCAAACTTGGGGGGACAGAGCCTTCTCCGCTGCCGCCCCCATTCTCTTGAATTCACTCCCCAAACCCATCCGAGACTGTACAGACCCCCATACTTTTAAATCACTCCTAAAAACACATCTTTATGAATTGGCTTAAAATTGGCCCCTAAAATTATCAAAAAAGACCAACATCTTTAGATGTAATACAGTGACAGCCTATACTTCATTTAAAAGTAATGCTATGCACTATTTTCTATTATGATATTTTAAAATTAAGCACACTAACACATCAAAAATCAATGCATACTTTATATAAACAACATATTATAATTCACTGGCAAGTATCACTCTGCTTCCTTATGATTTTTCCTTTTAGAAGATAAAAAATGAATGCTGGTAGTATTTTTGTACCTTTGTGACTAGAAATTATAGTAGATAATTTACATGATAACCTTTGCCTATAGCTATTTAAACTAAATCCATCAGATGGACATTAAAATTTCCGAGCGGTACCTGAACATAGCATTCCATGACGTCACGTCCTGGCAGCGTCACGAGGCCCGCACTCCAGCAGGTGGCGCAGCTAACCAACAGGTAGGAGCTGAATGTTGACACTCGATACAGACAACAGGCTGCACATTTCTGCTCTTTTTTTTTAAATGAAAATTACAGCTACGAAAAGGTGATCGTATTAGATAAGTTACATCCCAAAGACAATATGTTGATTGGTTACAAAAACTTACAAAAAAGACAAGTGTTTTTTGTCGTATTAACTATCTTCAAAGCTAAAACAACGAGTTAAAGAGTCAAAGGTTGCAAAAATCTGGAAGAAGCCAGTTCAGGACCAGTCGTGTTCTCAAAATGTTTGAGGGACAAGGGCGAAAAGATTAAAAGGGCACCAGCTGTATACTGTAGGGGAACCAACACATAGAAAGTTGTGATGTACAGCACTTAAAAGACCATTTTGTGATTTCCTTTCTTTTGTGCCTCTCTTTGGTATTCTGGAGGCATTAAGTAGTATCATGGCAGGCTGGGTTATGGGCTGTTGAAATGTTGGGAGACAAGTGCAAATTTTTAGGTGGGCAATCTGGAGAGTTGCCTTGAGGTTACAACAAACAGCTTTTGTTTATTGAAACATATTGAAGCAGAAGTAATAAGAAAGAGTCTACTTGAAGAAAAGGTGTTAATTCACTTTTACAGACTGGCTTTTATGTGATGCCGTCTTTTATCTTTTATCTGTCATCTCTTATCTCCTGTGTAAAGAAAGAAAACTATTGTGTCCCAAATTGCATACTTCCATACTAAATACTAAATTGAGTATACTAAGCATACTACTCGATCGCGCAGTGCTTGAGTTTCAAGGGTGCAGTTCTGTCCAAAATCACACACTGCCGCGTGGCGCACTCAATTACAGACAAACAAAAACTAAAGAAATAATGACATGAGGTGCTGCAGACAAACCTCCATGGCTGATACTGCCTCTATTCGCAGGCTAGCCAGCCTTGCTAGCCAACAATAGCTGCTGTATTTTGCGAGTGTTTACGATGGAGCCCTCCTCACGGTTCTAATACTAGCCTCCTCTACGCTTTGCTGATATCGGTGCAGCAGACTGAGTTGACCGAGAAAGCACCGTGGCGCGCCGCAGCAGTGAAAATACACCGATAAATTAATATGTCTGTGTCGGTGCTTCTGGTTGTCTGGTCCATGAGCAGGCTCTGCTGGCCCGCTGGTTATTTTTTATTTGCCACAGGTAACGCTTCTGAACCCGGCGGCTACTAAGCTAGCTACCATTAGCATGTGCGATACTGTTTGTGGTAAAAGACAAAAAACAGGTTACACCACAAATATACTCAAAACAATAAATGCTAGCGGTGCTTGGTGGAAAGAACATGTGTAAAAAGAAACTTATTACTTACATCTGTACAAAGCTTTCAGGTCGACTGTCGCCAACTCACTGGCACCACAGCCGTCCGCAGCCATTCTTACCGATGAAATGAGTGCGGGCGAGTGTCCACAGTCGCATACTCGAGTACGTCATTGGGTACTTTTTCATCTCAGTTTTCACATACTATCCACACTTTTTTCCATTTTGAGTTGAGTATGCTCAAAATTTTAAGTATTAAGTATGGAAGTATGGGGTTTGGGACCTCGGAAATTATGAATAATTCTTGGTTTTCTCCCAATTTCTTCCACTAGAAATGGATTACGGAATATTCAAAATGGCCCCTTTTCTCACATTTTTTCACACAACTTCAAAAGCCTTCAACTCCCTTATACTTTCACATAGAAACGTTTCACAAACTCTTCCGCATTATTCTCACGTCATTTTTAATCCCATTTATACTTTTCAAACTATTCAGATTTGTTTCAAACTTCGTCATAATAGGGGTCAATGGGAAAAGGCGTCCACTTTCTAGTTGCGCCCTCTGGTGGCAAAGATATTTGCAATGTGACAACAAGCCCCGGTCTCCCCTACAAATAGAGTTATTATTGTTTGTAATAATGAAGTTGGCATCACACCTGCTGTATTAAGATATTACCTGGGTAACCTGCTCGAAATCAGTGTGTGTGTGTGTGTGTGTGTGTGTGTGTGTGTGCGTGTGGACTGTCTGTGACCATGCATACGGACTGAATGATTGACTGGCTCCATCGGCTGTCTGGCCATAACACTGTCACACGCACACAGACACACGCACACGCTCCACGCCTGCGGGTGAATTCCATCCCCCTCTTCTCCTCATGCATGCGCTCACAAAAACACCTCTTCCACACACACACACACACACACACACACACACACACACACACACACACACACACACACACTCTCTCTCTCTCTCTCTCTCTCTCTCTCTCTCTCTCTTTCCTCTCATCCGGCGCTAGAGCCCGGCAGCGCGGGTGACGCGTTTTGCGCATTTCCTGCAGCTCGCGCTCACTCACAGATTGAGGAGAGAGAGAGAGGGGACGGGAAACGGGGGGCGCGCGCAAGGACCGAAAGGAGAAAAAAAAAACAACGGGAGCGGAGCACCGTGATGTATTTGGGAAGCTCGTGAGCCCGAAAAAGACTGCATTGAGGGGTGAAGCGAAAAAAAGCAGCGCTCACCACCGAGAGTACGCGCAAACATCGCGTTACCGTGAGGTCGAAGCGAGGAGATTAATCCCGGAGAAGAGCGAGCGAAGGGGCTGGAAACGGAGCACCAATCCCGGATGGCTAGGCGCGGCTGCTCGCGCTCTCTCCCACCCTGACCCGGGAGAGACACACACACAAGGACCGTGGGGGAGGCTCTGGGGGCTTTCACACGAACCCCACCGGAACCTTTTATCCCGCTTTCCCCCCACCTTCTCAACCCCAAAGCCGTTTAATTTCCCGGCCTGTTTCCGCCAAAAAGGGAATCTTGTCTGGCGCACGAGCTCGAGACCGTAAACAAACACGGCAGACGCTCGGGTGGGAGAGTGTCCAGCCAGCCAGCGTCCTCTGAAGGGTGTGAGTCTGCGTTTTTGAGTCCATTAGGGATCCATCAGCTGTATTGATAACGCGTGTTTGTCTCTTAGTGTGTGTGAGAGTGTGTGTGTGTGAGAGTGTGTGTTCAGATATGGCTGTACGAGACTGATAGTCCAAGGAGCCAGCTGCATTATGGGATGTAGCAGGACTGTGCAGTGACCCCGCTCATTGGAAGGAAACACTCTGTGTACAGGAGCAGGAACAGGCAGACTAGCCTAAACACACACTCATCCTTGTACACACACACATCCCATAACTCTGCAGCCATGCCTGTGTTCAGCGGTCTGTTGAAGGTGCGAGTGTGTGAGGCGGTGGATCTGAAGCCCACCCCATGGGCTCTGCGTCACGCAGTGGGGAAGAGCGGATCATTCCTACTGGACCCCTACCTGGCTCTCAATCTGGACCAGACCCGGCTCGGGCAGACCGCCACCCGGACCAAGACCAACAGCCCGGCGTGGCACCAGGAGTTCTGCACCGAGGTCCGCGAGGGAAGGAGCCTGGAGCTGTCCGTGTTCCACGACGCGCCCATCGGATACGACGACTTCGTGGCCAACTGCACCATCCAGCTAGAAGACCTGCTGCAGAACGGGACCAGACACTATGAAGACTGGGTATGTGTTTGATGTGATGTGACCCTTCCCAGAGAGCACTGGGGCAGCTCCTCACACTGCAGGTTTGCACGCTGATTGATCTGCAACATGTGCTTGTGCATGTGAGACAAAATTTGATAACATCCCTGAGGCTCTAAAGCAAACTGGCCCTCTCTCTCTCTCTCTCTCTCTGCCTCTCTCCCTCTCTAGCAGCAACCCGACTGTTTTATTGTTTGTACAGCATATTTGATGTGGTGCATACTCGACTTGTGGTTCCTTGATGGCATTGGGCAGAAAATGCACAGTGTACATTGGAGTTGGCCCATGTTATGTTCTCTCCCAGCGTCCCACAGCCACAGTGTACGTTCGTTTTGCTGAGTGTTCAACCAAAACCAAGATTCCTTTTTTTAAACACGTACGTCCAGAAGAAGCGGGACATGTTTGAGAGCGTCTCAGCACAAGCCCTGCATGACCATGAAGTGCACCTCTGGGCAGCTCAGCACCGTCCTCATGAGTACAGACTGTTTCTGCTCTGAGTCAAAAGCCCCACTGATACGCCATTTGGCTGATATTATCTGCACATGAGACTATCACAAAGACATTAGTATCACAGTTATCTAAAATGCACCACTGCGCCTCGCACTAATTCTTTTCTATTGCTGTAGCCTGATCGATGCATCCTTAGAGGGATATTCCGGTGTAAAATTAATTTAGGGTCAAATGTTGCCAACCACTTGCTTTTCTAGTTAAACCAACTTTAGTAACGACCACAGGATAGCAATACACAGCGGTCTGAGGAGCCATAAACAAACCTCAACCAAAACGCCACCCTATAGCCACAGATAATGCGCAGAACAGCACCTAACTTCATCAACAGTACATATAGGGTCCCAGCCATAGTACTAGCCAACAAACATCTTTTTAACTTTGCCTGATTTCTTTAGCAAAGAGACTAAACACAACTCAACTACTCTCTTCCAGCAGTCCCTTACAGACTACAGTGGGGTGTCGCAGCTCAAGGAAGAACATTTATGATCATTATTTTTTAATTTCCTTGAAGTAATAATCATCGTATTGATCATTTTGCACCGCAGACGTGGTAGTTCTTCTGCCTTAGCGTCTCGGTCTGATTGAATTTCCATGAAGAAATTATCATAAATGTTCTTCCTTGAGCTGCGAAACTCCGCAGCAGTCCGTAATAGACTGGGATGAGGTCTCGCTACAAACAAGCGGCTGCTGGAAGAGAGTAGGTGAGTTGTGTTTAGTCTCTTTGGCAAAGCTAAAAAGATGTTTGGTGGCTAGTGCTATGGCTAGGACCCTATATGTACTGTTGACGAAGTTAGGTGCTGTTCTGAGCATTATTTGTGGCTATAGAGTGGTGCTTTGGTTCAAGTTTGTTTATGGCTCCTCAGACCGCTGTGTATTGCTATCTAAGTTGGTATAACTAGAGAAGCTAGTGGTCGGCAACATTCATCTCTTGAGGGCGTGTCTAACTCTGCGTTACTGTGTGTTTGACCCTAAATTAATTTTACGGAATATCCCTTTAAGCTCATACAAGACCACCACAGCTATACCCGCAGGATAAGTGTTTTCTGATACGCACCAGTTTTGCTGAAAACAATGCTCGAGGTGATTTATAAAAGGTGCTATCATGTAATTTATTGATTAGAGCGTGCCCTGATTCCATAATTCATAATCTGCTCAGCTCTCTGCTTCACATGTAGCAGAGCATGACAGCTGCTCACAAATTTTGTTGATAGCGCACAATACTGATAAAGATTCTCTGCTGAAGTTGTGCGTTTGAATAGAAGGAGTTTCTTGCTGGTTATGTAACAGTCTGCGTTCAATCATGAAGCTTTGGACTTAGAGAAGTATGTCAGACCACCAGTGAAAAGATGGAGTTATCTCTTTATGTATTTTTTATGCCATCACCATTGGGATGCAGGCGGTGCGATTGATGGTATCGTTTAAGGGCTCTTGTTTTTATATTTATCTGGATCAAATGAAGCAGATTTAAACGTGTATTTTGGTATTTTTTTATTTACAAGTAAACCAACTTGAAGAGGAGGTAAAAAGAGCTAGTGTGAACCCAGCAGCCGGTCAGTTTTCTCAGAAGTGTTCTCAACTTTTACTTTTAGTAAGTAATTTGGAGTTTTTGAATTTGAATTTTGACTTTTCTCTTTACATTTCAAATTCATTTTCTTCATAGAGCATACTGAAAGTGAAACTTCTCTAGATTGTTTTCCTGATCTCTGTCTAGAATACTCTTCCAAACATGCTTACCTCACCTTTAATCTGAGCTGATCCTTTCAAGTGACCACCCAAATTTAAAAAAAAAGTAAAAATCTGGGAAAAGAAGCCACACAAAGGCACATAACTGCTGTTGTTTGTGTGTTTTGATGCTGGTTTTTTATCTGTTATCTCTGATAAATCAGTATTGTTTTGTTTTTTTCTGCAATTTCTCAGTAATATGATTCAGCAGCTTCCCCTTCTCTATCAGTGACTATCAGGGAGCTGTTGGGACTTGCATTAGATCTGATTTGGGCATCTCAGGTCCAGCCTGTAATCATCCTTCCTCAATTCCTCACATTCCTCCTGCCTCTTTAGACGGGAAGAATTATTAAGTGCCCTTGCCTTTTCCCCTCAGTGGAATTACATTTATACAACAATGTTGATAACATGAGCCCGTTTTACACCCTGTATCGGTGTTTTCAACAGGTTTCCGTCTCGCTGTGAGTCGACTGTAACCAGCAACTGGAGTTCCTCGCATTTGTTTTGGTGTCTCGTCACTTAATTTGATTTGCGTTGGGGTTGTGATGTGAGACTGTAACATGAAGATCTGTATGTAAGGAGGAGAAAGAGCTGTTTGTTTCAGGTCCGTCTCCAGTTTTGACATGTGATGTTTTTCTTCTTCTTCTTCTACTTGGTTTTTGTCTCGTCTTGCTTTATGTTAAAAGTCTGATGGAGGTGATTCCAGCGTAGGAATTCTGGGAGCTGAAAACATGTGTTGTTGTTTCACTCCAATTCTTAAGTAATTCATTAGTTATCATACCCTTGGAGTCTTTTCACAATCCCCCCTCTCTGCTTTAGCTTTAACAATGATGACTAAACAATTCGGGAAATGTTTAGTTTCATTTTTATCAAGAAGAATTTTTGCAGTGTTAGTGTACAGTTAAAAAAAACCTCATGAATGTCAGAGTTTAACACCATGGCCACAGTTTGGTGTATGTTCATATGGTTGAATCTTAAGTATGAACCCACAGAAAGCTTGTTTTCTATTATGAGGGAAAGACTTCTTTAAACTTTCTTTGTTTAGTATGGACTTGTTGATACAGTGTAAATGATTTTTTTTGATTAGTGGCAGTTTTGTGTCATTACACTTTGCCAGATGTTAATCTTTAATAAATATGAGCGTTACTTTTGTCTCTAAAATACATTTAAAAAAAGTAGTTTTGTCTTATATTCAAATTCTAGCACTTAGATAACAAAAACTCTAGCTTAGACTATGATGACTAACCAATTTGGGTAATGTTTATTAGGGGTGTCCCGATACAACTTTTGTACTTCTGAAACTATACCGATATTGTAGCCTTCAGTATTGACGATATTGATCTGATATTGGTACAAACTTATCTGGAGAGTAAGCGCACCCTCTCTTGGCTGAAATCGTCAATCCCGTTAGTCACAACTACTGAGGCAAGGGGTTGAAAAATGGAAAGACACAATGATTGTCCTGAACTAAAGTGGAAAAAGTTAGCTAGAGATGAAGACAGTTTTGATTCCGATTGAATTAAAATGGGTCTTGATGCAACAGAGTTATTGAACAACTGTTAAGCAGCAAATTGATGTCGTGTCACATGCACAGTGTAATGTTTACAGATGACAAACACATCAATACTATATTAAATAAATGATCAGTTAGGGCTGAGCGATAAACAAAAAATTTACTGGTACTGAAATTAAGAAAATAACCAGCGTCATTTTGCCCATATTGGTATATTTGGTGTCAAAAAAAATAAATGAATTAAAGTTGGTTTTGGATGTGTGTAGGTAGGCTATGGTCTCATGTCCCTTTTAAGACGTTTTCCTATGTCAGAGACGTGACTCCACCCCATCCAGTCCATAACAAAGAGGGAAAGACAAGTGAGGAGATGGAGGACGGTTCAAAAGTTGTAGCAGCTAAAGTAGACGAAGTTAATGGGGGGGGGGGGGGGGGTGAGCAGCTTGTGGAGTAGTCATCATCCATTTATCGTTATCGAAGTGAACTGCTCAATATATCGTGATATTGATTAATCGCCAAGCCCTATAATCAGCCATCTTACATCCTGGCCAAGACAATATATCACTGCTGTTATACTGCAGTGAAAACAAAACATTGTGGATCTAGAATAACAAAAGCTTTTTGCTTTTCAGCCTATTAATTTTTTACATTTCCATGTTGAGAGTCAGCAGAGCTCTCGTGTCGCAGTCAGCACAGTCTCTGATCAGATTTTCTGTTGATAAAGTGCAAGCAATGGCAAACTTTTCAGGGTTTATGTTTCAGCCAGTGGTCAGAAATATGTTTTTCAAACACACTGTGCACGTCCTACTTCTGCAGCGCTGTACTGCAACATGAAATCACACTATACTGTTAAAGTACAGTTGTCCAAATAGTTGAAGTGCATGCTCTTTTGTACCGTCCAGTTTGTTACCTGCATTCATTAGTTTTGACAGAATGCCAGCGGTCATGGCAGACCCATTTCCCATCAATCCTGGAGTCCCTTCTTTGGTACATGATTTGAATTTGGAAAAAGTACTGCACTGTGCACAGCCATAAATGTCGTATCATTAGCGATATGGAGCACATAACCGACAAGTCTTCATTATCACAGTCTCGTTTGTCCTCGGATTATTCCCACCTCTAATGATTTGTAGCTAACAGACCAAAGCGTGCCAAACCTTTCTATACATTTGTTTGGAGGGCTTTAATTATTGATGTCGTTTTATCAGCATACATTGAAACTAGATAGACAGACACACACTCTCTCTCTCTCTTTCACACACACACACCTCGTCCCTCAGCCGTCCACAGTAAGGTCAGAGCATATAGATCACTCAGTTGATTGACCACATCCCATTGATCAGCCAGCCGGCTCGTCAATAAATCTGCCTCACAGCGACACGGTCCCTCCCTCCTGCCCCGTCGTCCTTCTCCCTTCATTCATCCATTACTCAACACTCCTGCCTCCCCCTTTTCCTCCCATTTCCAACTCTTCCTTACACTGTACTCCCTCCCTACTTCATTCATTTACCCATCATCCCCCTCTTCCTGCCTCAATCGTGCTCCTCTTCATCTGCTTTCATTCACTCCTCAGTGATGAAGGCAGGATGTGAAACAGAAGAGGTCATGATGAAGATGGTAGGTTGTCTAAATCAAACCAGTTTATATGTGATTTTCATCTGTTTGTATCGCATACATGAGGTTCAGTGTACAACCTACTGTGAAGGAAGGTGCATTATTTAAGTATTGCATCAGTGCGTCTAAAAAGAAAGCTAGCATAGAAGCTTTTTAACATCTTTCTTCCCTTGTTGGGTCATGATCTTACATTTTATGAGAAAATGTGGTTTACTTTGGGTGACCATACGTCCTCTTTTACCCGATCATGTCTTCTTTTGGAGGGCTTGTCTGGCCTATCAGGCCTTGTCTGGGGGAGTTTATAAAATCCTTTAAATGTCCGGGGTTTTGTATGGAAGTTTTGAGTTTGTGTTGCGTGGAATAACTGAGGAAGAAGTGCGTAAAAAACACTTGATCCGACCCAAAAAACTCTCAAAATTAACTATGCGCAACGTAGTGACTCCGCCCCGCGTATAGTGTCCTCTTTTGGGGGATTCAGAATATGGTCACCCTAGTTTACCATAAACCTTGGCGACTTGGGTGAGGCTTTGTACCAAGACAGTAGTCAAAGTTCGCATTGGCTCAACCGCTGCACCGATAGCTCACAGGATTGCAGTCTTAACAAGCTAAAACAGATGTTCTGGGCAAAAGCTACACAGTTGCACAGAAACTGCACGTTGTGAACCTTGCGAAGTGGAACAAAATGGACTTCAATTCTGGATCTTACAGTAACTGTGTAATACATAGAGCTAAGTAACTCAATGCTATTTACTTATTAATGGTACCTAATATATGTATTTTACCATGTAGCTTATGGAGTATCGCACAAAATCAAAGCGGTCCCATCATAATTTCCACAAAGCTAAAGATCTCATCCTGAAAGCACTTTTGATTTTCCATCCAGCGCTCTGAAACAACAACAGCTTCATTTCCTCAACTGTAAAACTCATTAAAAGATGTTTCTGTGATTCAGCTTGATAACTGATGAAGAGGACTGGTCAGCTGTTATATTTGGAAAGAGATACTCATTGTCCCAGGGAGATGAACCAATATCAGCATACTAAAATCTTTACTAAGGCGATGAACACGACCTCTTTTAAAGATCAGCATGTTGGCCTCGGTGTCGTGACTTTATGAGCATTTAGCTCAAGAAGACATTCTTCAGATTGGACTGTTAATTAAAATGTATAATACGAGAATAGAAACTCCCAGTGCGATGCCCAGCGTATCAAGCGCTGCACTTACTCCATTTTGAAGGACACAGAGGTTGGCGCACAGCTTTATCTTCCTCACTTCCTCCTCCCTTCTGCCGCCTCACTCATCTCGTCTCATCTCATAATCCCTCTCTCTCATCTGAGCGCTGTTATTCCCATCCCCTCTGCTTCCTGTTCCCTTTGGTCTTCCACCACCTCCCCATGATCCGTCTCCCGTGGACCCAGGCGCCGTGGGCCAGGTTGCTGCTCTGTGCCGCTGGTGAAATATTAACCAGGCTTTGATGCTTATTAATTGTCCCACTCAGTAATTGAGATGCTCTGTGGAGCCCCATCCCCATGGTGACAATGACAGCCCGTCCCCTTGGTGACAGCCTCTCACCCACAGAAACACCAGCGAGAGAAAGAGGGGTAGGTGAGAGTTAGGGGAGCGATGGAGGAGTAGATCAGGGCTTAGTTGATACGAAGTTTGGAAAATTAAATAAAGGCGCTTAAAGGAAGAGATACTTTAGTCAAATTTAGAGCTGAATGATAATAAAGCATTTCACCAAAATGGTTCAAACAGCGATTATTAATCTGACTCTACCCATGCATCATGTACTTGGGGACTGGACTTATGTTATAGTTCCTGTTTGTAGCCCATGTGGTTTTTAGAAATCTACATGAGTGTGTTGTGAAACCCATCAGTGTCAAGATTTAGTAACTTTGTGGTGTGTGTCAGACATGAGCTGACACAATGTTGATCTAGTCTGACTTCAAAACATCTGAGAAGTTTTTTGCTCTACGTTTGAGGAAGTTTGCATTTTTATATGTATAAACCTGCAGCTTGATGAATTTTGGTGCACTCATCAGAGTAGGATGAATGGATGCTTCTCTTTCAAGGATATGAGGTGTTGAAATAGTGAAAAATCCACTTAAATTTCCTCTGATCTTGGCGCCTAACTTAATGACACTGTTTAGGTTTTTAATGTTGTCTTATTTTGTTGCTCCCCATGTTTAAGTTGCGGTGTGCGACCACCAGCGAACATTTTCAAACAATGAAACGGGGCTTCTGTCTGTACCTTAACTGGATCATCTCTATGCTGCGAACCAAATTCTGTTTGACGAAAACCTCGCCTCCTCCACCATCTGCTGCAGAGTAATGAGTTTTTACTGGAGGGAACAGGACCACATAAAAGACACGCTTCACATCAACCTAAAACAAGCATCCCTCTTCACGCAGCGATTGAGCTTTATTGTGAAAGGCCCCAAAACTTTATTACTGTATGTAGTGTTTGAACTGAAACACTGTTGAGCTCATAAGTCATTTCTTATAGATAAGAAACGACTTAAATTAGACATTAGATCAGGACAACACATTTGGACAATGTCTGAAAATGAGTTGGTGTTAGCTAGTCGAGATTAGGGCCCGACAGATATGGATTTTTTGGGGGACAATCGGCCAATTTTAAAAAAAATTTTATGAAGTTTTAAAATTTTTTAGTCGAGATAGAAAGTTTTACTGGACTCTTTTATTTATTTATTTTGTTTTATTTTGGGATGTTGATCTTTTATTTATGAACCAGATTTTGTATTTGATCAAAGATAAAGTCAGTCTATAGATATTTATACTTGAGCTAGATTTCACTGGTTGCCACTTAACATCAGCTTTATGTATTGAAGTTGAAGAATTTTTTTGACAGAAATTAGCAAAAAAAATTCGATAGTTAACTCTAGTCTCACCAAACAGACTTTAATTTGCAACAAAATTTAGATATACTTTGTTTGTTTATATTTTGACACTTAATTTTGAATCCAGCTGCTGCCTGTCCAAATCTTTAGTGTTATAAAGTGTAATGCAAGTTATTTAAATTACTGCAGTTATTCTACATATTTGATGCTTTTATTATCATTTACAAATTAAAAAAATCTGTTGGTTTTATCCACTTTAGATTCCAAAACAAGACTCAAAATAAATCTCAGGGAATGTTAAAGGTTAAAAAGTTAATATGCGCAGAGAGGGAAGAGGATAACGACGCTCTAAAGGAAGAGACGGTGATGAAGTGGGGAGGACAGCAGATGAAGTGTAGACGTGAGCTCTGTGTACATGTAAACATATCAGGCCAGAGGGCGAGAACTGTGAGGCTGCAGACATGATGACCACACAGTGTGACGATTCCTAGCAGGGACACGGACCACGTCAGATGTCAGCCATGCACCGTTTGACACTTGACATGCACACAAAAACACACTGGCTCAAACAGCAGCTGTCAGGATTCTGAAGGGTATAAAATATACAAGATATTTATGAAAATATTCAAAGATTTTTTATTCCATAAAATCAAAACAGGACTAAACTGAGTGACACAACCTTGTTTTTAAAACCTTTTTCAAGGTTTTTAGTTACCATTAAACAAATCAAGCCCACATTTTCTTGTTGAGGTTAAAACATGCACAATGACCAAAATTAAACCAAATCAAACATGACTTTTGACGTAGTGAATATTATATATTTGTAGTGAAAACACGGTTGAACTAAGGTTGAATATGTCTACACTTTAAAGAGCTTGCAGGCACAGACGCCGCCGGTGTTTATGTTTTCAAGCTTTCATTCAAGTGCAACTGTGTGTGCTTTTAGTTTAATATGAATCTGATGAGATTTGAATTATAGTAAAATTATGATCATATATTATATACTGTATTTTAACATAATAAAGCAGCTGTTGTAACCATGACAACTAGCTGTTAAGCATTTAAAAACCAGATTTCAAGATTTGTTCTTTTATTTTATTTTTTTATTTTATTTATTTATAAAACACACAATAGTGCTGAAGGAATACAGTAAAATAAGGATACAAAAAAAAAAAGAAAAAAAATATTATAGACAAATAAAAGTATAGGAGAAATATTTACAAAGTGCGAGAAATGTTTACAAGTGAAGAAGTGAGATAAGACAGTGGGATGAATGAGGCATGAAAATTGCTGTATTGCACATGATTAATAATGGTATACGAATGCTGTATTGCACATGGTATTGTATATAGATTTTGAAGCTGTTAAAAGTTTTATTCAGTTTGTAAAGTTTACTAACTTTTCTAAGTATGGAGAGCAAGTTGCTGCTTCTGTTGCCAAAAATAAACATGCATGTTTTTGTTGCAGTCTGTCTAGTAGGTGTATTGGGAGGCGAGCCGCTTTAAGTTAACACCAGGACATCAGGAGGCCTCTTATTTCTCTGCAGAAATATGTAGTATTTACTGACATTCATCTTTATTTTGAGACTGATGTATATATCACTACTTTGAAATTTCTGCTGAGGAAAATGTCATTGAAACGCTGTTTCAGTAAGTTACAGTAAATCAACCTGACATCTTGTCATTTTAGACATTACAAACAAGTATCTAGAAATATCTGCTGTAGGTTTTGTAGGTCTAAAATAGGCATCACCTCCGATCTTAGCCTTTTTTTTATAACCGTCTAAAAAAAACCTGTCACATGAGCTTTAAATTGCACCAGATACGAGATAAGAAACACTAAACAACAACCTGAATATAGCCCCTTATAAATAATGTATGTAAGCAGATATTAACAAGTAAAATGGCCAAAATGAATATAATGTAGTCAAAAATAAGCTTCCTTAACTTCCATTGCTCTGTGCAGACGTGTTGTCTCAGACTGTAAGGAGGTCTCAGCTGTTAAGTCAAGAGCCCGCTTCATTCTCCTTCACTGCAGACTCTTATTCCCTCCCCATACCAAGTTTAATGACTCCACAGGCTCCACCCCTCGTTGACCGGCTGCTTAAGTAGGACAGACTAGATTTAAGATCTCACCCTGATAATACTCACTCACACACACACTTGCATATGCAGACACAAAGCGCACAGGCGTAAACGCGGGGCTCGACCCATTGATGCTGAATCAGGTCACCCTTTGGTTTGTGAGAGTGAGCTGGAGGGGGTTTAATGTATGGTCTTTAAAATGAGAGGATATTTGAGACTTCTGGGATAGCAGGTGAAACGTGCACTCAGTTTCCTCTCATCTTTTTGTTCTGCTCAACAAAGAAAGACATCTGTACAAATTTAAGGGATCTGGTACTTTTTATTTTGGCCATTGTGGTATTTTTGATCTTATTAGACAATTAAAGAGAGCAGGTTTAAAATCAGGGAATCACAATTTGATTATAACTGAGAAAATTGGATTTACCTTCAAGAGGTTTAGTTGTTACTGGAAACTATTGATGCTCTCGTTTATAATGGAACATTTTATCCACAGGGCTTGGCTTTTAACCTTCCTATTTTTGTTGGTATCAATCAACATGTTCATGTCGGCACACAGAAAAATCAAAATCTAAATTTGAGTCCTTTCACAGACTTGGTCTTCCAAGAAAGAAAAAGGCGTCCTCTCATATTTCCAGTCTGCTTTTCCCCCACTCACTCAGTGGTGAATCTTTCTCTTGATAAACTAATCCAACTAATTGCATCATGGGGCTGTGAGACGAGTATTTAGCAGCTAACCTGGGGGTTAACAAGTGTAATTGACTGCAAGTAAATGAACAGTAGCTGGAAACCCTAAGTGGGACATTCAAGCACCACATTACACTGTAAAAAATATATTAGTGGGAATATTTCGATACCACATACACCCTGGTCAGTTTGATGTAAAGCTACATCCTCCATGTTAGCTTAGTTTCAATTTAATGAACTGGGTAATGAGGAAAACAAAGATGAAAATCTCTGAATGTTATCAGTTAAATTTAAAACACTAGAAAAGATGAATTTAGTGAAAGATAAAGTGATGTAAGACACAGGGCTGGGACGGTGTGCTTTTCTCCCGATTCGATTCTTCTTTGATTTTTTAGATGCCGATTCAATTTAAATTGCGATACAACGATATTGTCGATTTTCTCAATTTTTAGTCTACATTTTTAACACCAGTGAAACAGTTGAATTATTATGATTGTCTACTGATTATTCCAAGAACCATATTTCCCCCCCAAAACACATTACATGTAGTCAGTCGGCATCGATAACAAATGTATTTACAATCAGTTTAAAGCTCCAATGAGTAACGTTTGTGTTTGTGTTTATCATGGCGCTCCCTGTAGACAAAGCAGTCACTCTCACTGATTTTGTCCTCTACATGTGAGGTAGTATTTTACAATGAAACTGCGTCTTTTGATGGTCAAATCTGCTCTCTGCTTACTGTCCGGTTTGGCATGTTCACACTATTAAATTAAAGTAATTTTCTTCATGGAAATGCAATCAGATCGAGATGCTAAGGCAGAAGAAATACTGCGTCTGCAGTGCAAAATGATTAATATGATAATTGTAACTTCAAGGAAGTGATAAAGTAATGATCATAAATGTTCTTCCTTGAGCTGCGAAACCCCGCTGTAGTCTGTAATGGACTGGTCAGTGGTCTTGCTACAAACAAGCGGCTGCTGGAAGAGAGTCGGTGAGTTGTGTTCAGTCTCTTTACTAAAGAAATCAGGCAAAGTTAAAAAGATGTTTGGTGGCTAGTGCTATGGCTGGGACCCTATATGTACTGTTGATGAAGTTAGTTCTGTTCTGAGCATTATCTGTGGCTATAGAGTGGCGTTTTGGTTGAGGTTTGTTTATGGCTCCTCAGACCGCTGTGTATTGCTATCGTGCGGTCATTCCTTAAGTTGGTATATCTAGAGACGCAAACGGTCAGCAACATTCATCTCTCAAGGGGATGTCTGTCTCGGTGTTATGGTGTGTTTGATCCTAAATTAATTTTACCCCGGAATATCCCTTTAAGACTTTTTCATGACCGGTCAAAATCTCCCCACTGGAGCTTTAACTGTCTTGTAATGCTAATTCTCTTTAACCATTTAGTAGGTGAAAAATGCTCATCTCTAGTCCTTTGAATGAACGGTTTATTTTATTTCACTTTCACCTAAAGTTGAATCAAAAAACTACTATCTGGACAGGGTTTCCTTCTTCAGCTCCAGCCTCTATGAAGTGGGTTTTCATTTAGTCCGATCCAACAGCTATGACCGTCCGGTCTTCAGAGGCTGCTCATCAGGCCGTCTGCCAGTCCATCTGGATATCACACGCACTCGTCTAAAATATTGGTGCGCTTGAAGATGACTGAACGGAGAGGATGGTTTTAATCGGGGATGTCCATTCTTCTAAATCAGATTTCCCTCCTCTCTATTTGATGCTTCTGGACTTGTGGACCTGTCCCTCCTGTTGAACAGGGTGGGGAATGGATGGTCTTTGTTCAGTCTCCCAGTCCTCTCTTTTCATCTCCCCCACCACCCGGCTCAGCTCCTCTTACATTATTAGCCGTCTGTGATGTTACATTAAAGATGCATGACTCTCATGCTGTCTCACTCAGCATGGGCCTCCTGTGTGCATGTGTGAGTGTGTTCAGGCCGACACGCTTGAGCTGCTGACTGTTAGAAAGAAGGACAAACACACACAAATACACACACGTACACACACACACACACAGGCATGGCATTGTGTGAATGCGGTCGAGCTCTCTTGAAGCCGAAATTTGTTATTTGACAGATGGATGTGGGAGGCTGTCACTGAGACTAAACGCTCCTGAGAGAGACACACAGAGCTGTCTGGTTGGACGGGGATGGCGAGCTAGATGGACGGCGAGTGGGAGGGGGTTAGCTCCACAGTATTGATATAATGCAAGCTTTGAGTGCCCTGTCTGCTTGGTTGAGTGCCTCTCTGTGGTGCTGCATATGGTGTGTGTATGGGTTTTTGTATTCGATGAGCAGTGTGTGTATACAGACGCCGTTTATATGAGCGCAGGAGAGTTAAGCTGGTACGTGTGTTTAATGCTAACCCCTCTCTGAAGTCCTCTTTGAAATCCCCAGACAGTTACAGAACTTACACACACCCTGACACTTGGCTTCCTGTTTGTGTGTGCGGTGGAGAAAGAGAGAGAGGGAGAGAGAAAGACGGGTTTTGTGAAGTTATCTGTCTCCCTGGCTGTATTGGTGTCCTAATTGGACTAACAAGATTAATGAGGCGAACTAGATTCCCCGGCTCTCTCTTTCTCCTCCCATCTTTTGTTGTCATGGCAGGGAGCCTCAGTGTGCCGGTACATAACAGGTTAAATCAGAGTCACATGACTGCCTTTTAAACAGAAGAGTGTGAATAAAATGGATTAAACTTTATATCAAAGCGAATGTGATTATCCCAGCTGAGAAGGACGAAAGGACAGGGAAATAAATCTATTCCACTGACTCAAAATCTGATGGTTTAAGTCAGTGCTTCACAGTTCACAGCGGGACCAACGTAGAAGAAAGGAATGTACTTTTTTAATCAAGAGATCAATTTTATTTAATGATTTTTTATCTTTTAAAGATTCCTTTTAGCTGGTAGCAGCTCAGTATCCTCTACTCCTCAAAGTTTGTTGTCCTTTCTCAGGTAGCATCCCGTAAAAAGGGAGTCTCCGCTGAGTGTTAGAAAGTCTTAAAATGTCTAAAAATCTCTTAAAATCTTATAAATTGTCTTAGATATAATTTTGAAAGGTCTTAGAAATGTATAAACTTTACTTACAAAAAATTAACTTGCCATAAAGATAAAGATTGAGTTGAAGTAATGTAAAATATTCCAATTTCCCCTCATGTCTTTTGTACTTTTTTGCCCGTATGAATGTAAAATTGGTCTTAAATGGCATTTTTTACTGTCTTAAAAAAGTCTTAAACAGTCTTAAATTTGACTTGTTGAAACCTGCAGAGACCCTGAAAAAAGAGAGTGGAAAAATGTTGACTTTTTTATGCTGCTGTATCTGATTATCTTAATGGGAATTTAACATTTATTTTCAAATTATTTATTGATTTGAACTTGAGTCATCTTTGCAACTTTAAGCTCTTGTATGAAACAGACTAAAATTCATGTTGACGTCCGTTTATGAGGTATGAAAGCAAACAAGACCATCAGAAACAAAATGTACAATATTCATATCAAGTTTTTTAACCCAAAAACCAGTCTGAGAGGCAAGGCATCAGTCGAGCAGCGAAAGAAACAACAAAGTTTTTACATTTTTCATGTTAAGCCTCACAAGAAATGGCTGTCATAAAGACTTTTTGTCAAGATACTCCTCAAACCTTTCTACTCGATTATATTAACATTAAAATTTAAAATGTTCAAACCCTTAACATTAGCCTAATTTTAGTGTAACAGGTTCAGAAAACAGCTGCAGCGACTTTTTAGGTTCATTTTCCTTGTAATTCATCCAGTCCTGTTAGATGTCCACTTGCTTTTTGTGGGTTTTCTTCAATTTGACTGATGTCTCTTTCATTCAGCTCCTTGTAACAGTCCTTGCTCATCTGATCATCCATTAACCACAAATCCAAAACTTTATCTTTTCCAAATGATCTGAAAAATTCAGAGTAATTTTGAGTTATTGTTTTTGTTGATTTGCTGGTTTTCTTGCCACATTACCAACAAAATAAGTTGTAACCACAAACTTAATGAACAGACTAGATTCCTGTCTGTGGATTTGATTTATTTTAAGTGTGTGCGGTGTGGGAGTATTACAGTCTCCAAGATCAGCGACACACACTTTGTAAGACATGTTCCACTTTAAAATTTAAAAGGGACTTTTAAGGAGGGACCAGCAACTGTATGAACACATCAAATCTTTTCACTGGTTTGGAAACAGACACGAAAAATTACAAAGACGTAATGCTACAGACGTCAGTTTTCATCTTTATTTACAGACAGGTCTCTGTATCTTGGAAAGTTTTCAAAAATCAGTGCCATTCTTAACTGATAATTGCTTAAATAATAATGAAATTCAGCGTCAATAACATTACGATTTCATATATTGTTTGGATTTGAAAGAGAAAATATTTTAATCATTGTAGAAAAAACTAACCCACGTTTGCCATTTGTCATTTGGCATACTGTATGTGTGTTTTTATTTGTCTAACCCTGAGTTACCTGCCCAAGGGTGGGTCAGGGTTTGACATAACATGTTTAATGACAGTTCAAATAGAAGCAGGTGTGCTTAGAGTCACAGACAGACCGAGTGTAAGTACACAGCAGGCATGTTGACATGTCAGACGAGGATAACATCAGGCAATAAGACACACAATGGCTCTCTTTAACTTCTTTCACGTACCATGAAGTAAGATTGGAGTAAAACAGTGAGAAACCGGTATTACTGCAATCAGCGAGTTATTATTCTGCACCTCTGTTTCCATTGAAGACATTTGATTACAAACGCAGGTGCGAGCTCCCCTGTAGGTGCATCAATCTAGGAAATTTTTACCTTTCCTTCAAAGTAAACCCCAAGTTCACAAAACACCATCTTGACAACATGGTTTTTAAGTTTGTTACAATATCCTCCAAAAAGTTGTGGAAGAAAATAGCAACGAAGGTGAGCTTTTTATGTCTTTAGTCAGTCTTTAGACCCAGGACCCACAAAACCAACTAAACCATCTACAGTCTTCAGGTTCAGAGTCAGAGATCTGACAGAAAACAGATATCGAGCTCTTCTTGGATCTTCCCAGTTCTCAAACTTTAAGTATAACAGAAGAATTTGATCATTTATTGGATCTTAAATTTCCAATCAAGTGTTGAGTTGAATTCCAGCCTCAGCTTCTTTGGGCTTTACTAAAAGAAATACGCCTCTGTTCCTGTTACAGTGTTTTACAGTCTTGCGCCACAAAAAAGCAGCAGTGCAACCATAGTAAATGTCTGTTGCTAGGATACGTGGTTACACTGTATTAGGGTGGTAACCATGGTGATATCTGCATGGGTAAAATCAGTGTCAGAAATTAAGATTATCCATATGTTCAGAGTGAGTCAGGATCTTTTTCATTATAAATCATCTCTGAGTGGACGTTCACTCTCACTCCAATTACTGAACACTGAACTGAGCACCTCTGACTTTGATGACTTTTTTTTGCAGCGTTTTCCTTTTTATACACCAAACAGCTGAAGAGAGGCAAAAATACACGGAGCAGAGGGTTAAAGGGTCAACGCCAGCAGTTGAACCGTGACCGCTGCACTGAGGAGTGTAGCCTCACCATGAGCCAACCGGAGTCATGACTGTTTTTATGTTTTAGCACTTTTATGTTCAAGTTTTTAATATAGTTTTACTCACAATATTTTTTATTAGTTTTATACAGATTATACAAAGGAAACACATTACAAACACCCCCTTTCCCTCAAAACCCTGTCTACTGCTGGATATTCCTATTACAATGCGTAGATAACATGTTCTGGAGCTAAAAGCAAAAAAAAAAGAGCTGGAATTTGGGTTTTGTAGATCTTAAAATATACATAAAATAAGATAAATATATAAGATGTTGAGAAATAAAAAGTAAAAAGAGAATAAATTAAATGAATCACTGTACGTTAAGAGAAATACAAATGTAGACAAGTTGCTGAAAACTGAAAAAGTCCATAAAAGAAATGAGAATTTAAATTGTATGATTATTAAACATCACAAATATATATTTCAAAAAGGAAAACAACTAGAAGAGGAGAGTGCTAAGTCAAAATTTTCTGTCATTACCTGCAACCGATTAAAGTTTTTAATAACGTTTTTTTAATATAGTTTTAAATAATTTGGCTTTATCACCTTAATCAGAGGCATCCTGATCATTCATTCTTACTCATTATAAATATTTAAAAGGCGCTGTGTGTTATGGTTTCAGTTAAACAATGATGTGAACATAAAGTAAAAGATTTTTCATTCTGCTTAAAAAAATCAGGCTTCCTTAATCTAGATAAGTTTTATCTTGAAGTTTTAAAGTAGTTAATTAATATCTCAGAGCATGAACCTTCATAACCATATTTAAACTGCTATTACACACAAAAGTACGGAAGAGGATTATTATTATTCTGAGATTAAAGTAAGATTTCTGATTTTAATCTCAGAATTATAATTCTCAGAAAAAAATAAAAGAATATATATATGATTTTTTTTTTTCGTGGCCCTAATCCACCTCCGTACAAAAGATCTCACACAAACATATGAAATGATCTGATAGCTAAACATCCACAGGTTGAAAAGGCAAGTGATTTCCAACGTTTTGACTTTATGCATGACTGTAAAATGCTCCAGTTCATCTTCACATCCCACATCTGTGTAGTAGTAACTATTATTGATTTGAATAGGAAAATCTAGCTGGAAGGCACCTCAGAGCCAAAGTGTCGAGTAGCTGTAATGTGAGAACAGTGCTGTTACATATTTGGCCGTCATGCCACCTCAGGAGCCGAGCATAAAATCAATACCGGTGCTCTCCGTGCGCTCCGCTCTGTTTCTGCTGAAATCCTCGATGAGATACGCTGTTATGCAAGAGGTTGCATTTAGGGATCAGCACATCATTTTCAAGGGGAGACATCAAGGATCCAACGGCGTTTATAGGTCACAAATCCCACGCTGCTGTTGTGTGTTGTACATGCAACAAAAGGATGATACAGCACACATGGTAGTGTGTACTAGGCCTGCATGATTTGAGGACAGTATGCAGTGTGCAGTTACACTGCTCATTGAGGATTCATTGTAATATAAAATACAATAGACAAATGTTAAAGGGTGCATAAATCACAGTCCTTTGTCTATCTGCTGTTTTTGCAACATGTCTTACTTTGGCCTTTAAATTCAGACATTTATCCAACATGTAAAATGTACACAGAGCTCATTTTTTCACATAAAATATCTTATTTTCATTTTATAATTGAGTGAAAAAAAGACGTATTGCAGATTAATTAATCTGTGGTAAATCTGTGTTTTATGTTTGTCTCATATTTACAGGCTTTTTATCCCCTGATAATCAGACCTGAGTGAGGACGATAGCCAATACCAACACTGATAATTAGTAATTGGTGAGACTGATTTATTAATGTAACGGATATCTGTAAAATAAAAGGTCGATATAGATAATCAGAAGAGGAGCTGGTGTCCGACAAAATCGACTAGGAGTTTCTCAGCCGAGCCGTGAAAGCCCCTCTTGTTCACATGCTGACTCACAAGCTTGTAAACTCTATTTTTACTAGTGTTGTCCAACTTTTAACAGATTTGCTTATCTGCCCGAGTGCTGATGAGGCGTTTGACCTTCTTGCCGCTCCAAGTCAACCCACAACCCATCTTGATAGTAGGTTAACTGGCTAAATTTAATCGGTGCTTTCTAACTATGCAAAGTGTGAGCGGTACACATGATGGCATTTGTCTAAACTAAAGCTTTTGCCCGCTGTGCAATAACGCACTTTTGACACAAACAAACCTGAGAGGAACAACAGGAATAAAGCAAATGAGCATCAGGTGTAAAGGCTTTTTTTGGGAGTGATTTTCTAATTGATCACTAGATTTAAAAAATATTCAGAAAATGCATGAAGTTGTACAATACTATTTTTGATTTAGGCCTCAAAAAATCTGAAGAAGTGCTCTCCAGCTTCTTCATCTTGGATTTAGAGCATCAGATTGATGCTAACGATAAGTTTCGTTCACCACACCCTGTCAGCAGCGCCGTCTAACTGTCCCCGTGTTTTCTAATTGTTTGTGCGCCATCTTTGTATCTCATGTTCAGCAATGCATGGGCATGTAGTGCATATGTGTGTATATGTGTGTGTGTGTGTGATGCTGCCTGTGTGTCTGTGTGCGAGTCTGACTGTTGCATAAGAGGATCTGCTGCTGTCCCAGAGCTTAACTAAGGATTTAAACTCTCTCTCTCTCTCTCTCTCTCTCTCTCTCTCTCTCTCTCTCTCTGTCGTCTGCCTCTCTCTGGCGCTCTCTGTTGCACTCTCTCTAATCTCTGTTACCGCACGTATATTGAAGCGGGTGATGTCATTATTTGTCGAATTAGTCGTCTGGAGATTGTATGTTCGCTCATGTTGTGATGACTCATCTCTTTTTTGTACAACATGCCCTCCAAAGTTCACTATAAATCTGCTCGTGTTTTAATGACTCCTGCTGACTCAAATTGAACTTGTTATGACTTCTGGTGACTTAGAAAGATCTCTTTTAATTATTGCTAAATGTGATAAATAAGTTAGTGAGGCTCTGGGAGAGTGCAGGTGCCTCTGAAGCAGTTATTCATGGTATGCAAATCTGCAAGTGCACTGAGCATGAAATGAGCATCACAACAAAATAAAGCATATTTATTATTATTATAAATGCACTTTTGATACACTTTTACACCCTGAAGTTTTGCATACTGATGCAACCAATATACCGGTAAAAATGCAAAAAGGGGTGTTTTATTGTGTTAGGGTACTTTTCCCAGAAGGCATCACTCCATGAAACTCAACTCAACTCAACTTTGTTTGTAAAGCACTTTAAAACAACCACAGCTGAACAGTGCTGTGCATAAATAGACAAAACAACGCAGACATTAAAAAAAAACAATCAAAAAACAATTAAAAGAATGGATTAAAAAAAGCTGTAAAATATAGTTTCAATGTTTTTAAAAACTAATTTAAAAACATAGAAACAAATAACTAAAAACAAACCATAAAACACTAAAACAGGAGCCGAGTCTCATGCAGGGTTGAAAGCCAATGAACAAAAGTGGGTTTTAAGACGAGTTTTAAAAATGGACAGTGTGGGGGCTTGTTTGATTTAGAGGGTTAGCTCGTTCCATAACTTTGGGGCCGCAACAGAAAAAGATCTATCCCCTCTGAGCTCTGAGTTTGGAAACAAATGACCACTTTGTTGATCCCACTTTTTAAACCACTTTTGTCCCTTATTGTGTCATAATCACACATTTAAAAAAACAAGTGATACACTTTTAGGAAACAAATCTCAATCAATCAATCAGATTTTATTTATATAGCGCCAAGTTAGGGATGTACCGATCTGATTTTTGATATCGGTATCGGTCCTGATATTGAAGAAAATTCAAGATCAGGTATCGTGACAATGGGCCCTATGCAAAGGAGCTGATCTATTCAGTCTAACTCTATGCTATACCTGTGAGTGGCATCCAGGGATAAACACACTGAGTGGGTGCCCACGTTGTTTTCAAAATGGAGCGAGCAAAGGGGACTGCTATCTTGAACTTCATCACAATACCTCAGCCTTCAAGCTCGACGGCCACTTGCACAGTAAACGTTCCGATGAGCGGTGGTAAAACTTCAGGTTACAACAAAAGGTAATTCAGCGCAGCTTTTCTGTATCGGAATTAGATCGGTATCATCCGATACTAAACTATAGATATCTTCATCGGTATCGGAGGTGAAAAAAGCGGAACAGTGCATCCCTACGCCAAATCACAACAGTTGTTATCCCAAGACGCTTTGCAGAAGTCATTGTTTGATGTATTACAAAGACCCAATCTTAAGATGGGAAAGATTTGACCCATCCCATCCAACATGAGTGACGGTGGCGAGGAAAAACTTCCCTCTAACAGGCAGAAAACTTAAGCAGAACCAGACTCATGTTTGACAGCTACCTGCCGCTAAGAATCTTACAGAGAGTTGGTCTGATTGAAAAGATTGTTCAGTTTAAAGCCCTGTTTATACCTCTGTGTAGAATCCAGACCAGAGCAAGCAGGTGATGGTCTGCGCCACCATGAGCACTACGTACTTGTGCGTTTGCAAAACTGCAGAGATTTCTTTGCTGGTCATCTCGCCAGTTTTTGGTTCTACAACTTCCCCTCCTTAGGACTGAATCTGAGCGTTTTATCTTGGAGTTTGAGGTGAAAGATGTCGAGCAGCAGTCGACCATACTGCAATTAGAATTTCAGTCTATTTCACAAATGTCAGAAAACTCAGATCTTATATAAAAGTCTCTTCAATGAGTTTTGTCCAACTCTTCATCAGTTTTTGTCAAGTTTCAAGAAAAATCTGTTTTCTGTTCGTTTGAAGAAATGTCATGATTTAGTGACGGTGCGCTGCATTTATTCTCTAAGTTTAAAAGCGGTACCATGTTCAGAATAAATACTAAAAATGTATATCAGGTTTCCTTTAGTTGCTTCCGATGTTGCAGCGGCTCATCCTCACCTCACCTCCAGTTATCCTCCAGCAACTCCGTCTTTTTGTTTTGTTTTTGGCATCTCTTTACACCACCTGTGAGTAAAGCAAAAAATATCAATTCCTCGCCCGTTGTAGAGTCTGCTGACACAGAGAGGAGTGGGCTCGCTGCTGATCTAAAAATAAGAGCTCGGGATGAATCTCCAACAGCTATACTTTGTCCAACATGCAGTGCTGCAGATTTGTTGGCTGCAAACTCTTCACAGCTCAGGAACATTTTGTCAGGGACGCTGCTTTTACACGCCAGTACGATATTTTATACTTGGTTATTTTAATGTAGTGTGCAAACTGAAACCCTTTTTCTGCTGCTGTGAGAAGTTGTAGGAAGTTAATTTTTCATTCGTTAATCTCTGTATGTAAATTAATCTTCTCTCCCACACAAACTGTGTAGTCAAGGTTATCTCCCCTGAGAGCAGGAAAGGACTCAGGGGAAAATTGGGCCAGCTGGTCGATTCACCTGTTGGATGATTGCGACATAGTCCAGATAAAGAGATGAGCACAATATTGTCCTCTTCTTCATTTGTTTTATCTATTTTATCCCACAGAAGCCGTCATCTTCTGGAGGTTTTATTCGTTTCGTCTTGAGCTGCCTTCAGCCCTGATATTTTTACATTTTGATGCCTCTATTTTTATCATTCGTCTGCCGCATGTTCCAACAAGATTTCTTTCTTGTTAAAGCAAGATCTGCAAAAACCCAGATGACTTAAGCAAAATAAGTGGAGTCAGTTCAGCAGCATCATCCCACCCCCCTGAGGGACATGTCATATTTATCAAGAAGCAGCTCCTCCACCTGCCTAATCGGCACAATGAGATCAGATCAGAGAGGCAGATGTAAAGCCGTGAGAAGACAAAATAAACCGCTGATATAAGAGAAAACAGATTTACAGTAGCGTAGATCTGGTGTGATGGGGTCTACAGTCGCTGTTTTAAAGATAGGAATTAAATGCTGATCCGGACAGTGGTTGTTAATGCTGATAATGGTGGAGCTGGTAGGGAGGAGTGTTTTAGTAATGAAGATAATGACCTCTTATTTGTGCAGTGGTGCATTTGTTTGTGCTGGAGAAAAGCTCTCCCCCCCCCGTTCAGCTGCGCTCTCCCTCACTTATTCACGCTCTTGTTTTTTGTCTCTTTGCAGATCGACTTGGAGCCAGAGGGGAAGGTGTACGTGGTCATCGATCTGTCCGGATCATCCACTGAAGGTAAAACTACCACAATGCACGGGTTTACTGATAAGGAGGGAAACGACACATTAGAATTTAAGAAATCCTGTTTGCTTAAAAGACTCGTTTGGAGCTAGCTGTGCCCTGAATGTATGAATCAGAGCCATAGACTGTATATACTGTGGACAACTTGGTTCTGCTCTACGCCAGTATACGCATTTGAAGCTGAAAAGCTCTCGGTATTTCCGTGATTTTTCTTCATTGACGCAAACCAACATTGGGCAGTAGCGTTGTACGCATTCGGTGGGAGAATTGCCAAGAGTGGCTGTGATGATGCTCAACTCAAACAGTGTATCCCCCGGGTGAGCTACGCAATCTTCGTACGCCAATAGGCTGTATCAGGTGTCAATCATAGAAAACATGAACCCCCCATTAACTTTTAAAAACTGAGCAGCACAGAAAAAAGAGGACTTGAGGGCAAAACAGTCTTACAATAACTACATGTCAACATCACAAACAGGGGGGAGAAAAAATTATATTCTGTGTAATAAGTTTCTAAAGTTTGTCCACAGCTCCATAGAGATTACTGGAGGAGGCGGGATTTATGACCTATACTGCAGCCCGTCACCAGAGGGTGCTGTTCTCAGAGTGGCTTCACCTATCGAGGAGGCAGACGGCGTCCTATCGATATACAGTCTCTGATCAGGGCTCATTTACATAGACACGCACAGAGGCGGCGTTTGCTCTGCAGTTTGCATTTTACCCTTTTCATGCACCTCATTTATCAGACTTTTTTGCCTCATATCCACAGATTTGGTGCAAGAGCCGCTCAATCCTGTTGTAAATCTGTCCCTGGGTGTCAGTTTACATACGAGACGCAATCAGATATATGGCTTAAAGGAGTGAACGCCTCAGAGGCCGACAAGTCGCGGTAGAGCCAATCACAGCGCAGGAGAGAGGAATAATGTACACGGGGAAGATTAGAGTAAACAAAGCTTCGGCTCTTCCTGTTTTCCTAGAAAGTCAGCACAAGCTCTCTCTTTCATTTTTTCTCTTTTTTTTCTTTCTTTATTTGTTTGAATATCTCTTTCAATTAGCACCACCTTTATCTCCCTCTCTCACAAACACACACACACACACACACACACTCACACACACACACACACGCTCACATGCCGTCTGATAAGAGTGATTTCCACCTGCACCTGTGTTTCTTCACACCTGCTTATAAATAGAGCAGGCTGTCTGCCTTCTAGTGCAAGTGGAAATGACTAAAGTGTGTGTGCGTGTGTGTGTGTGCGTGTGTGTGTGTGTGAGAGTGTGTGTGAGGGTGGAAGTAGAGGTAGAGCTCAGCAGCGGTATATCACAGAGTGTATTTCCTCCATGCAAAGACGGTTAAAGAGAGCGGTAGAGATTGAAGAGAGAGGGAGGGATTCTTAAAATAGTAGGTGAGATTGAGCCGCGGATTACACACGCACACACGCACACACACACATATATGCAGACTCAGGTGTCCGTGACCTGCCCTCCTCATCGATGATTGGACACTCTCTTGTGACTTCACGACCCACTCTCCGCCCACTCCTGAACTTCCTCCCCGGGTTCAGCTGGCTCGAGTGTTCGTTGCATTAATATATGCTGATAAAAACAAATGGTGTGTGTGTGAGAGTGTGTGTGTGTGTTTGTGTGTGTGTGCTGATAGGAGGGATGGAGAGATGGAGGGTGAGAACTAGAGGAAGAGGTGGTATTTTTAGCAGATTTATTTTTTTTCCCCTGGTGCAATCTGTTCTTTGCAGCTTCGGAGGCTGAGAGGACTCGTACTTTTCCTGTTTTCTCTCCTCTTTTCTTCTCCTCATCCTCACGCATCTGTTGGTCTCAGGAGAAGAACGACAATAATCTGACCTAATCTGACCATCTGCAGACTCACCCTGCGTGTTTCTCCTTTATTATTTTTTCTCTTCCTTTTAAATATTTACATTTCACATTCCTCACAGACAAAGCTGATGATGGTTGAGCTCTGTAGATGAGTGGGATAATAACACTTTTTTTTTTTTTTTGCAAGACCATGAGAGTTAAAAATCTTAGTGCAAGCAATCAAAGGAAACAACTTATGGTTTAAAGCAGATTTATGCATATAACAATGAAGTCCGTGAACTTTTGTCCCTTTATCTCACTCCTCTCCTCACTTTACATGCAAAGAAAGTGCAGCTGAGAGAATTGAGGATAAATGTTTGAAATCTTATTCTCTTGCAGGAATATTATGACATTTTGTCTTCCTTGCATCCATATTTGTAAAACATTATTTTGAAGTTCTTGAATTTATTTGTAAAGGGAGCATACGCAACAGTAGGGGTGGGAGAAAAAATAGATTTTGTCTGGTGATTTATCATATTGTCACATTTACCAGTCAAATCTATAATAATGGAAAAATAAAATCAGATGTTTGTCCAGTGAGGTTGGCAGAGGATACATTATAGAGCAAGAGAAAGTTAGTGCAACAAATATAGCAGCACCTGAGGAGAGACATTAGGAATGCAAACATGGCGCAAATTTGATGGACCTGACACTTAAGATTTGCAAGGTGTGTTACATGAAAATAAAATACTGTGTAAATAAAACAAACAAAAAGGAAAGACAAACGCTAAATTAGCTAAACAATTGAAAAAATTATATAAATCCCAATATATTGTATCACAATACTCACTGTGGAAGATTCAAGAAGAAGATTCAAGAACTTTATTGCCATTTTGACAGAGTCAGTAGGAATTTGTCTTGGTTCCCTTCTCCACAACATCCATCAGACAAACATATCATCACATCAAAAACACAAACAAAAAGTAACCAACAGCAAGGAAGTGCAAACAGTTGTTACAAAGTGCTTTTTGCATATTGCACATGTACAGTACGTACATTCAATACTGTCCTAGCGACTCATGAGCTCGTTCAGATGTTTGGTAGCTAGAGGGTAAGTGCTATCACTAAAGCGAGAGGTAGAGCTCCCGATGCTTCTATATCTCCTACCTGATGGGAGGAGATTGAAGAGGTAGTGTGCAGGATAAGAATTATCCGCTATGATTTTTTTGTAGTGCAAAATGTTAAAAAAATGCATGTATCGTATCGTCGCCCAAGTATTGTAATAATATCATATTGTGGGGCCACTAGTGATTTCCACCCCTACTATGTACTTTATGTTTTGCACTTTATTCACCACAAACTTTTCTTACTGTCCAGTAATATGTAGCACTTACACAGTCAAATAAAATGGTATTTGTTGTTCGAAATGAGGTTTAGACTCAGTTTGTCCTCAGATCAGTATCCTCGTTTACAGAAACTTGTGTTTTTGATTGATTAACAATGTTAAATATCATGATATATTATTACTATATCGTGATATGTCTTGTATTATGAGGTCATTGCAAATATACAGCAGTATTGTAATGTATCAAATCCTATCGTATCATGACACGTATTGCATTGAGTTCCTTGCCAAAACCCACCCCTACGCAATAGTAAACGTGCATGTGATTATTTGATGCATTGTACCAGACTGGACTGAAAGCTCATTTACATTTGCAGTGCTTTAAAACGTCACATAGTCTTAAAACACAATGATTTCAAAGTAGAACATTACAAACATCCATAATATACATGTGCGTACACTGAAGCACAAAAAAGCCAACTCTTTCCCTTTGCTTCACCAGCTTCCTCCACCAGCAGCCCAGACTTGATAATAGATGTGAATCATGGTCGTTGAGAGCCAACACGTCAAGTTGGGCCCACGACACTTTGAAATCTCAACGGTCAGCTCCAGCATCCCAGAACCATCCCCCTCTATGCTAGCTCTCACCTCCCCCATCATCATACCCACACATTAACAGGGAAGAGAGACGAATCAGTGAGTGGAGTCTGTGTGGGGGTGTTGGAAAGAGGTTCAAGAAGCCTGTCTGGGCTGGAGCTCATCCACCTCATCGAGTTAGACTGTACACTCTACCTCCCCTTACTCCTCCTTTTATCAGGAGAAAAAAAGAGAGAGAGGAGGAGGAGCAGATTAATCTTCGAGAAAGAGATGTAAGAAAAAGGGAAGGCAGAGCCAGGGCTGTAAGCCTGTCTGGGTTTGAGCTCAGCCCTGCTGGGTGAGGCTGCCCTCTCTACCTCCCCCTACTCCTCTGTTTTCATGAGAAAAGAGAAAAAACAGAAAGTGTTGATAAGGAGGTGTAAGAAAGAGCAGGGTGAGAAACCCGCTTGAGCTCACCCTCGCTGGCTAGGGCTGCAGATAGATCTAAATCTTCAACAAGTATGTTTTCCTTTTTTAAATCCTTTTTTTTCATGTTTTTACAGTACAAAAACACTGATTTAATTTGTTTGTCATATTCAAATTAGAACTATGACAACTTCAGATAGATTATGAGTAACAGTACTGAATGAAAACAGCCCCAAAAAGAAAAAATGGTTCGAAAGCACAAAGTACTGACGAAGGAGAAACGCTTTGGTTGTTTTTGGATGTACAGTAACTTAAAACGTGTCACCTCTGCTAGCTGTCAACATTCAACTTTTTCTAAAATGATGGTTAAGGTCAATATCTGTATATTCAGATAGTCCTAATCGAAATTAGCACTCAGCATACCTTAAGAGTAGGGCTGGGTGATAATCCAAAAATTTTCAGATACCTAAATTTAACACAATAACCGATGTCATTTTGCCCATGTCAATGTATCCGGTGTCAAAAAAATAAATAAAAGTTGGTTTTGGATGTGTGTAGGTAGGCTATGGTCTCATGTCCCTTTAAGACGCTGTTCTACACCAGAGACGTGACTCCGCCCCATCCAGTCGGTAACAAAGAGGGAAAGACAGGTGAGCAGATGGAGGACGGTTCAAAAGTTGTAGCAGCTGGAGTGGCGGCTGAAGTAGACAAAGTTTATGTGGGAGGGGGTGAGCAGCTTGTGGAGTAGTTATCGTCTATTTATTGTTATTGAGGTGAACTGCTAAATAAATCATGATATTGATTTGAGGCCATATCGCCCAGCCCTAATTCAGACAACCCTAATCTAAATAAGCACTCAGCATACCTAGGAGGGAAATCCTGCTTTCCTCAGTTATTGACAGAGATTTAAATTCAAGACAGACTCATAACAAGAAAAACAGAAGTGCAGATAAGAGGATTTACACCACTATGTAAAGCCACAGTGCCGAACTGAGCCCCACTTCAAACAATTGGACAGGTGCTACTCAGAGGCATGTTACGGGCTAAAATTGGCAGCGTTAACATTTCGAATGGCAAGAGCACACAGGCAGAATAGTCTTGGCTGGAAGTCATTCAACATGACACGGTAATTGCTGAGGAGCTGGCACCCACGGACATTTTTAGCGTACAGCTGACTGTTGTGTTTCAAGATTGTTGTTACTTTAACTTTTGAATAGTGTTTAAAGGGTTGAGACTGTAAAGAGTGTTTATAACAGAATAAAAAGACATTGAATACAATGAATGAATATGATTCAGGTCTAGTTTTGACTGTGCAAATGTTCCTCATCTAAATATAATGTTGCCTCTTTTGTTATTTTAAGAGTTATGTCTCCATCCGGTGTGATGTGGGTGCTGCTTCATCTTCTGCCCAAACTTGTTTTAAATACAGCTCTCCTTGAGTCATTTTAGATGCAGTCAAAGCCATGGTTGTAGTTTTATTCATCTTTATGTCAGATTTGTTGATACACCATCTGCACTTCAGCTCTGTCCTCGCTGTCTGCCGCTATCCGACACGTTTGTGTCCAATCTGAATCTTCTGTCCGTCCGTATGCGAGCGTTTGTTGGATGATCGTCTCCCAGTATGTCCTTCAGCAGAAACCGGGGAACGTCTGCCTCGAGGATGGCGAGGGTGGTCCTGAACTGCTGTTACGCCTCATCACTGTCCTTATCAGCGCGCCTGTGTGTGTGATGTATGTGTGTGTATGCGTCCTGGACAGATGGATGATGTATTATGTAAAACAAAGTGATCCCAATAATGGCCCGTTAAGCTGTCTCTCCCTTCTCTCACCGACACCAACACAGACACGGAAAGACCCACTTTCACTCCCATATACCTTCACACACACACACACGCACGTACACACACGCATTCCCTAGACAGCCTGTCTGTAATCGAACTCTAGAGAGGCTCAACAGTAACCACATGTACAAGGCACCCCAGAGAGAGAGAGAGAGAGATGGAGGGAGAGTGAAAGAGAAGCAAACTAGGACAGGAGCGCAGAGAGGAGTGTGTATGTTGTGCGTGTGGGCGGGCGAGTGGAGGTGGTTCTCTTGTCTTAAGGTTACCCTCGGAAAGCGTTTGTGTTTCCGGGGAGATGCGGGAGAGGAAAGGGAACGGCTGCTTGCTTGGATGTTGCTGGCTGAGGAGGAGGAGTATTTTAATATGCTGTCCTTCGTTTAAGTGCCCACACACACAAGTATAAATAGCGTGCACATGTACGTATGCGCAGGCCTCTGGTAGGTGTGGGGCGTTCGCAAGGAAGAGGAAGGGAGGGGGGGAAAGGAAGATGAGAGGCCATTGAATGATTAAACGTCTCAAGAAACGCGATGCAGATGATCCTTATTTGTACAAACCGTCTTACGGAGGGTAAAAGCGTGCGTAAGGAACATTTTAAAGCCTTCAAGTGTGAAGATTCAAAAGTGACTCAGAAACACAAAAATGGCTCCTTTCCCACACTCCTTGTTTTTGAGATCGAGTTACTTAATGCACATTCATCTTCTGTGCATTTTTACATTGACTACAAGTGATGAAAATGAGAATAAAGAGAAAGTAAAAGAGGAGAAAAGAAAAGAAGACAAACAACAAATTCACACGAACATAGCTCCATAAAGAATAAGAAAATCAAGTTATATGGCATCTCTCTGCACTCAGGTTATAGTCATGTTTTTAAACTGGCAGAATCTAAAAATGGATAAAGTTTTTCTTTGCTGGAATAAATATAAAACTCAGGAGTCATTTGAATAAAAAATGACCTGACAGAAATTGTCCAGAGTTTTTGTCTTTGTCAGTTTATTTCCCTCATATGCCAAAGATTACATCATTACAGGTCACAAAGCTGATTCATCATGAAAAACTCAAACTGGCGTCTTTTTAGTAACACTTGGGTGCAATAATGAACCATTTGTTGTCTTGGAAAGACTACCAAAAACACGCTGTACAAGTGTTAGTCTACTACTCTTCAGTCTAATTACTCCATCAAATAAAAATCTGTTAAAAGATTTTTGGCCAAACACCCCAGTGATTCTGTCAATCTGCCTAAATTAAGAACAATTTATTCAACACAGCTACACAGGACGACAGAGTCTGCAGGTAAATGACATCAAATTAGTTTAAAGAGTGTGGCTAACACTAGCAGAGCTAGCACCCCCAACTCAAGTCAACTAAACTCTGTTTTGTTTTACTTTGCTTTACTTGACTTTGCCTAACTTTACATTACTTTACTTTACTTTGCCTAACTTTACATTATTTTACTTTGCCTAACTTTGCATTACGTTATTTTACTTTGCCTAACTTCACATTATTTTACTTTGTCTAACTTTACATTACTTTACTTTACTTTGCCTAACTTAACATGAATTTACTTTGCCTAACTTTACTTAACTTTGCCTAACTTTACATGAATTTACTTTGGCTAACTTTAATTTCCCTAACTTTACTTTACTTCACTTTGCCTAACTTTACATTACTTTACTTCACTTTGCTTAACTTTACATTACTTTACTTTACTATACCTAACTTTACTGTACTTAACTTTGCCTAACTTTACTTTAATTTGCTTTGCCTAACTTTACTTAACTTTAATTGGCTTTGCCTTACTTTGCTTAACTTTAATTCACTTTACTTAATTTCACTTTGCTTCGCTCGACTTTACTTTGCATTACTGAACATCAATTTGCTTTTCTTTACACACAGATCTCTTTCAGGCACATAAATGGGATGCAAAAATACAAACCACTTTTAAAAAACGAATTGAGAAGTCTGAATGAAATGAATCTAAAAAAAATCCCAAACCTGGTCTGAACACACATTTATAAACAATATTCCGTTGTACTGTCTGGTGTCTAGTGTTGTTTGTTTTGCAGTTTCTGTCATCAGTTTTAACTCATAATAGACTCATGAGAGTCTGCTCCAGTGATCACCTTCTGTTTTTTATTGTGTTGATTAACTTGTCTCTTTTTTAACTTTGCAGCTTCAGGGACCAATGACAATGAGGAGCGAGTATTTCGGGAGAGGATCGGCCCTCGCAGGCGACAGGGCGCCGTCAGAAGACGTGTCCACCAAGTCAATGGACACAAATTCATGGCTACCTACCTGAGACAGCCCACCTACTGCTCACACTGCAGAGACTTTATCTGGTAGGAAAAACACACACAAATCAACTGACCTGCTTTGCAGTTTCATTACACCAAACCTGTTTGAAATGCTGACTCCTCCGCCTGTCTGTCTGTCCTTGTGTTTGTGTGCGTCTGTGATCTGATAGGGGCGTGCTGGGGAAGCAGGGATACCAGTGTCAGGGTGAGTACTTTTCTCTGTCAGCTTCCAATTTCTCAAGTAACTCTGCACACCATGTTTTATTAAAGCACGAGAACTGGGGAGGGATTACATGCTGCTGAATGACAGCTGTGATTTGGTCCCAAGCCACCATCAGCCAGAGCCAAAGATAAACTACAGTACTCCAACACCCACAAGAATAGAGCTGCATCCAACAAAAACAAGTGATATTAAATAACACAGTCAGAGTTGGAATCACAAATTGAGCAAACATTCTCCGGATATTTGTTTATGATGTGGGTTTATATCGTTTCTTTGTCTTGTATGCATCAAATAATAATGGAAGAGGAAAGTTTCAGTTTATTTCAGCAAACTAAGAAAATGTCTACCAAGGTGGAGGCTTTTAAAAAGTCTGTTTTGACTGAATTTGTGTGTACAGCATAAAGTAAAGTTAAGTATTGACTTGGCGGTTGTTATTTGAATGTGTTGCACATGTGTCAAGATGGTTACACCCAGCATAGAGGTAAATACACGTATCATGCTCAATGGTTTTTAATTTGACATAAACACAAAAAAGCTGTTTTCAATCGGCAAACAATACACATGCCCACACAATAGGCGGATTACACATTATCGCCACCTGTTGGCCTGGCATGCTTATGAGGGAAGTTTCAATGTCATCAGGATGGGAAAAAATTGCTTCTTTTTGATTTTAAATACTTAAAAAAACCTGTTGAATTAGCTTTTGTGCATCAAGACTTTTTGACTTTTTCAGGAACCTCTATCTCAACAAAAAAAAATAAAAAAATTAAATTGAATCAATTATAAAATGCTCTTATTAAAATTATGGCGCTTGTGGTGTCCACCCATTCATTCGCATCTGCTGGATGTATCATAAAAAAGCTTTGTTCTGGCATATGTTGGATTCAGGAAGATCTTGAAAACAGTATTTCTAAGAGGGCTGCCATTTGGTGTTTGATAAATGAATACAAAACTGAAAGACTGAAAATATTCATTCAGTGGTTAATTTTCTGACCGAGCGTCTTCCTGAGAGAGCGCAAACACCCTCCTCTCCCTCTGTTTTCTGAGATCCTCCTGCTGCCCAGCCCTGCCTCATATAGACTCACACTTATACTGAGTAATTCTGCAGAATTTGATGTACATCCAGAGCCAACGGGGAGAAATGCTGTTTATGTATTTTGGCTCAGGGTGTGTTTGATGGTGGGTGTTTGATTTTACTCATTCGGGTTTACATCCTGTCATTTTCATTCATTTTAATGAGGCGCCATAGTAGAAAATCAGTGCACTCCTGTCCCGGTGTGTGTCTTTGTAACATGAATGTTGTATTTTCTGCTGTTCACCCTGCAATGACGGCATCAAAAGATTAGATAGCTGGTGCCGTGATATCTTCCCTTCTAAAATCCCATCTGTGGTGCTCTGTTGTGTAATGTTTTGGCAGCTGATGAGTCTTTAAATGCATAAAAATCTGTTGCCCCAACTGGACTTCTTGGATCTTTTGATGACACAAACCCACCATTGCAGACCTCTTTACTCTTTTAACACTGTTTTTTTAATAGGCAGGGATGTATTAGTATCATCTATATGAGGATAATGTGAGAAATAGTGTTGAGATATCATCATAGACCTGTGGTGGGATGAAATGAAGGCAAACGGAGTAAGTTTGTGTTTGCTGGCTAAGAGCGAAAAAGAAAAAAAAAGGCATCATGAGATTTAAAAATCACTGCATGCCTGTTTTATTACATTTCCACCTGTTTTATGAGGTCAACAACTTGTTTATTGCCAAAGCAGAAATGCCCTACTCTGAGCACTGCCCCTGAATGCATCATCTGTTGATGCAGAAAAAGGCCCGAAGCTGCTGCTGTTGCCTCGCTAACAGCTGCTAACGCCGGCTGCCTTTTATAGATGATGTGTTTCCTTAACCGCACAACGACCAAATATAGTTAAACGACTGGAAAACTTCACTCTAAACACATGCACATTCATGTATTGTTGATTTCTCGTCCTCTGAGCATGTTGTACCACCTCTAAAATGGTCATAATAATACCATTATGAAGAGTTTCTTGATTAAATTGTTGTTAGTTGACGCTTTTCCCTCCAGATTAGGTTAGAAAAATAAATGATATACTGTCATTTGATAGCAGCACTCCTTGCTTTTACTCTTGTCTTTGTTTGCTCGTCTTTAAATATGCACTTGTTCCAGGCTTTTGAAAACTGTGCTTGTTTTGTTCAGATGGTCTTGGATGTTTTTATATTGATGTTTAATGTGGGTCAGTTCCATTTAGCTGACAACAGACCCCTTTAATAAGGTCAGGGTGAGCTCGGATATTAAATCAGTGTATCAAATCGATGCATCACTGCATGCAGCAGCGAACCATCAGTCAGCCTTTTAGGGATATTGTCATATTTATTCTTCGCTGTTTCTCGGAAACTCGGATTAGAATTTGGCACCGGTGTTGAATATTTAACGTCCCTCTCTTGAGCCCAATCCAAACTTTCTGTCGTGTCTGTTTTTAAAGTGATAAATTAGATGTTTACTGCGTGAATGCTGCTTCTGTTCTTCCAGTGTGTACGTGTGTCGTCCACAAGCGCTGCCATGAGCTCATCATCACCAAGTGTGCCGGGATGAAGAAGCAGGAGGACACACCAGAGGAGGTGAAGTAGCACCCCAAACAACCTTGTAATCCAAGTCAGAACCGGCCCAAGCCTCAATCAATTAGATTTTGGGGCCTTTTATTTCTGCCAATTATTGATTGTAGACGTGCTACAGTATAAATTTAATGCACCTGACATGTCTTTACACATTTAAGGGGGTGGCCTAGGTAAAAAGATAAATAATACCAATGCAACCATACAAATATTACCAATGAATGACTGATCAATGATGTACAGGGTGCCAAATATGGTTTTTAATCTCAAAATGTACCACATTCAGCTACAAGAGCGGCCTGGGATTGATTTTCACAACATTCCAAATGATAAAACATTGTGTTTACTATAAAAGTGTCATAGGCAGTAAGAATCATAGCCCTATATCTGAAGCAGCACTAAAATGTTTTTACTTTATTTCATTTTTACAATAACACATATTTGATCGTACAGAAAGCATCACTCATACATGCAAAAAATAAAAAATATTTTAAAAAATTTTCGTGATTGCTCTTGGGGGCCCCCTACTGGCCACGGGGGCCCTAAGCAGGCGCTTGGTTCGCTAATGCCTTAGTCTGGCTCTGATCCAAGTCCAGTAAAAGTTTTAATCCGGACACATTATTTAGACCATTTTTTAAGCTTATGTCACATTTTGGTGGAGAAAGAGTGACAAAAAATCAAAACTTAGTTTGACACGAATAAACTGTCACTCCATCTTGGCAAAACTAAATGTATTATATTTGGAAAAAAGCAAATAATTCAATGTAGAAATCTAACCACAGACAATAAGGAAATCGAGGTAGTAACTGAGAACAAATTCTTTGAGGTCATAATAGATAAGAAACTGATGTATGGTATAAGGGATTGGTCTTCATGAGCATTGCTTCTGCCTAAACCCTTTCGGTCATGTTGTACCAAAATAAATTAAATAGTGATAATTGATGATTAATTTATTAGCAGATGTGTACCCAGCTCTGATGGTATGTAACACTAATGAGTGAGATGAGATGCTGGGCTCATTTCACACTGCAAACAGCAACTTCATGCACTGATTTAAATTTTTTTACCTCTTAAATCACTCCTAAAAATTTACTCCTTAATATTTCACTCCTAAAATACGACTCAAATACACAGACAGGATGTTGTCATCATTAATGATTGTTTAAATGGACTGAGGCAGCATTCAGGGGCTTTAGGTAATGTGTACACCGTGTACCAACACTCCAGCCACATGCATTATTCCTCTGATAATGCCACAGTGACCTTTGTGTAACTCAGGCGTGTGCCGGTGTGTGTCCGTGTCGGTGTGTGTGTGTGTGTGTCTCCCTCTGCAGGTGGGTTCACAGCGGTTCAGTGTTAACATGCCCCATAAGTTCAGTATTCACAACTACAAGGTCCCCACCTTCTGCGACCACTGCGGCTCCCTACTGTGGGGCCTCATGAGGCAGGGCCTGCAGTGCAAAGGTGAGTTCACGGGCAGTGGGAAATCACAGTGTGTGAGCGCGCATATATGGATTTAGAGTCCTTTATGTTTTTGACTCTTTTGTTTTGTAGCCTAAACAAGTTGTTCTGGAATCTAAAATCAAAAGTGTGTAAATAAACACTGTTTTAAAAAGTGTCTTTAGCTTTGATGAAAGCGCTCTCAGGTGCAGTGAGTGACATTTTTAAAACAGTCGCGGTAAATGCCAACACTCCACGAGACGAATCAGAAGAGAGATTTTCTGAAATGTTAGGCCATGAGTCAAAGACGAGGATTTTCCAGAGATGCAAGAAGTCCTCGCTCATATTTTTTTCTTCAAGTTCGATCATTTCTGATGAATATTTTTCCTTATGCCTCTTATATTCTCTCTGTATTTTCTGCTGTTTAACCCATTAAGACCTGAACCCTGTCTGAGACACGCCTCTGAAATCCTGAAGGGCAGTTTTGAGAAGGGCCCCCAGATCCTGAGGTTTTCTGAAGAGTCGAGGTTTACAAAAAAGCTGATATCTCGGCCTCTGTAGCAGATAGAAACAAAATTCAAAAAGTATTTGAGAGCTTACACATGTGCCTTTCAAGATTATTATTTTTTTATTTGTCCAAACCTTCATCACATTATTGAAAACCTTGAAGAAATAAACTCAAATGAAATAAAGCAGCTGTATAAATAAGAGTAAAGTGTTGAAAGGGTATGCAGCTACTCTAGTACAGCGCCAGTGCAAAAGCAGCACTAAGAACTAATAAATAAATAAATAAATAAGTGGCTGACAGTGTGTTCATGTCTGTGCTCACCCAAAGTCATGCAACACTCACAGAAAACGCAGATAGTGTGAGACAAAACACTCAATATTAAGAAGTTGTTCACACTGCTGGATGCTGCTCCTCTGAAGCTGCTCTCTGCCTTCGTCATTGTTTACTTTCCTCACGAAGCACGTAGCAAGATCCGAGCATGAATCCGATCGCTTTATTAAGTTTTATAAGACTATCAGAGGCAGACGGTATGATGATTTGATTCGCCACGACTCCAGAAATGATTAAAAAACTACAGACCTGGCTTTCCGAGTATAAATGCACAGCCGCGCCCCCGCCTTGGAAGATTGAAATGTGTCCTTGCTGTCCCAGTTTAAATGCTCTTGGATTATTGATCAACTGCATTTGCCTTCAGCACGTTATTACCGTTGTTTCAGAAAATCATCTAAATGATGTCTTAAAACATCATCTTAGACATGATGAAATTCAGTTTCTCTGAGACACCCTGCTTGTATCTAACCTGAACCACCTCCTCTTTTTTCTCTCATTGCGTCACAGTGTGTAAGATGAATGTGCACAGGCGATGTGAGACCAATGTAGCTCCAAACTGCGGTGTGGACGCCCGAGGTATCGCCAAGGTCCTGTCAGACCTGGGAGTCACGCCCGACAAGATCTCAAACACCGCACAGCGCAGGAGGAAGGTAATGAGTCATTCTTAATGTGTCTTAACAGCACGCTGATACTTTACATTAAGCACATTTTGAAAAGCTTTTAGAGGCCTTACCTCTGGATCTCAAACCCATCAGGAGGAAAGTTTCAGTTTCACCCATCACTTAATTTAAAAACGGGAATAACAAGGTCGCGCTTTCCACCGAAGTTCATCCCTCTGTGTTATTGCTGAAGTTAAAAACTTAAAAAGGTCAGCTTCAAAAGAACGGTCATGTTGTCTCTCTCTCTCTCCAGTTGACTCCGGGGCAGGACGTTCCTCAGTCTCCTCCTGAGCTCGCTCAGACCGAGGAGAACAGCTTCAGCCAGCCAGCTGTCCCCACCTCCCCCTCACAGCAGGGTAACACGCCGAACACAACACGCACCCGAGCACACACAGCATCAGAAACGCCGATTTGACACAAACAGACGCACTTTTCAGATCCCAGTCAGATGCATTCTTAGCAGCATGCGGTTTTAATGTGTTAATTTTACCAGTAAGAGGTCGCATTTCCATTTCAGGAATAATATTGTTGCTGCTTTTAAAAACTAACTTGTTAAACGTGTTATTGTCTTTGTAAATATGAAGCTAAACTCGACTTGTCCCCCCTCCGCCCACCACCATTTGGTCGTCACAGTTAGTCATCGTCCTCTCACACTTTACAAGCTGAGAAATAAAAGTTAACTTTCTCAGTGCGGAGGAAAAAAAAAATCCTATTTGTCTTTATCGAGGAAAACAAAGATGACAAAAACGGCGGTCACTGCTGCTTTTTAATCACCCTGATGGCAGATCCTGTCACTGAGTCATCACGGTGCTCGTCATTTTTGAAAGTTTATGTAAAAGTAATCAGCGGCGAAAAAAAAGAGCAACATTTCTAAAATCATCTTTTTTTTTTCCACACAACAAGCTGCAACGCTAAAAAGAACAGTCAGTCAGCTTTTACTAAAAGTCTGATCTGCTTTTCCGATGACGCCCACAGACTTGGCAGAGTTAGACCGCCTGCAGCACGCGCTGTCACTCGACCAGCAGGGACCACAGCACTCCTCCTCTTCCTCCTCTTCTTCCTCCTCCACCACCTCCTCTTCCTCCTCGTCTTCCTCCACAGCAGGCAGGGAGAACGGGCAGATCCAGAGGAGGAGCCTCAAAGACTTCAACTTCATCAAGGTTCTCGGGAAAGGCAGCTTCGGAAAGGTGCGGCGACACAAAGGAGGCGTTTGAGGAGGATGTTTGTTTGTTCGCTGCTCATTACAGTCCTGATGGAAACACCCCGGCTACAGGGGCTCTCATTATTTATAACCATCAATTACAACCCAATCAAATAAGGGTGTGGATGCTGCGTAAAGCTTTGATAAAACTGAATGTAAACCTTTATTTAACTGAAAATAGAGTGCACTCTGTAGACTTTGAGAAAGTTTCTAGAGTTTTGAAATTGTTCCCACTTCTTTCCTTTTTCGTCTTCTCTCCGATCTCTCTCTTCCTCCGTCTTTCCTCACCTCTCCAGGTGATGCTGGCGGAGCTGAAGGGCACGGAGGATGTTTATGCCGTCAAAGTTTTGAAGAAGGACGTGATCCTGCAGGACGACGACGTGGACTGCACCATGACCGAGAAACGCATCCTGGCCCTCGCCCGCCGACACCCCTACCTCACCCAGCTCTACTGCTGCTTCCAGACACGTGTACGCCTGCCTGACAGCACACACACACATTGGTTTAATAAAACATCTCTGTTTCTCGCCGTCTCTCACCTCTGTCTCTCTCTCGCTCTCATCCTGCAGGATCGTTTGTTTTTTGTAATGGAGTATGTGAACGGAGGAGACCTGATGTTTCAGATTCAGCGATCCAGGAAGTTCGACGAGCCTCGCTCTCGTTTTTACGCTGCTGAGGTCACTTCGGCCCTTATGTTCCTGCACCGTAACGGCGTCATTTACAGGTTCCCTTTTTTTGTTTTGTTTTTTTTAATCATAACCAACTCCGACAACTTTTTAATTTTCTATCAGGTAGAAAATTTGAGAGAATTTGATGAATTATTAAACGTATTCAGAAGCTCCTGGGGAATTTACCAAATGGCCATCCTACTGTGAACATACCAGAAGGTGTATGACAACGTGTTTCACACTTACTAGCTTTATGCTGAGATTATCAAGTTTTTTTTTTACGTTGCATGCGAACTTCTCCCAGTGAGACCAACTGGTGTGGAAACCAGATGGTGCCGATCTGATCGTACCTCTCCCTCCGTCTTTGTCTTTGTCTCTCAGGGATCTGAAGCTAGATAACATCCTGTTGGACGCAGAGGGACACTGTAAGCTGGCCGACTTTGGCATGTGCAAAGAGGGCATCATGAACGGGGTGACCACCACCACCTTCTGCGGCACGCCGGACTACATCGCCCCCGAGGTGAGGTCAACAACTACATTTTCAGTACTTTACTCTGAGAGGCTTGAAGGTCTTAGATTTCTGAGTTAATATCACGTTGTTGGATTCAGATCTTGCAGGAGCTGGAGTATGGAGCCTCTGTAGACTGGTGGGCCCTCGGAGTGCTGATGTATGAGATGATGGCGGGGCAGCCTCCGTTTGAAGCCGATAATGAAGATGACTTGTTCGAGTCGATTCTCCACGATGATGTCCTTTACCCTGTGTGGCTCAGCAAAGAGGCCGTGTCTATCCTCAGAGCGGTGAGTGTCGTCTTCCTAAACCTTCGGAACTGTTTGAGGAGAAAAGGTGACGCAGTACGATACAACGCCTTATTGTGAAATGGGGCAAGGTATGATATAGGGCTGGGCGATATGGGAAAAAGTTTATCATGATGTATTTTTTTCATATCAGTCGATATCGACATATTTTATGTGTTATAAAAACATCACCTGTCAATCTTAAATGTTCCCTGTTAGTCTTAAATGAAATTTAACATGTAGTCGACATAATTTGCAGTGCACATCACTTATTAAACACTCTGTTCTCACAAACTCTCCATGGTAACGGCTGATAGCACACGTAAAACCCTCGTTTAGATAGGGCCACCTTTGCACCCGTTATCAATTGCGCACGCAATGATAGATCACCCGCAACACGCCCACTAGTCTGATCTTAGTAGATCAGGCCCTTTTTCTTTTTGTCGGCTTCACGTGTTGAAGTGTTATGGTTGCGTGTAGCTGCAGCCTGCTACTTGGTTCTAATTCAGCACATGATTGGTTTAGCGCGGCGCAGACTCGGTGCAACTCCCCTTTTCATTGGCAATTCGTATAGTCTTAACAAAACATGACTATCGAAAAGCATATTGACCATGTTTCATATCGATACCGAGGGATATAAACCTTCGATTTATATCTTTATCGTTTTATCGCCCAGCCCTAGTGTGGTAGTACAACATAATGTAATGCAATATTATCTGATATGATTTGAGATGTAATTATGATAATTCAACATACAATCCAATATATGACACAATATGGTGGGATTTGATCTGCTAAGACATGAGACAGTACAATACACCACAAAACGATACTATAAGATACCATAGGATGCGATACGACTGATAGCGATGCTCTGATTTTTGAGAAATGTTGGATATTTTCATGAATAATCTCCTCTGGATGTGTTTCCAGGATTGTCGGCAGTCGTGTAAAAATCTAAAAGAACAAAAAAAGACATTCTCACATCACGGAGGAAAATATAAAAATGTTTTTGGCCTTAAAAAAATTGGAACTATAAGTCAGGACTGTAGTTTAAAATCGTCCTCATCCGTAAGTGTTTTTAATTCTAGGGAAACCTTTAAGGCGGGAAAACATTATGCGTTGAAAACATCACACTAATTTATTAATTGATTAATTTATTTGTTGCATGAGGTAATAAATAAGAGGCTCAAACTGGAGCCAGGTTATATTTAACTAATTTTCTACAATATGAAAGGCGAATCTTTGATGCTAGGGTTTTTTTTCTTTTCTTTTTTTCTTTTTTGATCCAGTGTTACCAGATTGTTGCTTTTATTTCTCCGCTTTAAATCAGTCTGCTGCTATTAAAAGAAGACGATATCAAAAATGTCATTTAGAAAAGTTCAATCTGGAGATATGTGGCGTTTTTCCGTTCTGGTGGTCACTAGTTTCTCTCTATCATTCATGTTTCTAACTTCAGAGCTGCACACGAACAGCTCAAGTGCTCTTATCACACAGGTGTTATGATTGATTTTGCCGTGATGCTGAGAGGAGTGAAAAAAAAGTCTGTCAGAGAGGTCAAAATAATGACATGATCATAAAACCACAAAGTGCTCTTCTTACACTGAACAGACAACAGAGCTAAAGAGGCGCAGCTTTCAGTCACAGAAAATAAAACCACCTGCTCTCTGCTGACCTGCTTCATCGCTTCAACACTCTGCCTCTTTGTTTGCGCCGTCCACACCGCCATTAATGCCTCTGAGCTATTATTAGCACCCAAATGCTCTCGTTCTGCTTCTGTTCTCTTCGTTTTTATGGATCAAACCACTGCTAAGTGTCTCAAAGGGGTCTCAGTGTTTGAAACTCAATACCCGGTTGTGTGGTTTTTTTTTTTCTGCATGCAGTTTATGACGAAGAACCCGGCGAAGCGTCTGGGCTGTGTGGTGAGCCAGGGCTGCGAGGAGGCCATCAAGACCCACGCCTTCTTCAGAGAGATCGACTGGGTGCTGCTGGAGCAGAGGAAGGTTAAGCCACCTTTCAAACCCAGGATTGTAAGTCACACAGTAGTGCACATGAAACACACGCACACACACATTGGTGCACACATAGTTTTGAGGTTAAGTCGGCTGCAGGTGCAGAAAGTGGAAAGTGTTTGGCAGTAATGCGAAGAATAATATTTGATTGAAAAACTTTCTTTTTTATTGTGCTTTGCAATATATTAGTTATGACAGAGCATTAAGGCCACATTAAAAAAAAAATTTCAAGACTTCGTAACTACTAACAAGAAAAAAGTCAGAATAAAATCATTGCTTACGAATATAAAGTGGTAATAAAGAAATTTCTTACGAGAATAAAATTGTAAAAGAATCATTACTTAGGAGAATAAAGTCGTAATAAAGTAATTTCTTACGAGGATAAAGTCGTAATAAAATTATTACTTACATGAATTAAGTTGTAAAAAAATTATTACTTACAAGAATAAAGTCGTAATAAAGTAATTTGTTACAAGAAAAAAGTCTTAATAAAGTAATTTCGTACGAGAATATAATCGTAATAAAATTATTACTTATGTAAATAAAGATGTAATAAAGTAAATTCTTACGAGAATAAAGTCGTAATAAAATCATTACTTACGAGGAAAAAGTCGTAATAAAGTAATTTCTTACGAGACCTTTCCATTCATAAAACTAATTCTTAAGTTAAGTCGGCTGGTAAATAAGCAAACAAGGGAAATCAGAACTGGAGGTGCAGCAAGTGGAAACTGTTTGGTAGCAAAGCGAAGAATAACATTTGATTAAAAAAATTGTAATAAAATCATTACTTTCAAGAATAAAGTCGTAGTTAATAGCTATCATAACCTTTTAGTTGTTTAAATGAGCGCTGTGGAGCATTTAGATGAGTTGGACTTGAGTAGCTAGGTTTCACAAACAAGGAGATCCTAAATCCTTTGGCGTTTCAGCATCACATTGTCAAAAGTATCAGGACATATGCAAGAAATGCATCTTTTCCGCAGAAAGAACCAGGCGAGAGTGGGGCCTACAGGGAATAAATCAAAAATAAATGATAGAAAGAAGAAGAAAAAAAGAAGTAGAAAACTATAGAGTCTAAAATGAAGACAGTGATGGGAACCGATTAGCCGTGGTTCGATCTGTGTGCATGGCATCTGTTTTATGTACACTATGAAACGATGTCTCATGTGTTTGTTCTCGTCAAACAAACAAATGAATAAAAATGATTTGAAAAGTTAGGATTGGTATTTTAATGTCACTGTTCGTCACTTTCTAACCTCAGAAGCTTTCGCTACAAACTCCTCATCCTCAAGCACTGAAAAGGCAGCGAGTCTCACTGGTCAGAAGGTGGCGCTCGAATGTCACTTTCAAAGCTTTACATTGGTGTGAAATTTCTGCTTCTGCCTCTCACTTCCTTTGTGTGTGCGTGTGTGTGTCTCTGCAGAAAACCAAGCGAGACGTGAATAACTTCGACCAGGACTTCACCAAAGAGGACCCTGTGTTGACGCCCACAGACGAGGCCATCATCCGACAGATCAACCAGGAGGAGTTCAAAGACTTCTCCTACTGCGCCCCTGAGGAGACGCAGACCTAACACACACACGTACACACACACTCCAAAAAACACACACTGATCCAACCACACTATACCTGGAACACGTACGCACACATAGCTGAAACTCATACATACACATAAAACACACACTCAGTCACTCCTTTACTTTGAAGCTATTGGTTGTTGTTACTTTTTGAATATTCTTTACTTGCATTGTGTTGTTCTTGTTGCCTGGGTTTATTATTATTATTATGATTATAATTATTATGACTATGAATATAAATATGAATATGACTATGAATAAGAAAAAAACACACCTGCACACGCTTTCTCCCACACACATACCTGCACACTTTTAACGCAGACTTCCACACACTTCAGTCTACTCACACACACACACACATCTATGAGCTTATTGCACATGCTCAGACAACCAAATACACACACACACACGTACATTGCTTCTCCCCCGGCACACACACATGGACTGTACAGTGTGTGCTGGGTGCAGAGGCCTGTATATAGCCTGTGTTGAGTGGCTGTGTTGTGTTGCTATTGTCGGCTAGTAAAGGAGAGTTGTGGCGCATGGACAAGCACCCTACCTGTGTTATTACTGTCCTTATTGTGGACCAGTTAGGGCCAAATACCCTTTGTGCAATACCCTGACTATCTATATATTTTACAATTTTTTTGTTCATGTGTATTTTTTGTCTATTTTTTCTCCTCAAAAATGTGTTTTATGATTGCAATCTTTGCTCTCATCTTCCAGCACACTCCTGGTCCTCCTGTCTTGTGCCCATTGACTCTATTTAAAGATGGACGACGTGTCAATGCCTGTTCTCGTTGTATTAAAGTGAGGCGAAAATACCCCGTGACCGGTGCAGACATCTTGTGCATCCTGCTTGTGTAGCTGCAGTATAGGATATATGATTTCCTGCCTCTTCTACGAACTATGACACAATTATAACCTAACCCTGGCCCACAAGAGGAGATTCAAATTTTTAACAGGTGCTGAACATTATAGAGATCCAACAAGTGATGAAAAATTATACCAATTATTTAGGAAAATTTTATTTTTAGGCTTTTTTTTCCCTTTAATGTAAAGCTCCTAAAGAAACTTTGGGTTGTGTCATTTTTGGCGCCCCCTGTGTTCATCTCGTCCTCTTCATGCTCATGCTGTGTCCCTTGAAAAAAGAAGTCATCCTGCTGATCTTTGATTTCTCAAATCTGAGATTTACTGTCAATATTTTCTATGCAGGCATGGTAAAATTGGAGCACCTGGAGTGCAAAAACACGGGACATCAGGCTCTAACAGATTCTGTTTGCCAGACTCCCAAAACGTGGGAATCACAGAAAATCTCTCGCCCTATTTCTTACTTTAACAGAAGGTAATGCTTCTTGTTGGCTGCTGTTGCCATGGCTACGTTTGTTGTGCCTCTTTTCAGTCAGATTGGCGATCGTTTTGATCCACATGGCGATCATGGCAGTCTAGAAAGTGTTTCATATGCTGCGTTTGAGTTACCTCGAAAGTCAGATATCGGAGCTGAAAATGACGGTCGGAAAAAAGCAAAATCGGAGGCCACATCTACAAAAGTGACTTTAGTGCTAGCCTTATGTTCTGACAAGGCAAACGCTTAAGTAACTTTCGTAGATGTAGCCATCTTGTTTCAGGCCTTCTATTTTGTTTTTTTCTGACTTTGTAATTAAAATGCTGGTAACTCGGGTGTGACGTCATTTTCAGCTCGGACTTCTGACTTCCGAGGTAATTCGAACGCAGCAAGAGTCATTGGGGTTTTCCTCCAAACTATCAATCAAAAAACTATGGATTTTTTGGGGCCAATGCCGATACTGATTATTATGGGGGAAAAAAATCCAATTACCGATTAATCTGCCGATTTTTTAAAAAAATGTATGAAGTCATAAAAATGTATATATAGTGTAGATAACTACAGTATACTATAAACTGTAGATAAACTGTAGGCTACTGCTCTTCATGCCAACAGGAAGACCGACTGATCAAACTCGGACCAGATAAATCGACGATAAATCGGTTGGGCCCTACTTTGTAGTCGCATTAGTATTAAAGCATCATAAATATATGGAAAAAAGAATAAAGAAAGAATAACTTTAAGTATTTGCACAGAGATATAAATGTTTGCACATTCATTTCTTTGATAAAAACTTCTTTTAATGACAAAAACATGATTGTAAAAAAGAAATATTGAAGAAGTATTTTAATGGCACAGTGTTAGCCATGTTCCATCTGTTTACACAAGAGGTAGGATTTCAGATCTATACTGCAGTCAGCCAGCAGGGTGAGCTCTAAATCACGTTGCTTCACTTGTGGGGAGCTGTCACAGCGTCCATCTTTCTCTACAGTCTTTGCTTGTGCGCATAAAGTGAATGTTGAGCTCACATGTTACAGGCTAATGAACTAATTATGTGGAGCGGAGAAGTGTTACAGGCGGCCTGTGTAGCAGTGTTAAAAAAAAAAAAAAAAGCGAGATTTTTATTTCCAGCTTTTTTTTTTTTTTTCACCCATCTGCTGGTTTCAGAGTCTGCCCGCGTGAATGTACATTTTCGTACGTGTGATGTGAATGCGTTTTTTCTGTTTTCTGTTTTTGCTCCCCTTCTCTCTGTCGGTGTGTGACTTTTTTGTCTTCAGCATTTCAGTTGCTATAGTTACCATCAGTGTTTTGAGCCTCCCCCCCTCCCCTTTTTCCTTCCTCCAAAGCACCAATTCCCCTTTTCCTCCTCTTCTTTCTGCAGCCGCCTCACTCAGCCAAAACCACTCGCTCGCTCTCTCTCTCTCTCTCTCTCTTTTTTTTTTGGTTTTTGTTTGTTTTCAAGAATGGCTTCTCTTTCTTATGGCTCTCTTTTCATTTTTTATGATAAATATAATTATAATTATTATTGTAAAGTGTATCTGGAGGAAACATTTGTGTATAAAACTATAACTATACTATCATAGATCTGTTACAGCCGGGGGGATGTGAAAAAGAAAATGTGGAAAACCAGCAGCTGAATTACCTCTCATTTCGACACACACAAACAAAGCAGCACATACAGACTCTTCCTCCTCCTCCTCCTCTTCCTCCTCCTCTTTCTTCTCTCTCTCTCTCTTTTACACGTTCACACATGCACACACAGAGGAGGACTGTTGTCGCGCGTACTGTACAGATATCTGTGTGAAGGCGAGCTGGTTGCTGTGTGTGCAGTAGAGTCGGTGTGTAGTGAAGCTTTGTGCACCCAGGGGTAGGGCTGTTCCTGGTCACACTATCTTACTCTGTGCCAAAATGTAGTGCAACAGCCGGGCTAGTCCTGTCTGCTCTGATTCCAATAAAACACTGAGCTGTCTACTCGCGCCCAGACGCCCTCTTTCTTTTTTTCTTTTCTTTTTCATCATCACTTGTAGGGGGGGATGCTCTAAAGTGTGTGAGAGAAAGAGAGAGAGAGAAAAGGGGAGGGGTGATGAACTTCAGAGCAGGCTGACCTATCATCACTTGTGGAGGCCTTCAGGTGATGCATTCAGAGGAGAAGAAGAGGGGAGGAGACTCTAGATGGAGTCAAGTCCTCCGTTCTGCAGGAGATCACTCGCCTTTGTGACATTTGGCGCCGCTGATTGCCTCCCTGATTAATTAGACGACCTGTGATGCTGCAAATTGTAGTGAGGAGATCCCCCGCCGGGCTGTGAACTCCCGCCGTCTCCTTTTCATCCAGCGCCAGCTTCACCATGACAGCAGATAGAGACGCCTACGGGACACAATGACAGCAGACAAGGAGAAGAGAAGGTAAAGCGGCGGGCTGCAGTGGTAACTTGAGTCACGGTGTAAATGAGCGGGGCCTGAAGTGTTTCACAGGTGATGTGGTGAGACTGGAGAGAGGGTGCTGCGGTCACAGTGGGCATCAAGACAGTTTCAGATGTGACCACAATGCACCGCTCTCCTTTCACACCAACGATGTGACCTTTTCTTGACAAAAGTTGGCCAGTCTTGTGGCGCAGATTCAATATTCCAATCTTCTCTTAAAGAGTAGGAAAATTCAAATGAGTTACAGTGTAAAACAAAATTAGGAAAACAATTTATATTCAAATAAAAGTCAAAAACAGTGAAAAAAATGGGGCTAAAAATAGAAAAATGTGAAAATAAATACTGTAATAATAGAGATGTGGTAAATAAATCCTTTTCCAGACATCTATTCTGGTTTTTTTCATGTTAATAATTGTTGCTGCTCTTGTTTTATGCTTCTCGTAAAATCCATTTTTAGTCTCAAACTCAATTTTCAAAAATCAAGTCTCCTCTCCCTAAAATGGTTATCTTATAAAACTTAACCACAGTTTCCTTTTCTCATGGCTTTATTTTCAGATTTTCACCGAGCACGGTGTGTTTCGTAACTGTTCATCCTCTTGGGTTTCTTGTTTTCAAACTGCAAATTAGAGCAGATTGTCATGGGTCGTAATTTTAAGATTTCTGAATTAAATTGAAATAGAAATATAAAAAGTTTGAGTGAATTTGCAGAGGGACACTTGACTCAAATCAGGTGCAATCAAAAGTCATATTTTCAGGAGCTGCTTTAGTTGCTTTATAAAACTATACAATAACTCTCTCTATCTGGACATCATTCAAGGATTTTTAGGACTTTTTTTAATCAAGATTCAGATGAATTTTAGGAGTAAATATGATAACATCTTACCCAAAATACACAAAGTGAAAGCCCTGCAAGCAAAATGGAGTTCAAGTTCAAGTCCAGCGTCATTAAGTCTAACTATACTGAGAAGAAAATCATCTATTAAAGCTTTATAACAAAACTTATGGGTGATTGTGAGCTTTTAAAACAGCTTGTAAAAATGTTGATATAGTGTTATAAGCAATGAGAATGTAAAGGTATGTTTTATAATGCATTATGTAACTCATATCAAGTGCTACTAGAAAATGTCTAGAGCTGTTTTCAGACTGTCTTCACATGAGCTCATCCTGAATTTTTCCCGGAATTTTAAAAGAAGCCTGAAGAAAAAATTCTTGGCTCACCTGGTCATCGTACAGGGATGTTTTCTGAAACTTTTCGAATGTGAAAGTAGCTTAATTGGCGATTTCTTAACTTGCCAGCGTCATCTCGGCTTTTACATCCTTCCTCACATGTTGAGAAATCCTCTACAACCTCTTAACTCATGTCAAAAAGTCAGAAAGAGTTCAGACGGAAACGCGGCTGTGCCAGCAGAGCCCCCAACAACACAGCTGTGGAATCCAAGACCACACTGATGCTTTATAAAGAAGATCAAACTCATGTAGAAACTTAGTTCTTCTGGAAGTCCTTGTGTGAATGCACTTTGGTGTTTCTATCACATGTGGTTTAGTATGACTTTGACCGAACTTTGACCTCTGCATGCAGGGCGATCAGCCGTGAGGCGGCCAGGAGGAGAAGACGGGTGGAGTCTGAGGTGTTCGGAGATTTGTCTAGCCTCCTGCCGCTCCAACCCTCCGTCAGAGCTCACCTGGACAAACCGTCAGTCATTCGTCTCACGCTCAGCTACATACGCATGCACGCACTGCTGAAAGGTACACATAGTCAACACACACACATAAGCCAGTTACTTTTGATTACAAGGTTAAAATATGCTGTCCTGTAAATTTTTAGATACACAATATTAAATTGAGTCCAAAAATGTCTTAAATTAAAAAAAATAGATAAAGAAATAAAAGTTATTCCATTTTGATGCTCTTTTGAAATGCAGCATCATGCAGAGTGGAAACAAATATGTTTCTGGAGTGGATGTGAGAAGTTTGTTGTGGTTTACAGTCGTCACCAGACTTGCTCGATTTAGTTTGAGTGCCAGACAGAGGAAGTCTGTCACGAGAAAACACCTGAAACACAAACACAGACACAAACACAAACACAGAGCTTGTGTTACAGAAAGAAATCATAATAACACTATCTTGAACAGAGAGTTTTCTTTACTTTTCTGTCAGCAGTGAATTTTTAAACCAAACAATAACACAGAGGAGGGATTTAATATTCAATGTGTTCGATTGATAACTGAGCGGCTGGATGTTTCTTCTGTATTAAAGAGAACCCTGGGATTAAAACAGAGGGCAGTAAAGCAGTAAAGTATCCACAGTTCAGCCACACAGACGGGCGACAGGAGCGTGACGGAGAACCGGCTGAAAAGGAACAGAAAGGACCAGAAGAAGAAGAGGTGGAGTCGTCAGAGGAGATGAAAATGTACCTGAGGACCCTGGAGGGCTTTCTGATGGTCCTGTCCGTGGATGGAGACATGATCTTTTTGTCCGACAACGTCAGCAAGTACATGGGCTTGACACAGGTAAACACCCACACACAGATCAAGTCACACATTTGTATGTTATAGTGTAATAATTAATGTTTTTGTCTTCTCTGACAGACTGAGCTGATGGGACACAACATTTTGGAGTTCATTCACCCTTGTGACCATGAGGAAATCAGAAATAACCTACGCTTCACCCCCGGTATGTGTGAGCTGAAATAGTCAAGAGTTAACTCTAGGTTGTGTGGTGTGTTTGTGAGCTGTTTTTAGCAGGTTTTCTCAGGTGGATTTTTGTAGCTCACTAAATTGTGTGTTTTTTAGCTGAGGTTTGGTTTGGTGGAAAGAGGGACTTTGTGATGAGGATAAAAAGCGCTCTGACACACAGAGGAAGAAGCACCAACCTCAAGTCGGCTACATGGAAGGTTGAAACCAAAATTCACACTTTTCTTTTTACTGAACATTCAAGACTCTGTGATGCATGCAAAGACACTCCTCATGCATGTATCTGACCTCTCTTATCTGACTTCAACTCTCTTCTCTCTGCAGGTTCTTCACTGTCAGGGCCGGGTAAAAAGGTGCATGGGAACGTCTGTAGTTTCCTGCCTGCTGCTGACCTGCCAGCCTCTGCCGCTCTCACACACACTCCTCAGCTCTAACACCTTCACCAGCCAGCACAGCATGGACATGCGGTTCACATACTGTGACCAGAGGTGATTTACACATATGTTACTTGTCAATACACACTCAGAGAAGGGAAAGAGGCCATTGCGTAGAAACGACCCATCTTGCATTTATGTAGCGCACGAAGAAAGACAGATTTTTTTTCCAGTTTAGTCTTTGAGAGAAAAGTCTGTATCCAAGGATCTGGACAGAAGGGAGCAACATAAGTTAGTGACACTGACTCCTCCAGGTCCATTTGCACTCAGGTGCTGACGTGGAGATCTCATAGACGGAACGAAATATGGACCTAGTCTCAGCTGTACCTTTATTGCTGCAAAATTCACAATCTTAGAATATTGAAAATCAATATTTTATAAAATAATTTACCCCATGTAGTAGGAGTGAGTGGGGTAAGTTGAGCCACCCCCTGTTGCTTGGAAATGGTAAAAGAAATTGATCATGTGACCAAATATTCAGGAGATGGGCATCAATTCATGGAGTCTGTGAAGGTTAGAAGCACATGGGTGAAGGAGTTAGACATTTATTTACAAAAAAAAAAATGTCTTCACTCTTGAAAGTGAATTTAGTCTGTTGTAAGTTTTATTAGAATTGTGTTCAGACCAAAAACGATCATTGTAAATTTGTCTAAGTCATCAATTGTGGTATCTATGAGCTACAGCATGAGGTCAAAAACTAGCATTTAAAAGTCCACCATTTTAGCTTAGAGGACTAATAAAGGCTGTGTCTGAAATGAATCACTCAATCCCTAACCCCTAACCCCCATATGGGGATTCACTTTTTAGTTGACTATGTAGTGAGCTCAATCACCTGAGGTTTTGGATACTACATGGCAAGACGCAATGCATGACGGGATGCCCACCACCGGTGAGTGACCATCGGATGGTCACTACATTTTGCAATGGTCTATGGGAAATTTTGAGTCGCCTACATGGGGCACTGGAATTGATCACTCAGGTTTCGGACACCCCTCAAAATGGCGCTAACCCCCATATAGTCGCCTTTAAAGGGGTTAGGGATCCATTTCGGACACAGCTAAAGTCATCATAGTAGTTCTGGGGTAAATTGACCAAACGGAAGCAAATAAACCAAACTGAAGCAAATTAATGACACCCAGGGAAACCTGTGCAGGTGCTTTGAGTTTAGTAGTTAATTAGTGTGTCACACTTAACTCAGAACACCTGCACAGGTTTCCCCAGGTGTCATTAATTTGCTTCAGTTTGGTTCTATATGGGGAAGACTGCAGACTTGACAACTGTCCAGAAGATATCATTGATATTCTCCACTGATACACCTGGGGAAACCTGTGCAGGTGCTTTGAGTTGATTAGTGTGTGACACTCTGTTTAAATTATTCATGTCCTGCAAAATTTGGGCTGGCTTTTTCACAGTAGCCTAATTTTTTGAATTCATGTTTTCGTGGGTTTTATGAGCTGGAAGCCCAAACTATGTACAAATAAACAAAAAAAAAAAACAATTTTAAATTGTTTAAATTGTGGGCTCTGAATCTAAAATCAATGTAAGTTTAACTTTTTGAATGAAATTAGGGAAATAAATAAACTTTTCAATGATATTCTAGTTTTTTGGAAAGGGTCTGTATATGCAGATACACTAGTTCGAGACAAAACTATGATTGCTTTGATGTAGTGATCCGAAATATGTAATACGTACTCTCCCCTACATGCAAAAGATGAGAATAATCCAATCAGACCAAAAATCTTTTTAAACCAGCCTGTTTCCTAAAGATACACTTTTGTTGAATGGTTGTGTATGTGGTTCCTGGTGCTTTAGCAGCCGGCCTCAAGTGGACATTTAAGGAACTGCAGTTTTTAGCACTTCTGCATCGGCAAAAGTCAAGGGAGTTCCCTCTTTTGTGTCTCTGCAGGGTGATGAATCTCTTGGGTTACAGTCCGGAGGAGCTGCAAGGCCAATCCATCTACAATCTCTGTCACACTCTGGATACAAAGTGCCTGACCAAAAATCATTTCAACTGTAAGTATCGACACACTCATGCATTACACATCTATAAACACACACCTTCACCATCATCCTCTGTCTGTCCCTCTGCAGTGTGTCTCAAGACTCAGTCTGTCAGCGGGCAGTACAGGATGCTGGTGAAAGGCGGAGGTTACGTGTGGGTGGAGACTCACAGCGCTGTCATCCCCAGTGCCAAACCCTCAAAGTCTAGACCCAGCGCCCACCACCAACTCTGCATCATCTGTGTCACATACGTCCTCAGGTACATGCCCAATTCATTCAAATGCTCATATAAACAATGTCAACGCCGCTTCTGCACGTCAGTGTGACTGTCAAAGTGTTGAGGTCTTTTAAGGAGTTGAACAATTTCCGGTTTTCTATGAGAACACCAACCAAGAAATGACCGGACATGTTTGCACTGAGGATGCTGAACTGCTTTGGTTTCGAGTGGAAAATGCAGTATAAAAAATGCTGTTAGTGGACACAGGCCCTTATAAGCAGTCTGGAGATTTTCTGTCGACACATTGAGCCACAAGATCAAATCATACTGTTTCTGATACTTCGTTTGATGATCAAGCAATGTCAAAACAAAGGACTGCTCTTTTTTTGGCCTGGTTAGCGTATGTTAGCATGCCGTTGTGCTAAGTCAGATGCATTTCTTGCAGAGTGCACAGCAGTGCATCCTCACGACGGCTTTACAGGGGGGCTTTTAAAGCAGCTGTTTGTTGGAGATTTGTTATAACTGTTTTTAAAATATTCATCATAATTGGTTTAATTTAGTATGCATGTGTGTCTCACAGCGGAGTGGAGGAGCCGTCCCTGCAGCTGTCGTTGGACCAAACTATCCCACCACGATATCAGTACTGAAGCTGGACTCTGAAGAATCAAAAACCCTCTCTACCTCTTTCATTTCATTGATCACACTTTGATGAATCGATCAGTTTTTTTAGTTGAAGAAAGCGGTTGTGTGTTTTATGCTTGTCATGTTGCTTTTTATGCTGGCTACAGCAGCGCCACTTCCCTCCCCAAATAAAAGTGGAAGCTGTTAAGGTGTAGACTGTGGTTGACAGACGGTTATTGGGGCGTAGTGAGAGCTGAAATTTGTTGATGAAAGCAAGCAGTTTGACTTCTTTTTGACCTCTCGGAGCCCGACTCTAGTTCCTGTGGGGTTTCCTTCTGAGCCACCTGACACGTGGGGTGACATCTGACAGTCAAGCACAGACATGTTGTACATTACACGCACATATACACACACAGAGACAGACACACTTAAAATATGGAGTGAAACGCATTGTGCTGATGTAGAGATGTGAACAGACGCGAGTCGCAAGCCGCAGCTTCCTGAATAGAGACACCGTAGGAAAGTTCTCGTGGGAACTTTTTAAACTCTTTACCTCTTGGCCTCTTGACTCACGCCCACAAACAACAAACGATTTCAAGTTTCACTTCCACTTGCTCCACCAGACGAAATTAATAATTGAATCAGAATGAAACAAATGCAAGTCACGCAAGAAGGGTTTCAAACACCTGAATTTACAAAATTTATGAGCAGACCAGGCAGCTTTTGTACTTAAATTCTTCTCTTTCGCACAGAGAGTCAGTTTCCCAAATTGTAACTTAAAAGTGTGATAACAAATAGAAATAAAGTGCAAATAAATCCTTTTCATTTCATTTGTAACTTGCATGTTTCCTTTCAAATCGAATTCATTGGGTTTTGTTCCATTTTAAAATGTCTTATATGGTTGTTTATAGAGGGGACTGTGAGGTGTCACATGTATATACACACTGCGCAGCAAAAAACTTATAGAGTGTCTTAACTTCTTTTTGTTCATTTAAGCAGAGAGCTGTATGGGCTGAACCAAATTTTGCTAAATTTGTGTGATTCTGAGACCTCACTGTAAAAGTTCTTTCAAAGATATCAGATGTCTTCAGTGGAAACTGGTCGTAGAAGAAGGCAGAAAAATTCCCTTTAAAATGAAAAAGTATGTAAAAATTCTATATACATATGTAAAGGATTTTCAAACCAGTAAAACCACCTTAAAGGGATGTCCCAGCATAAAATTAATTTAGGGTCAAACACATCGTAACACCAAGCTAGACACCCCCTCAAGAGAGGGGGTGTAAATGTTGTTGACCGCTTGCTTCTGTAGTTACACCAACTTTAGTCACGACCGCACGATAGCAATACACAGCGATCTACCTCTCCACGTGCAACCTCAACCAAAACGCCACTCTATAGCCACAAAAAACGCTCAGAACAGCACCTAACTTCATCAACAGTACATATAGGGTCCCAGCCAAAGATGTTTGTTAGCCATCAAACATCTTTCTAGCTTTGCTGGGTTTCTTTAGCAAAGAGACTATACACAACTCACCTACTCTCCTCCAGCAGCCGCTTGCTTGTGGGGGAGCCCTGACAAGTCAATCACTGAGTGCAGTTGATCATTTCCATGAGGTAACAATCATCATGATAATTATTTTGCACTGCAGACGCGGTAGTTCTTCTGCCTTTGCGTCTCGGTCTGATTGCATAGATCATAAATGTTCTTCCTTGAGCTGCGAAACTCCACCGCACTCGGTGATCAACTCGTCAGGGCTCCCCCACAAACAAGTGCCTGCTTGAAGAAAGTGGTTGAGTTGTGTTTAGTCTCTTTGGTAAGAAATTAGGCAAAGTTTAAAAGATGTTTGGTGGCTAGTACTATGGCTGAGACCCTATATGTACAGTTGATTAAGTTAGGTGCTGTTCTGAGCATTATTTGTGGCTATAGAGTGGCGTTTTGGTTGAGGTTTATTTATGGCTCCTCAGACCGCTGTGTATTGCTATCCTGCGGTCATTACTAAAGTTGGTGTTCTAGAGAAGCAAGTGGTTGGCAACATTCATCTCTCCAGGGGATGTCGAACTTGGTGTTAAGGTGTGTTTGACCCTAAATTAATTTTACGCCGCAATATCCACAGAGTGAATTCATGAGACCTGGACTGAAGTGGAGGGGTCTTGTACACTTTGAGGAGTATGTTTTGCATAATCAGTGATTCTATAAAATTCCTTGTTTTACAAGAGCAGAGTGGTGACTCTGTCCCAAAGCTTGTTGCTGAATCTGATCACTGTGCTGTGAGGCTGAGCGCTTCATTCATCTGTAGGCATGACTAATCGCACATGAAACAGGGAGGAAGTGGAGTGGAGCTGGACCAGTTTGAGGAAGCTCCTTAGTCGCCCCACTGCAGTCATGCTTCAGCATGAAGGAAATAGGACTCTCGCTCCATCTAGTGTTGAGCTGCTGTCGGTGGAACAAAACTGCATCTCCTGTGAGACGGCCATAACCCTGCAGAGCTCTGCAGAGGCCAGATTTAATGTTGTACGTAAAACCTTCCAAAGACATCTCTGAACATTATTAATGGAGAGACAGGACACTAAGATATTTTCATTTGTGGTTAAAGTACCTCAGAGTGTTTGGATGCTGTTTTTCTGTCTTTTCTTAGAGGTTATAATGATAAATGATGATTTACCGCACAGTCTGAATCATTAAATAAGGCTCATCTAAGTTAGAGGTTTATTCAGAGAAAACAGACACAACAGTCGACAGAGTGACACGACAAAGACGTGTTAAAAACATTTGTGGGTCAGTTTTTGTTTAGTAGCTTGGTTGTAGGATATGTTTGGAAGCTGCATGCTCTCTTGTTTTGCTCTGTTGTTTTCAAGGTGACCCTTGCAGTTGTTGTCAGATCTTGTGTCCCTGAATGTCCTCTCTGAAGCCCGATCGCTCCAGTATGACAGTCGACTCTGAGGCTCAAAGGGCAGAGATAAGAGGAGGAGGAGGTCATGCTGCTGGATTCAGGCTTTTCATTTACAGGTATGACTACTTGTATTAAAACTTTAACATGGAGATCTCGACCCTGCTCCTCTACACTCAAACATGGCTTTCTAGTGAGAGCAACATGTGACCCGTCTGAACAGGCTGTTGTCAGCCCCTCTCCTCACTTCTCTCCTTTCCTCCCCCTCAGTCACACCCCTCTGGTCGGGTGGGTGTTGTCAGGCTGTCGGCCAATGACAGGACGGTGCTCAGCCTTTGAAACGGGACCATGATAAATCAGTGTGTGTCAGTGCAAGGAGCAAAACACAGAGGGGAGGAGGGGGAGGCAGGGGGGGAGATGATATGATTAAAGATAAACAGGAGGCACACAAACAGGGAAACACAGGAGGCCAGGTTACACTGGTGTCGTCCTGTAGCTTTTACAATAATTATCATCTTTTTAGCCAGTGTTTTATGGTGAAATTAATCAGTATTTGGGATGCTGTTTTATAAGCCACACTTTAAAATGCTGCACAGCAAAGATATACATGGTGAAAATCTAGTTTAGTGAGCCAACAACATAGAAGCTCTCAATTTAGTCATGCTCAACTCTCCACCTAGTTACAGATTTCATATGCAAATATGTAGAAAGATTTAAGAGTCTGAGCCAGCCTCAAAAATCCAGTGTAGACAGTTTCCTTGAAATTTTGAGTTTTTCTGCCTTTCTCATTTTTTCAGTGTGCAGCAAGTTTAGATTCACCTTGGCCTTATGTAAAAGCCTGAGTCACTTAGCTTTGTGTCTTCAATGAATGTCCACGTCAGCCATCCAGTTAAGTCAGTTTAAAAAAGTCCTCTCATTTATGACAAAAATATCTTTTCAAAAAGCAAATAAAAACAGTTCCTACTAAATTTTAAAGCAAAAGAATTTTAGCTTTCGTGTAGAGTACAGAGCTGTTAGTCTGACACCTGCCCTCTAGAGCACAGGAGGAGGTATTGCACCATAAAGAGCTTGTGGGTTGGTTAATTTCTTAAAAAGCTGTTACAGTGTTTTCGTTAAATTTGTGTCAACCACTTGTTTTTTTGATATTGGTGAAGTTTTACTGTATGAAATCCATTTTAACCACTCACCCCAAACCTTTTGTCTAGTTTCTTTCAATGCCCCGTTGGCAGAACATAAAATTAAAGCTCCTGAGTGGAACTTTTAGACATCTAGAAAATAGACTGATATGAATATGGATAACTTTTTATGACATACAACATCAAACAAGCCTATCAGTGATGAAATTCATTTTATACTATAATTTTTGATCTGAAACCAATGCAAAGGGTAGGTTTCTGTAAGGAAATACCCCTGTTTTTTGTTTTTCAACATCAAATATTCACAATAAAATGATGTATTTGACAGTCAAGAGACAGTCAGAAGATATTTAGAAGAAAAGATTAGCAAAGACTGCTTTGTTCACAAAAGAGACACAACTTGAAAGCTCCTTACAGAAACTTTAACAATGGATAGACACAAGTAAGACACAATAACCCCCGTTTTTTCACATGGAAAAGGGTGAATCTACTCAAAAGACAGTAGAAAAGACAGAGTGAACAGGAACTGACCTTTGGTTAACAGTTCAAAGGTCTTCAACTGGTGTTTTAGATCCAGCATAAGAACATCATGAAACACAATCTGCTGGTTTTAATCAATTGAAACATATGATGGAGAATTCATGCCGAAGTAGTAAATCCTCTCCTTCTCATTTTCTCTTTTTTCAAAGATTGTAAGTTTGCATGTCATCTCAGTGTGCGTTCAGGATATCAACCTCAAAGAGACAATAAAGCCACTTAGCCCTTTGGCACACTGATAGAACAATGAAGCGATAAGCCCCACCATTACTACATTAGTAATAGAGAAACCGAGCTTTGAATTTGTGCCAGATATAATGGGCAACACGGTTACTATTGATTTCTTCGTCTAACATCAGACTGATATCACAGGATGTCCAGAACGTTGAACCAAATCTGCAACCCGCCACTGTGCACCTGCTCTGTGTGAGATGTTTAAATAAAAACATCCCTCTGTTTAAGCCTTTGAAAGTGTATTTGTACCTGCTCCAGGGGCATCATCTAATCTTATCTTGTGTGCAGAGTCCACAGGTGTAAGCCCAGGTCAGGGCTTTCATTCAGACGAGCTCAGCACTGAGATTCTCCGCCTGTGCCGTGTAGAGCAGGAGACAAAGTTCTTACACATACATGTTTGTGCGAAATACTGTGAATATGCAATGAATGCAGTGTTGCGCAAGAGGCATGCTATCCTAGCTCTTGCCAGACAATGGACAGTGATGCATTGCTTTAAACATCTTGCAAGCACCAGAAACTGCATGAGAGTTGTTGTAAGAATGTTCTTTTTATGATTTAATGCAGCATATTCAGCGGCTGAATAGTTCTGCTTAAGGAAAGGCTTATATTGATTGTACCTTTGCAAGGGTGACCTTCAAAATACTGACATTTGCATTCTCACCATCAGCTGAATAGCTCCTTCCACAGCAAAATTTATGGCCCGGTGTTTATGCGGTCTATGTCTGAAGGTGTTCTCAATGAACAAAAGAGCTCTTGTGATGACTTCATAGTGAATCTAGATGACATAACCAAAGTTATAAGGGTGAGGCTTCTAGGGGTCATGAAAATATTGGGTTAATTTACGCAGATAATGAACCTTTTTTTACTTGTTCCCTGATACCATAATTTGGTTTTGCTGCCAGACAGATAGTCAGAGGACCACCAGCCTTAAGTCATCCTCTGGGGACCATGAAGATCTATTCACATTTATGTATTTCATTAGGGGGCTGACTGACACCACAAAGGTCAAAAATGCTCTCTGGCTGACTTGCGGATTAAACCTATCATATCTTTCTCTGGTAAAAAAACGATCTTGAACAACCTGGTGGTTCCATCTAAGTATAGTGGATGACACTCACCCCCACTCCCCTCCCCTCCCCCGTTCTCTCTTTCTCTCACACTCAGATAGACACATCCCCCTGCCTTGTTCCAGCTGTCCCTGAAATGCTTCCCTCCATGCCCTCATTTACACACACACACACACACACATGCACATGAATGACCTGCTGGCCTAAATTACACCTAGTCAATTGGACTCATATACTCGTAAATAAAATGCCAATGCTTGGACATTCATGCACCAGAGCACGGGGATGTTTAAACAGAAACACACATAGGGGTTTCTTGATAGTTGATCAAATTGATTTAAGGTCAACATATAGACTCTGGTAACTCTTCCTACTGATTGCAACTTCAGACATTAATTTTGCTTTCAACTATATAAGATTTAAATTATGTAAAAATTGAAGAGGCACTTTACGACGGCTATTTTTTTCCCTCAGATATGTGAGGAGCATGACTCTAGGGGCAGCCTCAGTGGTCCATCAGCAACTTTCACCCAGAGGGATATGTAAACATTTGTTTAATGTACAAGTTTCCTACTTGCCTCATTAGTAAATGCTGAACTAATAATGATATTATTGAGACCAGTACAGACAGTTTTAGATCAAGGCTGCATGTCAATGGTCAATTATCTATGCTCACATTCACAAACTGTACATCACCAGCTGATCCTCCTCATTAGCTGTACTCGCCAGCTGCCGGCATGGTTAATGACTGATGCCAACACAATGGGGGCTTTTCACAACATCTCCCACCTGACTCTCTCTCTCGTCCCTCATAGCTGTGCAGTTCACTCAACAGATCAGAAAACTGCTGATGACAGCAGACCAGACACACATCCTTTTGAACAAACCACAAAGTACAAAACGGTAACACTGTACAAAAGGTAATGAATGACGACAGTGATGCACATTATATCTACCAGTTTACGTTCCTGTAGACTTAATAGACTGTTTATAGATTGAGTGTGCATTGGTTTTGAAGTGTTCACCGTGTCTCTAAAATAATTTAAACGTAATCACATTAAATATTATCAATTCTTTGTTGCAGACTGGGTTGTTAAGTTTAAAAATAGTTATTGCTGAATGCCCTATTGGGTGAAAGCTGTAGCTAAAACATTTCATTCATTTATAATGTGCTGGTTAAAAGGAGTAGAAGCATGCAGAGAAATTATACTTGTCTTTAACCTTTTAAATTGTTTTTCCTATTTTAGCTTAGTATTAAATCATAAAGCAGGGACAAAGAATTTTAACATTGATTTTTGCCTACTGTCTGCAGCCTCATTATTTACAGACACAATAACGTTATGTTATCAAATGTTCATCTTGTGAAAGGAAAAAAAATATACAAATTTCCAAACAATGATAAATTAAAATTGTGTTTGTGCTTTGTGTTTTTTTAGGGAAATCTGACCGAGTGCTGTGTGATTTAAGGTTGATTCATCAGGTCTGCAGAAAATGTAACAATGCGTAGAAATGAGAATGTTTAGCTATATTTAGTATTAAGTTTTAAATTCAGAAAGTACCGTTATTCACTTCTTCTGTTGGGGAAATTCCTGACAGAGCTTTAAATCATTTAAATCAGCAGTTTTGTATATTTTAATAACATAGCCAGGATCTGAAAACAACTTGTGCTAAAAATTTTACATTTAAGGTATCGAAAAGCTGCTTCATATAGGGGAGAGCGGGGTAAGATGAGCCATTTTTCATATGTTGGATCACTACATCAAGTCAATCATAGTTTTGTCTCTAACTAGTGAATCAGCATATATTTCAAGATGTTGTGCATCCCTGCAAACCAACAGAGTGAGTGTAAACATAACTGTCTTGATAATGTAGCGTGCCAAAAAAAGTGGTATCTTACGGTAAACTTACCCTGTGTATGGGGTAAGTTGGCCATGGGAGCGGGGTAAGTTGAGCCGTATCCCTACTAGCCCCCCCACTCTCCACCCCAGCCCTCCCTCACCTTCTCTCTCCCTAAATAACAATCACTTCTTCACAGTCATGTGAAGTTTAAAATAATAAATGGTTACTATCCTTCAGCAACAATTCTTAAAAAGAGGTTTGGGTTCGAGGTGGAGTCATGTGTTTTCTGCTCACAAGAAGAGGAAACAATTTAACATCTTTTTTTCTCATGCAGCATAATTAAGAACTTTTGGCATGATTGAGTAAACTGGTTGAAAATTAAAATGGATAAAGTTGCAAACTTGAAATTGGAACAAGTGCTGTATGGAAATTACAACATGCCAAACAAATTTTTCAAAATTTGCAATATAATAATAATAATTATGGGTAAATTCCACATCCATAAAAGTAAATGGCAAAATAAAAATCCATCCCTTGCATTGTTTAAAACAGAACTAAAATCTTATTTTGCTTCCTTGTCACTAATTAAAAACTCTAGTCTGGAGCTAGTAAACCTATCTGATGATATCTTTAAATATGTACTGTTGTAACTCAATGAATCATTAATTATCTAATATTTACATTTGCTGTTTGTATGAATTCCAAAGATAGGCCTTTCTGTAAGTTTTGTGTTTTTTTTCTTTCTACATTATGTTGTTCTCATGAATATTATCACTGTTGTTCTGTAAAAGTAAGATGTACATCTGAATTGCACTTGTCTCCCATTGAGAGTTTTGTAAATTGTTGAATACGTTAATTAAAAAAAAAAAAAAAAAAGAAAAGATTACTGAGGTTTCGGACACCCCTCAAAATGGCGCTAACAACAATATAGTCACTTATATAGGGGTTAGGGATCCATTTCGGTCTTTCTGCTTCAAAAACATGTACAGTATCGGGGGCGCGCGCTGTCAGTTGCTCGGCAGTAGCGCGAGCCTCCGTCTGTTGGTCCTCCTCTTCCGCGTGAGTCCCGAGGAGCCCCCACTGCCCTCCTTGGCTCGTGCTGCCTTTTAAAGCAAACTGACACACTATGTCATTCCCCACTCGGCCAGAAGACGGGACACGGTGAGGAGCTGCTGTTGCTGCTGCTGTGTCGCTCATTCAACCCCCCTCTCCTGTCGCCACCCCCATCGTCCTTGTTGTTTTGTTGCCTTTTTTTTTATTAGTTAGTGCTAACGGTTAGCTAGTTCCAGTCATGTATCGGTATTTCGGGGAGCTGCTGAGCCGCTCTGCGGGCAGTGCCCTGGCCTCGGGGTGCGTGGACTCCGCTCTACCGGCGTCCTCGACCCTCATGCGGGTTCGCCACTATGCCGACGCCGCGGACAAACCCGACGACCCCAACTTCTTCAAAATGGTAGAGGGCTTCTTTGACCGCGGCGCCGCCATCGTCGAAGACAAGCTGGTGGAGGACCTGAGGACGAGGGAGAGCCCCGAGCAGAAGAGGAACCGTGTGCGGGGAATCCTCCGCATCATCAAGCCCTGCAACCACGTCCTGAGCGTGTCTTTCCCCATCAAGAGGGATAACGGAGAGTGGGAGGTGGTGGAGGGCTACCGCGCCCAGCACAGCCAGCACAGGACACCCTGTAAAGGAGGTAAGACCTGATCCTAACCCCCTGAATGACAGCTAGCATTACAGCTAATCTAAGGTAGATGCTGGAAACGGATGCTAGTGTTACTATCCCGTTACACACAACTCAACTCTTTAACACGCGGATTAACACACAGCTGACTACACCCCTGTTGTTTGTTTTCACAGTGTAGTTGTCTTGTTTGTTTTCATATGTCACAACTACTAGTAGGAGACTTTTTGTGCAGCTTACAGTGACCTTCCTGTAGCTCACCTGTGGCTGTAACTAGTTTGTTAGCTTCCAGGCTAGCAGAGAGCTATCTGTCAAAACTGCACCACCTCTGAGGAGTGTTCACCTCCAACCATCAATCTAGATCTTATCCATAACTAGGATCACATAACTAGTTTGATCAAAACTGGATGAGTGCAAATAGATGTTTTTGTGTGTTTAATGCACTTGTTTTCTCATTTTGTCTGTTACAATGTGATGCAGAAGACAGCTCTTAAAGTAGGGCTGGGTGATATATTTTTTTCACGATATAAAAAAGTTACTCGTCAATCTTAAAAGTTCCCCGTTTCTCTTGAATGAAACTTCACAGTGCTTATTGGTCGCATGTCTTATGTCTTACTGCATCTGTGAGGTCTTTGTGTCTCTTTAACTTTTTGTCATAAGCGGACTGAATGGTCGGTTCGGTGCGGCGCGGACCTGGAGCAACTTCCCTTTTCATTGGCTATTCGTATAGTCTGCCAAAACATGGCAGAATGCTGACTATCGAGGCATATATTGACCATGTTTCATATCGATATCGAGGGAAATGAATTTTTGATATCTTTTTCGTTTTGTCGGAAGGTGTTGCACGAGAGACAGCGGACTGAATGGTCGATTCAGCGCGGTGTGGACCCGGCCCAACTTCCCTTTTCATTGGCTATTTGCATAGTCTGTCAAAACATGGCAAAATGCTGACTATCGAAAAGCATATTGACCATGTGTCATATCAATATCAAGGGAAATTAATTTTTGATATACATCATTATCATTTTATCGCCCAGCCCTACCTTTAAAGTACCAGGTGCTAAACCATGAAGCATTTTCATGTGAGCTGACAAAATACATGGTTGATCATTGAAGAACTATTAGACATGCTCTGTTTCTCTCATGCAGCGCTAGTACAATGTGGCTCTGTACAGGAGTCCTTACCATTCACTGTTTAAACAAGCCATGCACAGAGTATGATATGACACAGTGACATACGCTCCGAAGTTCAAAGTTCAAGGTTCAAAGCTGAGCCATTATGGGCTGCTACTGCGGTGCACTGTGGGTAATTTGCAAACGGAGGGGATGTGATGTATAGGAAGAAGTCAGGAGGTGTGAGAGCTGGGGAGGGGGGTGGTTTTATTTCCAGGCTCTCCTATTTGTCAGCGGTGTGACAGGTGGGGGAGGGTGCCGGGTGGAGGAGAGGAGGCATTCTGAACAGAAAGAGACGTGCCACTCAGATCAGAGCGTTCAGACATTGACCTGCTATTAACACTCAAACACTTCTGCTGCATCTGCTTGCTGGAGAATGTGGACCTATTCTTGGGAGGTTTATTTCAGCTGAAGACTCCCTCATGTCGCCTCCCTGCACATGCATGAAATAAGAATGGGAGAAGTAACAAGCTGACTGTTGTGGCATCTTTATAAACAACAATCACAGATGTCTCCTCTAAAAACTTGATGACAATGGATCAGTGCAAGTGTGCACAAATCTGCAAGCATTTCATGCTCCGTAGAAGCTCTCTGGGTAAAATCAATAAGGTTGATAGTGCATTTTTGCCCTCACTCATTGCATTAAAGCCAAAGGAGATAAGAGCCTCATCTTATTTCCAAGTTAAATCATTGCCCAACTTCCTCTGCAGTTTTTCTTATCTTCCACTCTTGTTCCAAACCAAATCCAAGGCGCAGCTAATCAGGGTTAACTAAATAGTTCACAACTAATGAAGTGTCAGATTTTCATTTAGGGCACCAAACAAGGGATAAAATGCGAATTAATTGTAGTTGCCAGTAAAAAGAAATGTAATTGCTTATTTGATGCTAAAGCCCTGAATAATCGGGGTTGATAAGGGTTACAGCAGTTATTTTTCAGTGGGTTTAATCATTGATGTAGTGCACAGACCCTTCGGTTGTGTTCAGATCAAACTGCAAAGTGCAAAGGCTGTTTTTTTTTGTGTGTGTGTGTCTGCATGTGCTGCTCAAACACACACTTAACACAGCTGCACCACACTGCTCTCTACTGACTACTGAGTGTGGATCCACAACTCAGTGTGACATAAAGAAACCTTCAACAGAGAGTTTATGGAAAGATTCCCCTTTTTTTTAAACAGCCACTCAAGGTTTGTTTGGTCTGCTGCCTCCTCTTTGTGCAAAACAAAGAAAAACTCTTTGGGATATCGCTTTTTACTTCTGTCACATTGATAAAAGAACTGCAGCAGTATGTTGGAGTTGTATAGATATGAAGGGACAGCTTGTGCGAGACAGAATATAGAAGTCATGCAGAAGAATGTCTGATCCTTGCAACTTGATATGAAGCCGTCCTTGACAAATTCACACTTTAGACTCCATAAAACCAGATTTGTTGAGGATTGTGCCACCCTCAGACATTAATAAAACTGTTTATAGCCTCAGCCTCTATTGACACTATTAAATAAAGTGCTTGATTTATTATGCATAAATAAGAATGATTATTAGGGCGCGACCGATTTATCGGCCAATTTAAGCCTGTTAGAGACAAATCGGTAATCGGCCAAAACTCGCAGATTTTCGCCAATATTTTCAGAAATAAAATGCGGAGAATAAGATTTGGTTTCACTTCGAAAATGTCCCGCCATTTGAAAAGTTCTCAAGAAGATCTCAAATTCATTAAAAAGGAAAGATGCATAGTAAGAAAAGTGTAGATAAACTGAGTTTGAATTGAATTTGCAGTCTGTTTATGTTGTTTGTAGAAAAAGATCATACAAGAGTCAGAAAAGTGTAATACCATTAAAATTAGTCCTGCTTTTAAAGCGATAATATTTGAGCTTTATAAAAAGCCCACCCTAATGAAAGAATATGAGTTTCAATTCTCTAACAGAAAAGAAAAAATCCTCAAAATGCAACAGGGAAAAGGCCAGTAACACTTTTTTTAGTTTCAAGCTTGAATATGTCCTGTTAAAGAAGTGAAAACATTGAATAACACCCAAGATGAGTCTCCTGCGTAGACAGTCTCGTCCTGTTGGACCTTCAGGCCTGACTGTAGTGGTGAAAAAGGCCTGACTTTGGAAGGACTGACTCATTTTCAGAGTGGGCGCAGTTTCTTCCCAAAAATTGGCGCTCGAGTTCAGAGGAATGTGTTTACAAATGTGAAGCAGGCGGGCCGCTGTGGAATACTATTGAGAATGGATGTCGGGATGGGGGAGGGGTTGGCACTCAGTTTCTTTCCCTCTCAATAATTTGATCACTTCGATCTGCGCGAGGTAAGATAGAGGGCAGCACTCTTACAGGATGCTGCTTTGTTTGGAGAGGGTCGGCCGTCTCCTGTGACTGCAGAAACACAAATGGGAACGAGGGCACAGAGTCCTGTCGTTAAGAGGCAGTTAAAGATGACATCATAGTGGGTGGGCTTTTCCTTATGCTCCCAGTGAAACCCATGAAAATAGACACACTCTGAGCTTTTGTCCACATAAAGCAATGCGCTTTCTCCTCTTTGTGCTGTTTGCCCTTGGGTTTCCCTGTGTAAGCGAACTGTAGCTGAGCTATATTTGGTTCTGCGGGGGACAGCCTCACACAAACAAACACATACACTGTGCTGCAGATGTAAGACGGAGTAGTATGTCTCGGCTTTATGATCTCATGCACAGCAGCACACAGGCCTGCCCGCATGTTACCGTGGAGACGGTAGCAAACCCAATAACACAGGAAGGAATGGCTGCAACTCGACGGCTGGGGTGAAAATGAAGGGCTGGGATTGGTTTATCCGGTCTCCACCCGCCTGTTTCTGCTATCGTGACTGCCGCACACCATCAGTGATCTCTGACCTGTTCATGTGGGTCTGTGTGGTTGTAAAAAACAGGCTGAGCTATACATACAGTAGAGTGGAGGGAGTTGCAATGTAGACTAATGTCTTCCTCATGTAGGCTGCATAAACTAATAGTATGCATTAGAAAGTGGTTGAATGAGAAAAGCCTGATTTTACCCGTCAACTTGAGGTAGAAGAGCCACCGAATTAATAGAAAGATGGACAACAGGTCTCCATGATGACTCAGTGTAGTGTAATACCCCTTTAATTAAGTATTAAATGGCTTATCAGAACTAAACTTAATGTCTTGTTATTGACATGTTGCTCAAAATCAGTGTTTATTCACTCAACATAAAACAAACCCCTTTTACACAATTGCTGTGCTTTACTTAGCTCGCAGACAGACAAACCATCTTCCCATAACATACCTGCCAGACTATGTCACATACATACATAACCCACAAAATACTCTCTCCAAAGAGAAAGAGACTGAAATAGTAAGACTAAAGATAAACACAGCAGGCCGACAGACACCAGACCAGGTGCAGCTCAAAGTTTTAGAGTTCCTGCAACAAAACTAAAACTTTAACTGAGATACTTTCCTTTGAGTAACGTTTAAAGTCATGTTAGAGTGAGCAGCCTTAACATTACTGATGGAAAACAAGCTGCTGGAAGGTTTTCGTTTATGTCATTCAAATGTCAACTTCAACATAATCAAGTTGAGTGGTTTCTGCATCTTAACCTGCTCTTTCTGTGTGTGTGTTTCCCTCAGGTATCCGTTACAGCACAGATGTGTCTGTGGATGAAGTCAAAGCCCTGGCCTCTCTGATGACATACAAGTGTGCTGTTGTTGGTAAGCATTTCAATCTTCATCTATTTCACATGTTTAGCCTCTATCAAATCCAACTTCACTTTGACCCGTTGTTGAAACAGCTAAAAAGTTAGTTAGAGTCAGCATTTCTAATGTGGTAGCAACTATCTGAGCTTTATAACCTTTCCTCAGAGACCACTTCTAATACAGCTGTACTCTTCTGTAATGACTCAGATGTTCGTATTGAAGTCCTGCATTACTGCCAGAGAGTAGTTTTCTCTCCTGTTGCATGTTCATGAAGATTCCTGCGATTTTTAAAGTGTATTATCCTCCTCCAGATGTGCCATTCGGAGGAGCCAAAGCCGGAGTCAAGATCAACCCCAGGAATTACACTGTAAGCCTTCTCATGTCAATCCTCTCCCGCCACACCCTTATTTACAGAACACAGACATATTGAGCCGTGCTACCCAATGTACAGGAAAGATACGCGGAAGTGAAAACCAACACACAAGGCAAATACAGCTGCTGTAAAATTGTAAGGCGGGGCTGTCTGTTTTTCCTATTTTTATATATTTTTTTTCTTATAAATAAAAAGAAAGAATAACAAGGAAAACAAGCCTTGATCTTGCTCAATTGCATAAAGAAAACTAAATGTCTTTTATGGGATTAGAGTAACTACTGCCCCCAAAGAAAAGCAGATATGTTTGTGGTTAATTTTCAGGCGTCTGTCTGTCTTTTTATGAGATTATGTCCAGGAAGTTTAGTCTGTCTTCTGATGGATCATGTGAAAGAAGCAGACTTGAAGGTCACCGGCTGTTGCCTCTGAGCTCTCAGTGAAAAAAAAATCAAAACAAAAACTTCACAGTTTGTGAAAATCTGAATCAGGCGCCGTTCTGATCACTGTCTGGAGTGAGCTGTGTATTTTCTTTTTCCTGTAGCGCTTTTTTGTGGTCAGTCACTTCCCTTCCATGAATGTCGTATTATTCTGTAACCTAGCAACACATCGTTCTCTGAAACTCTACTCCACTGTGTCTGTCTGTGGCAGGATAATGAGCTGGAGAAGATCACCAGGAGATTCACTATTGAGCTGGCCAAGAAGGGTTTCATCGGTGAGTTTCTGTGTGGAAATCTGTGATTTTAACTGGATTTAACCCGATTATTACAGCTCGCAGGAGTCTGTGCAGGCTGGTCTTCATTTCATGCAAAGGTTGTGCTGAGAGAAGAATGTTTCCACCCAGAGAAGCAAACATTTCCTGCCACAGAGTGCTGATTATTCAGTTTGAGTAACTCTGGGCGTGTCCAAGTCGGATGAAAAGAAGACAATTAATCACGGTGAAAAGGAAGTCAAGGATTAAGATAAACATTTCAATTAAACCTCAAATGTTAATAAGACGAGACAAATGTGCAAGCAGAAAAAATAGACATCAAAAAAAGTTTTGATTTATTAATGCTTAAAAAGTTTCAGTGTTCAAACAAAAAAAGACTCTACAACAGGCTTCACAGTTTCTGTTGTCTCTTTTAAACTGTACTACTCATGTCATGCTGCAAGACCCTTCACTTTGGATAGTTATGAACACTGGAGGCAAAGCTGCACACTTCACTGCCCTGCTCTGTCAGTTTGAGTGTAACTCGCTCACACAGCTCTTTGTACTCCTATTATATCTCCCCTCCCCGCCTGAGTGCTTCTGTATTTTTGGGTCTTGTCTCAGGATACAATAGCTCTGAGGTGTATGTGTGTATATACGTATGACACATGGACAGAGCCTGTCACACTGTCATCCAAAAACATGTTTCTTTACTGCTTTCACTGGGTCCAAAAAACTACAACCAGTCGTATTGTTTATTATTGATACTGCCACTATTTCAAACAAAGACAATATTGACCATTTGTGAGACTGATATGAGCTTCCTGTTGTACCCAGACCCCCTCTAACATCCTAGTACTTTTGCAGCTCATGCTCTTGTACTCTAGAGTAAGCTATCTACTGATATCCAGTCTGCTAAATCTTCTAGTGCCTTGGATTTCCTCTTGTTTTTAACCAAATTTGTCAATGTGGGTCACATGCTCAACGCAACACACCATCAATAAACCAGAATCAGCAGGATAGCTGTGTTTGATCCGGTTTTATTTATTTAAAATGTGAGACTAAGCCACACCTCTGAGTGGGCATCAGAGGAGGAAATCATTGTTGCATGAAGCATTTGATTTGTTTTTTGTTTCTTTCTTTAAGGTTGTATGTCTGTAAAAGCATCGTTCATACATATCCTGTAATCCTGCATTCTCTTGTTTTTGGTTACCTGAAGCAGTTTGTAGTTTTAGTCTGTAAAAAAAAAAAAAAGTTGAGGATTACCTTGTTCATTACTTTCATTCAAATTGTAAGGATCACTGAGGTGTCAGAAATGAGAGCTGCTTAAATGAGTATTCATCGTGTAATCCATGTAATCCACTTCTCTCTTTCTCTCTCTCAGGACCCGGCATCGATGTCCCAGCCCCTGACATGAGCACTGGAGAGAGAGAAATGTCCTGGATCGCTGACACATACGCCAACACTATTGCACACACTGTGAGTTTTCATGAACCCTGGACCGGTTCGTGTGGGTCTCTAACTGGATTTTGGTACTAATCTGAAAACACTGTGAGTCATGTGTAAACCATGAACAGTGGTTTCTGGGCGCTGCCCTCTCAGGCGACCACTGAAACGTCTCTCCCTTTACACACAGCTTCACACACTGAGGCCTGTGTGTGTTTGTTATCAGTTAATCATTCTCTGATCAAAACCTGTCAAACATTTGACCAGAGATGGGAAATATTTACCCATGTGAGTGTGTCTGACACTCTGGAAACAGACCTCCAGGGTGGTTTAGGAAGGGACACGATTCTGTTAAAGTAGATCTAGAGGGAAAAGTGCAGCCTGCTACAAAAGTGGTTTGGACTAAAAAGCTCAATTTTCTATCAGTGCGCTCTGTATTGAGAGTGACATTTAAATGACTCATTCACTTTCGTTATATTAAGGCTATAAGTAGTGCATGGATTTATATTTTTAGGAGCCTGAGTAATTGGCCGAGAAGCAGGTGTGGTGTAACTGCGTGCTAGGACGCCAAATGCTTGCCTCAGCTTTACGTTTTTGTTTCTAGGGGGGTTGGAAGTTAGGTTGACTCAGTTTCAGAGAGCCACCTTGGAAACCAAAAGATGAAGATACTGAGATCACATCCAAGTTTCATACAGTCCATGGCAACAGAGTGCGCTCACAGTTACATAGAAAGTAAAAGGATTCATGCAGCATCATAACACACCATGGTCTCGCTTCATAAACCTGCATGTGTGTAGACGTCTCACTGCCAGTTTTCTCCGTGATACTCATTTGCCCCCTTTTTGCTGTCCTCCTCTCACCTCACAGTCGTTTTGCGCCCTCTGCTCCACATACCTTTTGGCTGTGGAGTGGCTGACACATTCCTGCTCTGGGTATCTAAGGGCAGAGGATTATGGGTAGTGACTTCTAAGGTGCACTCAGCTATCACATTGCCTGGCACTGCAGCACTACATGGCCTCTGACTGTGTTGGTGTCAAAATTGTAAACAGTAAAGCTTCTGCAAAAAGTGAGGGTGTTGTGCCACCAATGGCCACCAGGGCCTGGTCCTCTAAAGAATAAGCCTGAGTGACATTTAAAGGTAGGGTAGGCAGGATCTGAAGAAGTGCCAGGTTTTGGGAGAAAGCTTTTTTGTAGATACACCACAAAAAAGATGCTTCTTTCGTGGATTCCTGCCTACCCCACCTTTAAATTCTCATTATGTCCTTTCGGTGCTTTAAAAGATTCCTTCCACCTGAAAGAACACCATCAGGTCTGACCTTTTCTCTGTTTTTTCTCCATGTTTTTGCAGGACATTAACGCCCACGCGTGTGTGACGGGAAAGCCCATCAGCCAGGGAGGAATCCACGGACGTATCTCAGCCACCGGTCGCGGAGTTTTCCACGGCATCGAGAACTTCATCAATGAGGCATCTTACATGAGCATGCTGGGCCTGACGCCAGGCTTCCAGGACAAGACCTTCATCATCCAGGTACACAAACACGCACACCCTCACACACTCTCAGTGTTTGATCATTGTATGGACATTTTACTAGAAAGGAGAGATGTAGTGCCAATCCTTGCTCAGCTCATAGATCCTCATGGGATTGAAGTTTTCATTCAAGATCATGATGAGGGGTTTAGAGCTCAATCAGAGCAGAGCCATCTGTTCCAGTCTGGCCCTGATCTCCTCATAGCAGGGAACTGACGCAGACTTCTGGCCTTGGTCATGAGGAGTGATGATTCAGTTAGAGAGTGGGACCAATTAAAGTCTTGTGATAGAAACTCCACATTCTGTCTGCTCCTTTGATGCCGGCCCCAACATGAGAGGATACTGTTACTGGGAGTTTTGACCCCATTTGACCCTGCGCTACAAACATGAGGGTCTTTCTTATCAGCAGGGAAACTAAAGGTTAGTTTGTCGGTCTGAACAGAGTATCTGCCACACGTGAAGAGTTCATATCACCCACTGAATAGAGCAGGGCGACGAATCTGATCGTCACTTCATTAACGTTCAGCTCATGACTTCATGTAAGTCATGAAAGTTTCACACAAAGAAGCCAGAAGCGGAAAAGAGAGTAGAAAAGTAAGCAATTCTTTCTGTAAAGATCTGATTCAAGTGAACTCAGACTGTAAAAAAAAAAGAGGTCCGAAAGCAGTTGAATCTTATCAGCAGTTTCACTTCCATGTGTCACATGGGGGCCCCTCACGTGTCACACACTCACACACAGAACATTTAAACACTGCAGACCCCCGGCCTCTGGCCTCAGCTGCTTTCCAAGAAAACTTTCTATATTTATGACTGTGTAATGACTACAGTGCCCCCCTGTACCCCTATCAGCAACACAAAGAAACATGTTTGGATGTTATGAAATCTCACACACAGAAGCAGATCTACTTTTTTTTATACTGATGCCATCACAAGTTCAGCTTCTTCTACTCAAAGGCAGATTGTTTTCACTTTCCAGCCTCGGTACAGAAACAAACTCAGAGAGGATGATGTTTGTGGAAGTCTTTCTTTTTTTAATACAAGGATTGAGAAAAGCGTCATCGAGAAGGTGAAGTCGTGGTCACAACTGCTGAATGATGACCCGGGTGTTCAAAAAGCTTAACTCTCTGTGTGTGTGATTGAGGATTACGCCGTGGTGAGATTAGATTTTCTTGGAGATTTATTAGTGAGCGAGGGGAGGACGGAGCAGAATGGTATCAAGATCAAAGTGGGCCATTCATACAGCGGAGGCTGTCCTTTAATCTCTGTCTCATTGTGTCAGGTCAGCGTCGGCCTGGTTTTGAAGCAGTGATTGGATTGTTTCACTGCTGACTCGTTTTTTGATATGTATTTGTTTAGATTGTGGAAATGTTAATTTTCGTCTGAAGCAGAATCCTCCTCTCCTCTATTGTTTTTTACCCCCCCCCCCCCCCTTTTTTTTTCTACTTTCACTCCTTTTAAACCAACACATGACACGTCAGGTCTTCTCAGTTGTCATGGTGTAGTAGGTGATGGAGGTGTTATAACCAACATCCGCCACATGGTGGCACCAGAGTATGCAGCAGACTCATTCTTCACACTTGAGCCGAACACTTTAGAGACAAATGAAACCGTTGTCATCCTTCTCTGGTTTTACAGTGAATAATCAGAGTGTTTTGTACCTGAATGTTTCCTGTCTTGCTGTTACTTCTCACAGGGCTTTGGTAATGTGGGTCTCCACTCCATGAGGTACCTGCACAGGTTTGGGGCCAAATGTGTGGGCATCGCTGAGATTGACGGGGCCATCTACAACCCCGAGGGAATCGACCCCAAACAGCTGGAGGACTACAAACTGGTACGAGCTCTGCCACACTTATTTATCACTTCTTAATAATAGCAATACTTTAATTTGTATAGAACCTTTTAAAAACAAAGGTTTACAACGTGCTTTGGCATGCAAGCCACCCCTAAGTATAACTACAACACAGACCTAACAACAGAACAACCCAAAGGAATGATGAACATCATCACTAGCCACATATTGACACTGACTCATCAATATAAAACTAATATATAGAACCAATATAGTAGAGGAAGAAAGGAAGAAATGAAAGTGATAAAAACGAAAGAAAGAGACAGTCTGCTTGGGATGCATCAATTGAAGAATCTAAGGCTGATTCTATTAGTGAACGTTGTCAGCCACTCAGGACTATGAGATGCTGTCTGCAGTATGTGCTTATATCCCACCAGAGCAGCATAACTGGAGTAACAGCACAGGCTCATGATTGGTGGCTGGGCTGCAGCTTAGACACAACATATTAACAGCATTTTTGGCCTACAATCACAAGGATGGTAAAAACTTGCTCAAACACGGATCAGTTTTGTTGCCAACTAGCAAGAATGACTTTTTTCTCTTCCCTTCCTAGTACTTGTAGTAAAATGTGGTATTGTTAAGTACAGGTGCTTTAGACAGGCCTCTCCAGAGGTAATACTTCCCGATCAGCTCATTTGTTATAACTCTTAATTGCAGAACCACGGCACCATTGTGGGCTTCCCAGGAGCCAAACCCTATGAAGGGAACATTTTGGAAGCTGACTGCCACATCCTGATCCCCGCAGCCGGTGAGAAGCAGCTCACACGTCTTAACGCCCCCAGGATCAAGGCTAAGGTAAACACTTTGACGCCCGAATTGATTTACCCATGATGCTTTGCTTTAAGTACTCCTATGAGTGCACAGTGCAGTTATGTGACATGTATCTTGTCTGCTCCAGATCATTGCTGAGGGTGCCAACGGTCCTACCACCCCTGATGCTGATAAGATTTTCCTGGAGAACAATGTCATGGTCATTCCTGTAAGTATACCCATGATGTACTCTGTGATGGTGACTGATGACGTTATCTGCAGACTCAACAGACTTCTTGCTGAGCATGTGTTGTTGGACATTTAAAATCTAGAATAAATTCCTTCACTGTGTATCTAACCTGTCTATGAAAATAGAAGCAATGCCTCTTGGTAACAGGGTGAGAGACAAGGTGGTACTTTTTTCACTTATCTGTGACAAGTGTGCTCCGGGTGGAAGTTTCACTTGGATATGTGGTAGGAATTCTAACACTGTCACTCAAAGTTGTAAGATTAACTGAGTTTTGCTCCTCTGTATACAATCTGAGAGGCGTTTTTTTTCTTTAGTCTTGCTCTTGCTATTATGTGAATTTGTCAAATGAATAATTTCACAGAAGTTAAAAGTTCATTTAAAGTTTATTCCAGAAAAAAATCATGCATTTCCATGTCAAATCTTGTCAAATTTTGCTTCACAAAGACATATAAATCATTTTAAACAGGCAGAGTTTAAAGCAGTTTCAATCACATACAGGAGTTCAAACACAGAGGTCACATCTGAGCCTTTGATGTTTCTGTCTGCAGGACATGTACCTGAACGCTGGTGGTGTGACGGTTTCTTATTTCGAGTGGCTGAAGAATCTCAACCACGTCAGCTATGGAAGACTGACCTTCAAATATGAGAGAGACTCCAACTACCATCTGCTCAGTGAGTACCAAACGGCTTCTTTAACTTCAACTCATGACTAAAGACAGACCACTATGTGCTGTCAGACTACTGGACTTTTTAATGTCATATGTTAACTCTCCACAAACACATACAAAAAAGTTCCATTATGTTAAAACGATTCTAAAACCAGAAACACTGACTTGGCTTGGATTGTCCTTGCCCTCGCCTCCACCCCCTGCCTCTTCCTCGCCTGCACCCTCGCCCTCACCTTCACCCTGGCCATCACCTTCGCCCTCACCTTCACCTTCACCCGCGCCCTCTTCTTCGCCCGCACCCGCACCCTCACCGTCACCTTCACTTTCACCCGCGCCCTCTTCTTCGCCCGCACCCTCACCCTCACCTTCGCCCTCTTCCTCGCCCTCACCTTCTCTCTCACCTCTGCCCTCAATCCAGCTCTCCCACTCATCGTCCGACATGCCCATGCCCACATTATCAATCTCACCAGTTTGATCATTTACCCCCATCATTTCAGATAGCCTTGCTTGTGCTTGTGTTTTTAGTCCTTCAAATTCGCTGTCAAAGTCACTCATCAGATTACCCTTCACAACAGTCATTCCATCTTCGTAAAACATAATGGTTCCATGTTGGTACCTGAATTTGGTCCTTCTTACTTCCGTTATCACGGGTTCAGGAAATTGTGCTTGGATTGCATCCATCCATGCTCTTGAATTTGAGTTCTTGAAAATCAAGTTTGTTCTTGTACCACCAATGTTTTCATCATAGTAGAGGGTGTCTTCAGGATTGGTCAGTGTCTCTCTTCGAAACTCCCTTCTGTTTCTTCCATTAGGTGTGGCAGGAAACTGCTCTGCTGCCATCTGGGTCAAAACAAAAAGAACCATATTAAATGAAAGTTTACATGCTTTTTATGAAACACATTTGACTTGTTGTGATGTCTTACCTTGTATTTCTCTTCTCTTTAAGATGTTTTGGATCACTCAGTGTAGTTTGCTTGCACTCTGGTTCTTCAGCTGGTGGTTAGAGGTTTCATCAGATTTTGATGTTACAAAGAGTTTGACTCCTCCATAATATAAAAATCCACCTACACAGTCATAACTTTGTCCTGCTTTAAAACTTTCCCCTCATTGACTGCAGCCATTGTTTCAGTTTGTTTAATGCTGGCATTGCTGGAATAAACTTTTACATAAATTGTGCAGCCTTAGAGGGATGTTCCAGCGTAAAATTAATTTAGGGTCAAACACACCGCAACACTGAGTTAGACACCCCCTCGAGAGATGAATGTTGCCGACCGCTTACTTCTCTAGTTATACCAACTTTAGTAACGACCGCCAATAGCAATACACAGCGGTCTGAGGAGCCATAAACAAACCTCAACCAAAACGCCAATCTATAGCCAGGAGGAGGTAATGCTCAGAACAGCACCTAACTTCATCAACAGTACATCTAGGGTCCCAGCCATAGTACTAGCCACCAAACATCTTTTTAAGACAAATAATGTTAGATTTCCTTACCGAATCTGCAGCAGGTCAGGCTGTGTCTCAGATGTTGTGAGGAGGTCTCATTTGGGAAACATGAACAACACCTCTTATACTCTCTGACGTGTTCCTTCTCAGCCAATCACAAGATGCTCCCCCAAACATTCACACTATCAGCGGGTAACATTCACGCTTCATTACTGTTCTGCAACCACAGATACCCAAGAAAACTCGTCCCTCAGTTTTGTTTCAGAAAAAAAGGAAGTGAATTAGACGCTGCTTGTGGAGCTTAGTAGTTGTAGCTGGGAAAATGAAACTTAAAACTAAAGGCTCCCACTGTATTCCACAGTCATTACTTAGAGATTGCTGATTTTAGGACTTTTTTTTTCTGGATCATGGCTGAAAGCCAAACAGAAAGACTCTGCATATAACATTAGAGTCTGTTCATTACTGGTATATTTAGTTATCAATGTAAAATAAAACAAATGTCCCTGGTGTCTCTTAACTTCTTCATGTTGTTTTCTTTTTCAGTGTCTGTGCAGGAAAGTCTAGAGAGGAAGTTTGGCAAACAAGGAGGACCCATCCCAATCGTTCCAACTGCTGACTTCCAGGCCAGAGTCGCTGTGAGTAATACTGGCTGAGACACACACACACACACAAACTCACACAATTATTAAAAATACACATTTTCTGCTGATAAAAGTGATTAAACATCTCAGCTGTGCTTTTCATAGTCACTGTTTAGATTGACTGTGCTGTTAACATTCATTTCTGTTCCAGGGTGCCTCTGAGAAAGACATTGTTCACTCTGGGTTGGCGTACACCATGGAGAGATCTGCTCGGGTAAGTAATAATAATAATATTAATATTAATAACTTTATTTATATAGCACTTTTAAAAACAGAAGTTTACAAAGTGCTTTGACAACAGTTGCAAGCACAGAACATCAGCACATGAAAATAAAAACAAATAAAAACAAAAGCTCAGTTAAAAACAAGGTCTCTGAATTGAAAGCCAGTTTCATTTGTCATACGAAACCCAGGCAACACAAGAACCCTACAACATAAAATGAGACCATGAGGACCAAAATAAAAACAAGAAAATAGGTAAGAAGAAGAATGAAATAGAAAAGAAGGGCAGAAAGCAGGAAACAGGTGTGAAAGCAGAGCCGAAACAAATGATAAATGCAACAATGTTGTGACTTTCAGCTCCCTAATCGAACCAAGTCCGCTTGGTCAGGTGTGAAAGCGACCTAAGTTGTTGGGAGCAGTAAACAGGAGAAGTAAACAGAATGACCAACCGTGGAGCTAAATGCGGAGCTGTGGACAGCAAGATAGTTGTCAGCCGTGACTTTGAGTCATCCTCAGAAGATGCCATTGTTGAGAAGAAAAGTTACTTAATGTTGGTTGTGTGGTGGTGGTTCAGGTATCTACAACGTGACGTCAAGCAATTAAGTCGATATGCAAGGTATGTCGGCAGTCGGTGTCCTCAAAAACCGGTGACACAACAGAGCTGTGTAATCATTTAAAGAAGTACTTCCCAAGTGATTATGTGGAAAGCATGAAAATGTAAGCGGAGTCTGCACAGTCTGCCACTGCTGACGGCACAAGTAGCATTAGCAGCCATCAGACCAAAGCAGGAATCAGCCGTATCGTCTACGTTTACATCATCTAATGTTGACATTTGAAGGCGTCTTCATTATCCCTGATTTGTTTATTTTGGGTCTTGCACACCTGCAGAAACACTCAGGACTGTGAACTAGTTCACTGTATTAATTAATATTTATCTACATTTCTTGTATTGTTGAGTAAAAATGGTTTTATTATTTTTTTATGTTTATCTTATTTAATTTGCTTTGTTATTTACTATGTATATTAATAAGATGTTGAACTAATTGCTGGTTTCTTTAGTTTTTAGCACGGATTCCTTAAAAACTAGCAGTTTAAAAAAATCATGATAACAATCGAGATCGGATGATATGACAGAATATATTGTGATCATTTGCTCTGTGAAATCGCCTTGTCTTAGTTTCTGCACAGACTTTCTGCATCATCTGCTATGCTAATAATAAAAAAAACATCTCTGTTAGTTTACACGTTCGAATGTGTCTTTTCACTTTTTCCAGCAAATCATGCGCACAGCAGCCAAGTATAACCTGGGTCTGGACCTCCGGACAGCGGCCTATGTCAATGCCATCGAGAAGGTCTTCAAAGTCTACAACGAGGCTGGGCTTACCTTCACATAAACAGCCAATGGTGCCCCCAACCCTCCTGCCGTTGATCTTCCTCTCCTGACCCCGTTCCCCCATCTAAACAGCCTTCAGAACATATCACTGTTTACCGCTGCTCTCTGGCTCTTTTACACACACATATACAGCGAAAACATAGGCTTGCCTTGTATTTATCCTGTGATCTCTGTGCTGCCTTTATTCTGTATCTGCATCTCTGTTTAAATGTTGCCCTTTTGTTCTGTTCGCCTGAGGTTATATTGAGGTAGAAGGAGAGTAACATCCTGCCAGAAAGAAAGACCCCCACCCTTCCCTCGGCCCTCATGTTAAACGTTTGCGATGTTGCGTGGCTGCCACGTTCGAAGCGGCATTTTTGTGACCGCTGAATGAACGTGTGGCCCCACTGTCGCCGTTATTTCAGTAAACAGCACTACAGATGCCTTATTTCAGCGAGAGCTCAGCCCTTAAATGGAAACAGTCTCTTGGATTTGACTTTAATTAAAAGGGATTTAGTTTTGACTTCATGTGAATAAAAAAAGAATAGTAATTTTATGACTCTTGAGTTTCTACTTGATCTTCAGGTGTTAGAAGTTAGTGGTAAAGTTGCCAAGATTTAGGATTCCAACAGTTCTTTTTTTTTTTGTCATCATTTGTGTTTTAAAGGTATGAGATTATCCACATCCCCCTTACTTCTCAGCTTTCCCATTGCTTTGTCTCAAATATTAAAAGCAGCTTCTCCCCGACTCCTCCGCTGGCCAAGACAGGGGAGCAGGGAGGGGGCTTGGTGTCTCTGACCGCCTGTCCCCTGTTTGCAAAATTTTGCTCAGTTTTAATCGTCCAGTTCCTCAACATTGAAATTGTTTTGGAGGAAATTTTTATTTTTATTTTATTCATTTTTTGGAAAACCAATAAAACGTCAAGAAAAAGTGGCAATACTGTGTCCCTTTGTTTTATTTTTTTTATTGTTTATCTCAACTTTTCAAAAAAATGTATGAAGATTATGGTGATTATTATTTGTAAAAACCACAAAATTATGAGTTTGAACATTAAATATCTTGTCTTTGAAGTGTATTCAATTGAATATTAGTTGAAAAGGATTTTCAAATCATTGTATTCTGTTTTTATTTACGTTCATCACAATTTCCAAACTTCAATGGAATTGGGTTTTGTAGTGTGCACCCAAACCTTTATCTGTTCCCTGTCTACTTGAGTAGTCCTGTCTTAAAGATCTAGCTGTAACTTTTGATGTCTCTCCTGATAATTGAATATTGATCATGTAATCACCCTATCACAAAGTAATAGACACACAACCTGAAAAGCAGCCGATCAATTTGGCTCAGGGTTAAACTGACTGAAAGAAGATCCTCCATATATTATTCATATACAGTTACTGTGTGCTGTTAGTAGTAGATACCTAAAGGAACAGTCAGCCATTTTTTAAATACAATTCCTTTTATAGCTGAGTGCAAAATAAACCAGAAAATCAGACACTCGACACTCATTGTACCAGATCATAGACTGAAAAAAAGACAAAGTCTCAACACAGTTGTTGGATTTCAACAAAACCTTTTAATTTCACTGGTACTGTTTATAAAATCAGCGAATCTGCTTCGATGCCAACTTAAACATGGTGTGCAATATGTGTTTTTGTAGGAATTGTGATTTAGTGTTGTGTGGAGTGTGCTGTGTATGTGTAAGTGTAAGTCAGGTGTTGCGTGTAATCTGTGTGTGCGAGTGTGTGAATGTCAGATTGCTTCATAAGGCAACATGCAGTCATCAGTTTCCATTGGCCTCAAAGTAAAAACACACAAACCTGCTCCAGACACAAACACACACACAAGCACACACACACGCACATTGCTGGCAGAACAGGATCTATGTTAACACACATATTTATTTAACACACACATACAGTGCTTACAGACACACACACTGATGCTGGGCAGACAAGCAGTGAGAGGCGACCGACAGGAGACGGAAGTCCTCTGATTGGCTTAGACAGTTAATGGGCGGGGCATTTGGGATAACAAGGTTTGGACCAGTAAGAGTGACGCTGACTACCCTTTAAAAAACAACTACATTTCCCAGAATTCAAGCTGGACAAAGAACTACACATAAAGCTAGTATATGCTTAAACCTAAACCTTCATTCTGCTTTCTCAGGGTTTAAAATTGAGTTTTTTTTTTCATCGCAGGAATTTGGGCTACTCGCTTGTTTCTCTCAATGGCATGCACACAAAGACGAAAAATGCAACTACGCATCAACAACAACAAGAAATGATTGGTACCAGCTGCTTGCATCTACCCTAGCTTTCTTTAACAATTTCCTACAGCTTTGTTTAATAAAACCCTAACTTAACCTAACTGGAGCTTGAAACATTAAAACCAAAAGACAACTTTAAGGAATAAGACTGCAGTACCTCTAGTGTCCACTTGAGGCAGACCTTAAAAGCCAAAGAATCCTGATAATCGTGTCATCAGAATGAAACATGTATAAATATTGGTTTCTTATTGGCCTCTTTCTGTATTCAAAAGATTTGTTGGGGAGAGAATTCATGCTACAAGTCTTGCATAATGAGGCGTTAAAAAGGGGTGTGGCTAATTTGACTGACAGGTGGCGCAGTGTACATATTGGCCCGCCTTATCTCTGCCTGTTTTGACTTTTCCACTGCTATCGTTGGGCTTCACAGCACATCATTGACACTTCGTTCCGAGTCAGTTTGTTCAATTGTTACAAAATTAGCGTGTAGTATTTTAGAAACCAAGCAGTTAAATTTGAAACATTTCCTTTCACAGTAAAGGTGCATGCTTTGGATACTTGTAAACACTTTTCTCACGCGGTTCGATAAACGTGATTTTTTTTGGTTCTATTTATGTAGAAGGGAATCGTCATGGTTTCCATGAACAATTTGGTTCTTATTTTATATTGCTTTGGAGGTCGTTCTCTAAAAATGTTTAATTTGACGCTACATGACGCCAAGTGGCTCAACTGCTTTTGTTTCCCCCATGCACCACTGATCAATCAAGTTGTCGACCTGACAGCTAAGAAAAAGTGAGCGCTATGTATTGCTTCCTAGTTGTGTGATAACCCTGTTTCTAATAAATGTTCGAGGCCAAACACACACTAAGCCGAACGAAGCTACACAAAACAGCTGCTACTCTACTGTTACGACACGGGACGAGTCATTCTACACACGTTTTCATGCAGACTATCTTAGCTAACTAACTACTGCACACACACACAACAGAGTGAGACCTGTTCGTCACGCCTGGCGGGATTTATTTGATTCACCGGCAGCTACACATGCACACACATTTTGAAGCTATGATGGAGAGAAAGGCATACCAAGATAGGACCACACACCCTCACACACCCTGCCTCAGTCACACAGTGAGTCATTGTTGTGGTTTGCCCAGTGTGTGCGTCTGTGCTGGCATCGACTTTAGAAACTGTATGTGTGTGTTTATTGCATGTGTGGAATGAAGGTGTATCTCTTTTGTGTGTGTGTGTGTGCGTGTGCGCGCGCATGGTGTGTTTGTGTGCAAGGTTTCCCTAAAGGTTGTTAGGCGTGTGGGAGGAGGGGGCGGTAACAACACCAGGATTCATATCAGGACGACACTAACACTCAGGTGAGGCGAGGGTGAGAGGGGGCAGTGGAAGAGAAAAAGCTACAGGCTGCAGGAGGGTGAGGATAGGTGGGGTCTTGGGGAAGGCATCACAAGGGGTGAGGCAGAGTGGGTGCAAGGAGAGTGGGGGGGCTCAGGTGCGGCATCCGGAAGAGTCTGTTTGAGTTGATTTTGGTTCTGTAAAGTCACAAAAAAATATGTAGAACATCTGGAGTCTGGTAGAGCGAGGCGAAGGGGAGCGAGGGGCCACCGGAGAGCACGGGAGGGGAGGTCCTGAAGACGACTAATACCCCTTGAAAGAAACAAAGAAAAGATAGAATCATCTTCTCAGTGATGGAGGACTTGTTAAGATGCTTCAAAGTCTCCAAATGTAGTATAGTAGTTGAAGCCCTCATTTATTCTTCAGAAACATTTACCAGTTAGAGTCTGGGAGGAAGACACCTTTTTACCTTTAAAGCTCAGCTTAAAGGTCCTTTCACACCGGGACCGTTGTTGTGTGATTATTTCGGATTTCAATATTTTTTTCAAACCCATATCCTGTCAATACAAGTGTTCCCATCAGCGACGTTCTGCCGTTGTGCGATATTGCGGAATTTTTTTTTCAGATGGTCGATTTTTCCAAAGTTTCGCATACTGTGTGTCCACTTCTGACCAATCAGATTGTGTGTTGTTGCGACGTCTGATTCACCGGTATATCCAACATGGCCGACTGGCTGATTGTTTACGTGTCAGAGAACAGAGTCCTTTTTGATAAAAAACACAAACATTACAAAGATAACAACTTGAAGGACAACATTGTGTCGGATCTTTCATACGATGATGGTTTGTGTGCTTTAACAGTTTGCTAAACGTCTTTGTTTTAACTTTCATCTGCGCTAACGTATGCTAACGGTTGTTACCATAGTTTCATGTGCTTATCTTACTGCCTCTGATTGGCTATAAGTGCTGACCATTTGGCTTGAGTGTGTGATGACGTTTCCAGCTTTTCTAGCCAATCAGAGGCGAAGGAGGCGGGACTTTCCCTGGGAAAAGTCTTCCCCAGGACTCGTCTTTTACCCCTCGGAAAGTCGCAAAATCGCATTGGGCTCGATGTGTATAGTCAGGCGCATCAAAATTGACCTCTGAATATTTAGTAATTTCGCGTTCTATATTCGCGTCGACCCCGGTGTGTAAGGACCTTAACACCGAAGTTCAGCTGTAGTTTAATGCACTTTCTGTCCATAGTAAAAACAGTCTATGGTCAAGGCACGTTGACACAGACTTGTAATTCCTCAAGCTTGAACTTCACTAATGTTATTCAGCAAGATGACATTAATGAAGTTGTCATCTTGCAAAACTTGCAAAACTTGTTTTTTTATCTTATGTTTTCTTTGTACATCAATTTTAGAGGTTTATTTCCACAATACCTATCACAGACTTGTCATGATATTTCAGTCAAGTTTAACAGAAATACTTCATGTTGATGTTTGTAGTTTCTGCTACTATTGAATATAACAAATGTTGTAAAACAAATTAAACAAAGCTTAAGAGGTATGAAACTTGACAAAACAGAAATGCATGTATTTGTACATGTATTTGAATATTTTCACCTGTTGAAAACATGATTGCTGCATGAAAAGCAAATCTTTCACAGGTTTATTTGACTCGACTGAGCTGCTACTGCTCTCCTTTAATCTCTAACATGCTCCCTTACCTCTCCTCCCTCTCCACCCTCCATTCCTCCGTATTCTCCCTGCAAGGGGAAAAAAGACCGAAAACAAATTCAGAAATGAAAAAAGGGTGGAGTTATCAAAGATGATGAAAGGGTAATGGCAGGGGAGAAAGCCTCAAGCACCAATGACCGTCTAGCTTTCGCTCTCCTCCGTCTCTGACATTATAAAGTAGATAAGCCTACAAAGAACATGCTGCTCGGCTGACTCAGCCCTTATTATCATGCTTAAACTCTCGCCTGCAGGCTCAGTTAGTAGATTAGAGGCAGACAGCATGTGACAGTGGAAAGGAAACTTCACCTGGTTTAAGATGTTGCATCCGTACATGCCATGAATAAATCCATATTAGCTTATCTGACGTGCTGGATAGCAGGTAATATCTTTAAAGCTACACTGAAGGGCTTCATGATTAGAAATGCAGAGTTTTAGTATCACCGTTACTTAAATCTTTGACCAGTGAGCATCAGGAGGATAGTAAAAAAGTTGGATTTATTCACATTAAGAAAAAGAACTGCTGAAAAGATGTGGTGCTTTTTTTTTCCAGTCTAAGAAATCTTTTATTCCAGCAATGATCCAATCTTGGATTATTCCTTTATTTCTAAAACAGTGTCTATTTCTTCCACCTCCTCTTGATGCTCTCTGCTGTCGGCTCGGATAGTTTGTTATTATATATGATATCACAGTGTTACTTCTTGCACCTGTACCATTTAATCTAATCCAGCACTCCTGCAAGAAATCCAAGCATTAAGTCCTGCAGGTTCGTTGCAGCTTTGTTGGATCAAATTGCGCAGGTGCACTCACTGATAACCTAGTACATATGGCATGCAGGCTATGCCGTCTTTTTCTATAACTCCGGCCCACTCCAGCATGACCTATGACCCCACAATGCTCTGTCTAATAGGCACCTCATATACAGGCTCCTCCTATCAGAGAGACACAAATGAGACACAAACAACACAAATAACAGAATGTAAGAACAACAGCAGCACAATACCACACACAAGACAGAAGCGAAATGAAATAATACACAAAAAAGACACAAAGGAGGTTTTAAAGAGACATGCAGGACACACACACACACAAAAGTTAGATGAGACGTCATCTAACAAAGAAATATTTTTGGCAACTGAGCTCATTGAAAGAGACAAATACAGCAGATATATCAAGAAAAAACACTTGAACAGTTGAAGAAAAAGTCAATTTTGAATCAGCTTTAGATTGAAATACAACACGACTTAAATCACTGCTCAGTAAATGCAGCTTACTTTAAAAACTGTTAACTACGATAAACACTGAGACTGTAATCAAGTGTCGTATTTCCTTCAGAAATAAAAATTACAAGTTGGCTTTTCTCTTGTTATAATGTTAGAACTTTTATGTAAAATTAAAATCAATTTTTTCTCTTTTTTTTATTCTGAAACAATTTTCATGTTTTTTGGAGCCATAAAAAAGCACATGCAGTTTAAAAGTTTAGAAACTATCTTCTGTATTTTCCCACCCTCATTCGTGCGTTAAATAAAAAATGGTAGTAACCAACATTAGCCACATGTCGGCGCCATATGCGTAGCTGATAAAGATTAACACCTGTCTCCTTTTTCCGGTTAAATCCAACTAGTGATGGGCACGGCAGTTCTTTTAGGTACTGAATCACTAGAATCAATTCACTGAAAAGATTCGTTCAAAAGATTCACCAAATCACCGAATCATTTCACGGGAGAGGCCTGCAACTCTGACCTCCTGAGCTGATACTGCTGAACGTTTTAGGATTCAGTTCAATTCAGAGCTTCTGGGACTGGGAGACGAGAGTGTTTGGCTGAGTTTCTTTGGCAAACAGGTTTGTAAAAATGAACTTGTTTATTAGTCATGATGTTTTAAGTGTACTGTCCTATGGTATGCCGTTTACCAGGTCTGCTCAGTAAATTGGGGGTGGTGAGTGATTCATTCACCGAACATTTAGAAGAATTCAAACTGAACTTACACCTTTCCCTCGCAAACCACTGCAGTGATAGGATGCTGCGGGTTTAATGCACTACTTGTTACATGCTGTGTCCTATTGTATGCAAGTTGTTGTGGTGGCAATTTAGCGGTTAACAAAAATGATTCCAGAGAGTGTAGTTCAATGCTTGATTTGTTCACCAAGTGATTCAGGCATCTGTGCATGTGGTCTCTCGCTCGCCGGCTGCTGGCCTGGCAATGCGGACGAATCACTCCAGGAGGTGATTCGGTTCAGTACGTTCACTTCAAAGATTCGGTTATTTTGAACGAATCGTTCGCGAACGACACAACACTAAATCCAACCAAAGAATACACACTGACGTGTTTCTCTAACGCCTTTATAAGCGATAAAACCTACTTTTTCAAGGATAAAAAACGTATATCCTCTCCTAAATTGCATGTCTTTCTTTGTGTTGCCATGTCGACTGACCTGGTTGACCATGCCGGTTGACGCAGCGACGTTCTCCACTCCCTCGACGGTTCCCTGTGAAACTTCGTTAGCCGCGCCAACGGCTGTGTCTCCGACGATGTTGGTCTGGTCCACGGTCCTGTTGGCCACTGAGGGGCGCAGCAGAGGAGGGTTAGTGACACTTTTTACACAATCGAAACAAGTTGACTCTCTTGAACGCAGCTTTCTGGTTTGTAAATGAAGCTATTTCACAACCCGGAAGTGGTTGAATGTTGATATCAGTTAAAGCATTAATGATACAAATGGTTAAGATATACGGTGATATGTGGTGAAATATCATTTTATCGTCTTTTCAGCTGCCTATGTGTCTTTAAGTATGATGTTTGGTCCACAAAGTTGGTAAGAAAATCCCAAATATCCTTACCTGTGTTTACTGATGACACCACTCCCTCCTTTGTTTTATTGCCTGAGTGTCAGAGAGAAATCAGATCAAAATCAGTTTTAATGCAAACTCTTAATATCAAAACATTATCTTCAATTTGTAACAGTCCTAGATGTGAAAAGAACCAATTTTTATTTATCTGTATTTAATGAGTTCACTTTGTCCAGTAATTGGTCTGTGGTTTTTCGTGATAACTTGTGCCATGGTGGTTAAAGTTCTCTGATGTAGTGCTGGGTGATATGGGAAAAAGTTTATCACAATATATTTTTTCATATCAGTCGATATCGATATATATCACGATATAAAAAATGAAATTTAACAGTGCTTATTGGTGTTGGCTCCACGTGTTAAAGTGCTGTGGTTGTGTGCAGCTGCAGCCTGTTACTACGCAGTTGTTCGCTACTTGGTTCTAATTCAGCACATGATTGGTTCAGCACGAAGCGGACCCGGAGCAACTCCCCTTTTCATTGGCTATTCGTATAGTCTACCAAAACATGGCAGAATGCCGTTTATCAAAAATCATATTGACCATTGACTAATTTTCGATATATATTGTTATCGTTTTATTGCCCAGCCCTAATCTGATGCAGTCTTTAGTCTGGTCAATGTTATAAAAATAGCTAAAAACAAGGGCCTGACCGATTTATCGACGAGACGATTAAATCGGCCAATTTTAGCCCGTTTGAGACTAATTTTCACAACGGTGAAGCACCATGTAAAATGCAAGCTAAAGTTAGAGTTAGCCATCTGCTATTAGCCTTGCTAAACTGTTAGCCATGGCAGTAACGGTAGAATAAACAACAGTACACATTATGTGATCGAGCTACTTCTCTTACTGAGACAGCTGCGTGTCTCCAGATGAGACCGGACCAGAAATGAGTAACGTGAGTTAAGACGCAGTGGCACCGATGGTAGTTGAAAACGCTTTTCTGGTCCGAGTTTGATCAGTCGGTCTTCCTATTGACGTGAAGAGCAGTAGCTTACAGTGTACGTACAGTATGTAGTATACTGTAGATGTCTACAGAATATATATATTTTTTATAACTTCATAAAAAAATCCATATTGGTCAGGCCCTACTAACAACATAGTTGTATTACTGGATAAATCAGCTTCCAATTAATGAAAATTTGTTTCAAAATACATGGTGGTGTTTTTACGAGGATTTTGCTTGAAGTTCTAAAATAAACATATAAAGTTACATCCGCTTATTCTACAAAGTCAGTCCAGGTTATACCATGTGCGTGTCCCTTATGTTGGAAACATTTCTAAGCTGCTATCGCCCCAGGGATGTGTCTCCAGAAGTGTTAAGTCAGCTGTATATGTCGATCTTTCTGAAAATGCATTACAAGCTCTTCTTATTGTAAGGTCCTTCTTGAAAAAGAAACAGTTTTTTTTGCTTGCTTGGATTTCTCAGTTTACTGCTTTCAAGATTGAGAACCAGGAGATGGAGTTTAAGGGCTCTGTTTAGTTCATTTGTATTAAAAAATGAGCGTTTCATGGACTCGTCTAATCTGAGAAAAGGCTATGAACAGCAGCACCGCGCTCATTTCATTATGATCCCAAGCAGATTAAATTGTGGTTATATAATCTGGCAGAATAAATGGATGGAAGGAAAGAATTATCTGCTGTATATGAAAGGAGGGATGGGGAAAAACTGGTGAAAAAATAAAGAATGATTCTGCCGGATCATATGATTTTTCGCACTCTGACTGTCCTCCTTTTGGCTTGTTAACACAGATGCTGCCCTCCTGCATCCAGCCTTCTTCGCTCCGTCTCCTGCTCTCCTCCTGCTCTCTGCACGCTCCCTGTGCTACATGAGCCACGTGCCTGAGTACTGAGCAGTGCTGCAGTACAGCCCAATACACACACACACACACACACACACACACACACACACACACACACACACACACACACACACACACACACACACACACACACACAACAATGACACAGCTTCTCCCAGTCAGCAGAGGGAGCCCCCTGAGTGTCACTGTGAATATCTGTATGTAAGCCTGTGCTGATCCCTCTCCCACCATCACAATCTGAACGCCAACATCAGGCTGTATCTGTGAAACTACATTCCTCTTCCTATTATTACACCTCATATTTGTTTTTTAATGTTAATGTTAATAGAGATTCCAGCAGATACAATTCCAGGTGTTGCAAGATTTAGTGAGAACGATAATCCAAGGCTCACATCAATTAACGAAGATTGCACAGATTAGAGCGCAAATGCCTTTTTCTGTTATGAAATAATGTATTAATCGAGCAGAAATCAAGGCTGTGATTGGTTCTTCCAGTGGAGGATTGTGCTTTTGCTTTCCTGGTCAAGTGAAAGCTGGGATATGTCCCATACATAATGAACATTGGTATTCAGTGCATGTGTTTGCAGTGATGTAAAAGATTTACCGAACGTCCTAAAACATTCATGTGCACGGACACACAGAGAGACACTGCTTACACAGATGCATCTGACAAATACATGTGAGAAGAAAGACGTACGAGGGAGATATAAAGCAGAAATCTAGGAGTGATTAAAAAGGATATGAATGATAAGAAGATGGAAGCAAAAACAAAAATATAATTCTGGAAATATTAAATATTAGTACAGAAAATTAGCAGCTAGAAATGTGTGAGAAATTAGATTTTTAGAGAATTTACCAAATGTTGTAAAATAAAATGTTCATGGAATTCAAAAAACATCCTGAAAAAATACTAAATATCAAACTAAATCCAGTCAGAAAGCTCGTGACGACAACCTTTACTAGAATTTTTTAGTGTGGAGTGGTTCATGTTTTATTAAATCACTGTCCACGTCACTCTGTCTGTTCAGGTTTGGCCTGTCGGTGATGTCGGCCTGCAGACCTACGCTTCATCCTGACGTCTGCGCTCTGCTCCAGGCAGATACAGTGTTTTATCAGAGCCATTGACCCTCCTCACTTCAGCGATCACAACCCCTCTCCTCTTCCTCTCTCTGTCCTCTGTGTGCTTCTCTTTACCTTTGTCCCTCCAACTCTCTCTCTTTTTCTCTGTCCCTCCATCTGTTCATCCACAAGCCAGAAGCTCAGAGCCTTTTCCTGACATAACACCCCCTCCCTCTCTCTCCCTCCATCTCTCTTTCTCTTCCATTCTCTCCCCCCCTTCCATGCATCCCTACGTCCTTCCCTGGGAGGGGTGGTGATAGTGGTGTTAGTGAGGGTTGATATTTTCAGAGCTGTGGGGGAGGAAGATGGTTAGTCATCAGAGCAACACAACTGGCAGGCAAAGTCCTACAACACACATCCAAGGGGGAAGGGTGGGGGGGTCACGGGACAGCTAACTACTGCTGCGCAAAAGTGATCCCTTCCTCTCGCTTCCCCTCCCTCCCCCTCTCCATCCCCCTGTTTGTGACTCGCATTTAAAAAAGATCATTTTCAGCATAACTCAGATTTTCACGTCATCAATCAGAGTAATGAAAGGAAATGAGACTTCCACTCCACCGACTCCTCACCCACCCTGCTACTTTTACTACCCCCCCTCCCCTCCCTTCTAAGCGGCCCTAAAAGCCTGCTACTCGGGGTAACCTTGAGCTGTGACGCATTAGCTGCTTCAGCTAATGTAAGACTGCATGAAAAGAACAGCATGTCCACAAAGCCTCCGATACGAATTCATCATTTCTGGCTATTTCAAAAAGGTGACATATTATCGTGTAGGTTTCTGTGGTGCCTTTAGACATCGTTTTGGTAGATATGTAAGAAGACGTGCGGTTTTAAATATAGGTCAGCCTCTGAATTTTTAAAAAGGTAGATGTACTCAGTAGTTACAGCGACCAAACCACTGCATTGAGTCCACCATAGGACGTCCCTCTAAACTGCTCCACAGTATGAATAAAATAGGACAGCTGATAACCTCACGGAGCAGCGCCATCACGGGATCCTGCAGAATACCGCTTCACCACCCCACTCCTCTCTTTTTCTTTTTTAGCTCTTTTTTTGACCGAATTACAACTTTTTCCACCCTCTTCTCAGTCGAATACCCCCTCCTCGCTCCATCAGACCCCCACCCTCTGCCCCTGCACCAGTCCTGCAGCAGTATCCTTCCTCCTCCTCCTCCTCCCTCTGTTCCTGTCACTTCTTACAAGGGTCCCAGACGTGGACACCCGTGGGACCCCACCTCAAAAAGCAGACGATGCAACCGCAGGTGCGCTGACTTAAAAAAACAAACAAACCCTTCTCCCCCCCCCACCCCAAAAAAAAATCATCAAAATTTCGTTTATGAGACTCAGTGCAGCTCCACAGATGAGATGTCTTACCTACATACATCACCCCTTCCTTGGTCTTGGCTGCCGCCTCTTCCATGCCAGCTTTGGTCTTTTCCGCAGCGGCCACCACCCCCTCCTTGGCCATGGAGAACCCCTTCATCAGTACATCCATTTTGGGCGACGAGTCTGTTGGGCTCTCCTGCTCCGAATGGGCCTGGCTGGCTGGCTGGCTTGGCTGGCTTTGCTGGTGCTTACAGTGAGCGTGCAGAAGAGATGATGCGAGATGTCAGAGCGTGTGTGTCTATGTGAGTATGGGAATGTGTGTGTGTGTGTGTGTGTGTGTGTGTACAGAGACGGTGGCTCCTCCTCCCTTCGGTGCTTCGACAGAGGACTGAGAGGACCGCACAGCAGGGCTACAGCACGCAGACTGAGCGCGAGAGGGGGGGAGGAAACAGCCGGTGTGCACGAGATATAGAAAGGAGGAGGAGGGGGGAGGAGGAGGGACAACCGGATGCTGCAGCATTTTCAAGTCATGCTGCAATCCCGCGTCTCGACCACGCCTCCGTCCCTCATCCATCTTCCTCCAGATGATTTTCAGTCATCCTCATCCTCTGGCTCGTTCTTAGCGTCTTTTGATTGACAGTCTGTGGACACACCTTTCTGGATGCTGAGCTTGTGAGCCATGTTACATAACAAGCAGAGCATCAGCGTTGGGGGGCAAAGAGGATTTTTTCTGACATCATACGCCCTGAGAGACTTTGCCCTGAAATCTGTAACCACATCACACAGTTTATCCCAGATGGCACGATTCATTCTTGCGTTTTCTTACTCGTAGTACGCGGTTTACATAGAACTATTTTCTCTGTAATTATTGAAGCGTCTTAAATCACAGACAGAGACCTTGCAGCTTTCTTTTTACTGTTGTGAGAGGAGATAAAATGCTTTGTCATCTCCACCTGGATGAGTCACAACTTCCCCTCCCTCCTCATCGTCCCAATTCTCCCAGACATGCCGACTCAGCAGCACAGTAAATCTATGGGTAGTTTTGATAGGAGACAAGCTCCATTTTTCCTCCACCACCTCTTCTTCTTAAACCAAAAAATGAAAGAGGGGTTTTTACACAAAGTGGTAGCTCAAAAGCTGAGTAGAATCTTGAGTTTTTGGTACATATTCTTCATGAAATATAAGATAGTGAGGTGATATATTTGCTGTGGTGCTGGTGCAGAGAGGAGAGTGGCTTGAAGACTCAGTGAGGCTGGAATTCTGCTCCCCTCTGGTGGCTGTAACGGAAACAACATCGTGACACAGCAGGATGGTACGATTTAGATTTTAAAGAAAGACAAAAACGATAAATCAAGTGACATTTGAATTCATAAATTAAGATTATTACTCACAGGATTGTATTTTTGTGAGGAGTTTTAACAAGTTTTCTCAAACCAAGTCCTTTTATAGCTTGAATCTTACTGCTTTTGATTCTTAAGACAAAAGCCACTGTCACCAGCTCTTGAATTAGGACACAGTGTGGCAGAACAGACAGTAGAAATAGAATATAACATTTCTCATCTTTGTTCATTTTCAATGAGCCTTTCATACCTGCACAAGAGCAGGTCCCCTTAAACGAAGGTCACCATACAGCACTCCCATGTCCTAAAGTGGCACAGAGCAGACAAACCAATGTCTGTGTAACCTCTTAAAGGGCTAAGACAGGAACCCTGGGACATACTTGTGAGTCAGTCCACAATAAGTGAAGTTTCAAATTACATACATCTAGTTGTATTTAGAGAGTTACCATTTGAAATGAACCAGTTAAAAACAGAGGAAAAGGAGTGTAGTGGTTGTGGTTCAGAGAGTTTGCAGTGATACACACATGGTTTTGATAGAGAGAACTTGCATGGGAGCGTTTTCAGCCTAGAGTCGGAGATATAGTCAGCTAGATATAGCTAAATATGTCCACGTACTAAACCTTTGGGTCTCAAAGCCTCATGTTTTTTACTTGTATGCCACTAACCAATTTTTTCATTTCAAAATACATAGTGTATTATATTAAAAATGTCACGTTTAAGTATGAAAAAATGTCGGAGTATAGTATTTTAAAAATATCATAGTTAAGTGTGATAAAATAGAGTATAGTATGATTATGATGAAAAATATCATAGTATAGTATGTTAAAAATGTCTTAGTATAGTATGACTAAAAAAGTCAGTTTACACTATTTGAAATGAACCAGTTTCAAAGCAAAGAGAAAAAGGAGTGTAGTGGTAGTGGTTCTGAGAGTTTGCAGTGATACACGCAAGGTTTTGATGGTGAGAACTTCACTGAGGAAAGGGGTGAGCAGGGGAGCATTTTCAGCCTAGATTTGGAGTGCTAGATATAGCTAAATATGTCTACGTACTGAACCTTTGGGTTTTAAAGCCTCATATTTTTTACTTGTTAGATAAGATAAGAAGAACTTTATTAATCCCCGAAGGGAAATTCAATTGTCTGTTGTCTCACTTGATATGTCTCTATAAGTTATCTACTATTTACACAACAGTTATAAAGTCTGATGGCTGTTGGTACAAAAGATCTTCTGAATCTTTCTGTCCTGTAGCGAGGAGAGAGGAGCCGTCCACCACCATTGGCCCTTTGGTCCATCAAGGTGTTGTGAAGTGGGTGATCCATGTTCTTGAGAATAGTCTCCACCTTCCTCAGTGTAGAGCTCTCCAACCACAGAGCCAGCCCTTTTCACCAGTGTGTTCAGAAACTGCCACTAACCATTTTTTTTTTTTACTACTATATGATTTCTACTCCTTTTACCTTACATGGTCAGATTGATCCCAAACTTTGTGTTCCAGCCAGAGCGGACAACTAACAAAACATCCTGCACAAAATGTTTTTAAACCCGCCCAGCTCCCATAGATGATCAAAGTTAGCAACCAGCTAAATTCAGGTTAATAAAGTTGAGCTCAGGCTAAGGAAAGTTTACATTTTTCGTAGTAGTTCATGGCGTTAGCTCTGCTGCTTTCCTGCAAAAACGTTCTGTTTAACTTTGTTTTTTTTTTCCTGCTAAAAGTCAAAACCCCACTTTTTTATGTCAACCACATTAGAAATGAGAGAAGTCAACTTGTTGTTTATTAATGGTCAAATGTGGAACCAGCTTTTATTCACAAAACAGAGAGTGACAGGTTCATTTGATTTCACTCAGCCGTCTGGTTTAAAGAAAACATTTATTCACATTGATATCAGTACATTTTGAGTGCATTTTTACATACTGTATTTGTGCATGAAGGTAAATCTCTAAGCGTGTGTGTCCGTACGCCCTCTCACAAGCATGCCTGTGTTGTCAAACTTCATGTTTTTAATTGAGGATGATGTACTATACCACATGTAGGGGATAAAAGAAACATAGTCAGTTTCAACCCAACTTGAATAACATTTTTTGTACAATTTCCCTATAATTTAAGAGAGACAGATCCCAAACAAACAGAGAAGAAAGAGAAAAAACCCCAAAGGCGTAATCAGTTTTTAGCAGCGGACAGATACATCTGACAAGTATTTCTAAGCTAATGAACACATGGCATTCTCACGCTAACAGTTAGTATCTCACATTCTACTAATCTAGACTAAACATTATCTCACATTGCTGAGGACTGTCCTCCTCCTGATCCTTTTTTTCTCTCCATAATTCATCCCTCGTCCTGTTAACTCCTGTGCTTTTGTCCATTTCTTCCTTCACATGTCCCCTCTATAGATTTTTTACTCCTGCTCATCTTTACTCTGTGACGTTGAGGATCTGCGCGGACAGTCCGTGGTGCCAGTTCTTCAGCTTCGCAAAACGGGGCCCTTTCACCTCAGACTCAAACTTCTCCCTGTAGGTGTCAAAAAAGGGGGAGAAATACTTTTTCAACAAGTTTTCAGAGGGATAACTAACAACTGGAAATTGAGAAACAGCTAGCACAACTCTGCTTTAACGTAACAAAATCTGATGAGCATAATGCTAAAGTTTATTGCTGACTGGTTCAATTTCTTACAGTGTGACTTTGATTTGTTTATATTATTTCCGTTTTGGGGGAGGGGGCTCAAATGTGTGAAATATTTATTTATTTTTTCATATGTATGATCAAAATTATGTTTTATAAAAATATGTCACATCTGATGATTAGACGACTTACTTTTTACATTTTTTCTTAACTTTTTGCTTCTTTTGGGCAAAAAGAGGATTGGTGTCACACTCTGTTTCCAGGTTTTATGTCATGCTAAGATAGCTGCATGCTCATTCAAACTACTTAACCAGTTGTCAAGTAAAGAATTAATCGTATTGTCAATCTTTGTGCTTTGTGTGTCCTGAGTTTCCTTATTAAAATGAGTTGATTTATTGTCTCTTCCTGCCATTCTCTTTTTTTTCATCCTTGCTTGGTTTTATATTGCTGTTTTTGTTAGTCCTACATATCCATGGCCCACTAGGACGTAACAAATTATATGTAATAAAAAATTAACATAGTATGTTAAAATATCAAAGTATAGAATGTTAAAATATCAAAGTATAGGATGATAAAAATATAATGGTATAGTATGTCAAAAAATCATGGTTAAGTATAATAAAAATGGCCTGGTATAGTATGTTAAAAAATGTCATATTCTAATTTGCCAAAATATATTTTTGTGTCAAAAAAATGTCATAGTATAGTATGTTAAAAATTTCATATTGAATATGAAAAAATAATAATTTTAGTATTGAAAAAATGTCTTAGAATACTATGTTTAGAATTTCATATTTGAGCATGATAAAAAATCTTAATTTAGTACAAAAAAATGTCGTGGTATAGTATGTTCAGAATTTCATATTTTAGTGTAAAAAAAGTCATTTTTTAGTGTCAAAAAATGTATTAGTATAATATAATAAAAAATTTCATAGTATAGTTTGTTAAAAATTATATTTTTAAGCATGAAATTTTTTTCAAATTTAAGGATTAAAAAAATCAAAGTATAGTATGATAAAAAAAAGTAATGCTCTAGTATATGAAGTTTCACATATAAGCATGAAAACAAAAAATAAATAATTTCAGTACCCTAAAATTGTCAGTTTTTTATGATAAAATAGTCATAGTATAGTATGATAAAAATGTCATAGTATAGTATGTTAAATATTTCATATTTAAGCATGAGAAAAAAATCATATCTTAGCATTGCAAAATGTCAGTGTAGTGTGATAAAAATGATCATACTTAGGTATTTAAAATCTTATACTACAGTATGTTTAAAATTTCATATTAAAGCATGAAAAGAAGTTCAAATTTGAGTTTTTTAAAAATTGCCAGAGTTTAGTAATTTCGAATTAAAAATTTAAAATACCATTGTATAGTATGATAAAAATGTCATAGTAAAGTATGGTAAAAATTTCACATTTTAGCATGAAAAGCAATTCGAATCTGAGTAAAAGATCTCATAGTTTAGTATGATAAAAAAGGTGATAGTATAGTATTTTAAAGTTTCATATTTAAGCATAAAAAGGAAATTTAAATTTGAGTATCAAAAAAGTGTCCGAATATTATAACAAAAAACTCACACTATAGTATGATAAAAGTTTCATATTTTAGTGAAAAAAAAATAGTTTGGAAAAAAATGGCATAGTATAGTATGTTTAAAACTTCATATTTTAGAGTGAAAAAAAAATCTCATAGTATGGTATGATAAAAATCTCATAGTATAGTTTGATAAAAATCTCATAGTATAGTATGATAAAAATGTTATATTTTCGTGTGAAAAAAATCTCATAGTATAGTATGATAAAAAAGGTGATAGTATAGTATCTTAAAGTTTCATATTTAAGCATAAAAAGGAAATTTAAATTCCAGTATCAAAAAAGTGTCCGAATATTATAACAAAAAACTCACACTATAGTATGATAAAAATTTTATATTTTAGTGAGAAAAAAAAATAGTTTGGAAAAAAATGGCATAGTATAGTATGTTTAAAACTTCATATTTTAGAGTGAAAAAAATATCTCATAGTATAGTATGATAAAAAATCTCATAGTATAGTATGATAAAAATCTCATAGTATAGTATGATAAAAACATTATTTTAGTGTGAAAAAAAATCTCAGTATAGTATGATAAAAATCTTATAGTATAGTATGATAAAAATGTCATAGTATAGTGTGAAAAAAAATCTCATAGTTAAGTATGATAAAAATCTCATAGTCTAGTATGATAAAAATGTCATAGTATAGTATGATAAAAATGTCATAGTATAGTGTGAAAAAAAATCTCATAGTTTAGTATGATAAAAATCTCATAGTATAGTATGATAAAAATGTCATAGTATAGTATGATAAAAATGTAATATTTTAGTGTGAAAAAAAATCTCATAGTATAGTATGATAAAGATGTAATAGTATAGTATGATAAAATTGCCATAGTATAGTATGTTCAAAATTTCATATTTCATTGTGTGAAAAAAAATATATATATTGTTCTCAATACATATCACAGTTTAGTTTAATCAAAATAAGTCATAGTATAGTATGTTAAAAATTTTATATTTAAGCATGAGAAAAAAACATGTCTTTGTATACTATGATAAAAATGTTATAGTATAGTATGTTAAAAATTTCATATTCTTGCATAAAAAAAATCAATTTTCAGTATAAAAAATTATTGTATAGTATGATTAAAAAAGTCATAGTATAGTATGTGAAAATGTTTAAATTTATGCATAAAAAGAAAAAAGAAAAAAAAATTGTATCCACATAATATCAGAATATTAAGATAAAGAAGTCATAGTATAGTATGTTAAATATTTCATATTTTAGAGCGAAAAAAAAATCTTATAGTATATGAATAAAAATCTCATAGTATAGTATGATAAAAACATAATATTTTAGTGTGAAAAAAAATCGCAGTATAGTATGATAAAAATGTCATAGTATAGTATGATAAAAATGTCATAGTATAGTGTGAAAAAAAATCTCATAGTTTAGTATGATAAAAATCTCATAGTATAGTATGATAAAAATGTCATAGTATAGTATGATAAAAATGTAATATTTTAGTGTGAAAAAAAATCTCATAGTATAGTATGATAAAAAAGGTGATAGTATAGTATTTTAAAGTTTCATATTTAAGCATAAAAAGGAAATTTAAATTTGAGTATCAAAAAAGTGTCCGAATATTATAACAAAAAACTCACACTATAGTATGATAAAAGTTTCATATTTTAGTGAAAAAAAAATAGTTTGGAAAAAAATGGCATAGTATAGTATGTTTAAAACTTCATATTTTAGAGTGAAAAAAAAATCTCATAGTATGGTATGATAAAAATCTCATAGTATAGTTTGATAAAAATCTCATAGTATAGTATGATAAAAATGTAATATTTTAGTGTGAAAAAAATCTCATAGTATAGTATGATAAAAAGGTGATAGTATAGTATCTTAAAGTTTCATACTTAAGCATAAAAAGGAAATTTAAATTCCAGTATCAAAAAAGTGTCCGAATATTATAACAAAAAACTCACACTGTAGTATGATAAAAATTTTATATTTTAGTGAGAAAAAAAAAATAGTTTGGAAAAAAATGGCATAGTATAGTATGTTTAAAACTTCATATTTTAGAGTGAAAAAAATATCTCATAGTATAGTATGATAAAAAATCTCATAGTATAGTATGATAAAAATCTCATAGTATAGTATGATAAAAACATATTACTTTAGTGTGAAAAAAAATCTCAGTATAGTATGATAAAAATCTTATAGTATAGTATGATAAAAATGTCATAGTATAGTGTGAAAAAAAATCTCATAGTTAAGTATGATAAAAATCTCATAGTCTAGTATGATAAAAATGTCATAGTATAGTATGATAAAAATGTCATAGTATAGTGTGAAAAAAAATCTCATAGTTTAGTATGATAAAAATCTCATAGTATAGTATGATAAAAATGTCATAGTATAGTATGATAAAAATGTAATATTTTAGTGTGAAAAAAAATCTCATAGTATAGTATGATAAAGATGTAATAGTATAGTATGATAAAATTGCCATAGTATAGTATGTTCAAAATTTCATATTTCATTGTGTGAAAAAAAAAAAAATATATTGTTCTCAATACATATCACAGTTTAGTTTAATCAAAATAAGTCATAGTATAGTATGTTAAAAATTTTATATTTAAGCATGAGAAAAAAACATGTCTTTGTATACTATGATAAAAATGTTATAGTATAGTATGTTAAAAATTTCATATTCTTGCATAAGAAAAATCAATTTTCAGTATAAAAAATTATTGTATAGTATGATTAAAAAAGTCATAGTATAGTATGTGAAAATGTTTAAATTTATGCATAAAAAGAAAAAAGAAAAAAAAATTGTATCCACATAATATCAGAATATTAAGATAAAGAAGTCATAGTATAGTATGTTAAATATTTCATATTTTAGAGCGAAAAAAAAATCTTATAGTATATGAATAAAAATCTCATAGTATAGTATGATAAAAACATAATATTTTAGTGTGAAAAAAAATCGCAGTATAGTATGATAAAAATGTCATAGTATAGTATGATAAAAATGTCATAGTATAGTGTGAAAAAAAATCTCATAGTTTAGTATGATAAAAATCTCATAGTATAGTATGATAAAAATGTCATAGTATAGTATGATAAAAATGTAATATTTTAGTGTGAAAAAAAATCTCATAATATAGTATGATAAAGATGTAATAGTATAGTATGATAAAACTGCCATAGTATAGTATGTTCAAAATTTCATATTTCATTGTGTGAAAAAAAAAAATATTGTTCTAAATACATATCATAGTTTAGTTTAATCAAAATAAGTCATAGTATAGTATGTTAAAAATTTTATATTTAAGCATGAGAAAAAAACATGTCATTGTATACTATGATAAAAATGTTATAGTATAGTATGTTAAAAATTTCATATTCTTGCATAAAAAAAATCTAATTTTAGTATTAAAAAATCATAGTATAGTATGATAAAAATGCCACAGTATAGTATGATGGCGCTACAACATATAGACGTAAGTTGGATATCAAATTGTCTGCCGCTGGACCGTCATTAAATAACTAAAATCTGGTGGAGGTAGAACCAGTGTACGGGAATTTATGCAGGAAACTCCCCAAGTATGAAAACTGTAGGGTGTGCTAAAGAGTCTTTTTTGTCATATATATAGAGACACAGCAAAATAATTTGAGCCGGGCCCGACCTGTCTGCCAAATTTCATGAGGCTTTGAGCCTGTCTAGGGTGTTTTTAGGTTGAAAAACTTTTATTAATAATAACAACAAAAATAAATAATTCCTGCAATTTCAATAGGGCACAAGCTGACACTGCAAGCAGCGGGTGCGATATCTGGCTGTAGCATTTTATGTCAATTGGGTGGATTTGAAAAAGTGCATTTTTCTTCATGTTGACTAGACCTTCAAATAACTTAACCAAAAAAAATCAAGGATACTGGCAGCTCCTCTTATTTCATTTTCCACCTTACCTCGACCTCTGCAGGGCTTCCTCATCTGGGTCTTGCACTGCATGGAGAGACGAGAACAGAAGGATTTGGTCAGGATGATTACTGAGTCTGATCAAGGAGTGAGGATCAGCAGAGATGAGGAACAAGAGGTAAGTCATGTTGAAAGAATATAAAGGAAGAAGGGAAGGATTATTGAGTGTACTGACAGTATTCGGTGCCAGTGATGTGGGCCAGGATCCTGAAGCTCTTAGACTGGAGGTTGGCAGCACGACGAGCCCATTCAGACATGTCCTGCGTTTTTTCTCCTGGCCTGATCACTGCCTGGTAAACTGGAGATGCACAGTCTACCACGGGGTCCTTTACGGGCAGAGCTCCACTGTGGGTGCAGACAGTAGTGTTACATCCCTGACTATGTAGTGTGCACAGTTCATAGAGGGCCTAAATGTTATAGGTGTTCATAATGTACCAAATGCCCACAATGCCTCACAGGTTATGTGTCGCTGTAATGAAGCGCTTGTGTGCCAATTTAACCAGACACACTCTATGAACAATTCAGTCTTTATTTTCTTTGACTAAATACTTCCAAACTACTCTACAAATACCATCTGTGGTTATTTACAACTGGGTAGTCGAGCATCAGAGCATCAAGAGGAAGACATGAAATCTTTCAGTTGACTGAAGGAGCTGAAATCCACTTTCCAGTTTATCGGCCTCTCATCGGAGATCCAAAAAAAAAAGTAATTCACCCCCCACAGGTTGAGTAAATTGATTCTGATATTATTCAAAGTCAACTCCTGATCACTTTTTATTGATTAAGTTACATGACAGAAAAGTAGTTTGAATTACCTTCATCCCTATATGCAAATCTGACACTGGTGATTCTTACAGACTAGTGTGTCAGTATTTGTAATCTGTTATGTAACTATTATAATTATGATACTTTTACCTGAATATTCATGGCTTTTTATGTGATTTTATGTTTCAGTACAACTTCAAATATTTTTCCTTCAAACTTGATTTCTGGTCAAAAAGAAACTTCATGTCAACATGGGCAGTTTTTACATCATGATCACTTATTACATTTAGGTTGCAGAACACAGTCATTTGATTAATCATGAATGTTGTCTTTGTTTTTGTATAGCTCATGGTACCTGTAAGTGTAGTTTACTTTAGATATTAGAGGGAGTTCATACAGCAGCATAACTGTGTACTATATTTCACCAGAATTTTTTAATCATTGTTAGACAAATAGTTTGATATTAATTAGGCGATTTTCCTTGAAAAACTTCCGTTGGACTCCACGAACATTCCCATGCCCTAAAACCCCATCAGGTGTCCAGCACTGTGTTGATCTCGGTTGCTTTGCTTGTTGGGAAAAAAAAAACCTCAACACTCTCACAATTTGGCCAAGGTACCTTGAGGTACTTCCACACACATGACCAAATCCTTGAAGGCCTTGTGGTTAGTGAGTTTGTGAAATCATGAAAACTTTAGTGTGACGGATTAAACCTCAAAAACACACGAAATGACATGAAGAGAAAACATTTGTGGATTAAAAAATCTGATCAGTGGGATATTAACGAGACACACGGAGCGGTGCACAAGCTGTTAAGATATATGAGACAAAGGAGACACGGGTACGAGGAGAGGCGGGATGGAAAAGGAGCGCTGCTCTACTTACGCCAAGGGAGAGCCGGCCTCCTCACTGAGATCACAACCAGGAGGGGAGGATGGGGAGGGATGGGTGGAGGACAGCACAGGTGTGGTTGGTTGTTTGTTTGTGGATGGAATGAGGAGAGGAGAGTGGGTGAAAGGCACAGAGGAGTTCGGGGCACGGACACAGACAACACGGAAAAGCCCAGGCATACAGTAAAGGAGACATCAGAGTCGCTGCAGCCTCGGCTAAACATAGATTTCTATGTTTGAACGCTGCTGTCTCTGTTGGGCTTTTCAGCAGAAGTATGGTGAAGGGCTCGTTCATCCAAAAATCATATAATGTCACTTACTCCAAAAGTTCTCAGCCATGTAGATATCTTTATTTTGTTTGCCAAAACTTTCCCTGATACAACTTTACCTCATCCTCGATACAACAGAGTCAGAATGAGAAAGAACTGCATTTTCTTTTTCTGTTAGTTTGGTGTGGTGAACTTTGACATATATAAGAAAGGCTTATGACGGTCTTTGTGGATGTTTTTGTGTCTATCAGCTGTCTAACTTGGCTAAAAGACTGGCTGTGAGTGAGACCACCTATTACAAAGTTGGCTGAGGAATTTTACATCGGTGGGAAAGGCAGAAATGCTCTTCGTTTCAACATAACTTAAGTTGCACATGATTTCCAAACTGTTTGGTTTGTTAAAAACATCTAAAATGGCAAAATGAGGCAGAAATTTATATTGAAAATAAATATTCATATATGTTATTGCTATATGTTATTATAGTAATCCTTATAATAGAAATATTACTAATAAAACATACATGGAAGGATTAAATGTTTTATTTAATATAACTGCCTTGTGTGTGTGTAGGCCTATAGCTATTGCTCGACCTATCTGCTTAATGTTTATTTATGAAAATCCATGGTTAAAATTATTCTTGAGTTTGCAGAAACATAACTAAAACTCTGAGGTTTGTTACAAAACATACCGTTTGAACATCGGTTTAAAATTAATCAATCTATGGTTATTTAAATACTGCATGCACCATCCATAGACTGTAATGTTTTGAGTGGGTTAGCTGCCTGAAGCAAGATGGCCGCCATGTACGGCCGTCGGTCTCTGAAGACTATCGGCGCGCCTAATCCATCTAGTGTTTATACATCTACATCTATGTTGGTGAATGTCTGTGAAAACTACCCATGAGCCCCACTAATGTTGCTATTAAACACTGACCCAACACCAGTAATTGACATGATTGTAACTTTATTCCATACCTGGGAGAAATAGTTAAACTTTGTTTTGCCTAGAACAGTACTTGACTTCACTTTCCCGAAGCCAGTGAAAGTAACTTTATGGACTTTGAGGGTCAAAGGACGTTAAGCTGAGAGCTAAACCTTCTGTACGAAGTAGCACCAAATGAAAAGTACGGACAAATACCTCTTGCAGAACTCTTTTTTCAACCTCATAACGGTCAACTGCAAGAAATCAATCTCCATTTAATTCCCTCAGAATATCTTCATGGTTAAAAACTACTGTTAGTAAGTGAGAAATATACTTGTTTACATTTGGGTGAACTAACCCTTTAGTTTCACATCAGGCGGGCCGTTTTATTGATGTAATGTAATGTGGTGTAAAGTGTGTGGGTGAAGGGAGCTTGTAAAAGGACCAGAGAGTCAGAGAGTTTCGTTATGTGACCTCACCTGTCGTGTCCCTTGGCCTGTGACTGCCCTGCGATGGCGTCCATGATGGCGTCCTGCGAGTACATGCTGATTGGTGTGTTGTATTGGGCGTGAATGATGGTGGCTTTTCCTCCAGGGCCCTTCACCTCAATGGGCTTGTGGGTGGACAGGGCAGAGTCTTTCAGGGCGATGGGGTTGAAGCTTGGGGTGTACTCCACACTGTCAGTGTCAGGGTCAGAGGTCAGTGGGTCGAGGAGGAGGTGGGGAGTCGAGGGCGGTGTCAGGTGGAGGGGTGAAGATGAGAGGTTAATGGACAGGGCGAGGAGATGGGAATATGAGAGGGAAGAAATGTAGAGAAAACACCAGAGTGAGGGGACGAAACTGTGTCAGCGTGTCATCATGTAATCGCTGTTGCACAACCACAACTTCAAATACACAGAAAATACACACCTTAAACATTACACTGGCTGTGTCCAAGTTCCAAACTACATATTGTTTTAACGCAATTATCTATAGAATAAGGTTTTAAAGTTGGGGTAGGCAGGAATCTGTCAAAGAAGCACCTTTTTTTGTGGTGTATAAACAAAAAAGCTTTTAATATCAGTCAATAGCTATTAGTTATTGATGACATTTGGGAATATAATGATATCGCTGTGTTCTCTTCTGTCTGTGTCGTCAACATTTTACATTTTTTGTAACAAATCCCTGACTGTTAACAAAGCCGTTCAAAGCCATTCTCCGCCTCCCCCAACCTGATTGGTTGTGAGTCATTTAAAGCTCCTGTAAGTAATTTTTAGATGTTTACAAAATCAGCTGAAATTCACATTAATGCCTTTTTATGATAAATATAAGCAAACAACACCACCTTTGACAAGACTGATGATTTTTAAATTGTAATGTCTAAGTTCCTCACTGGAGCTTTAACTTCGAAATTGGTTGTTTATTTTTCATTACCAGCTTTTTGTACACCACTGGGACGCAGCATGTCCATGGAAGAACTTTGAGGCCTTAGCAGTGGTTACTAAGAGCTTAATAAGGAGCAACAGTTCATGTTAAAAGCTATCAAAGTGAAACTAAACATGCTGAGGTTTAGGAAAACCACCAGGCAAATCTCCAACTTGTGGAGTTTATCTCTCTAATTTAGCATTAAGGCCAGATTACGAAAGAAAAACATGGAATTTTGAAAAAAAAGGAACTCACAGTGATAAAGTTTCGAGTTTTTTTGGAATAAAATCATAGTTTTACTCTACAACTGGCCTCTGTGTCATTTTCAAGAGCAACAAAACAACCCTCTTGAAAAGGCTTTGACACATTTCAAGGCCATAATGAAAAAGGGCAGCCTAATGCAACTGCTGTTTGACCTTAGCTGTTAAGTTGGACTTCACATGCTGACCTATGTTTGTTACTGTCGTGCAGGTAGTTGTCTGCCCTTTTAATATCTCTCTGTTTATTTTTTACATGAAGACTAACTAAAACAAAAAACAAACTCTGTCATCATAGTTTAGTTTAGCACAAGTATTTTTGTCTTTCCACTTCTTGGGCCTTAGTGCTGTTAGGAACACACAGTTAAATCAGCCACCAAGTAGTGTAAGTATTAAAGTAAAAACAATAAAAAAGCATTCTCTAAAACTTTTGTTTGACTTGATATGAACTAATCACGGGTCACAACATCACTCCACACCAAAATGACCAGTTATCAAACATTCAAAGCTACAACTCTCTCTACTGGAGCAACCTCCATGCACATTCACTTCGGAGAAACATGACAGTACTAACGTTGCAGCTGTGTTGGCGATGACCTGAAACACACCACACAGAGAAAGAGGGAGAGATGGAGAGAATGTAATGAATCACCACAGGTATTTCCGCGCTAACAATGGCGTCCTGTGTCTTTATAGGAAACTATCTAGCTCCACTGATTCACTGTAATCCCATGTACAGATCAAAATAGTCGTCATTTCTCATCACTGGGATATTTACCAGCTACCCCTGCATCACCAGCAGTGACTGACAACAGCAGGGGCGTCCTGATCACATGACACGGACAGGGACACATTTAGCACAGAACGGACGCAAATACACGACACACACAACACCTGATCTACTCATGGTAGGACTTCAAAAACACTGTGTATTACTTCTCATCCAATCTAGCAGAGAAACCTGCCCTGCAGAAGCAGTTTAGGTTTCAAATTAATGCTGCGATTAAAAAACACAAATTCCAGGAAGAGAAGACGTGTTTGGAGCTGTGGTGTCATCAGATGCTCTAAAAAATAACTCAGCCAGAGGAAAATATAAGGTATAAAATTAAAAACCTAGAAGCTACTTTTAAAAACCTTTGAAATTAATTTCTACAGTTTTTGTACCAAACATTGCAGACCTGTAAAGAGTCCGAAACCTGCTGATTTCTTTGTGTCTACAAGGTTACTGTACACACGGTACACAAAGTTTAACTTGGTGCCAGGTAACAGAAGCAGACTAAGTATAAACCACCCAAAAGCTTTTGTGTGTTACTCTTGTGTGTTTATGAAACTACCTTTTCTAAATTTTCACAATAAATTCCCAAGCAAAACTTAACCCAATTCCAGGTAGCCTTTTGTATCATATTTGATACATACTTTTATGATACTTCCATCAAATCAATATGATCGACAAATTACTAAAAAAACACCTGTATACAGTCTGATAAGTGATAAAAATGTCCTCTTGTGGTTTATCCGTTTCCGAAAACATCAAATGTATCAAACAAGATAAATAAATATATTTGTTAAATTATATCAATCAATCAGTTAAACTTTATTTTTAAAGCACTTTTCATACATATAATGTTGCACAAAGTGCTGTCCATTCACGCAGGATAATAAAAAAACTATGAAATAGAATAAATAAAAATACAAATATCAAACCCCGCCCACCCTCCCAACCCCCATTCAACACATACAGCACTCACACACAGAGATGCATAGACTGGGACTATCTTGGTTAAAAAAAGATGAGGAAACACTGGATCTCGGACTAAATGATAAAACCGTGATAAAATATAATAAAGGTGATAAAGCGTTAAAAGTTAATGAAATAAAAGTCTTAAAATCAAACATCGAAAGAGAGTAAATAAAAAAAGGTTATAAAACACAAAAGAATTACTCTAGGACTAAAATAGCCTAAAATCATATAATGCGGATTAAAAGATTAAAACAAATTTTAGCTAAAAACCAGATTAAAAAGGTAGGTCTTTAGTTTACTTTTGATTTTTTTTATGTTTACAAGTGAAATAAACATTTCAACTCCAAAAAAATATTTGAATTTTCTAGCCATAATTTGTGGTTTCAGGCAATAAAGGGTTAAGTTAGCAAAAACCTATAGACAGTTTTGGATTGAGACTTATTGCATGCTTGACATTACACACATAAACCCTAAATTACATGAGTAGGACTGCAGATGAACTTTGTCTGTTGAACCCCCAAATCTTTGTTTTTTATCACCACTTTAAGGGTATTTTGTATTTGGGTTAAGGATAAAAGCTTGAGAGTGTATCCTAGAGTATTTATCAAAGTTGTCCATACAGTACATGATGTGTTCAGGGTACACTGAGTGAAGCCGAATGTGCTGGACAGTCGCCTCACACGTGAGACATCTCCCCACGGAGAGGAAGAGCTATCTCAGGTACGGCATCTCAGGGATTCAGGATGATGGTGTGTAACCGGAGCGGAACATTCCATGACCATGTTCAACAGCTGCTCTCTCCTGTGTTGTATGTCCGCCCATGTGTGTGTGTGTGTGTGTGTGTGTAATCAGAGTGTTCATGTACTGGGTGAGGTGGGGCCGCTGGCATGATACTGTCGTCATCACCCTGCGGTCTGCCCAGAGCACGTTTACTGCCTCCTGACTTAACGCTGGCTGTAGCTGTGAAGCTGCTGGGCTCCAGAGGGGAAACACATTAGTGAGTGCTGATACCTGGACGGGATATGTCAGAGGCCAGGAAGTTTGTGCCCTCAATTAACTTCTGCAAGTTTTCCATGGCTGAGGGTTTACTCATACTCATGCCATCTCGCTGAGGCCAGTTCCCTCAATACGGTACAGCTGAACTTTTGTCATTGCAACATACAGTATGGTCAGGATTAAGACATACACTCTGAGCCCAATTTGAACCGACTGATAAAGCTGCAAGTCAGTTGAGTTGTATGTTTTATATGTAAAATTTGTCAAACTTTGGTAAAGCTTGATTCGAAGTTTTGTAATGGAAAATCAAAAAATACAATTTCAGTTAATCATCTGTAAATATCTTTGTTTAGAAATACAATAAATCATATCTAGGTTCAATTTTGACAACAGGTTTCATGTGTATGCTTTAAAAAAACAATTATATAAACTTTATCAATAATAATGACTTTAAAAAAGTACACATTTTCAAAGAAATGTCGCTGAAGAAAGATGATTTTCTATCATAGCAAGAACAGTTCAATGAGCACAGTTTCACACTGAAACAAAAAGATTAATTTGAAATCGGGAACAAGGTCTACATGTCCTAAAATTTAATATCTCATCACTACAAACTGAGGAGAAGCAATAAATAATAATAATAATATAGAATAAACATAAAACGCCTGTTACATACATAACAGTGATGCCTGGTCATTGATTTGATACTTCAGAGCCTCTGGGTGTTTGTAGTTCTGCATGGTTTGGTTGGTAAAGTGCAAATTAAACACATTTATATAGAGTTTCAAATGATGTTGTTGTGGTTTAATGCAAATGTAATCGGTTGACTGCTTCTCAGAAGTGTTGGTTCATTTATATTCAGTATGTCTCTCCTGCTTTTCTCTATTTATCATCTTTTCAGATCATCACAATGTGACGGTGAAAAATAATTTGAGCATTCAACACAACATAACATACTGGAAAAGTGGCAAATGTGGTGTGGAATAGTGAAACTATATTTGGCTTCTCGAGTTGAATTTTAGAAATATGAACCAAGTTAGGAATTTTGAATTTTCCAAGGACACTTAAGTTCCCCATTTTTTTGTGCAATTGTCATCCTTTCATAACCTCACCAATAATTCAAACCCACAAAATACGGTTTAAAAGCAAAATTCAAAAAACAAGATTAAAAAGATTAACATTTGTGACAGTCTCGAAGAAAAGAGGGAGATTCATTTGCCTGAAGATAAAAAACATCGAAGAGGAAATTAAAAAAACAAAAAACCTCCCATTAAAGATTTTCCTTTTCGCAGCATCATCTCTCTGATTTCATGTTTATTTCAAAGTAAATGACCTTGCACCATTCACGAGAACTAAATAAGCCTTTTCATTTTATTTCCTTTTATTCTGAATTCTGAAGGATTTTATCATCACTAAAAAAAACAAACTCTGAGACCCCACGACCTTTGGTGCAGTATCTCAGATCAGTCATGTTGAGCCTGAGGCGACCCTGCACTCTGATCTGCTGCTATTCTGTAACCTGGAGGCCGGCCCGGTATGTTTGTGTGTACACTCCAGCTGTAATTCCACGTGTGAGAGGAGTGACTGTCCAGTGAGTGTTGGGTTAAATGAGGAGGGGTTTATATGCATTTTATCTAATTCCTCAAAAATAATGATGAGCAGTATTTTTGTTTATGTGTGTTGCATCAGCACAGTAGGTGGTCTTTATTTTGGGAGGGTTGAATCTTCTCATCGCATTATGTAACCGCAGGCTATTTATCCCTGCGGTAACCTACCCCTGAGACGAAGCTTCAGATATCCCTCCTAACTTTCCCTGTATCAGCAGCTTTTCTCTGAGAGTTTTGGGGGAGTTAAGGTCGACCGGGGAATTGCAAAGCCCCGGCTAACTTGATGGAGCTGTGGCAGATAGTGTTGAAGAAAAAGCTTTAAAGTTGTAGATCTTTTTAGGGACTGCAAAGAGATTTCTTTATCTCCTACAGACGATCAAGAAATCCGTCTAAATCAGTCTAAAGTTGAAGCAAAATTATGCTTCAACTTTAGACTGTTTTGTCTATATTTCTCATTTTCTGACTTCTGCTCCCTGCAGTTTTCATACCTGACACTAGAGGGCAGCAGGACCCTACCAGTTGGTGTTGATATCCTCACACACAAAAATGATTAGATTACAGACAGGCAAACAAAGGTGTGAGTATGCACATTGATTTATCGTGTTTGCTGGTGAAGTTTTCATTTGTCTGTTTGCTCATTTCTGTTGTGGGTGTTTTTTTTTTGTACCTTCTGGTGGGGGATGATTGGCATGGGTGAATCCATTCGTGGAGTAGCTGTGGGAACTGGTGCAGGACGTCTTGATCTGAAGATTAAAGAATGAAAAACTCTTTGAAACAATCATCAAATTTCTTATTTTTCACACAAAAAATGTGACAAACACGCTCTCGATCAATATCTCTGTTGTGTGTCCATCCTAAGTGCTTTTGGTGGGTGCATTTTTTTGCCTTTTATAACTAAATATTTATAATCTCTCCTCGAGTTTTTAAGTGTTTTGCTGAAAGTGCTGCTGGTTGTTTACTTCTGCATGGTGAGTGCCAGTTTGTGGACAGCGGACTTGATCTTGTTCTGGGCCTCCAGGTGTGTCATCCCCTCAGTGCTGACCCCGTCGATGGCTGAGATGATGTCTCCCTGGGCCAGATTGGCACTCACCGCCTTGCTGCCCGGAGTTATCTATGGAGAGGTCAAAAGAGCAGGTCACACTGAGACCACTGACACAGATTCCTCAGAGGAGAAAACAAGCAAGTAAAAAATATTTGTAGCTACGACCACTTTTGGTTGATTAGATTTTGGATGCTAGATTAAGGCTTATTTACTGATCTTCTACACACTGAGTAAATTAGTCTTTAGTCACATTTATATCTTAAGTTTTCCTTTCTCTGTTTCTTTTTTAACTCCTACAAGAGGGAATTAAAAGTAAAAAGACCCATGAGGTGGCAAAGACAGCAAAGACACAGATGAATTTTAGTTTTAAAAAAGTGAGGAGCACAAAAGTTTGATTTTTAAAGACTGTACTAAAGGAAGGAAAAAGACTGTGTTGAAACCTGTATTATAGCTGATGGCCAGCAGGGGGCAACTTGACTGTCAAAACAAGTCTAGTTCTATGGAACCACTTTTCACCATCATTCCAAGTCTTCTTTAACACAGCAGGATATCAGTTTTGATTGAAGTTTTGCTCTTCACTGATTTTCTCCTGTTATGAATAATTAATGTTTTTAAACACGCACATTTAAAATCTCATCCTGCTCCTTTCAAACAGTAAAAATGTACCACTCCGAGAAGTTTTGCTATAAAACGTGAGTAAAAAAAAGTTTGTCTTTTGGTCTGACATTAACTTCCCTACCCCCTTTTAGACATAAAAAGTAACCCTACAAAGACAGAGACTATATATTTTTTCCTTTAATGGTCTTTTCTACCACCTCAGATCATAAAAAGACACCAGTGTCAGTTTCAGTGTGTTTAATAACAAACCAAAAACTACTCACAGTAGCTTTAAAAAGTCATATTCACATAAATTATGGGGTTTATTGAAGTCAATGATGGAGGACTCTCAACGCTGAACGTAGAAACCATCCTCTTTAATATGGCCACTAAAACTTCAGAGAAAATATCTCATTTTGCCGACTTATAACAATGAAGTTGATCATTCATTGTGAATAATTTGTTGGAAAATGTTAAAACACGGCTGTTTCTGCTCGGCTGACACCTACCCCCTTCGCATTGTTTTCAACATTACGAATCACACGATGAAAATCATCGATCTTGTCCCTGATGGTCTTGTTTGGTTAGGTCTTTTCAGTCCAAAGCCCGTGTTAAGACTGAGTCAAGTTATTGTGTAAAAAAAGAAAAAGGCACATTTTCATTATTGTGTCGAACTGTCCTCCTATCCTCTGAATCATCACTCACAATGACTATTTTATGGTGGCAGTTTCAGGCATTAAAAAATTACTGTATAGGATTTGACACTGGTTACTGTATGGCTTGTTTGCTCCCTGTTTCATAACCAGATCAAAGTTTATCCCAGGAGCTTCACAGTTTATACTTTTTTTTTTTGTAGCATCAAAATAGCCCACTTCAGATATCAGTCATATGTTGACCTTCAGCTGAGTCCTCGTGCTCCTGGCTCGATCTCCCACAAAGCCTGACTTAAACTCCGCAGAGAGGAGGTTTAAATGAGCTCAGAGGCCTGCAGGGACATACAGTATTGGGTCTAGGCTTACAGTCGACTCGTTAAAGAGTTAAAAATAAAGTAAATGCTGTTGATGCCTGCCTGCCTGGCTTCTTCACTGTGATTGACCCAGCTGAGCCCCTCCCAAACATACATAAATACACACAGACACACACACACATACACACTCAACCCCTCCCACGCACCTGCTCCTGACATTCACACGCCACTTCCTCAATTCCCTCCTTGCCTTTTTCATGAACCCTCATCTTGAATCCCCTTCGTTTCCCACATAAAACAGTCTTCTACTCTGCATCTAAGCTCCTCTTGTCGATTTTTCTGTCCTCACATTTCATTCATTGTGTCGGTTTGCAGAGAGCAGAGGGGACAGTAGGTGGCGGTGTGGTGTGGGAGGTGAAATCAGGTGGAGAAAATGTTTTTTTTTTCTGCACTGTTTCCTCTGTCTAATCAAACACACATGTTGACACGTTACGCCGCCGACCGCTCTGTCATGCGTGTTTTCATACTCATCAAACAGGAAGTGGATAAAAGGGTGAGTCTTTGATAATTGGATAATAATGAAAAGGAAACACTGGCTCGGATTTTGAAGTGTTTGTCTTCTTTCAGCCTATCACAGGAGAGCTGTTTTTTGAGGGCTCAAAACAGCATGTAAATATACTTTAGTGTTTATAATGACATGCGAGGCAGCTTTTTCAGCTTTTTTTGTTGTTGTTTTAGTCTTTAAAGCCCTCCTACTTTCATGTTTTGTCCTCAGACATGAAACATAACTCAGATGTGGCTGATATTCGATGGTCAGTCTGGCTAACAAGACGTCAGAAATCCTCTGTCCTCATTCCCCTTTCCTTTCTTAGTTCTTAGCAAAAGCAGGCAGAAATCAAAACCTGGCAGTGTTACGTCAAACTGTAACTGCACCCCGAGGTGTCAGGTCAAGCTGGAGTGTTTTATGATAACCTGTCAGAGCCTGACATGACCACAGTATGACCACAAATCCAACAACGCCATGTCCCGGCGGACACGGATCAAAGCTTCCCTCCCTTGGCTGTATAAGACAGAGGGATCAGGAGACAATAAAGTGACACATGTAGGGCTGTGGATCGATGAAAGCGCAGGACGATCACCAACTGAGAATCACTCAAGGGTGAAGAATGAGGAGCTGAAAGTCAGGGGGGACAGACTTGCTACCAGATCTATCAAACCCCCCATTTGTCTGTTCTCCACAATGCTTAGAGTCCGACTCATAAAGATAAAACTCAAACCAAGCGTCCAGCAATAACAAAGGCTTATTAAAGATAACATTAGTTCCTCCTCTCTCCTTGCTTCTTTCCTGCCCCTGTTCCCCTTTCCAAGCCCTCTCCATCCATCTCTATCCACCTCTCCTCCAGAGCTATTTAAAGAAAACGCTGTAAATACACCCGCAGTCCTGCCAGAGAGAGACACCCTGTCTCTCTTTTACTGGAAACTTCAGTTCATCTTAAACCCACCTTTTTTTAGACAAATAGCTACTAACACTGGTATTGAAATATTGAACGCTTAAATATTTGTTTTCAGTCAGTTTTATAATGAAAGTACAAACTGTCACTTTTCATGTATAGATAAATATTTTTAGATTTTTTTGACTGCAGACAAAATCACTAAATCAGTCAGTGTGAATTGTGAATGGTTAAATGTGACAATGCCAAAACCGTCAATGTTACTCCTCTATGCTGATGATACAGTGATGTCCGTAAACCTGAGATCTTATTGCAGTAAAACTTGATTTTTTAGACATTTTTTAAAAATATCTCCCAGCTCTAAAAGTTGAGTGATGCAGCGACGCCTCCACTCCAGTAGGACTATTTCGGTCTTTCCACTGTCCCTCTATTCTCGAAATCTCTGTGGAGATTACATCTGAGCTCCCCTCTGTCATCATCATCACATACAGCAACATTACATAACCCCAGCTCTGCTCAGACACACACACACACACCTGCGCACACATCACATGCAAATGAATTTACATTACATTTGGATCGATTTAAACATGCCAATTCGTACCGTCAGATCTGCCGATGTCCTGACGAAAGACTTACGATCGCTTCACTTCAAAAAAATTTACACTAATTTTAGGGACTACTTATTTTCTCTTTGGAGTAGAATCACTTTCACTTTGTTTTGCAGCAGGAATTGATTCTTTTTATTATCTAAAAACCAATTTTTTTCAGGCTTGATACAAGTTTGCTGAGATAATTTCACTTGTTTTTACCTGCACATCACAAATGTTGCAAAAACTCTGATTTCATTGGTTGATCTGGGCGTGCTCAGTTCTGTGTTTGCATCGCATTAATTGATTTCTCTTAGAGCAATTAGAGCATTTAAGTGGCACATCCTAAGTTCACGATCTTCATGTTGCGTTCCTGCTGCTGCTGTGTCGTTTTGTCACGGTAGATTAGTAGTTTCAATGTCACATTGTGTATTTCTTTGGGTTTATTTATAAGTTGCTTTGTCACAACAAATCTCCCTCTATACAGGGCGACTGTGTCCTTACCCTGGAGATGGTGAGTGGCATGTTGAAGTCTTTTCCTCCCTGTAGTCTGAAGCCCCATGGAGCGGGGCCATTCAGAGTCACTGTGTACGTACTCATCTTCGGTTAGACGTCAACACTCCTCCTTCAGACAACTCCTGCTGGCTATGTGGCTTCTCCTCCTGCTTTGGTGTGCCCTCGTTCTCCTCGTCCTCCTCCTGCTATCCTTTTTGTCCCTGACGGCGCCTTGCTGCTCGCTTATCCTCCGTCAGCCCTGGTTTCTCTACCGCCTCTCCCCGTCTGCTCCCAGCTCTCAGGACAAACACCCTGGGGTGGTGGGTGGTGGTGGTGGGTGGGTCAGGTGCTGTGGAACCTCTGTGACAACACACACAAACATGCATTCGTGCACACAAATACACACATGAATAGATGGACACACGCAGTAGAAGAGTACAGAGCCAAGCTGAGCAGCTGCAGGAAAAAACAGCCACCAAAAAAACGTCTTACCCAGAAATCAGATATTTTAAAATCTGAGCATTAGAAGAGCTTAAAAGTCAATTTAAAAGTCAACTTTAAAGGAGAAGAGTTTCTTGCCTGCAGAGTTGCTGAGGGTTAGGGACACACAGCCTAAGAATAGCTGAGGTGAGCAGAGACACAGGGGCCCTGGCCCCTTATAAGGCCTGTAACACGAAGCCCCAGAATGCTTCACTGCCGATTCACATGGCCAATATAGACCCCTCTTACTGCAACACATTCTCCCTCTCTCTCCCTGCGTCTCTCTCTCCTACACTCTCTTATTCTGCTATCACTTCATGCTGCTAGCACCTTATTATCTGTAATCAGCCTCTGTGCGCGGATGACAGTCGCTCTGCAGCCTTACAGTCTTTGCTAGGAGAGGGAAACGACAAATTACTCTGCGTTGATTCCCTAAAAACACTGCCACCGAGCTGATGCCGCTGCCAGCCCTCTGTTTTTGTGTGTGTGTATATGTGTGTGTGTTTGTGTGTGTGTGTGTGTCTGTCATATGGAGCAATTCAATTAGCAGGAAAACCACAGCTGTTAAGGTTAAGTGAACAAAAACAGCAGATTAGGACATAGGTGTTCACAGGCCTGTTGCATTTATTTTTCTTTAAAATCAGGTCTTAAAAATTGTGTAAATATTAATCCTACACACACACACACACACACACACACACACACACACACACACACACACATTGTAGAGGTTGTCGACAGGTGTAAATGTAAACAGGCGGCTTTGAAAGCTGACAAAGATCGATTCAGAAACTCTTAATGGATCCAATCTTTCTTTTTTTATCTGGAACTAAAGGTCCAGACACCGATACTCAGATGGAGATCATTAATACTTAATTTTTGAGGCTTTTGCACCTCAGTTAGTTAAAAGAGCTGGAGAGCGACAGGAAATGTGGGAACTAGAGAGCAGGTGAAGAAATGCAGGAAAGGGTCGAGGCCAGGAGCTGAACCAGCAACTGCTGTGACAAGGACTGACCTGCTCACCTCCTCTTCATCATCAGCGGTGTCAGAATCCATTTCTGAATCTTGTGACTGTGGTGATTTGAACGTTACTCCCTGATATCACTGATATAGACAAGTTTGGTGTGTGGTCTAATTTACAGCTGCTCTCTACGTTTGTGCATTTTTGCTTTGTGACATTTGTGTACTTGCAGCATGTTTTTTGCACTTAGTTGACCCTTGTCAACCACCGTACTCTAGCCTCTGTACACAGAGTGCAAGCTTTCTTGGCTATGACATCTTGTCTGAGTCTTCCTCTCTATTTTTTGAGTGGTAATAGAGACGTTGCTTGAGTCCAAGTCTTCACTTCTCGAGTCCATAAGTCCTGGACTTGAGTGCTGCAATACTGACCGGTGCAACTATCATACCAGTATTAAATGCTGATAGAGTAATGCTAATGTTTCTTTGGTATTTTACTCGTGTCCATATTAAAGGGAAGTTCAGGCGTAAAATTAATTTAGGGTCAAACACACCGTAGCAGTGAGTTAGACACCCCCTCGAGCGATTATTGTTGCCAGCCGCTTGCTTCTCTAGTTATACCAACTTTAGTAATGACCGCAGGATAGCAATACAGAGAGCCACGTACTCAACCAGAAAGCCACTCTATAGCCACAAATAATGCTCAGAACAGCATCTAACTTCATCAACAGTACATATAGGGTCCCAGCCACAGTACTAGCCACCAAACATCTTTTTAGCTTTGCCTAATTTCTTTAGCAAAGAGACTAAACAGAACTCACTCACTCTCTTCCAGCAGCAGTTTGTTTGTAGCGAGACCTCAGGCGAGTCCACCACTGCAGCGGGGTGACGCAGCTCAAGGAAGAACATTTATGATCATTTCTTTATGGAAATGCAATCAGACTGAGACGTTAAGGCAGAAGAACTACCGCATCTGCAGTGCAAAATTATTAATATGATGATTATTACTTAAAGGAAATGATAAAAAAATGATCATAAATGTTCTTCCTTAAGCTGCATCACCCTGCTGTAGTTGATGGACTGGCTTGAGGTCTCAATACAAAAAAGCGGCTGCTGGAAGAGAGTAGGTGAGTTGTGTTTAGTCTCTTTGCTAAAGAAATCAGGCAAAGTTTAAAAGATGTTTGGTGGCTAGTACTATGGCTGAGACACTACATGTACTGTTGATGAAGTTAGGTGCTGTTCTGAGCATTATTTGTGTCTATAGAGTGGCGTTTTGGTTGAGGTTTGTTTATGACTCCTCAGACTGCTGCGTATTGCTATCATGCGGTGGTTACTACAGTTGGTATAACTAGAGAAGCAAGCTGTCGGCAACATTCATCTCTTAAGGGGTGTCTAACCTCGATGTTACAGTATATTTGATCATAACTTATTTTTACGACAGAATATCCCTTTAACAAGCAACCACTCTGCAGAGGGAGGTGACCCCTGAGTCCTGCGCCGTTATGTGAGCTAAAGCTAATGCGTTCACACAGTCAGGCTGTACCCCACAACTCCAAACTGGCTGGACACCAGAAAGAGCTTTACACATGAATAGAATCTGCACCTTGCTGATTTTGCTGAAAGCAGTAGAAGTTCCATTAAAGTAGGAGAGCTTAGACTGTTTCCCCTCTAGGACCCTTTTAAAAAAAAACTGTCTGTGTGACTCCTACATGTGATCACTTTTAGCAAAATGTGAAGCCTGTGTGGAAAATGATGGTTTTATATGGGCTTTAGATTTCCCACCACAACATTTTTCCAGAACCCAACATTTGCATCCCATGAGCAGTTTTCGCACACAGAAACATATGTGTTCCTCAAAGTTAACGAAAGGCTACGAGCGATTTAACACGTTCACTCCGTTTGTCGTCAGAGGAAAATTCTTATCGAGTCACAATTACATATAATAAATTGAAAAACGTGCTTATGCGTGACTTTTTTGTGCACATTTTAAGCCGATCAATTACTGTGACTTCCTATGCATGCACAGTTTAAGAGCCCCTTCACACGGCTCCACTTCAGCCTTTCCTCCCCGACCACAGACACACATGATGAAACACAGACATGCATGGGCACACACGCCTGGTGGAATTTACTTTCCAGCAATGATGTGAGAGATAACAAGCATGATTACACACCGCAGAGGACACCGAGGCTCTTTTGTGGCTCCTGCCCTTCACCTCTGAGCAAATCGCGTGACTGCACACATTTGCACACGCACACACACACTCACACAGACAGAAAGATGTGCTGGAGAGCCTGCAGGCCTGCTAATGCAGCATGTCCTCACACAGGTTACTGCTCTGTGTGAGAGACTGTGAGCTGAGATGGACTCGGGCAAACCAAAATGTCAGAAGACAGAGCAGCTTCAAGAAACCGGTGATGTAAAGCTAACTTTAAGGTTGGTGTGGCCTTAATTTTTCAGTCCTGCTGATTTTCCCTCTTTATGATCGGGAGGATAAGACCCGACCTGAGGAAGCACACAACACAGGCTCCTGATACAGGCTCTTGTGATATGTCCGTGTAGATTCTCATACATCCAGGTCATGGTTTTCTTTAAGACTTAAAAACAGGCAACTGGACTGTGTAGAGTTGAGAAGACGTTTCGCCTCTTATCCAAAAAGCTTCTTCAGTTCTAAGCAAGTTCTACTCGCAAAATGTAGAACTGAAGAAGCTTCTTGGATAAGAGGCGAAACGTCTTCTCAACTCTACACAGTTGCCTGTTTTTAAGTCTTCAAGAAAAGCTCTTGTGATATCACACATTTCCTGTTGTAACTTCCTACTTGCAGGCCTCCCCTTGTGCACTGTCGAACCTTTGCAGATTATCCAAAATGCAGCAGCCCATCAGAATTTTAACAAGTTGTCTTCTACACAGAAGCAGCAGAACATCTTTAAGAAACTGTTGATGTTAAGTTAACGTTTTTGTCTTTAAACCCTTTTGGAACATCTGGATTTTAACCAAGCACATATTTCTTAGTACATATTTGGAGAAGCTGAAGTTCAAATGTTGTGTTACTCATCTTTACTCGGATTATATTCAAGTTTTAAAAGTTCTCGAACCCTTTTTGTTTTAATGTCACACTTGGTTTCTTAGTTATTATTGAAGTAACAGATTTAAAAAAGGACTGTCAAAGGCCACACTTACTGTAAGGGAAGATTAGCTTTAATGTGAGTGACCAAAACACTAAAATTGTGTTGCTCTTCATCGCATCTGGAGTTTTGACAAATCTTGGATCAACTGTTTTCTCCTGTATGCACCTGGGGCATAAAATAGTTTTCAAAACTAGTTAAAATTTGACAATTTTAAAGAGACTTTGAGAAACTTTCGGTTCATTTTGGTTTTGGCGCCCTCTATGGATAAAGTGATGATTTTTTCATGTAAAAGTAAAGCTTTCAGTCAAAAACAACAACAACCTGTTGCTAGCAAACAGTGAAATGTTTCACTCACAGCCATGGTAAAAAGAAAAAAGGTTGTTTCTTCTTCCTCTGTCAGTCATCTAGTTGGACTCCTTAAAGTGTTTTAAGACATTAAAATTACAACAGAGAAATAATCAGATGATCTTATTTACTTTTGAAGGTCATAAAGAGGCATCAGTGTCAGTTTCAGCCTGTTTCTTAACCAGTTAAAACATTCACTCAAAGAAATTTGCTTCCTTAATGAAATCTGTTTATGACATTTTCATATTTTTGTGTTGGATGTTAAGTTTTCATACTCGTTGTTGCCTCTGTAAGTTCAGTAAAAGACCAGTCAGTTCTCGGTCACATTAATCTGAGGTTGAGACAACATGCAGTGTTTATGGATGTGACCAACAGAGGGTCTATTTATGTCCTCTCCTCCTTCTTATAGCCTCCGTTTTTTCCAATCAAGTGTCAACCATGACCTCTGCGGGGTGCCGTAGTTCTGCTGGAAGGCCCGTTCTGGTCAAACAGCATGAGGATAATTGTCCATCATGACTGCTCGCTGTCATGCTGGACAGATATGACGTCTGCTAATGCATCAGGATATTCCAGCTGGTATCTGACCTAATGATTTCTGAAAATATCGGTCAGTTGATGTCCAGATGGTGCCGCAGAGAACCAGAGAAAAACACCACCATGCTACTAAAGAAACGGATAGCTCCAGACAGAAATCATATCATATTTATCAGTCAGAAACTACATAAATGACTTTTTTCAAGTGTGAAATTTGACTGTTTATTGTGATTCCTATGATAATAATCTAAAAATCTGTGAAGGTTTCGTAGCCCTTTATTGCCTTTTGTATTATATTTGATAAATACTGTTATATACTTCTATCAAATCAATATGATCAACAAATTACTAAAAAACACCTGAATACAGTCTGATAAATAATCAAAATGTTCTCTTGTAGTTTATCAGTTTCCAAAAACATCAAACAAGATAAATAAATTTGTTAAATTTTAAGGACATTTTGATTTTTTTGGCTTTCAGTAGTAAGTGAAATAAACATTTCAACTCCAAAAACATTTGAATTTTCTATCCATAATTTGTGGTTTCAGGCGATAAAGAGTTAATGTGGCGACATGAAGTTTGGTAAAAAGACAAAATGTTAAAGATATTTCAGCTGTTTCTGTCCTTATTGAGTGAGGGGAGTATCAGGAGCTGCAGTTCTGCTTGTCTTTTCTTTACTCTGCAGTTTCTTGACTTCAAGGGATATTCCGGCATAAAATTAGTTAGGGTCAACACTGAGTTAGATCCCCTTTGAGATATGAATGTTGCCGACTGCTTGCTTCTCTAGTTTTACCAACTATAGAAATGACCACAGAATAGCAATACACAGCAGTCTACAGAACAGCACCTAACTTCATCAACAGTACATATAGGGTCCCAGCCATAGCACTAGCCATCAAACACTGTACAATACAAACAGCAGCTGCTTGTTTGTTGTGTGGGGTGACGCAGCTCAAGGAAGAACATTTATGATCATTACTTTATCAATTCTTTGAAGTAGTAATCATCATATTAATCATTTTGCACTGCAGACGTGGTAGTTCTTCTGCCTTAGCGTCTCGGTCTGATTGCATTTCCACGAAGAATGATCATAAATGTTCTTCCTTGAGCTGCGTCACCCCACTGTACAATACAAACAAGTGGCTGCTGGAAGAGAGTGGGTAAGTTCTGTTTAGTCTCTTCGCAAAAGAAATTAGACAAAGTTAAAAAGATGTTTGGTGGCTAGTGCTATGGCTGGGACCCTATATGTACTGTTGATGAAGTTAGGTGCTGTTCTGAGCATTATTTGTGGCGATAGAGTGGCGTTTTGGTTGAGGTTTGTTGATGGCTCTCTGTATTGCTATCGTGCGGTTGTTACTAAAGTTGGTATAACTAGAGAAGCAAGCGGTCAGCAACATTCATCTTTCGACGGGGTGTCTAACTCGGTGTTACGGTGTGTTTGACCCTAACCAAATTTTACGCCAGAATATCCCTTTAATATCGGCACCGATTAACCTTTTTTTAGCTTGTTACTGCTTTCAGACCTACTAAACTGCTCCTGAAACCTAAGGCTTAGGTTTTATGTAAAGGTATAACTTTTGAAGCACCACCAGCTATCAAGCTGCACATCACCAGAAAACTTTGCATTTATAGGCAGAAGCAGAAAAACACTGAAGCCACAAGTCAAATTTAGCAACAGTTTTATTTATAAAAATAAATAACAACACAACATTTTGTACAAAGAAAACAAAATCAACATGAAACCATCACTTCATAAACATCACTTCATTTAAGCAGAATTTAAACTCCATATACATACATATATATTACTGTATATTTATGTGATCATAATGCCAAATTCGAGCCAACTTCAATTTTTTTCTTCTCGTTTTTCTACATTCGCTGAAAAGACTGCAGGAAAAACTGGCAACAGAGGGAAAGTCACAACCTTTGTTGCTCAGTGAACTAAGATCTTAAAGTTCACTCGGAGTATATATCAGATAGCGTTTAAAAAATCGACAGCGTGTGTCAGATAAAATTTGACAATATGAAAAGAACAATTTTTTACAATCATAGTCAAAGATGCAGCAGTCTTAGGAATCTCAAAGGGAGTAGCAATGTACAAAAGGGGAGAAAGATGTTTTTGGGAATGTAACGCTCCATGAAAAAGGTGTAAAACAAAGTAGTGATATGGTCTATCTATGAGGTCTATGATATTAATCTTGAAGTCATTTAACAAGCTCTCATCCGTATATCAAATAGCAGATACGACAGTAAAGAATGGCATCAAGAGAAATACAAAGTACAGTACTGAGAGTCCAGTTCTTCAGCGCAGGCACACAAATCATGCACACTTTCACACATGGACACATGATTTTTAGATGATGCTGTGGTGTTGTGACACAATAGTAACCGTATTTGTCCTATGTAGGATACTTCATGACACCAGGAATGGAGAAGTCAGTGACAAACTGACTGTTTACTCTCCGTCTGTCAGGTGTACTCTGCACATATGAGGATCTAGTGTTAAAAAAAATATTCACAATGGAGCTGCATGTAGTATTTTTTTGCACACAAGAGGGCAGCAGTACAGGAATGAACAGTCAATAGGTTTGTACTAACACTACGTTTTTAAATACTGAGCACTGGCTGCTATATTTCAATACATTTTTAATAGTTTCAGTTTAAAGTCATTTTTATTAGGGGTCATCTTTACAGTTTTTGCATTTATTCATGAATGTTCTGACCCATAATAATCTTTATGGCCAATTTCCAAACACTAAATCTGTTGTTGTGCGTGTGATGACAATGCCTGAATAAATTGGACACATATATAGGAGAGGAAACTGCCAGAAAAACAGTCGATATAGCCTGTAAGAAAAAGGCTGTCTTTCCCATATTTCATGTGCTCAGTGTCGATTTAGTGTTTGGCTTTATTCCCAAACTCTTGTCTGCGTATGAATTACTGAATATGATATTTTTAAAAATTCCTCACTAGTTGCCTCGTAGATCAAAAGTAACTACAATAAAGGAGTCTCAAACACCATGCAGTTATAAAGTTTTATGGTGTTTTCTCACACGCTCAAAAAGCAAACAAGGAAAACTATTCAGGTGTCATGATTAATAATAAAGATCACTGAACGTGTTTCATATTAAAAAGAGAAATGGGACTACACTCCTGCCCACACCGCAAATTAGATATGTACTGAGGCATTCAGTCCGTGATAATCTAGCAAACTTAGAAAAACTCAAACCTTTTTAACTAAAAAATAAGAAACATTGGACTGTATTTTATCTGCCATTTGTTAAGTTATCACACGCTGTATTTTTATTGTGAGATTATTATTTTTAAGAGAGTTAAAATACCAGGATTGACAGCCTGGTTTACAAATATGGCTGATGTGGCAGAAGAAGTGAAGAGGAGACTCTAACATAAGAGTCGCTGAATTTTCTGATCTGTCTGTTTTAAACAGAAAGAAGATGCTGCTCTGCTGTTTTTACGACAATACGGTGGACGGTAGTGATGGGCACGGCAGTTCTGTTAGATGTACTGAATCACTAGAATCAGCTCACTAGAAAGATTTGTTCAAAAGATTCGTTCACCAAATCACCGAATCATTTAGCCTCTTGAACTGATACACAGCTAAACAGTTCAGGATTCAGTTCAATTCACAGACAAGAGTGTTTGTCTGTGTTGCTTTGGCGAACAGGTTTGTAAAACTGAACTTGTTTATAAGTCATGATGTTTTAAATCTACTGTCCTATGGTATGCTATTTATCTGGTCTGCTCGGAAATTTGGGGTCAGTGGGTGATTCGTTCACTGAACGTTTAGAAGAATTCACACTGAACATGCACCGCTCAACTGCAGTTCGAACGAATCACTCGAGGAAGTGATTTGGTTCAGTACGTTCACTTAAAAGATTCGGTTCATTTGAACAAATCGTTCATAAACGACACAACACTAGTGGACGGTGGACGGACATGGGTATCCATCTATATTTACTGCGTAGACTCTAGCTCCAGTGCATAATGTCAGCAGCCGTCTTTTTTGGCGGTATTTAATCTTTTTTTTTTTTTTACAACAGACAGAGAGAGACGAGGTTCCTCAGTCTTTGGGTTAACTCGTGTTGTAGCTCATTGAAGGGGTGCAATACTCAAAGAACTGGACTTCTTGTGATAACTACGTTGCGTAAACAAGAAAACAACCTTTGTTAAGCTCTTGTTGGGTTATACCTTTAGACCCTCTGCGTGTGGAAGTATGTATGTGGTTTGGCGGCAGTTACCATGACGATGGAGAATACTGTTGCAGAAGCTAGCTAATTAGTATAAACTAGCTTTTTTTTTTTTTTTCATTTAAGGCACAAGTTTCCAGTTTCCACTGTTTACATACATGAAATGACAAAGATTTGACAAACACAGTGTTCTTACCTTAAAGGTGCAAACTCCTGCAGAATATTCTTCTTAAAACGTGTCCCCGTAGGGTTTTCACAATGAGCGCTAACAAGCTATCCAGAGGGATATCAGAGAATCTGGGCTTACATGTAAGACAAAACATTTGAAGTTTGTTTTCTGCAAAAAAAAAAAAAAAATCCAAAATCAAGAATCAAATTGAGGATCTGATCGATAATCAACACTACAAACAGATCTTTTCACATTTTGTTTTAAGGCGTATTTGTGGCCTTCAGCTCCAAGGTAAACAAACCAAAACAGACCTACATGAAATGTCAGAATAGGTTACATGTACTGAGCGTCCGCACTCACACACTCTCTCTTTTGTGCAAATAAATTTGTAAGAGCATGCTCCGGCTCTGATAGCTAGCAAAAACTGCATGCTGGTACAGAAAAATTCCCGCAGAGGGACAGACACACACACACACACGCGCTCACACACACATACACACACGATCACACTTGTGTTGCACTTAAGTCCACACAGTTCATGGTAATGCTGTCGTCTCCAGCCTGGCTATGTCAAGGGGCTCCCTGGCAACCGGGCCGTAAGATTTGGCCATTTTGAGGCTGCCATGGTAACCAGGTGGACTATGCAATATAGACGGACTGGATATAGAGGTGACAATGACTGATGACGTCTTATACACAGTCCTCGGACCCAACTCCTCCGTCACATTATCCATCTGTGTGGGTGGAGAGATAGAGAGACAGATGTTCAGATATAGAGACTCGACCAACATTTGTGTGTGTGTGTGTGTGTGTGTGTGTGTGTGTGTGCATGTTAGTGTTGAAGAAAAAAAAAAGAGAGAGGGAGGTTGAAGGGAGGGAATTAAGTTTTATCAACTGTTGCTGTGATTTGGATCGATACAACTCTCCTCCACTTAACCTGCCAGCACATGACATGAAACAGTCACAGCTGATCAAAAGCATTGATTGGTTGGATTGATGAATGGCTTTCCCACCTTGCCCTTGATGGAGTGGGACTGTATCACACGCCTGAACACTTGAGATCAATAGTGCCGCATAAAAAGAGCAGAGCACTCTAACTGAGCAACTCATAGTAGATTTTTTTTAAAGGATAACTGTGCTGCTATAAGGCTTTGGTCTGACATTGTCTGATAAAGGAATATGACAAACAAATTTAGACAAACGTCACTTTTACCAAGAGTTAAACCATTACATTTTCAGCCTGTATCAAGGGGTGTCACACTGACATTTCCAGGTGTGCTTATTAATGTTTCACTGCTTGCTAAAACAGGCTTTTATAGATAAGCAGTTGTTTTGTTTACAACCTGACTGCCTGTATTTTGCCCTGTCAGAGTATAAAACATTAAAACCTTCAGACACCCTTTAAAACACATAAATTTGACCCACTAACTGGTACTTAGATTTTCTTTCACATACTAAAGCTTTATATGTTAAAATCATGCTGTTAAAGGTGCAGTGTCTCATCTCTTCTGCCACTGAGGCGATGGTGGCCATTGGGGACCAAAAGTGCTTTTTATACCTACAACATACACAGATAATTAAACTGTTAGTTATTTGGTAACACTTTATTTGATGCCTATCTCTATATTGCTTTATAAAATACATAATCACGTTATAGCACTGTATAACTATAGTTGTAAACACTCATAAATGATCATAATGCTTTATAGCAATAATCACAACACATTATAAAGCATTTTATCATGACTTACAAGGTCAGGTGTTACAATGTGTTATAACCGTTAACAATTCACTGACAATGCCCACATAGATAATGCATTATACATGTATTCTGATGTGTTATAATTTGCTTATAAACATGTATAACTATCATTATAAACACTCATTAAATATCATCAGGATTTATAACTATAAGCATAACAAATTATAAAACCTGACCTTGTAAGTCATGATAAAATGCTTTATAATGTGTTATGATTATTGCTATAAAGCATTATGATCATTTATGAGTGTTTATAACTATAGTTATACAGTGCTATAACGTGATTATAACTCATTATACATATATTTATAATGTGTTATAGAAATAGGCGTCAAGTGTTACCGTAATTTGATCCAAATAACTATAGTTTATAGCTTAGCTCTAAGATATCCATGAGATTTAGTTCTGCAGAACAATCACAACAGTTATTTAATAAGATTAGTTAAAAAAACTCTGATTCTCTACTTGATTCTGATGACAGGAGAGCATCCAAAACAGAGCACACTGCTCCTTTGTTGCTGAAACATGGGGTCTGGGTGGGAAAGCACGAGCAGAAGATGAAAAGCAAAAGCTCTGAAAAGCTTTCGAATCCCCACAAGATTTGATTAATATTTATGCGAGAGCAGCCCACTATGAATGCAAAGTAACAGGATGGAAAACTCAGCTGATCGGACCAAAACAGGCAGTAAATAAAAGGAGGGACTGAAGAGACGTGACAACATTTCACATTAGGTGTATTTCTTCATGACAGCTTTTTGTCATTTTAAGTATTTAAACTGTTTTAGAGTCTCTTAAAAGTGTTGCTGAATGGCTGCCTACAGCCCTTTATCACACATGACAGAAAGAGTTGGCAGGATAGACGTCAAAGATAAACTCACTACACTGAAACTTTCCATTTTGAACAAACTCCTTTACCTTTTAGACTTTTTATGTGGTCTTGTTTCTATTCATCTTAAAAGCAAATGTTTCCACAAGCTTAAAGAATACTTTTTAAAAAGTTGGACGCCACTTTGGCTTAGTGGTTAATTCGCACGTGGCCTCGGTTTGATTCCCTAGCTTTTCACTGCGTGTCATTATTGACTTTCCTCTTTGCATTTTTTTTAGTTAATTCACTTTCTTTCTCTATAAGAAAAAGGAGAAAAGTCACACAGCTGTCTAAGACAAACGTAAATTTATGGAAACACAAACTTTAAACTCCATCGTTGTTCAAAATCCATCATTACATGTTTAAAAAAAGATTTTTAGCCCAAATCCGACTGAAATCATCCTTTTACAAAATATGCAAACACATAAATCCGATTAATTCAAACTTCTCAAACAACATCCTTGATAATGTGCCTGGTAATCGATTTTCTCTCCCATGTACAGTATGATTTGATTAGACGGAAACTAGCCTTAGTTCATGTTACAGCGATCACATGCCAGGCTTTGAGCTTGAAGCTAAACAACATAAATAAGTTGCTTTGAAGTTAGCGACTAAAAAAAACCTGGGCAGGCGAGGGAAGAACATATAACACTGAAATTTTCCCGGAGAAATGATTTCCTGGTGTTTTTATCGTTCAGCGTACATCGCGCCGCCTCTTGCTATCACGCTATGACAGTTGTTTCGATATATAACAGGTCAATCAAGAGACGACAGAAGGCAACATTTGGAGGTGGTATTATACTAACAATTGCTTTACTATCGTTTAAGTGGGATCAGCTTGGCGCCCTCCAGGATCTTTAGCGACTTTTTAGCTGTCGTTGTGAGCTATTGTAAGTTTTGCTGTAAGAACAATACGGTAAAGTTCCTGGCCAACATACAATTCTGTTTGCATGGAAATGGTTGAACGCTGATGTGAGCTGGTCCAACATAACTTTTGTCGACTAAAAAGTTTTCCGATCTGCTCAAATTTTCTTAAGTTTCCCTTAAATTTCTCACCCATGGGTTGGTCATAATTTCGTACATTTCCGACCTTTTCCATACTGAGCATGACATCAGAGGAAAATGGAGGCTGTGTGAAAATGATGAATGGGCATCAACGAGAATAAAGGTAATCATGCTTGTGTAAGGACGACAAAGCAGATCTATAAAAGATGACAGCTCTACAACAAAAATATTGTTAGTGGTTAAAAAAAAAAAGATAAATGCGATAAAAAAATGAAATAAATGCCACATCTACTGCACAGAACAAGAGGTGGACTGACGGGGGGGACTCTTACAGTAGCTGGTAGATGACTGGTTGGCTGTCGACTGAAGTCCGACATGGAGATGTCTTCAGGCTCTGTCAGAGTCTGAACAGTGTGCACATAAACACAGCCACTTAGTGTTTGTCAAAATCAAAAGATGTTTTGTGCTTTATCTGAGTCTCCTGGTCATATTCCTACTAAATACAAAGTGGATCTTTCAAATAAAGAGGCATTTATTTCTTTAAAAGTGTGTCATGTTTATTTCCTCCAGTTGCTCCCATATGATGCCACGTACAATGCCAGCAGCAACAGGATTAGCATCAGCTCTGAAAACTGGGACATTTAACTGTTGTTGCTTTCTCAAAACCCACATGATTATCAGAAAGTTTCACCTTAAAGGAAAGTTTTGACGCAGTATGTGTTATTTGCTCTCGTGTTCGAAGTAGGGTATGAAGAGAAGTATCAAACTCCTGTCTATCTGTTATTTATGAAGGTACAGGCGGGAGTGAGTTTGCTTACTGGATACACAGCCCCACAACTACTCAAAACAAAATCCTCACACCAACACCTCCAAAACTCAAGTCGTGTCGTCAGTGTGAGGTTGCCAACGCTCGGAGACTTCAGGGAGTCTCTCTGTAAAACAGAGTAGCGCTCAGCTCCAGTGAAAACAAACTTTTGGCAACAGTTATTAAACAACCAGGAAATACATTATTAATCACTGAGGTTTAAACAAGCTGCTTGGAGACAGATCTTGGACCCCTGGCCTGAGATAGAATATTTTTCACCTTTCTGGTTTAAAAGATCAGCTGTACTTAAAAACATGTATTTAAAGACCCACTCCAATGAAAATCACGTTTTTCTTGTTGTCTACATGTCCATGTGGCATTTTTCTGATGCTACAGGACATATCATGAGAAAATGAACCCCCAATTTTCACCACATCTGGAACGGCTACGAAAAGGCCGTATCCGCCGATCGTGGCTGATCGTAACCGTTCAAGTTAATGTGTCAATTTCCACCGACTTCTCTCCGTTCCTCTGCAGATCGCCAGACTTCGCAGCTGATTGCAAGACTTCTATTTTTTCCGGACGCCAGAGCATGCCGGATAAATTCAGCACAGATTAACCCGTGCTGGAAAGGAAGTCGGCAAAGAAACAAAATAGAAAATCTGGCTTCTTTTCAAAATAAAACACGCCATGTTTCAGGCGGATCGTATTTCACACCATGCAAACGGGCGGGGACGAACAAGTGAAAGATTATTAGACCGCATTTAACCCCGATGACACCATGGATGTGGAGATGCTGATCTAGTCTAGAAGTAGATTTCCTCCTCTGGAAGGACACAATCTACTGCTTTTATAGTTAGCCTCTGTGGCTAAAGACAACTCATTATTGTGTGATTGCACATGAATCCGTGGGTTCTTGTGAGTTCTTGTGATTACTGCTGTCTGTGATCCGCCATGAAATTTGCCTCACAAACGGACCTGGTAGGAATTGGCGTAAGGTGAAAATTGCACCGTTCTGGATCGGAGCCGTTCCGAATGAGGTGGAAATCTCGGGTAAGTGCGAAATTGCATTTCTGAGTATGTCTGCATTCAAATCGGTGTGAATCTCTGAAAGACCCAAACAGCAGGTTCAAAAACTGTGAGATTTCATATGTCACAAATCCAAGCTCCGCCCCCAGAGCCCCGCTATGCAGACTGCACTCAGAGAAATAGAGAAGATGATCGCAGAACAAACGTGTGGGTTAGAGGATTGCAATGCTCGTAAGAAAGCTAACAATGATATTAGCTTTTATCATGTCCCTAAAGACGAAACAACAAGCCTAACCCTAACCCTCACATTGCTGACTAACAAGCAATGTTAGTCTAAAAGCTAGCGTGAAGGCGAGTGTGCAGAGCAGCATCACAATTTAAAGACCACTGAGAACACTTTATGTAGTAAAAAAAGATCGGAGTGGGACTTTAACTAAGATCTTTCTTTATTGCAAGATAAGAAACCAGCATACCTCCGACAAATATATTAACGCTCAAACATAAAACAAATTAACAAGAACAAAAAAGCAAAATATCGAGAGTGTGAACAGGGAAAATGTGGGCGTGACGGGACTTTTTCATGTAGTTACAAACGCAGTTTTGAGTCTGAGGGAAAAGTGCTCATATTCTTTTTCTGTGCTGAGCGTGAAGCAGATGGAGGTCAGAGACTTCTAGACAGTTGGCCGTCTTCATATCCTTACAAGTGCGGTTGAAACATGAAATTGCATCATGCAAACTGTGGATTAAGTCCGAAACACTCAGATTATTGGATTAGTCGTTGACCCTCTGTAATAGAGACCTCAGTGAACCTGACCCGCATGCCGATGGGCCTGTATGTGTGTGTTTGCATGTGTACATGAGGATTGCTTGGGTTATTTCCGTTTACTAAGATGATTAGAGAAAAGCGGAAATGCTCCATATTCAATGGCCCACATATCCATTCCATTGGAAGGACTGTAGGGTTTGATTAAGCCTCAATATACTGTATGTGGACACTCTGATAATTTAAACGGAATAAAATTCAGGTTTTTCTCCGATAAATCTCTCTTAATTCGCTGAGTAGAAAAGTCGGCTTCTTGGAGATGTTTCACCTCACATCCAGAAGTTTTTTTTCCCCCCTTTTTTTCCAGTTGTGACTGATTAGACAAGTGTCAAAGGCATTTAACCTCCAGAGGGTCTGCGCTCCTTGAAAAGCACAAAGGTCAAACAAAGGTCTGCAGTCCACCTGGTTGGCATGTGGGAGTCACTGGAGTCACAGTGTCCAGGTGGGAATAAAGTAGCTTAGAGGGAATGTCAGAGGAGCATTTTCTTTATGGAGAGGGTACTGCTAGTCGCAACAGATCCAGGGAGGTGTGATATGATTTTGAATTTAGGGGTTACAGTATATATTTTCATATAGTCGTCTCTGGAGAGCTTTCTTTGTGAGGCCCTTTACAAGACAAGTGACAGATATAGTTGTGCAACGAATGAAAAATGAGGGTGAGGTAGGGAAGCCTCACTCCCTTGACACCTCTGCACAGCTGGCTGGTCACAGTGTGAGGTGCATGGAAATAAGGGGTCATGGTTTTCAGGGTTTCCAAAAAGGTTAAGACATCACCCCACACATCCGCCCTCAATCTATCATTGGAGAAATGCTGGAGAAAGAAGTTTGGAAAGTTATCCAATCAAATGACGTGTATGTCCATGTAGATTCTCATTCATTCAGGTCATGGTTTCCCTGCTTATCCAAGATGCAAAACAACAACCTCCCAGTTGTTGTTTTCCCCTCCTCCAGTAAGATAAAATACCAGCTCCCCCCACTAGAAGAAGCTTCTTGGATAAGCTGCGAAACGTCTTCTCAACTCTACACAGTCCAGTTGCCGGATTTTGGAGATTTCAACAAATGATGTGTAGAAATCTTGCAAGTTTTGGTCAGAACCGAGCCAATCATACCACTTAACAAGAATTTAAGAGGCTTTTGGATTAAAGGTGAAAGGTCTTCAACATCTTGAGATCGAATAGGAGACTTACAAATACTTTAGAGCCGTTTCTTAAATCTCAGCACCCACATTCTCTTTCCAGCATAATGTGGAAGATTTTTCTTTGCCTGTGACGAAGATTTCAAACATCCCCTTTAAATGTGTTTTTTTTTCAGCTGTTTATCTTCATGTTTTGTGTCCTCTGTGGAGCGCTTCGACCCGCCTGTTTGCTGAAACGTACCGTAGAATTAACTTGTCATATCTTGTCATCCAAGTATTTGCCGACTATTTTTACATTTTCTGTTTTTTTTTGTCTGTTTTCAAATCTTTGTATGTCCATCCAAGATCCTGATTCAGGATCAATAAACTGGATGATCTTTTGTTGCTCTCTGACCCTTGTGTCTGACAACCTGCAGTGCCTGATATATGCTCTGCAGGTGGGCCGAGAAAGAAAAAGAGAGAGGTCCTCCAGTAAACGTCCCACCTGTCGATGCATTAATTGTGGTGAAACACCTCGTGTTTAATATAAACCCTCTCAAGCTGCTTTTTTGAAATTCATGCGCCAATGTCATTCAGTACTCTTAGATTTGAGTCGCGGCGAAATTTGATATTATTAAGAAGCCTCATCTATGTGCGGATCACCTTTTGTGATAACGGGGTATAAAGAAAATATTTCAATATTTAAGTTTCGTGCGAAGAAAATTTAAATATGAAGTAACGTAAAAAGAGAATTAAAGGATAGACGACAAGATGTGGGAAACACTGAATAAAAGCAAGTTCCAATCGAATAGTTATCCTGCAAGAGTGAGTGGTTCCAGATGTTTGTGTCTCATTAGATTACCGCCAGCATATGCATACCTATTAGTTAAAGAACTGAGATGATTTATAATGTTATTAAAGCCAAAAGTCCCAAAATGTAGTGAATCCTCTTGAGTAAGCATGTCCTTGTTAAACTGATATAAACACTTCATCATAATGACTTTAACTTTGACAGAAAGTTGTTGTTAGTAAAGTGATGAAGCGTAAATCCTACAATAAAGACTTAAAGCTCCTGTGAGGAGTTTTTCTGATGTTCAAAAAATAGACTCAACCCATATAAATGCCTTTTCCTGATATAAATAGGCGAACAAAACCATCAGAAACAAGACTTAGACTTTTATATTGTAATTTTTAGGACAAGATATGCAAAGACTACTTTGTCCACAGGGGGCGCCAAAGTCCCCACGGACATAAAGTTCCTCACAGGAGCTTTAAAGTAAAATTGTTTAACATATTAGATGGTGGTTATTTTTCTTTAAAAGACTGAAGTGGCCTTTGGAAAACCTTTAAAGTCATGTTGGTTCATAAGCTACTGTTTTCTTTCTCGAGCCTTAGTTTTGAAATGTCAACCAAAGTTTATTAAAGATAGAAAGAGGCTTTTAGAGTATGAGCCAGAGTCCAAAACAACATGTAAGGTGATCCTAAAACAACAGGATCACAAAATGTATCCGTACCACAACAGGGTGCCGAGGCAGCATGATCCAATTAGATCGCACCCTTTAAAAGTCAGCTCTTAACTCTTTGCAGCAGGGATTTTAACAGGACACCGTCTTACGTTACCTAGTTGAGTTATATGTCACGAAATACCGGATGTAAACATGATGTGTGTCGACTTAAACAGTATTCCAAAATAACATGACCTCACTCCTCGAATCAGGGGGGAGAAAACTGAGATCAGCTTTGACAGGATGCCAGAAAAGGAGCTAAACTCCTCATCAAAAACTAGTGTGAAAACGAATCCTGAGTTTTGTGGGGTGCCCTGTCTCAGTGTGGCGACACCTTTTCTGACGCTTTGAGTGATAAAGTTAAATGTGTGTCACTTTTATCCTTGGTTTGAGATAAACTGCTGCATATTGGAGTGTGTAAGCGACACTTTGTTGACATAATCCAGGCACCAACACTCACCGTGATGTGTGAGATGAGACGTATGCCGGGGTCACTGAGGTTGTGGCCACTTCTCTCAGACTCTCCCACATTGTGACCTCTCACCTTAGACCTCTGGCTGGAATGGCGCACCTGTTTGGCATCAGCTGACAGCTGACGAGTGACAGGCGTCCGGGACGAGCAGTCATCCTCTGTGTCTGAGAAACGAGCCTGCGAAAAGGAGACAGACGAAATCAGCAACTCGTATTTCAGCGTATTTATCAAAGGAGGCGAAAGACAGAGACATACCATATTAGATATGAGAGACACTCACTGATTCGCTCTCAGACAGGGAGGAGTTGCGCGGCTTGCTCGTGCATTTGCTCTCTGATTGGCTGGTGAGGGTTGACCGGCGGGTGGACTGGAAGCTGCTGCTGCTGAAGCGGTCTCTGCCAGTCACGCACAGCAATACGCCGAGGTAAGGAACGTATCTGCTGATCGCTGACCTGAACGACAGATATAAAGATATTAGATTCCTTTGTTGAACACATTCAATTACCTCATGGTAAAGTCCACGGCTGCAGCTGAACTGAGACGATTTCACCTCTTTAATTAACATTCCTACAATGAAATTCTCTCGCACATTAAAACCAGTGACAAATCTTGTGACATTAAAAAGCTCTGCTTCTAAGAGGAGAAAATGGAGAAGCCGGTTTATAGCTCTGTATTAAAGGCTTTTGGCACAGCAGCGGAGACCTCACAGGTAGACACTATATATTTGTGGCAGTCGGAGAAGGTTAAGTGTACTTCCCTAAATGTAATTACATTGTGTGCGGCATGTCACCTCTATGGTACTGCCTTTGTACTATATATATGACTCATGGATCCATTAAATTTTAGAGCCGACATCCAGTTTCTCTAAAGAAACATTTAGTTGAACTGAATTAGATTTGATTCAATTCACTTCCGTACCAAACCAAACCATACCAATCAATTTAACCCATTTGAAGGGATATTCTGGCGGAAAATTAAGTTAGGATCAAACACACCGTAACACCGAGTTAGACACCCCCCTCGAAAGATGAATGTTGCTGACCACTTGCTTTTCTAGTTATACCAACTTTAGTAACGACCACACAATAGCAATACATTCATCTCTCGACGGGGTACACAAACTGTGCGCTTAATTTTATGCTGGAATATCCCTTTAAGTCCTATTCTGACTAATTCCATTCAATTTATTAAACTTTCATTCTACTGAAAACCACTTTTTTTTAAAAACTCAATTAACAAACAATCTCATTTGGCTCATTCTACTCAATTTCCTCAAATGTCTCCACTGATTTAATTCAAATTTATTCCAATCCTCTTGATTAAATTAAGTGTTATTTACTTACTCAACTTTATTCCATTCATTTCAGATATATTAGATCAATTTATTTCAAATGAATTCAATTTTACTCCATTTAATTCAACTCTGTTTAAGTAATTTCAGTTCCACTCAGATCTAGTTTGTTTAACTTGTCTTGAAATTCAATATTCATTAAACTCCATTCAGTTAAGTTGAGTTTAATTCAATTCATATAAAAAGTAATCTCCATACTGAACTCAGCCTGTGTTTAATCCCAAAGCATCAACTACCAAAGCTTCGTCATGGCACTTTTTTTAAAGTAAACCCAACCTCTGCATCAGACCCATTCCTTCAACACTGTGTAACGTCAAACCTATCTATGGTGGTATTAGACGCTAAGAGAAACAGCCTTTCGAGGTATAGAAGAGAGTCAGAGGAAGTGTGTTGAAAGGTGGTTGGGGGCTGATTAATGGGCAAAATAACACAGGACCTTTATTAAAGGAACTTGGGTTCCAGTGTCATGTGGAACTGACAGTACATACTGTGCGCTTTTGTCACCACCAGCCCCATAAAGTTTTTCTGACCTTTAATAAGAAGTTTTGATTTCTGACATAAACCATGAGTATGTGTTATTCATCTGCCTGGTGTTTTTCCTTACGGGAGCCACAACCTACTGCCGGCTCCTTCTGTTTTCTAATCATAATCTACTTTTGTGTCAGTTTTTAGCACAACCAGAACTGGAGTTAAGTCATTGCTTTGTTTTGAGCCCTAAATTAGTGCATCAACCGACCTGGCAACACGCAGGGTTAGTAACAAGTAGAGAAAAAGCAGAGCATGGCTTTCATCGACCTGAATAAAATTCAATATCAACCAGAGAAGAAAACTGAGTTTGCATTAGAAGCAGAAAAATATGTCAAAGCATGACACAGCCTGAGGAAAAACACATGAAACTCTGCTGAGAAAGTGTAAGAAGAGTTTCGATTTTGTGTCCTCTTTCTTCTGCGGTTCACGCCTCACCATAAACTCTTCAGAATATCATATTTTATTCCTTCATAAGCCTTGACTTTTGACTTGTGTTGTGACATATTTATATATCTCCTATGTTTCTCATTTCCTCACAAAATTTGACACCATAGTTTTTAACTTACCTGTATTTAGGATGTGTTATGGCATAAATGATGGGGTTGTAAATCGCAGATGCTTTGGCAATCACAGCAGGAACCGAGTTCATATATGGAGTCAACAGGTTGGCGTACCTGAGGGGAAAGAGGAGGAGAGCAAGGACAGATGTTAGCGAGAGGAGGAGGAGGAGGAAGAAAAATGAGAGGAGGAAATGAGACACATTCATGTGACAAGGGCAGATGTGGGCGTGTCCCCGAGTAACAGATGAGAGAAGAAATACAGGAGCAGCACTTGCAACAGCCAACGAGTTTAAAATACATGAAATGAATCAGCATGTCAAGTAAATGTTTATTTATATGACACTTTTAAAAACACTGGGTTACAAAGTGTTCAAGTTAATAATCAGAATGTTAAAGATGATTTCCTGGTAAAGGTCATAACTAGATAATTAGCAGATGGCTTGATATTTGTTATAGTTTTTCAGTGACAACCACCTATGGGCAACAAAAAGGCAGTTATGGTGGGTTGAGGTTATTGGGTTTTGCAGACAAATAAATTTGTGTATCATCAGCATAACAGTGCTGTCTCAGGGAACTGACCAATAGGGAGCATGTACAGGTGGAAAAGGACTGGTCCTAGAACTGAACCCTGGGGAATTCCAGAGTAGGAGGACGATACATGGTTGTTGATTGTGACCTTGAATCATCAGTTTCTGACTGAGACCCTTTAAAGCCAGAAAGGTCAGTCCTGTCTGTTCGGTAAGGGTACGATCAATGGTGTTAAATGCAGCAGGTAAATCTGACAGGATGAGAATTGAGATTTAATCTATGTCTGCATGCATTAATATATCATTGGTAACTTTAAGAAGAGTTGTTTTAATGCTATGTTTATGTTTGAAACTCAGTGTTGGGCGAGTTACTTTAAATCACTAACTTAGTTACAGTTACTAGTTAAGTGTGGGCTTTGAGGGTGGGTGGGTGGGGTTTTGCAATTTGTATTTCATCTTGTATTTTATTCAGTATCCCCTCTCCTTCTTGTATTCTTTAATGTACAGCACTTTGTGATACAGTCCATGTATGAAAAGTGCTTTATAAATAAAGTGATTGATTGATTGAACTTGTGTGGGCTTATGTACTTTAACGATTTAACAGCGTTCAACTTTTTTCTATATGAAGGAAGAAAATAAGTAAGGAAAGCATCATCAGAGTTAGGCATCCTAACATTTTTACAACCAGGAGATATATATTTGTTCAAAAACTATTAGAGAAGATCAAGAACAGTGGCAATCTTCTGCTTTAACTCCTACTGAACCCGTTGTCTCTGAAAACCCTGCCTGCTTTTAAAGAAGTGATGGATGGACTTTGGCAGCTTCAACAACGTATTTAACCCCAAGCTGTCAGCACAGTGCTGCCACAAATAAAGTGCTCGGGCCAGTTCTCGGTTCTTACAGTGATGCTTTGATGTCGTTGGACCGTAAAAAATGTCTTCGATGAAGCACACAGTCACATACACACCTACCCGGCGAATGCTGTGAGGGCAGCGCAGGAGTAAGGGGCCCAGGAGACGACGAACAGCAGAATGACAATTAGTGCAATCTTGGCCATTTTCCACTCACTCCTCATCTTGTGGACCCTCTTCGCTGAGTCCCTGGTCCCCTGACTGTTGATCTTTGTTATCGCTCTGTCAAAAAGTACACACTCCACATAGTTATGACACCATCTCATGCTTTTACAATGTTTAATCTCAGTTTTTTTTTCTTTCGCTGAACTTTTATCTCCAATGTATTTCTTATAATCGTCTGGTGAATTGACATGGGATTATACTGCGGTTGTGTGCAGACAGTTTTCTCATCAGCCCGCCTGCACAGACAATATTAGCGTTCAGGTCGAGCATGGCATCAGTGGAAATCAATAGAAGAGCCCAGACATGTAATCAATCAGCTAGACGTCAGTATCAAACACACTCACAGGCTGGAAGTGTATGTTGCATGTAAGAAGAAGATGTTAGCGTGATTAAACACGGACTGCACCAACCGTGTTGTGTGTCGAATGGCTCTGAAGATGCAGCAGTAGCTGAAGATGATGATGGAGAGAGGGATGAAGAAGACAAAGGTAAAGAGTAGCATGGTGTAGGAGCGGACTGAAGGAGTGAACGTCATGTAGTCCCAGGAGCAGGATGTCATCAGACCTTCTGGTACATAGGCACCTGTAGGAGGAAACACACACTTCAGAGGTCTCTTCTCATGAATTCAAATTATTCATTCTCTGATTAGTTTGTGTTCTCTCTTCTGTCTGAAAGGCCTTGAACCGTGTGTATCTGTAGTCTGAACACATCTTTCTTCGCAATTTTCTCCCAAGTATGCTTATTTGTTAGACAACCTGTGGGCACGGTTACATTCGACACTCATTACTTATAGATTTACTCGGGACGATCTGCTGGGATTCCTCTATCCTCCCTCCCCTCCACCAACATTTATCTAAATAAATCAACAACAGCCTTGGAGTTAGAAACCAACACGGCTCTGGTGTTACATTCGGAAAAGAGCTAGTGGAAAAAGATGGACTCGATCGGCTAATTTCTTCAAATTGTTGTTAGCGTTGTTTTACCTTAGACTGGGATTTTTAAGCGCAAAACTTCCACATGGATATTAAAACTTACTTTAAAGGCACCAGAATTACTCACACAAGCTTCAAATAACCCCTACTCCTCTGTGCTTGTAACAGCAGGCAGACAAACATAAAAATGGATATAAGAAAAGTTTATGTCAAGTTAAATCTCCCCACTAGTATCCCTCCAGCAGCACTACCTTACTTTGTTTTATGAGTATAGTTATAGAAACTCTTAGAGTCTATTTTAATCACCAACAGAACGAAATGAAGCATGTCTCCTTGTAAAATTATACCTTATGATTTACACGGCTTGTGTTTGGCTGAGGAAACAAACAAGATGTTAGTGAAGCTCAAAGCTGCTGCTGGTAGACGGATCCTTGTCTTTATCCTTCGACAGCTGGTTAGCTTAGCTTGTAGCTGTCGGTTAAATCGAACTCCACACTGGAAAATGACTTAGTATGAAGGGAAATTTTGCAATTCTGAAAGTGATGCCAATGTTAGAAGTTAAATAGAGTTAAGCATCAATTCAGGTAAACCAAAGATTGTTTTTGTGCAAAGCGTCAAACAGTTTAAGAGATCAGACACTTAAATCCAGAAACCACCTCACTAGGAGAGCTTATAAGCACCTCTCTGGCTCACAGCAAATATTTACCCTCTGAGCATTTTTTGGTCTAAAACAGGTCTAACAGATGTCTAAATGTAGCCTAGACAACTGGTCTAAAATCAGGCTAACACAGGCCTAAAAATGAAAGTTTTTTTAGACGTCTAAATTTCAAACAAGTTTAGACTAACCAGCTAACCGAGGTCTAACTGTATATTGCTCAACGGCTATCATAGTTATTTTGGTTAAGTACTTGGAGATCAGTTGTGCAACTCACAGTTGCTTTTTGAAATAAATAGTTATTGAATAGTGGGTTAAAGTGCAACGTCTGAATTCCATCTAAAAATATACAGAATCTAGACGGTTGAAATCAGGTCTAAAAAAACCTAGACGTCTAATAGCCGTCTATTCCTCGGTGGGTATCATCATTTATGAATTTCAAGCTTTAATATATAACCATGTGACTAACATGACAAACATCCCACAGACTTCTGCTGTTGTTTCTGCAGTGGAAACGAAAACCTGTGGTGTTCGTAAAGCCCATCAAAGGCTTTCACTTTATAGCATTGGATCCTTTATTTCAAACAAAATCATTGAAAGAAATACAGCCAAACATATCACATAAAAAGACATTACTAAGTGCGCACTTCACGTCTGAAGACACCTACAATACTCTTCACACACGCATATAAATATCATTTGGACGCAGACCTTGAAAAACCACCATCTCTGTCTCTTTTCCAGACACGGAAGGAAGCCATAAGTCAGTTTTATTGCATGTTGTGTTAAGTTGTTGAGGCGGTAGGGGCAACAAATCCCAAGAGAACTTGTAGAGAAAAACAGCCACAGCGACAGTCAGTGTTGACGAGGGTAATAAAACTGCAACAGGAGCTACCGGAGGATGTGTTCAAAATATCTCGATTGTGAGGAAGTAGAAGAAAATCCGGCGTAATGCCAAAGATTATGAATGAAGAAGGAACACAAGGGGTAGAAGTCAGAGCCAATCAGATGGCAGAAATCATCAAAAGAAAATAAAACGGATCCTGACTCTGCAAAATGAAAGGTAATATATCATCTCGATAAATCACAGGCTTGGAGCAACTTGGTTGCAGCATCTGAAACATATACTGTGCATCCATAGTGTTGCTGTTATTTGATAAAATATCATACAATTTGAAACCTGTCTCAAAACAACTGGGCCAGTTTCATTTTGGTTTAATTCAGTGTATAAGACTTTTCCTCCTTTTTGTTCAGGATTCCCAAAGGAGCACCCCCTGGCTCCATACTTGGTCCTCTATTGATCTCTGTCCACATCCTGCCATATTTTCTCAAATTACATTTCCAAATGCCTAAAGTGCCAACTGGTCCATCCATGATATATGTCTTGTTTGGACAGACAATTTATGGCCTCAGTTTTGAGACCAAACAGTGGCTTCCTGTTATTTGTCTCAACAGTTCTGCTGTTTGCCCTCCAACAGGCCTCTGCTTATTTTGTCAAGTGTCTTAAGATAGCATTTTTGGTGCTGCATGACTGAGGATGGATTGAGACTGAGATGAAACATTACCCTCAGTTTTATTTAAAGTTGTGGCCACTGCAAAGCCTGAGAAGAAGGAGAGCTGAATAATGACGGATATATGATCCAAAATATTCCTACAGAAGTCGTGCTCACCTTGTCTAATTTTACCTTAAATGGACATATTTAATGTAATTCATTGACAGTAATATAAATAATTTTATTAAATGAGAGGTGATGCTAATTGGAGTCCTAATATGTGTTTAAGGACAACAACACTTACTTAGAGAACAGAAGTGAAAGAGCTGCAACTTTGGTAACACTTTACAAAAACCATAATCTATAAATGATAAATAGATAGATTATTAATGTATGATAATAGTTTCTTTACCATTAACAAGCAATGAAATTATGATTAATAATTTTCATAAATTATGAATGGACTATTTATTTAAGGTTTATAGGGTTTCAATATTGGTTGTAAAACATTTAGACTAAAATGTGTGTCAGTAGCGCTTTGTAAATGATTAATAAGTGTTTAATAAACCACCTATAAACATCAATTAGATGGTAATTGTTATGTTAGGGTTAGTGTTAGGTTTTTAAAATTGTAAAATTCTACAATTGTACAATTTATTGATGGTCTATATGCTATGCTATATGCTCTATAAATGATGATTAAACATTAATAAACTATTTTTTTACCATTTATTAACGATCTATTTACCATTTATAAGTTATGGTTATTGTAGAGTGTTACCACAACTTTTACTGGAAGATGTTAAAACTCCTGACATCCTGCAGCAGCAAACACAAAACAGAGCTGCAGTGGTTTTTTACACACAGCTAAGTGCACACACACACACACACACACACACACACACACACACACACACACACACACACACACTTACGTTGCTAAGCAACACAGTGGTTGTTGCTGTCCCTCTCTAGAGGAGTTGTTTACCTCTCTAAGCATCACTTAGGGAGTCCTTAACAATCTGCTCTGGGTTTAACATATTTACCGGACTGTTCTCAGTTTATATGATGTCAGGTTTACTTCGCCTTGAGGTCCCACTTTAACTAGTAGAGGCAGCCCCTCTGTCCCAGTGCGACCAGCCCACTTATCCTCCGTGTCCCATTATAACCACTCAGCGTCACATTCCCACGATGGCAGTCCACCACACCTCTCTATCCTATTATAAACACTTTTCTTCTCCCTGTTATAACCAGTAAACTTGATTGTTATTTGAAATACAATTTCAGAGAAGACCTCAAATACCTCACCAAAGATACAAGCTCACAAGAGAACAAATAAGTGACTTATATGTACTGAAACAATGGGGTTTTCAAGGACATCAACAAAAAACATGAATAATTTAAGCAAAGAAGATAAAGCAACCACATGAGAAACAAACGGATAAAAATATCAACCAGGAAATATGGAAATCAACACGAGGGATCTATTGTGAGCAGCTCAGCATTAAGCAATGAACCAGCACCTGCTTTGAGGGCAGCAACTTCAGTATTTGTGATTGGAGTAGCGTGCTCACTCTTTTTTTTAAAGTGTTGAATTGATGATGTATCAGGGTGGATGTGGCCTTTTTAAAACTACAGAAACATGCATTAAAAACAAGAAGTCCTAGGACACCTCTGCTAATGGAAAGACCATTAATATAAATAACTTTATGACCTGCAAAACTGGAAATGTTCTAATGATGCTCTGCCAATGTGGTAAATTCAAGGTGGGACATCTCGCTCTTCTAAAAAGCATTTTAATGGACATTGGAGAAGAATTAAGTGGAAATATAACCTGCTCTTTTTAGAGACATTTCAATAAAACATGAAATCGTAAGTCACCTTAATTTTACATGCATAGATGCAGCCGCTGACTCTACTTTCTGGAAAGCTTATACAATATGTCAATTTTTATACCAGCTCTGAGCAGCGCCTCTATGTTTATTGGGTTTTTACTGGGTTTTTATTATACAATTCCAATTCCACAAGAGTTGGGATGCTGTATAAAATGTTAATGAAAACAGAATTTGATAGTTCTGATTGAAAATAGTACAAAGACAACAAATCGACTTTCTCAGAAGGACAGATATGTAGGAGGAGGTTCACCACTCTGTATGAGACAGCATTTCAGATTCATGTTCCTCATCTTAGAACTGCGAAGAATAAGAGGTATTCATCATCTGCAGTTCAGGGTATCATTAAAAGATTCAGAGAATGTGGAGAATCTCTGTGCAAAGAGGACATGGGGTGGGGCCGCTGATGCACAGTGGAAAAGTCGGTTCCCTCTCAGTCAGGAGGCTCGAAGCTTGATCCCAGTCCCAGTTCCGACTGTCAACAAGCCAGAGTGTCCTTGAGCGAGACACTTAACACCAAACTGCCTCCAGTGGTTGTGCCAGTGGTGTGTGAATAGGAGAAGTTACAAACACAGCAGCAGCAGCAGTGGATGAATGCAGTGTGGATTGGTGAATGTAACATGTAATCGGCTTTAAAAATTAAGGTGACCAGATTTCTGTAGTGAAATCCAGGGACATCCGAGGTGGGGGGGCATCAGCTGTGTGATCACAGGCAACAACTCGGTACTACTTAGTAGCAGCACATGCCCCCCGTAATAACCCCCCATAAAAACTGTTGTTCAGGACATGCTTACTCACGCTTCCTACTGTAATAACCGTTGTTCTCGTCTACACGCAACATTTTTTCCTCATTCGTGAAACACTTAAATCTGGGACATTTACGGGACAGCCTTAGCTAGGGACAGGTCATCCAAAACGGGGACTGTCCCCAGAAATTTGGGACGTCTGGTCACCTTATTATAAATACAATTACGATTTAAGGTAAGTAGTCAAAAACCAGTATTGGATGCCTGTGATTTTCTGGTCCTTCCAAGGGCTCTGAAGTGGAAATCACTGCATGGATTTAAATTAGTATCCAAATTCAGGTGAAAACTGTGCCATGCGAGGAGAAAAACAAATATCACTATGATCTAGGGACCCTGGCGACCTCTCTGGGCCCAAATCCCTTCAGGTTGGTCCATGGGCGTCAGTTTGTTTCGAAAAGTGGGAGGGACGGCTACTAGCAAAAGTGATTTTGGGATGATGACTATAATTGATTTTACTTTTGGTATGGCCACGATAAAATGCGTAGACTTATTTCATGTAACCAACGAACGCCCCGTTGTAAATATTTATTACAAGGGATAATCATAGGGTTAAACAAGTTTTCTCACTCACCACAGGTATTATCAGAAGGAAAAGCACACTCTGGGTCGCAGCTTCAACTTGGCACAGATGCAGATTTACAACAGCTGCATGTTTTTGTTATACTGTCCCCCTCTAAACTGACGCCTATGGGTTAGACAGAGATGAGGTGACTAACTACCCCGTGGTTGGACAAATCTTTATATCAATCTTTAATTCTTGTTTTTATTGTTTCATTGTACTCCACATCATTAAGGATATCCTGAATGATTTCTCAAGATTGAAGCGAAGATTGCTCGATAATCTAGGAGCATGTTTATCAAAGGAAATAATGAATTAAACAGGAACTCTACTGTGATTTTATTGACGGTAGCAGGTCGACTGCAGTGCCTTTGATAGTAGAGTTTATATTAACAATATGTGGCACATTCACAAAAAGGCAGCGTCAGATCTACTGTATTTGATGCTGCGGTACACCTTTATGCAGCAAGTTGACATGCTGACACATTAAAAGTGAAAAGAGGGTATTTAGAGAGAGCTCACCGCTCTATATCCCACAGAGGAATCACCCTGATCAATAATGACTCAGCTTCAGCTTGTACTCACTCCAGCCGAAGAAGGGGGGCAGGCTCCAGCCCATGGAGTAGACCCAGGCTGCGGCTAAAATGCTCAGGGCTTTCCTGCGAGACATCACCCCCAGAGAGGCGAGAGGTCTAGTGATCACCACGTACCGGTCCACAGCAATCACCATCAGTGTCATCATACTGCAGATGCCAAACAGAGCTCCACAGAAGGCGTACAGCTCACAACCTGGAGGAGGAGGAGGAGGAGAGGACACACAACAGCAAACACTGTTACTGCATCTCACCAAGAAATCAACATCTGAGCACTATCTGTGTTGTTCTGTCAAAATAATGTATTATTATTCTTCAGCTAGACTTTGAAAATCAAGAGTAATGGGCTGAAACTGTCACTGTACTGGTTCAGTCCCACAGCTCCCACAGCATTGTTTCTGTCCACAATAGAGAGCTGTAACTTTAATTAAAAGTTCTCCAAACTCATTGTACACTCTCCGCTCGCTACACACTGAACAGCAGACGGACTCTGTTAGCAGCTAGCAGGTGAACAGATTGTTGCATTTAGCAGCAAAGGAGCCAGATATTTCCCAGAGGAGCAGCGAGACCTCCCAATGGACTCCAAAGTGAAAGGAGCTACAAGAGTAAACAAGAGGGAATATTGGACTTGAAATCCCCAGGTGGTTGGAAAATGAATCAAAATGTTTTAAAAAGTTTACTTAGTACTACGGAGCGTGTTTGCTCAAAGACCCACTGATGAAAATATTGTTTTTTACATGTTTATACAGCATTTTTCTGATGCTACAGGACATATCATGAGAAACTAAATGCAAAAATGCTTTTCAGAGTATTTCTTCATTCAAATTGCTGTGAATCTCTGGCAGGTTCAGATACAGTGAGATTTCGTATGTCACAAATCCAAGCTCCGCCCCCAGAGCCGCGCTATGCAGGCTACACTCGGAGAAATACAGAGGACGATCGCGGAACAAGCGCGTGTGTTATCTGATTGCGATGCTCGTAAGAAAGTTAATCATGATATTAGCTTTCATCGTGTCCCTAAAGACATTAGTGTCCGAGCGCTAAGTAGCTTCTTTGTTAACTGCCACTTCTACTACAACAACAATGTTAGGCTGCAAGCTAGCGTGAAGAAGAGTGTGCAGAGCAGCGCTGTCTCCGCCCACCACTCAGAGGCAAATTGCTAATGATCTACTGGAGCTCTGCAGAAGAAAAGTCCTTGAAAATGACACAGGTAACGTGATTTATGGTAAAAACTTCATAATCACAATTTAACTGTTGTTAGCTGTTGTTAGCCGCTGTTAGCAATACCAGTTGAAAACAAGGTATAACACGGTATATTACTCAAACAAACACCATAGTGCTATGTCCACAGTTAAACATTGGGCAGCATACATATACCACTTATTTAATTTTAATTATTTAACAAAGTTCTTCTAAAATGGTCAAACCTCATTCATGGTGTTGACACGTAAGGTTTAAAAACTGAGTATCAGAAACTTGAATACACCGCAGTTGGGATCTTATATTGTGACGGGAAACAAAGTCAGGCGGCAACAGTAAAAAACAATCGAGACTACTTGGGTTGGCGGTCCCAACAAAGTCAATAACTTCTGTAAGCGAGACAGAAGGTGACTTTTACGTTCTCCACATTTGCTCAGTTAAATGCGATACTCAATTATTTAAACCCCAAACTAGCCTCTCTCCTTTTTGACCTTACCAAATTGTATAAGTGCCTCAGCCTAAGAAAATGTCCACTCTTCCACTCCTGTAACCACATTAGACAGACTTCATCTTCTTCTTCGCTTTTCATGGCACAGAATTTAACCACATTACATGCCTTTATGATGTAAGACAGTGCAAAGAGTTTGTTATATCACATAACCCTGTCAGTTCATGTTAGTCCAAGACACTGCTGAAAAAAAAAGATTGCAGTTCCTTATTAAATGACCCTTACATTCCTGGGATATTTTACACATGCTTGTTATCTTGATCTTAAGAGAGCCCCAGGACCTTAAAATATAGTCCCTCTCTGGGGAGCGCCTGCCGTTCCTGTGGATTCAATCTGGACTTGGTTATCTTCAGTAACTTAAACACACAGTCAGCCGTGTGATGTGATTTATGTTCAATTACCTGAGCGGTATTTGTTTGGGTTTCTTCACTCAGGCGACACACTTCAGATCTTGTCTTGCGCTCGAATGTGATGACTTGGCACAGTGATTACACGATGTGTGACAGGTCTGCCGTAATCACACACCGTGGGCCTGAGGGGACGGCAGCTAATAAAGGGTTGATTGAGTGTTTGTATTTTGTCGGCGTGTGTGTAGAAGTATGCGCGAATGACATTTCTTCATACATTATGAATACGTTTAACATAATTACAGGCTGTATGGACGCTATGGAACAAGAAGAGGTCTGTTCAAAGTCCTGTCAACAGCACGGCCGTCTCTGAGAGAAAGCGTGCGCAGAATATCAGCACATAATTGGCTATTTACCGTTAGTTCAGCATGTATTCATTATTTAAACAAATGCAGTATGCTGTTTACACACCTTCAATTTTCTCCCCTGTTTAGCAAGCATGTTGTCACAATCTATTGTTTATCACGCTGCTACTTGTTTTCACCAAACACCGTGACTCATCCCTCACATTGTTCCCCTCTTCCCATAAACTCGACCTCATTTCTCTTTTCTTTTACCTCCTGCTCCCTCCAATACTCCACAATTTTATTTCATATATTTTCCATTCCACGTGCCTCGCCGCCTTGTCTCCGCTCTTGCCTTTCCCAACATCCTTCACTTGATCAATCCAAATAGGCTTCATAGTTATGAAATACTGAAAAGACAAATCGATATAGCAAAAAAAAAAGGTGATTTTATATTCATGCTGTAACATAACAAATATTCATACCTGGGAGATGCACAACAAACCTATCTATGTGTGGAAATAATAGCGGAAAAGTGACTACGCTAGCTGTCTCAAACTGCCGACCCAGATGTCAATAAGATAATGTAATCTGTAATCTGGTAATCTAATTATATTTTTACATTTAATTGTTTATTTTCAGAAGTTTTCCATTCAGCCACCTGTCACGTTTATTAGAATAAAAACCTCCCCAACATGGCGAACCTTTAAAGTCCCACTCCGTTCATTTATTTTTTACTACTTAAAGTATTTTCAGTGGTCTTTAAAGACCATAGAAAACAGTTAGCAATGGTTCAACGTTACAACAGTAGGCGTCCATCTTGGCTTTGCGACTTTGTTTACCAGAACGCCATCAACTCGGGTGTAACGTCATTCCCAACTCAGACATCCAACTTCACAGAATGCAAATATTGGCATTTCCAAAGTAGTCAAACATAAAATGCTTGTGACGATATTTCTATTTTTCTCCATCTTTGATACTCAGTTTTTACACATTACGTGTCAAACACCATGAATGAGATTTGACCACTTTAGAAGAACTTTGTTAATCACAGTTTTCTGGGAGCTGGTGCCCCATTGTGAATAAGTGGTGCCCTTTGGATCCATTTTTGCCCCGGCCCCTCAAACAGCCTAGTACACCCCTGTCCTTAAGCCTCTTTAAATTACACCCTGCTTACGTATTAACTGTCTGTTTTGAATCTCCAACAATTCTCTAGATGACTGACGCCCTGTCCGCCTCTTCACCAGGGCTTAGTGCGTGTAAAAAGGGTAAAAAAGAGTTTAAAAACAATCCGATGTTTAGCTGTTTATTTCCTGAAATTGACCCTTTGGGGACAATGTACCGTGTCAAATTTCTGAGTCACGCAGAAGTTGTTTCCTGTAGAATAAAATACAATAGATTTTCCAACACACCAGCTAACATTGGCCTCCCCAGAGCCCTACTCCTGCTAAAATGCCCCATCATTCAGGTGTGAGGGAATTACTATTACCTCGAGAAAAACAGGTTAGATAACACAAAGAAAAGGAAAACAACGTTGGCCTATTCTTTGTTATTCCTACCTCCACTATTCGCTCCTCAGCCCCTTTTATTATCTACAGCTCACCGTGTCTTTTAAAGAAAGATCAGTAGGAGGAGTGAGACATGTTTTCCAAGTGGTTGTGGTTTTACGGGGGATTGGGGGGGGATAGAAAGCAAGAGTCCTCTCGCAGTAACCACCGTTGAGAGTTGAGCTCCAGATCTGACAGCGATTGGCTATCTTCATCAAGGTCAGGACAACTCCTGGAGGAAAACGCAACGCTTCGACTATCAGTGTTTGATCAGTGGAGTGTGGAGCCTTCTTTAGTTCCCCCCTCCCAGCAGGTTGTTTTAAACACACAAGAGTGCAACACCCCTCCTACAAATGCAATCATGGAAAACACACCACCGGCATGCATGCTAGCTTTGTTCTGTGTGATCGATGGGATCGGGATACAGCGGAGTAAGCCTTTGGTGCTGCTTTTACGCTGAAGCAGAGAGGGGTTATGGAGGATGGCAGGTCTTTGTGTGTGTACAGAATCTCAACTGAACTGTAGGTCACACTTGGCAGGGGAGGGACACAATTTAGCCGCCTGTTGAATTTTAAAGTGAGTGAGCATGAATGTTAATATGCCCGTGTACATGAACCATGTCCTAGCAATCTTAAGTGTTCAACAAATTCAACAATGAAATGCGGTAAATGTTGTCATCACTACCTAAGTGCTCCAGGTCTCTCAGGGGCACTTATTTCAGTAGCTTTATTTTCAATGGGAGAGGTGAAAAGCTGGGGCAGTGAATTTACTGATTTGAAGACTGAAAAAACATAAACACTCTTAGAGCAAGATGTACAACAACTACACAAAGTCTAATGTCAAAAGATGAAGCAAATGCAGATACTTGCAAACTGTATAACCAGAGGCAGGTCTTGAACTATTTGAACTGAAAACATGTTTATTTTTGCTCTAAAAATGGGCTTAAATTGTGTACGTCGTTTCCGATGCTTCTGCCTCAAGTGGACACTAAGGGAATTACAGTTTTTTTGTGAAAGAGGCATTTCTAATTTATAGATCACTTTTATTGAAATGCTGATGCTTTTGTAGGTGTTACGGTTCAAGAAGTGATCTTGTTAATTTCCAGCCTGTTATTTTGACAACAATAGTTAGCTAACATGACGTAAAAATTGACTCCATAATAATGCTTCGATCCAGTTGTACTGGGAAGTCGAAATTCAAGGTCATGGTTGGAAAGTTGGATTCCTGACTCGTAAAGTCGGACGATCCTCACAAACCCCGACTTGACCACAATGTCATAATCCAAGATGGCAGAACTATGCATCAACAGTACACAGTAACAGTGAGAGCTCTTCTAATGTAGTAGTTATGAGCATTTCTGTTTTGTTTTTGTGAAATCAAATTAGTGGTATATGAATGCTGCCCAACATCTAACTGTGGACATGGCACTATGGTGTTTGTATGAGTAATATACCGTGTTACATATTGTTTTAGACTGGTATGGCTAACAACGACTAACAACAAACCATAGAAAACAGTTAGCAATGGTTAAACGTTACAACTGTAGTTATGTTGCGTTCGAGTTACCTCGGAAGTCAAAAGTCCGAGCTGAAAATGACGTCACACCTGAGTTACCAGCGTTTCAGTTACCAAGCCTTAAATTCGGACAAGGCAAGCGCTAAAATAACATTCGTAGATGGAGCCATCTTGTTTCAGGCCTCCGATTTTGCTTTTTTCAATTTGGTAACTGAAATGCTGGTAACTCAGGTGTGATACCATTTTCAGCTCAGACTTCTGACTTCGGAGATAACTCGGATGCAGCATTAGAAGTCCGAGCTGAAAATGACGTCACACCCGAGTTCCCAGTGTTTCAGTTACCAAGTCAGAAAAAAGCGAATATGGAGGCCTGAAACAAGATGGCTACATCTACGAAAGTTATTTTAGCGCTTGCCTTATATCCAGACAAGGCAAGCGCAAAAATTACTTTAGTAGATGTAGCCATCTCGTTTCAGGCCTCCATATTTGCTTTTTTCCGACTTTGTAACTGAAACACTGGTAACTCAGGTGTGACGTCATTTTCAGCTTGGACTTCTGACTTCCGAGGTAACTTGAATGCAGCATAAGCTTCATAGCACCTCAGAAATCAATGTCTGGCATGTTTTATCCAGCCTGTGTCATGCAAACATAAACCAGTTTCTCTCAATCTGTCAGAGCTTTGGTTATTTAAGGTAGCCTGTGCAGCTTTTTCTTCATGACAGGTTAAAATGTGAATTCACACAGAGAAAATGTCTGCATCTGAATGTGTTACCTTTTTTCCCAAAGATCCACCGCTTGTGCATGCTGGTGATGAAGAACACAGGAGTCTGGGTAAGACACATGAGGAAGTCTGTGACAGCCAGGTTAATGATGAACAGGTTAGATGGCGTCCTCAGACTCCGGCTCCTGCACACGCATACAAACACAAATACAGGCATGCGGAGAAATATTAAAATTCATGCTGGAGAATGACTAACTGTAAATCAATATCACATATATTATTAATAGAGGTTCATACTAGAAATTCAGTGCTGAATAAGCCTATCGAAGAGGATTAATTCTGAGTGCATGTACCTGCAGAAGGCATACATGACCAGGAAGTTTCCCAGCAGGCCTGTGATGCCAACAGCCAGGATGACCACGCCGATGGTGTAGTGAGCGTGGTCTGGGACGTCTACAGTTGGAAACGGGTGGTTTGGAACCATGGAGCCCTTTGCAACAAGAAAAGAAGATGAGGGAGTAAATGTCACCAGAAAGATGCTCGTTTCATTGCAGGGATCATTATCATCTCTGCAGGGGGAAAAAGGACCATAAAACCCAAAGGTCAGCTGAGGTAGCAGGTTGTGTTCCAGCCAAGCAAGGACTCACCTGGTACAACAAATCAGCTCAATGAGAACTGTTACGTTGATTGAATGAGCAGAGTCAGGAGTGCTGCTGCTTGGTTGGAATAAACCTGCAGCCACATTGGCCATTTCATGGGTCAGTTAGCAGGCCTTGAAAGTTATGACGGGGACCTCTTCCCAGAAACAAAATCAAAAGATGATGGGGAAAAATGATTAGTGGCACAAAAGTGTAGCAATGTCCTTCGTAAGTAAAGGTCAGAAAGAAGCAGACATGAAAACTTGTAGTACAAAAATCTAAAAATAGCTTCTAGTTGTTCATTCCTGCTTGATCAAATTCCGGTTTTCAATGGATGTGAATTTAGTTTTCGTGATAAAAATGTGGCTAAAGATTCTGTTTTCTCCTTAATTTGACTTCTCACAGGAATAAGCTCGCAGTGCATGTACCAGGATGCATTTAAGTAAAGCAGCCTCAGCCTTGACCTCATTCAACTCTATTTCCTCAGCAATCTACTTTGCCTTAAATAACTGTGGCATTCTATCAATCTTATCTTAAAGAGAGGAAGTTTCCCCATCCACTGCAATCCTTACACATTATTTAGGCAAGTCATTAACACTGGTGTGGTTTTGTGGATGGCTGCGACACAAACAAAGGCAGAGTGTTTATTTTTTCTGTTTAAGATAAATCAGCCCTTAATTCACCATTAATGTCAAAATCGTGTTTTATTCACCTAGAATTTACTCTTAAAAAGATTTCAGGTACTGCACATGGCTAAACACAGGATCACAGAGTCTGCAGGTGGAAGAACTGGTTTGCAGAGTGTGGATGATGTGAGCAGAGCAAGAACCCCGAACTTTGTGAGTTAACATCCACATGCTTTTGTCTGTTCAGTATTCTTCAGGCCCAGATGAGAAAGAGACACAGCCTACATATGTGTGAGGCTAAACAGTTAGCTTTGGTGCCCTAACCATCCCACTGCCAACCATATTCACATGAAGACAACACAACAGATCAGACTCCAGCGAGTGACAACACACCCAGGTGGCTTCTCTAGTTATACCAACTTTAGTAACGACCGCACGATAGCAATACACAGCGGTCTGAGGAGCCACACACAAACCTCAACCAAAAAGCGACTCTATAGCCACAAATAATGTTCAGAACAGCACCTAACTTCATCAACAGGACATATAGGGTCCCAGCCACAGCACCAGCCACCAAACATCTTTTTAGCTTTGCCTAATTTCTTTAACAAAGAGACTAAACACAACTCACCTACTCTCTTCCAGCAGCCGCTTGTTTGTAGTGAGACCCAGGGCGAGTCCATCAAGGACTGCTGCGGGGTGACGCAGCTCAAGGAAGAACATTTCTGATCATTTCTTTATCATTTCCTTAAAGTATTAATCTCCATATTAATCATTTTGCACTGCAGACGTGGTAGTTCTTCTACCTTAGCGTCTCGGTCTGATTGCATTTCCATGAAGAAATGATCATAAATGTTCTTCCTTGAGCTGTGTCACCCCGCTGTAGTCTGTAATGGACTGGCCCGAGGTCTCGCCACAAATAGGCGGCTGCTGGAAGAGAGTGGGTGAGTTGTGTTTAGTCTCTTTGCTAAAGAAAGTAGACAAAGTTAAAAAGATGTTTGGTGGCTAGTACTGTGGCTGGGACCCTATATGTACTGTTGATGAAGTTAGGTGCTGTTCTGAGCATTATTTGTGGCTATAGAGTGGCGTTTTGGTTGAGGTTTGTTTATGGCTCCTCAGACCGCTGTGTATTGCTATCGTGCGGTCGTTACTAAAGTTGGTATAACTAGAGAAGCAAGCGGTCGGCAACATTCATCTCTTGTCGGGGTGTCTAACTCGGTGTTAAGGTGTCTTTGACCCTAAATTAATTTTACGCCGGATCATCTGTTTAAATGTTTTTCCATTGCTTACAGTGGTCCTCTGGGTTTTGTCAGGGTTGGTCAAAGGTTAAGGTACATTTGTTAATCTGTGAGTTCAAGTGGTTGTCCATCACTGTGTGTTAACCTTTCTCTTGCCTAGACTAAGCTGGAACATGCTTGAGCTATTAGAGATCAGTTTAAACAACTAACCCAAGTTTATCCAAGTGAAAGGTTAGCTCATAATACAAAGTGTGTCATTTTAGAAGAGGTTTATCATGGTATGAAATCTCTCCGGATTCATCAACGTGCCAAAAACACGTGGCTGTTTCTTGTCCCCTTAATGCAAAGCTTTAGTTGCTCCAGGTTTTCACTTGACGTTAGCATTTAGCTTCTGAGAAGTGGCTGCACCTCAAAGCACACAGCTCCACTTGAGAATTCCTCTCAGAAATCATGACACACTCCCCTGCATTTACACTTTCCTCTTGTCTCTCACTGGGTTTCTTTCATGCACACACACACACACAGAAACACACTTACTCACCAGGATGACTTTCACTGAGCTAAATCTTTCTTAGCTGCCTCACACACACACACACACACACACACACGCGCGTGCCTTTTTTCATTAATCATGCCCCTCTCATTTAGACACCCATGTTGTGTGTCCGTCTGTGTTGGTGTGGCTTACACACATGTGCAAACATCTGTTTGAGGAGTCTTGCTTTCTGCAGAGTCATATGTGCTCCGGCGAGGAGGACATTTGAAAAGTGATGGAGTGGTTATGTAAGGAAATGTGTGAAAAGGTCATGGCGAGGCGTTCCTGAAACGGCACCAAAGTGATGTGAGGGAAAGTAATATGCAGATGTGTGTGAGTGAGTGTGTGAGTGTGTGTGTGGGGGGAATGTAAACACAGTAGGATCAAGTCTGACGCCGTCATGTGTGATATGGTGGATCACAATCAAGGTCTCCTTGCCTCGCCTGCCTGGCTTCATTTCTCCCCCGATCCCGATTAATTCCCTCCTTCACGTCTGCTCCCTAAATCACTCAAACACTCCTTTCCTTCCTTCCTTCCTTTTTCCCTATTCTTATTTCCTCGCTCTTCTAGCTCCAGCAGCTCGGGGGCCAGATAAATGCTGATCACAAGGTGAGAGGGGCACAGTGAGCGGCGTTGGCACTGGAGTCTCCTCTCTCCTGTCTGCGTGTTTGTGTGATTTCAAGATGGAGCGACCGGGCGGTAATACCTGTCTATATTCACTCTCTCAAAAACACATGCTGAAGCCAACAACGCTGGCGTTTCTGGGAATTCCTTCGTCAGAGAAGTGCAAGTAATATAAATGTAAATGGTCTTGTGGCTGTCTAATACACAAAGATTGAGGACACAGAAAAGACAAATAAATTGGGATTGAAAGACGATGAAAATTAGAGGGGAGGAAGAAGGTGCCAGACAGAATAAAAAGGCAGGAGAGAGTTTAACATCCAATTTAGGGAATATAATATGAATTAAAAACACTCACACTTGAGCATGCATAAACAGCCACACACACATATAAACACATGCATTCAAAGTGAGTCGTCTGCAGCAGATGTGCATACACAATCAGATGAATCTGTGTGCAAACATGCTGCAGGAAACAGCACCGCTCTACGACATCGAACACTGATATAATAAACATGGCTGGGGGCACTTCCAGTGACATGGTTATCATGTTCATAGCAGAGCAGCAGTTCAAATATGTACAAACCAGAACTACTTTTTCACTGTTGGCCATTTAGGTGTCAGGATACAAACAAGAATGTAACCACGATGGCCCAGAAGTTAAGAAATAATATGAATTTAAACCAACGCTAAAGGCGAAAAGCAGAATGTACAGCAAAAAACCAGAGGCAAATTCCTTTACTGCAATGACATAAATATTACAAAGTCTGCACTGAAGAAAACTGCAGCAGAAAAATGCTGTAAACCTGAGCATCACAAAAGATGTAGTCCAGGTTTCCGGGGGGCACTCGTTGTTGCAGCTTTATTTTTGATGGGAGAGAGAAAAAGCTCAGGCAGTGAATTTTATTGATTTTAAGACAAAATAAAACTAAAGGAGTAGAGTGTCACTTGCAATGGAAAAAAAAAACAAGTAGCAAACTCTAGAGTTGAAAATGAAGCTAATTGAGAAGTGAGGAGACTGCAGTTCCTCAAGAGTCCACTTGAGGCTGACCCTGGATTCTACAGTAAAAGTCTCTTATCTCTGCAACTCATTTCTTCAATAACAACAACAAGACTGGGCACAACTTTTTACACGACTCATCAGTTTTTATTGTTATATGAAGGATCAGAGTTCTTTATTATCGGACATAACAATAGGGTTTTAGCTGTGTGATGATATCTTTTAAAGCACCTTTAAGGAGTTATCGTTAACCCTTTATTTGATGCCTATCTCTATATCGCTTGTATAATTTACCTTGTAAGTCATGATAAAATGCTTTATGTGTTATGATTATTGCTATAAAGCATTATGATCATTTTTGAGTGTTTATAACTATAGTTATACAGTGCTATAACATGATTATAATGCAGTATACATATATTTATACAGCGTTATAGAGACAGGTGTCAAGCGAAGTGTTACAGAGCTTTCTTTACATGAATTAAACTGACTTAAATTCAGGTTGGTGCTTTTTCATGATATCCAAAAGCAAACGAGACCATTAGCGACAAGATTGATGGTTTTTATTTCCTTATTATTCATGCATGAAGCCGGTGTGAGGGGGTAGGTGTCAGCCAAGCAGCTCAAGAAACAACTCCGTTTTTATAAACTCTGTATCAAATATTCAGAACAAATAATACACTTGACCGTCAAAAACATAGACTGTATATACTATGGACAACTTGGTCCCGCCTTCCGCCAGTATATGGATTTGAAGCTGAAAAGCTCTCGGTAATTCTGTGTTTTTTCTCCATTTCCTGAAACCACAGTGCGCAGTAGCGTTGTACGCATTCAGCAGGAGAGTCGCTGTGATGACGCTCGGCTCAAACAGCGTATCCCCCCGGGTGAGCTACGTAATCCCTAAGCCAATAGGCTGTATCAAGTGTCAATCAAAGAAAACATGAACCCCCTAATAACTTTTAAAAACGGAGCTTCACAGAAAAAACAGTACCTGAGTCTTACAATAACTACATGTCAACATCGCATGGGGGGAGGGGGTTCTGTGTAATAAATTTCTAAAGTTTGTCCACAGCTACATAGGGATTGCTAGAGGAGGAGGGATTTATGACCTATACTGCAGCCCGTCACCAGAGGGTGCTGTTCTCGGGATGGCTTCACCCGGTGAAGAGACAGACAACGTCCATTCTATATTCAGTCTATGGTCAAAAGTCAGCAGGATCAGGGTTTAATGTCAAAAGTCTCTACTCTAGCTTGTAGACGACATGATAAAGAAAGACTGCTTTATCCACAGGGGGCGCCAAAGTTTGCACTAACCAAAAGTTCCTCACAGTAGCTTTAGAGGTGCTGTAAGAAAGGGTTGCATCATGTTACTGGTCAATTTTTGAGTTGAAACTAACAAATTAGAAATGCAAAACAAGTTAAATTTTAAAGTTAGGTTTCCATTTTGGTAGTTTTGGTTTATCTGAACAGTCGAGCCTCTTCTTTCAGCGTCTGTTTCAGTATTTGATTAAATTAACTCCTTTCAAATGATTGAAAACACTGAACACTATTGTTCAAACAAGAAAATAATCTCTACTTTCCCTAAACAGAGCTGTAACACACACACAGTTGAACAGAATAACCGCCCACTCAATCTGTCAAATGTCACAGTGGGTCCTTAATCAGTCTGTCAATAAGTTGCCCTGTAATTGGTTATCTGCAACCCAGAAGAAAACTCATTTGTTTAGCAGCTACAGCCACACTGATCAAACACACAGGAGACATAATCACAGAGAAAGAGAGATACACACCAATAATATCAGCACTCAATTTCTTTTAATTCAAACATTTATCCTCAGTTTTTTTTTTTAATTGGCCATGACGAATAAGGTGGCGAAAGAAAAACCAACAAATGGCACCAAAGAAAAGAAGCCATCTGCAGAGAAATGTCGAAAAGTTTCTCGAGAGTTTGGAAATGAAAACCACGCATATTTCAGGGGGAAGATCCCATCTGTGTGAGTGGAAGCTGCCCTCGGGCTCTGCTGCAGTATCAGCTTTCCCAGCACTCCCACCACGAAGGCCAGACCACAAAAGCAGCAGAGACCAAAAGCCCGCAGGTCTCAACTTCAAAGTCCAATCTGAACCTTTCACACTTTCTGGACCACATTCGCCATAACCGTGCAGTGCATGTGTTTCTCCATATGTCTCTAAAACAGCTGGTCCTGTCCCAAGAATCAGAGTCTGCGTCTGCGCCCCAGGGGCAAAGTTTAAGCATTGTACTTTCTTTTTCATGCTTTATATTTTCCTCACAGAGTGGAGGTGGAGGAGATTTCCCTCAGAGGCTGAGCGTAAACTAAGCCCTCTGTCTGACATGGAGGGAGACAGAGCGAGAGAGAGAGAGGAGAGCGAGAGGAGAGAGAGAGAGAGAGAGAGAGAGAGAGAGAGAGTCTGATTTATCCCTGAGACTTAGTAATGATCACATTCTTCCTGCTGGTGATCACACGTCTCAGAGTTTCCAGGAGTAACAATGTGTAAATGAGACTGCAGAGAGGATGTGAGAGACGGCATGATTAAACACCTTTAAACAAACAATCCAAATCTGCATACAAAGCAGCTGCTTGATGGTTTTTAAAACAGCCGTTCTGCAAATACCCTCGATCTGGAATTGAACCGAACTTAACCTTCAGCCTGTTTGTGTTTTAATGAGGACCGGGACATGAGTTGATCCATAACATTAGTCAGCATAGAGCTAGTTCAGGCAGGTCAGAGAGTTGATATATCAGCTGATCCTGACAGCTCAGTGGTTACCTTCTTCTGCTTTACTCTTGTGATATGCATTGCAGTTAATCCTTGCTCTGTTCTGTATCCAAAGGTCTTCGCTGCTGCTCTGCCCGTCTTGGCTATTCATGTATGCACATGGCACAAAAAGGGGAGATGTGCTCTCCCTGCCTGTAGGCTTTGGTATTCCAGGTATGCATGTGCGAGGGCAGAGTGCTACTAGAACAGAGCCAAACCAGCAAACAGAACTTATTGTATGCAAATGATTGTTCTTTTTTTAAATAAAAGAGGTCCTGGCTGGACCAAAATAGACGCCAGTAAAGGATGACGGTCAATTAAAAAGATTTCCATGATAATATTTTCACTGGAGAGAAGGACGAGGAGTGATTCAAGGGGAGTTAGAAAATGAGGATTCCCTTTTTTTAAATAATAATTATTTTGCCACTAAAATTTCAATCCTGGAGAGATCAAAACCTGCAAGTCCAAGTGAAATGTCTGAACCATAAACAGGCGATATGGGATTTAAAGGGAACGACTTGGATTAAATTGGTCTATAAAGGCTTTTTAGTGCAACACCCGGTCACATTAAGTGGATCGAAGCACGCACATGCCCCCCGAAAGGGCTGCACAAAATGAGATACTCGACCGATCACAAATCAAGATGAATTTGAGCAAAACTGAAGCAGAAACACACGAATTACATTTTGACGCGCGCACAACCGCTGGCACAAAAAGTCATGCAAGGTGATGGGACATACCTGCACCCGCAGCAGCTTTTTTACTATACCTTTACCAGCCTTTCCTATAATACTACAAAGACGCTGAAGCAATAGAGAGACGAGCTGTGCGCTGCTCTCCTGCTTCATTCAGATTTAAGTGCTGAATGAAAGGAGCGCAGATGCGCAGGAGAGGATTCATTCATTCACTCACTCGGAGTTCAGATCACGCTCATTCACACCTCACTCTCTTTGCCTTCGTGTAAAATTTATGAATGATCTCGAGGATCAATGATGTAAAAATGAAAAATGAGTAAGTTTTTCGCCGGATTTCCAGATGCTGTAAATTGGATTTCAGCTGGAGCGGATCTCACAGCTGTTACGCATCGCTGTTGCGCGCAAAAGCTCGCCATTCACACCGAAGGGCATTCCTGCAGCACCACACCAAACACTCACAGAAAGAGAGTGGGAGTCTGACTTACAGCTGTAGCGACAGGAGACAGCTCCACGAGCCTGTGCGGACTGATGGAGCTGATGTTCCAGGGCGCCCGGACAGTCGGGTCCGAGGTGGGGATCCCCGCTCCAATCAGCAGCCTGGAATCCATCCCCGGTCCACGGTGGTGTATGAGAAGTGCGCGAGAGACGCAGCCCCGGTGAGGTTTAGAGACTATATGAGGTGGTCTAGGAGTCCAAGTGGGCCGTCATCATCGCCGCCCTGCTCTCAAACACTCTCAGTGTGACAGACAGACAGGACTACTGGTGCAGCTGTGGAGGGGAGGGAAACAAGTCCTCTCTCTCTCACTCCCTGTGTCTCGTCCAATCCGTGCTCCGGGGATGCCTCTGAGTGTGTCAGTAGGCCTGTGCGTGCATGCACACACACTGAGGTGGACATTTTTTAAGATTAACTACGAGGAATAATCACCTCCTAGAATTTTTTCTTTTTTTCTTCTTTTTTTGTTTCTCTTACTGAAAACTATACAGCACGTCTTTATTTCTCTAATGACATTTCCAACCTTTGCATCCAGAGCTACTGCAACAAAAGAAGAAGGGGGTAAAAAGTAATAACACAATCACACAAAAGGATCAAAACAATCTGTCTCCCACAGGAGTGACTTTAAAGTCCCCCACGTCTCTGTGTGGGCAGAGGCAGATAAGAGATTGTCACGTACCGCCTGCAGAAGTCTTGCCCACATCTTTCTGCGTAACAACAGATCAAAATCTATATTAATTTAATCGCAGCAACATGACTCAGACAGCTGGAGTGTGTTTCATTAGGGCAGCGAGAAGCTTTGAGTGCATCTGCGGGGAAAGGTTGAGGTCACGCCGCTGCAAAGAGCGACGGAGAGGAGCAGTGAGAGTAATGGAGGGATTAAAGGGGGTTTGTCTTTAAGTGGAAAGGAAGCTGATGAGATTGAAGGAGGAATAAGTGGCTATTCTGGGCATTTCACCCAGACACGTTAAAATTTCTATGAACTTTTAATGCTGCTTCATGTGGTGGCAAAATATCAGCTGATGTGCAGCTGGAAGGTCAGGCATTACTTTTTTCCCCTCTCTGTGGGCCAAAAAAAATCTCTAAAAGTTAGTTGACCTGGTAAAAAGACCCTGACATAAGTTTGAGGTGCAAGTTTAGCACAAAAAATAAGATGGATTTGCTTCAGTTACAATCAGCAACATGAGAAACTTAACTTTATTCAACTTTACGAGCATGTGTATCCCAAACTCTTGTTTTATTCTGTTAAGATACATATTTTTCCTTCATTATAGGCATTTGCTCTTGTATATCATATTTACTGCATTACAAAGTATCCTACACTGCTGCCTATCAATCCTGAAAAAGAGATTTCTGATTTCTGAAGGTTAAATCAAATCACCACAATGTAGTTTTGAGGCCCCGACCCGACTGAACAGACTCTGTTTCAAAATGAGTGCTTGTACATGTTGTCCAAAAACGAAGCAATTTGGAAAAGAGATTTTTTTTTTTATGCTGCTTGTTTGGCCGACCAAAAACTGGAGACATAAAAGCTTGTGAAAGACAATTAATGTACTCCATCGAGTTGATGTTCGCTGTAAAAACTAAAATCTGAGTGTGTTTTTCTGGTGTCTAGTTATTATTCTTAACATAGGCCACATATAGATGACGAATCCAGCATCTACACGAGGCTTCAAGATGTTATAATCAAGATGTTATTAAGAGAAAAAAAGGCCTGAATGGTTGTAATGAGTAAAAATACTGTATTTGCCAGCGTTGCAATCAAAATGTTCTTGTTAGTTCCTTGTAGTGAGAATAATGTCTCATTTCAAGATACGTAGTGGAGGTGGGTTCAGTTTGGCCGCGCTTTTAAGTAAATAAGATGTTTATCAAGACTTCATGTGAGTATGGCTTATATTAAAGCTCCAATGAGAAATTTTGGGAGATTTATATTTCTGACTGAAATTCATGTAGATGCTTTTTCATGTTCACCAAAAACAAAGACCACAAGAATAGATATCAATAATTGGTATTTTGTCAATTTTAATGCCTTATACCAGAGTGAGGGGGTAGGTGTCAGCTGAGCAATAGGAGAAAAAGCTCAGTTCCTCAAAATATTCTCAAAAAACTAGATTTGGTGATTGAGAGTCAGCAGGATGAGTCTTTTTAGGTGTGTAGTGGACAAGATAGCCAAACACTGCTTTGTCCATAGGGGGCGCCAAAGTTGACACAAACCAAAAGTCCCTCACAGGAGCTTTAATGATAATATGACAGTCAAAATTTACCAGAGGGGAGATTTATTTTGTGTTAAATGGTGCTTTATTTAGCTTGTAATGGACAAGATAAGCAAAAACTGCTTGTCCATAGGGGGCGCCAAAGTTGACACAAACTTTAAGTTCCCCAGAGGAGCTTTAATGCTGCGTTCCAGATGTCGGAGCTGGGAATGACGTTACACCCGAGATGATGGCATTCCGATAAACAAGTCAGAAAACCAAGATAGACGCCTACTGTTAGTCGTTGTCAGCTGTTGTTAGTTGTTGTTAGCTGTACCAGTTGTAAACAACGCATAACACAGTATTTTACTCTTCCTCTACCATAGCACCGTGTTCACAGTTAGACGTTGGGCAGTACAACATATAAAACGTATTTTATTTCACAAAAACAAAACAGAAGTGCTGATAAATAATACGTTATGAGAGCTTTCACTGTTACTCTTTACTGTCGATGCACTGCGCTGCCATCTTGGTCAACCCCAACTTGACGACGGTATCTTATGATACTGTCGTCAAGTCGGGGTTGGTGAAGATCGTCCAACTTTCTGAGTCAGAAATCCAACTTCAGGGGGGCATTCGGAGTTCGGAAATCCCAACTTCGGAGTACAACTGGAACACAGCATTAGTTTTAATGAGTGTAAGACAAATTTACTAAAATGCACAGTCAGCTACTTTCCTGTTTTTTGTTAATGAATTGTAATAAGTCTGTTGCGTATAAACAAAAGCTGGAGCTTTACATCTAAAATGATGAGAGTTGTATAACTAATTTTAAGCTGGTACAGAGTGTTGCTAATGCCATTAAAGGGATATTCCGGCGTAAAATTAATTTAGGGTCAAAAACACCGTAACAGAGGTAGACACCCCCTCGGGGGAGGTGAATGCTGCCGACCGTTTGCTCCTCCAGTTATACCAACTTTAGTAACGACAGCACGATAACAATCCACAGCGGTCTGAAGAGCCATAAACAAACCTCAACCACAACGCCACTCTATAGCCACGAATAATGCTCAGAACAGCACCTAACTTCATCAACAGTACATATAGGGTCCAAGCCATAGAACTAGCCACCAAATATCTTTATACTTTGCCTGATTTCTTTAGCAAAGAGACTAAAAGCAACTCACCTCCTCTCTTCCAGCAGCCGCTTATTTGTAGCGAGAAAAACCTCGGACTGGACCATTAAGGACTACAGCGGGGTGATGCATGACGGCGTGTTTGACCCTAAATTAACTTTACACCAGGAAATCCCTTTGAAGTCCTGTTACTGATCAGGAAAAAAACACAAAAAAACTGTCTAACAAAGCCCCAATCTGTGTGAACCGGCTTTAATGTCCTTGTCTTGTGTTTTGCTGGTTGGAAGAGGTCAAAGTAGAGCGAGGAAAGTGCAGAGACCTGTAGCAGGAACCTGTTTATTTGCAGTGAACGGTTCTGGGTGAACAATAAAGCATGCCTTTCATCCCTACACATCCAGGATGACATTTAGCTGGGAGCACTCTAGCATGTGGATGAAGAGAACGGAGAGGGAGGCTGAATGATAGATTGGGAATAATGGGGGATTGTCAACAGCAGAAGAAGGATGTGGAAGAATTTAAGCATGAAGCTCTTCGGAGTTTTGTTCATTCTGAGGGGAAGTTCAGGGTCTTGTGATAGATCTCCTATTTTCCCTTCTGCCTCTCCATCACTCTCTGCTTGCCTTTGGGTGTTGTTTTTGATTTTTGTACACTAACCCCTGCCCCCATAACCCATTTCACGGTTTATATAACGCTCTGTTCTGCAGTCTTCCATTTCAACAATAATATGTCACTAATGCTCCCTAATGCTGTGTAATGCTTCATAATGCGGCCGCACTGCCTCCCCAAGTCCCCGTAAACTCAATCAAGCTAGCCCACCTCTGAGATGCTAAGTGTTGATATTCTCGGACTCAGTGGATCAAATTTTTCACAGAGGAGAATTAATTCCCCCCCACCCTGCAGTAAAGTGACTGGTTACAGTAAAGGTAAGTGACATGATCCAGTAAGAAGAGCATCGTTTTCCAGATATGATCCCTGCCCCCTTCAGGTCTGCGCTCTCTCTCTCTACTCATTGAACTCCCTCATAGCAACACACTTAAGTGTAAATCTACTTCCAGCAACATGCTCCTCACTAATTATCCACACAAACACACACACTCAAACGCCATGTGTGAGCTTAGCGTAGCAGCATGTTTAAACGTTTAACCTCGATCCTCTTCCCGTCTCACTGAACTCTGACAAACAAACACATCCTTCCTGTGTGTTGTGTTTGCGAGCAGCGTGGCCCTCTGGCAGCTGCAGGACTGTGGAAGTTTACCGGTCTCATGATCATGGTTCTGGCTGAAATTAAGAGGATCACAATCTGGAGTCTGGACTTACACAACAGCAGCATTATACAAACAACACGGCTAATACAAAGGCCAAAACAATACAGGTCTGTTTGGCGTGATCCTCCCCTCCTCTCTCTCCTTCTTTCCCTCCTTCGCACTTGTCCCCGTTCAAGTTAAATAAGGCTGTTTCAGAGCTTAGAGTAAGGATCATTAGTTTCAAATCCAATCAGCAAATTTCAGCACAGATGAGCTGATGTGCCGAGGATATTACAGCCATCATTGTTTGTTGTTTTACGTGTCAAAAATCAATTTGTCTGGCTTACCCAATGGGTCTATCGCTCAACAGTTCCAGGAATTAGACTGTAACACAGACACTGTTAATAAATAAAGATTACGATGGTTGTTTCGGTCATTACTAATAAACTCAATAATAAACACAGACTGCTTCCTCTACAGTTCTGTGAGAGGTTTCCTAATCCTGTGTTGGAGATTGACATTTTAATGAAACAATAAAAGTAAATTATTTTTTTTGTTGTCTTTTTTTTAGCAGGGGTGTAGCCAAAGGGTGGTGTGTGGTGACCATGCCCATACTAGCAAAAGCGAAACTACATTACTGAGTGAAGAATTTTGCTTCATTTTGTTTTTATCATCAATAACTAAGTACAAATGTGTTCCTTTAATAATGCCATAATAAAACTGATGAGTGATGCCTCATAATTTACTCATTTTCAGTCATTTATCTGCACATTTTTGCTTGTAGCGTTAAGAAAAATCTATTTGAAGTGTCCAATATCACTTTACCAGAAGAGTAGGTCACTTTTTGTAGTAAATAGATAGACTTTAAAAAGATTTATCAACATGGCAGCTCCCCCACAATCTAGCTAAAACTTTTACAGCTCCCCCTGGTGGCTGGATGCTCCATAGGTTCAACTGTAATTCGAGCAGTTAGTTATTTTAGTTTAACGCTCACGGCTATGGGATCATTTTCTGGGGAGTGAGGTTTTTATTAGCCAGTTAATGTGACTAATGGGAGGTTTGGCATTATGATTGACAGCTGCTGTTACATCTATGCCTGAAAACTGCCATTATGAGTTCCTTTTGAGTACCAATCACTGTTAGAGACAATATATAACAAGCTCTTAACACAGCCATGACAAAATACCTGGTAAATGACAAATTTTACTCTCACCTTTAAAGACTCATTCTGATGAAAATCATATTATTGTTGTCTACATGTTCATACGGTATTTTTCTGATGCTACAGGAAATATTGTGAGAAAAGTAAGTGCGAGTAATTGCATTTCTGAGTATTTCTGCATTCAAATTGCTGTGAATCTCTCACAGACCCAGACGGCAGGTTCAGATTCAGCGAGATTTCCTACGTAGCAAATCTGAGCTCCGCAGGCCACACTTGGAAACGTAGAGGACAATCGCGGAATGAGCGTGTCCATGCTCGTAAGAAAGCTAATAATTATATTAGCTTCCATCATGTCCCCAAAGACATTCGTGTCTGAGAGATGACTAGCTCCTATGTTACCTGCTACTACTACTACGGCGGCAAAGTTAGGCTGCAAGCTAGTGTGAAGAGGAGCATGAAGAGGAGCATGCAGAGCAGCGCTGTCTCCGCCCACGACTCAGATAATGATCTACTGGAGCTCTGCAGAAGAAAAACCCTAGGTAACGCGATTTGGGCTAAAATCTATAGAATTGCAATTTAAAGACCACTGAGGAAACTTTAAGTAGTAAAAAAAAATGATTGAAGTGGGATTTGACATTTTTTAAGTGCGGGCCATGTGAGGAAAAATACTAAAGTTACCTAACATGAGTACAGGCCTGACCCACCTTTCCCACTGTCCAGCTCCTTGAAAACAAACAACAACATTGACTCCATTTCTTACAGCTTTAGCCAGTAATCCTGCTTTTAATGACCTTCAATGGTTGAACTTCTAACCTTGTTTTATTGTCGTATAATTTTACAAACGAGTGTGCCAGCACGGTGTTTGGGTGTGGATATCACACTCAGGACGACAGCCAAGAGTGATTCTGCAAGTGTTTAGAGATGCATGAGGTTTTAAAACGTCCAACCTTAGACCGCACTGAAACCCTTCTCTCTTCAGCCTGGTATTAAATAACTCATTCAGTGAGCCAGTCTGCACAATACCAGGAACTGAAACTGGACCACCTTCCTTTGAAAAGTCTAAATATTTGCAGAGAGAGAGCTCCAACAGGATGAGGCTACGAGCTGTATAGGTGGACAGGATGCTGGAGCTTGGCACTGTTTGTTTAGGACAGGGTACTAAAAACTGCATTTCTAGATTACATTGTCTTAGGGTAAAAATGATGGTCTTTTTTGTGCGGAGTTGATGCTTAATGCTCTGATTCGCTCTGAGAGAGGAGCCATCGGACTGGAAGCTCCAATGACAATGACATGTGTGGGAAGGGAGCACCACAGGGGAGGACAGCTGAGCCAGAATATGATTTATGATGTCCAGTGTTGGTCTGCCTCTGGATATGTTTGATTCAACGCTTAGTTTATGCAGGATGGAAAAAAAAAAACGTGCAGACCAGAATCCCCCTTTGCCTGCTGAATTTACAAGTCCGTCATCATCTGTCAGTCCTCTTAACACATCCGAATGTCTCAGGAAATGCTGCAAAGTGTTGGCAGGAAACATCCGCACATCAATCTCCAGTCAACTGATGAGGCAAAGAGGTTAAAGCAACCATCTTTCAAATCTGTCGTCAAAAACCGTCGGTCCAGCTGCATGCTCTCTGGTAGCATTTTGAGTTTGTGAAAGCAAACCATGAAAGGATGCACGTCCAAAACATGAGTCATATCTGGTTTTATCAGGTGTTTATTTTCCAGGAAATAACAAGAATAGAGCAGTTCCCCTCTGTTCTCTACCGGAGAAAATTGTTTCCAGTTATATATTGTTTCCTTGAGCGACGGTTTCTTTTTGCACTAGCGGGAGCCTTGGATCGATGAACAACACAGCTCTGAGATTGTCTGGTCTTGTTTCCAAACTCACAACAACATACAGGTGACTGAGATGGAAGTTTCTTTTAGTGACAGCTTTGGTGTCATTTATGACGAGAAACATCAGATAACTGATATCAAGATCATCAGTCAGGGTTCGGGACAGCCCGTACGGTTGTGGCAAAAATTTCACAGGAACCCCATCTGAGGTGGGAATACAGACAACACAACAGTAAAAAGGATGCTGTTTTCATCAGGAGTAACCCTGCTGCAAATGCAGAAATGGAACATCTTCAGTAACGCATGCAACAGCCCAACAAACATACAAAAAACAGGAAACATGCTGCAAATGGAAGAGAAAACATTTGGCAAAAAAGCCAAAACAACGGCATGAACAGAAAACACGCAGCAAACACCTCAGTGTTGTCAACCTATGGTCTTTGTTGATGGATTTAACAACTCTCAGAACCCCCTAGCATCTTATTTTTAAAAAAGTGTCTAGCGACAAATCTAGCCACTTTTTCTGGAGTTCAGAGACTCTAACATGAAAGCAGGTATTGATGTTGTTTTAGTGTTTTATGGTCTGTTTTTAGTTATTTGTTTCTATGTGTTTAAATAGTTTTTAAAACATTGAAATTATATTTTACTTTACTGATTGTTTTTTATGAACTAGCACATTTTTGATTTTGTATCGGCATGCTAAATGTATGTTTTGATCGGCAAATAGGAAGTGTATGACGTCACAGTGGAGCCAGATGGCTTCTGCCTTTGCTTCAAAATACATTACGAACAAAAAGACCTTGGCTTTCACAATATAGCTGAAAAGTTTTAACTGTAAAGATTAACAGCAGCTTAATGAAATGAATTCATCTCTGCCTTACAGGCTTTCACTGATCGTAACCAGCTGACAAACCATAAAAAAACAATCAATTTAACAACATAAGAACCAAAATAAGCTTCCTATATAAGCTTCAAAATACGTCATCGATGCATTAAGTCAGCCTCCACCAGGGTAGTATTGTGATTTCATTTTTTTATGAAGGGAAAATAGAGGGATAGAAAGACAGTTAATGGAAAAGTCCAAAGCATTAACCCTCCTCCATTCACAAAAGATCTATCAGGAGAAGAGGAGAGTGGAAATTGCCAAAAGCTGCTAATAAACAGTTTATTTTCAAAAAAAGATAATCTCTCAAAACAGGACAAACACTCAAGCCATCAGAATAAGATATTTCCACTGACAGTGGGGATTTATTTTTGCTTTAAGAGCGGAGAGTCTCTCACCCCATGGCCACGAGCGTTACATCACTAAAGCCCCAGAAGAGTGGAGGTCACACACTGACTGTTTAAACTGAGACAAAATATGCAGCGACACATTTCATGCACACATTTACCTCATAATCACAGTCATACAGGTGAAGATGGTGGAGCAGATCTACTGTCTGTGTGTGTGTGTGTGTGTGTGTGTGTGTGTTAAAGGCTTTTCTCTCTCACCCTCTCCATGTGCCAGCACCTCTCCTTACCTGTGAGTGTGCAGCAGTCAGACAGAACAAGGACAAACAGAGGAGACAAACAGAGAAAACACCAACAGATCCACATCAGGGGTTTTAAATATTAAACTGGGCGAGGAGGGACAAAAGGTCATCACAGAGCTGTGGGGAAAAATGAGCATTTTACACCTCTGATTCCTCTCCTCAAAGGCAATAGGTAAATTTAATCAGATCTCATAGTTTTTACACACGTATCAGACTCATAGTTAATGTTATTTCCTTTCACACATGTCCACCACAGTGGAAGATATCTCCTGTTGGTCTGGAGGCAGGAGAATATACTGTACATAAACTTGCGTTGACACCACACTGTCATACTTTTCCCATGGTGAGATGTGAGGGCGTATAATGTTTGAATCGGCGCTAAGATATTGAGTTCAGCAGTGTGCAAAAAAGTGCCGTATTGAAGTCACACTACCTGGTAACAAGAACCGCTTTACAGCAGGGTGAACTTTTTTTTGTAGGTCCTGCCGTCCTTCGCCTCTGATTGGCTAGAAGTGCTGGGCTTTGATTGGTTATTCCTTATGGCTGTGAAACGTCATCGTCTGTCAGGTTAGGGTTAGGAGATTCAGAAGTGCGATAATGTTCTGTTCGATGTACAGAGCCGTCAGCCAGCGTTCGGCCTGAGTGCACGATGATGTTTTCAGCTTTTCTAGCCAATCAGAGGCAAAGGAGGCGGGAATGTCCCCTAAAATCCTACAAAAAAATGTCACCTACAGTGGGTCAGAATCTTAAATAACTTATTGAGAACAAATATAGCTACCTAATATGACAGAAACCCCCTTTGAACAATTTGTTAGAGATGTTTCTTAATGTTATAGTTTGACTAATGCTCCATGTTAAAGGTACAGTATGTAAAAATCAGAATATAAAGTGATATCTAGTTGGCAGGTACCATCAAAATTTTGACGTCACAGTCCATGTTTGCTTATTAAATCCAATTTCAGATACCGTCTTGTCAGGATATGGCACGGACGATTTGGACGTCCCAGTTAAATAGTTGCAATATAATCAAGATGGCGAGTGATGGGATGGAGTCTGGCAACAATTTGTCTCACTTAAAATCACCCTGACTTTTTACTGTTGGGAATCTGAGAGGAAAAAGTCTGTTTAAAGTCAGGTTAAAAGTTCAACTGTTTGTGTTCACACATGCAGCCCATCAGGGGAATTTCCAGGCATGTTTTACAGATTTACAGATCAGTTCCTCTTCAGGGCAAAAATTGATGAGAATTGCATTTACTGTTCAATAATCCCAAGATTTTTTTTTTAGATAATCCTCTGAGCACAGTGTGAGTTTATGGGACTTTTCATTTTAACTCAGACATTTTTTTCTCAGACATAAGGGGAAAAAAGTCTGAATTTTTTCTTTAAATTCAGCAGGGGAAAAAAAGTCTAAATTGTGTAAAAACTTAAAGGAAAGTTTCAAGGCTAGGGATAAGAAATAAATTAAAGAGAAAGGCTTTTTTAATTCTGCACCATGAAGCGATATCCAAATGTAAAGAATAAAGTCAGAAATTCTTTAAAAAATAAAATAAAATAAATAAAACGATCAAATCTGAAATCTCATCGTTTTTCTTAAAGTGTTTTTTTTTTCTAAAATCCTGAGAAATCTGAGGAAAAAAGGTCAAACCCCTCAAAAAAAGATGAGCTGCACTAATCCTCTGATGTAGTCGCAGGAGCCAAGGTGACGCTGGTTGTTTTAGCTGGCTAACATAGCTTTAGCTCCAAAGTCTAACAAGTGAGTCCAGTATGTGACCTCGGTATCCTCTCTGTCCACTTAAATCCACACTTCAGCTAAACAGGTCTGAGTCACCCTCCACACACCTGAGCTAAACTCTTCCTTCAATCACCGCTCTGGTCTCTCTGCACCTTCTCAAGTACTGTCACCACAGACCGGCGGAGCATCTGCAGCATCTTTTCCAACACCCCCTGTGTTCCCAGCCTGGTGGACCCTGGTGTATTTATAGGAGTGAACCATTCTGACATCCTGCCCGGGGGATGGATACTGAGGTCAAAGGAGGTTAGATGATGGAGGACTGTTTTGTCTGTTGGTACAGCCAAAAAAAACCCTTAAAGTAACCTCTGTTGGGAGGGAAAACAAAAGCTGCTTCCTTTTGGGTTGTGGGTTATATAAGGGAGTCGCCTGAAGGGGGTTCTTGTTGGTTTTAGGGTGCTAAATGAAATACGCCTCCAGTTACGGACATTTTAATCTCTTTCGCACAGGGCAACAAAACACCTTCGTCCGTTTAAGTTCCTAATTTTCAAAGTGAAATCCCGCTGGACTCCTCTGTCAGTGACCACAGCTTAAATTGCAACGCTTGGTTCAGCGTTTGACCCTCCTCGTTGTTTGTTAACCTTTTTGACAATAAAGCTGCATAACCCCATTAAGCTTATTAATGCACGCATAATGTAATAAACACACACACACACAGTTGTTGGACAGAAGGAGGTCAAGGAAATGCAATAATGGCAAAACGAAGGGTAAATGTCTGATCGTAAGGTCAGGGGATTGATTTACAATAATGCCAATGTAAGGTTTTCAAGCTGCACCAGTAAATTCAAAGGGAGCCGGAGGGGAGAAAACAAAATTACAACATTTAAAAGGTCATAAAATATTTGTGTTCAGCGGTTTCTTTTCACAGATTTTTTAAATAACAGAAAAAAAAGGTTTATTCTTATCACTTCTGAACAATTTCAGGGACAAATATTTTTAAAAAGTACTTATAAAATAAAATTTCTGCTGAATCCAACCTTACTGGAAAAAAAAAGAGCAATCTGGTCAAAGGACTGTTTAAATTATGCTAACGATTAGCTGTGCACGTTTCAAACCAGCATTACGGGGGGTTTTAATAAAACGGCTCCTGTTTGTATGATTTCCAGAGTAAGCATGGCAATGTTTGATTCCAACAAGCCGGATTAACATGAATAATCATTAGGACGGATAAAATGAAATGATTATGGTCTTACTGGTCATGCTGGGACAGTGGTGTTAGATGTAGCAGCTGTCAAAACACGACACTTTTGAGGTGATGAGAAGTTCAAAATCAAGCGCGAGAGAATCAAGATATCACACGAACATTTGTTTCTGATCAGGTGTGGCTTTAAAAACATGTTTAAGAACATGTACCGCACCAACCAACACAAAAAGCATCCTGGTGTGTGTGTGTGTGTGCGTGTGTGTGTTTCTGTTAACTTTGTTATGTGAGGGAGCTGGCAGAGGCTGCAGGTAGAGCCTGACACGCCTAAGCTGCTCTGGGACCTGGATCCGCTCCAGAACAACCAGATCAACAACATCCCAGCTCCGACGTCAAAGGTTTCTAGGACACGACAGCTGACTGACACAGATTTAACCTGACTCTGCACATTATTTCTCTCTCTCTTAATGAAATATGATTAAAAAATAAGCTAAGATGATGCACTTTATCGACAAAAACATTATGTTTAGTTAAAGCTCCTGCAGAAGGAGTTTTTAGCTGGTAATAAAACACACTAAAATCACTCCTAACCCCTCCATATAAGCTGCAAAAGTGGACAAACAGGTAGAAGAAGGTATAATAAATGGGTGGGTTTGCAAATTTAAATCCCAGCAGGGTGAGCTGGATTCAGAAAAATGTAAAAATTGATCTTTTTTTTTTCATCACAACAAAGCGAGCAAGCCATACATGTGAAAACTACCTCGCTGTTTCATTGAATTGGGGGAGTTTCTTCAGTCAAGGACATGCGACAGACAAAAGATCCATGCATTCACACTTTCTGTATGTAAAAAGCTCTCTTTTGTACTTCGAAAACACCATTTTTCACACATGCCCAAAAGAAAAACCTTGAATTCATTATGATACTGGTTACTGTTCTTGATCGGCAAAGGCTTAACCCAGCTGTGAGGTATTTCTGTAAGCTGTTATACAAGCAAGTTCAGCTGCTGGACACATTCCTTTCATAGATGCTGAATGCAAAGAACACGGAAGAGTTAAATTCAGACCATGCATGGATTGCAGGACAAGATATTCACTCCTACTCCTCCAAACCATCATTAATTAGTAAAAATAAAGACCAGCCTGAGAAACCTAGAAATTATTTTGTGATGTAGTATTTTTTACAATATTTTGTCTAACCGTATTTTTTGCACTATAAGGCGCACTTAAAATCCTTTTTGGCTTGTCGCAGGACTGCAGCTACGGTAGCCCTGCGGAGTTATTGAATGAGTTAAATAAAGTTTGACTTATCTGACTGTTTTGTTTGGCTTAATGTGCCTTATAATTCGGTGCGCCTTATCGTGTGAAAAATACGGTTATGTTTTTAGGATGCCAATGGAAATGAACGGATTTGCCACGGTGTCAACAGGCAGAGGTGAAATATCCTCAACTCTTTCTGCAGCGCCCTCTGGTGACGGGCTGCAGTACTGCATAGCTCACCCGGGAAATATGCTGTTTGAGTCAAGCGTTATCACAGCAACTCTCTCGCCGAATGTGTACAATGCTACTGTGCAGGTGGTGGGGTTCGTACAACACTACTGCGCTATGTTGGTTTCAGGAAGTGAAGAAAAAACACGGAAATACAGAGAGCTTTTTGGCTTCAAATCTGCATACTGGCGGAAGAGGGAACCAAGTTGTCCATAGTATATACAGTCTGTGTGTTTTACCCTGTGTCACTTTTTCTTACCATTTTGACCAATCAGAATCAAGCAACAGAAACCTTACTTATTGGAGCTTTAATGACATACCTAAAAAATACGCAACCACTCCACTTATAACACAATGTTTTTGCCCCATGTTATATTACCACTGAGTTCAGAAGCTAATGAAACAAATCTGAGTAGGTTTGTGATTATGCTTGTGAGCTTTTGAGGTCTATTACAAATTAGCTAAATCAGCCCCATGTCTGTTTTTAATGCTGCTACTGTCCCACCGTCTCTCCTGGAAACTTACTCAGGTAATCAAATATTTTCCCAAGCGCAGAAAGATCTTTTTTTTTTCTCCAAACAGAGTGGAACATTCAATTTCAGAGTTTGCATGGTTGTTAGGCACTTGAAAAAATTTTCTGTAATAGTTTGTGCTTTATAAAAAATAAAGGCTGTCTCCGCAGTGTGCTGTTGTCTGATGCCTAACAGGTGGAAGCAGTTTCAGGTATTAACATAAGCAGATAGATACACTCAAATCCTACGCAGATGGTTTTAAAGTTGCATCAATGTTGTACTCAGTCTGTTCAGGAGCCGGTAAAAAATCTCCTACAGGAGCTTTAAAGCTTCCCATAAGTGTGAGGTGTCTGCTTCATAGTGATGTTGTTATGCTGTGGACTGAACCAACCTGAGGGATCTTTGCCATGTGATGAGTGAGTTTTAGTTTGAAAAAGGATGGGACGTCAATACTGGGGCGCCATTAACTAATCCCTCATGGGCAGACTCTGGCTCTACATGATGTCACAGGCCCAATACGTCATTACTTATTTACTTATAACATGAGAAAACACCAGACCGAGTTTTAAGTTCTGGTACATGTATCAGAGAATATAAGGACAGCTTATGTTCTGAGGGTGAGCCAATAAAGAGCATAATGCTGTGAATAAAAAGGGATCTGTCAACAGAGTCCTTGTTTTCATGTATTCACATTATTTTGTCTAACCCTCTGTCTCTACTTCTGTGAGACCTGGATGTTGTACTTGTCGAATCAAAGGGCTTCGGTTGAAACATCATTCTGGGAAGGCAAGCGTTTGATCCTGGAAATGTACCAACCTGTTGCAAGAGCAGAGTATGTTTTATTGATCGACGGATAAAAGAGTTGCAGCCAAGACCGCTGCTGTTTAAAGCCCAGGAAGGCTGTGAGTATACAACATCTAAAACACCCAAACTTTTCAAGGCAGAAGTGATTCTCTGTGTCTGCTCGACCTGTACATTTTTAATCTAGTGCTTCGTGCTATCAGGGATAAAGAATCAGAATCAATCAAAGAACAATATTTAGTAAACTCAATTGCAACCTTTGTTTTCTTTTCTCTTTTTTGACAATTTTAATCCTTTATTCCCACAAAGAGGAAAAGGCTTTAAAACTTATTTTTTAATATGACATTTTTCTCAGATTTTGTGATTTAAGTCAGAATTCTTAACCCTTTAATGCCTTTTGTATCATATTTGATACATACTTTTATATACTTCTATCAAATTAATTTGATAAACAAATTACTAAAAAAACACCTGAATACAGTCCGATAAAAGATAAATGTGCTCTTGTAGTTTATTAGTTCCCAAAAACATCTAATGTATCAAACGAGATAAAGAAAAAATTAAATTTTAAGGACATTTTGATTTTTTTGGTTTTCAGTAGTAAGTGAAATAAACATTTCAGCTCCAAAAATTTTGAATTTTCTGGCCATAATTTGTGGTGTCAGGCATTAAAGGGTTACAAAAAAAAGAGGAAATACAGTTTTTAACTCAACATTCTGAGAAAAAGGCAGAATGAAAGGTTTACAATGTTACTTTTTTTCTCCGAATTCTGACAGCTTGATTTCATGGACAATGTAACAAGTCTGAGAAAAAAAAACAAATAGCCCTAAAGAGAAATAGTCAACATTCTAAGAAAAAGTTACGAATTCCGAGAAAAAATTACAAATTCTGAGAAAATGTCACTTTTTTTTAAAAGTAAGAATTCTGAGGAAAAATTTAGAATTCTGAGGCAAAAGTGAAAAATTCCAAAATCCAAATCACAAATTTTGAAATTCTGATTAAAAAAAGTTTCAATTCTGAGAGAAAAGGGCAAAAATCTCAAAAAGAGTCACCAATAATGGAAAGTAGCCAGAACTCTGAGAAAATGTCAGAATTCAGACTTAAATTTAGAAGTCCTAGAAGGTGACAAATTCTGAGAAAAGTTCCAAGAATTTAAGAAAGGTCCAAATTCTGTGGAAAAATATTTAGCACACTGAGAAAAAAGTCACAAATTCAAATAAAAAAAAAATCAAATCTGGAGAAAAGATTGGAATTTTATTTAGCTTTTATTTAGATTTTTAATTTAGACTTTTTAATCTCAATTCAAACTCAATTCTGAGGGTAAAAAAGTCTCAAATTCTGAAAAAAATAAATAAAAATCTTGACTTTAATCACTGAAGTTTGAGAAATAAATTTGAGTGGAAAGGAAAATTGCAAAAAAACTCTGCAAACAGACATGACAAAAAGAAAAAAAAAAGCTCTGGGTCTATGGGGGCGCTGAGTGCTAATTGGTCCAATTATTGCGGTGTCCTCTGCAGACTGAATCATGACATTGGCGGGGTGAATTGGAGTGCAGTCCCTTCAAAGTGAGGGATCAGGCAAACAAATATAATGAGGTTTATATTCAGTGGGAAGAGGTGCCACTCATGTTACCTCTTCAAACCTGTGGCCAAAGACATCACAGTCTTTGTGGCCATTTCAGAGACAACAACAAGAAGAATGGAGCTGTTTGGGAAGATTGACTCCTGGTGGCAGAAAACAGTTATGAGACTGACAGCAGACTGAGGGAAAGTGTTGACTCAAAGAGAGCGAAAAGGAGCTGAGGAATTGTGTGAGGAAAAAGAGGCAAGCTTGAAACCTCCATACATGTCAGATGAGTGTGTGTTTGTAATAAAGCTCTATTCACATGGGATCAGTATTATCTGGGAACCTCTGGTAATCTATATATTACCCCCTTAGGACAGTATTTGGTGTGGTGTCATTGCGATGAACAAACAGAATCCACAATTCAAATATTTCCTAACATAAAAGTAGAACATCCAGTAAACATCCAAGACGACCTTGCATTAAAAAACAAATAGAAATGGCTGCTGAGAAAAAAAAAAATTACAGGCCCTGAATCCTGGAGAAGACACTCATCGTAATTGCTGTGTTGGGTGAACCATGTCATCAAAGGCAATTACACATAATGAAGCACAACCACACAGTTTGGGAAAATATTCAAAGACCTCTTGCTCTGTCGTCTGTCTTTGAAGACCTTCAGTTTGCTTTTTATGTGGGAGCGTCTCTGATACAGCGACTAAAAATCATGTCAGAAGCTTTGTTTACTATGTTCAGTCTAACCTCTATGATTCTGGCTGGACAAGGGGTCGAAAAAGCCTTGAGGATGTTTTTGAACAAATTACCACCCCAGATTTTAGATATGCCAATACAGACTGGATTTATATTATCAGAGGACCAAACAGATGAGGGGTGAGTGGCACCCGTGATTATCATTTTGGACACGCCCCTGGAATTATCTTCCTTTTTTTTTTAAAGGGATATTCCGGCATATTATCAATTTAGGGTCAAACACACCATAACTTTTGTAACAACCACAGGATAGCAATACACAGCGGCCTGAGGAGCCATAAACAAACCTCAATCAAAACGCCACTCTATACCCACAAATAACGCTCAGAACAGCACCTAACTTCATCAACAGTACATATAGCTTCCCAGACATAGTACTAGCCATCAAACATCTTTTTAGCTTTGCCTGATTTCTTTGGCAAAGAGACTAAACACAACTCACCTACTCTCTTCCAGCAGCTGCTTGTTTGTAGCGAGACCTCAGGCCAGTCTATAAGGGACTGCAGCGGGGTGATGCAGCTCAAGGAAGAAGATTAGTGATAATTTATTTATCATTTCCTTGTAATAATCACCATATTAATTATTTTGCACTGCAGACGCAATTGTACTTCTGCCTTAGCGTCTCGGTCTGATTGCATTTCCATGAAGAAATTATCATAAATGTTCTTCTTTGAGCTGCATCACCCCGCTGCAGTCCCTTATAGACTGGCCTGAGGTCTTGCTACAAACAAGCAGCTGCCTGAAGACAGTAGGTGAGTTGTGTTTAGTCTCTTTGCCAAAGAAAGTTAGTCAAAGTTAAAAAGACGTTTAGTGGCTAGTGCTGTGGCTAAGACCCTATATGTACTGTTGAAGAAGTTAGGTGCTGTTCTGAGTATTATCTGTGGCTATAGAGTGTCGTTTTGGTTGAGGTTTGTTCATGGCTCCTCAGACCGCTGTGTATTGCTATCCTGTGGTTGTTACTAAAGTTGATATAACTAGAGAAGCAAGCGGTCAGCAACATTTATCTCTCGACACGGTGTCTAACTCTGTGTTACGGTGTGTTTGACCCTAAATTAATTTTACATCAGAATATCCCTTTAACTTAAAGATATTCATATGAACATAAGAACTGATCCAATACAGCTACCAACATTGCCAGTAATCATGAGTAAACTACCTTGACACTGCAACTATTAACCCTTAAAAATAAAACCAGCTCTTTGCACAGAAAGCTGCAATTGATATCCAATGGCTGCCAGAGGTAACTACTGTTATAAAGGAGCAAAGAAGAACTGACACCGGGTCACAACAGTATCAAACAACAAAACCGAGACACAGTCAAAGATTGTTAGGTTGGTCAAAGTTGCTCTCAGTTATGCATTAAGGTGTAATAAATCAACTTTTCTCCAAGGCTATCATGGAGACGGCGAGTTCAGCGGGGCTGCAAGCTGACTTTAGCTTGTTTTGAATGGGCTCTGTCAGTTTTGACATTAGTATTCCTTTGCTGTCAGTCATTTTTGTGTCTATGGGAGCAGCTCTCAAAACAAACTGACCCAGTAATCAAAACTTTTAAAAAACGGTGAAAAAGTAGCATCATTATAAAGTTTTCTGACTGGTGAGTAATCTCAAAGTAAGAGGGGGTGATGGTGTGGAGTCACGACCTCCAAACACACGGAGAAGACTTCTGGGAAGAGGGGAGACCAACGAGAGGTGGACATGGGTGACACTTATCAGAGCTATTTTTTGTCCTAATTCCACCTCCATTGAATAAATAAATAAATAAAAATCTACAGTAAGACTGAAGTAACTCTCTTGTTTTGATTTTTCCCCCTTCTGGAGAGAGGAGCGTCACCTTTCAGCCAGCTTCACAAAATATACAGTGGCTCCAAACTCATGATGCAACATCAGTCTGTTTGACAGCCTCTGTCTCCAGCAAGAAACTGTAAGGGGAATAAAAATGGGAAGAGAAGGCTTGTTTCTGAGGGCGGCTGTTTAGACATGGGCGAGCGAGGAGGTCCCAGGGGGCACCATGCTCCGAGGATCGCCAAAGGGAGGAAGAAATTTTCTCTTCTCTTCAAAAAAATGAACCTTCCTGCTTCCACTGCTCTACACTCCTGCTACCGAGGAAGACCAGAGGCAGATTGAGAGGAGACAGAGATGTGCTATCAGATCATTAACCTGGCAAATGGAGGTAGGTTAATTAAAATGAGGCGAGCGGCAGTGATCAATGCACGCAGAGCGTCAAAGTGGAGTGTTAATTTCAGGGACATTTTTGCAGGTAAACCAAACTCTCAAGACTGCTGCTGTTTGTTGACAATGTGTATCTGCACAAAGTTCACTCTGAAGTTCTTGGTATTATAAAAATCAATGACACAAAAAATTGTAGAGCAAAAAATATCTTAACAATATAATAATACATTGATTTAATAATAGCACCTACATGAATGACTGACGGCGAGTAGAGCAGTGTGATCTCCATATCAGTGTGCAGGATGATCCCCTGCTGTGCTGTTAGTCAATAAAACAAATGAGGGGGCTGCGTGAGCACATGCAGAGGTGATGGAGTGATAACTGCTGCTGATTATTACAACCTTTATATCATGAGTTTGGACACTGAAAAAATGTCGGTAAAAACGGATTTTGATGTTTTGCATATCATCTAAATCCTCCCACTTTGTTGTATTAAATGTTAAAACTAAAAAATGCAAATTTACAATGAAAAATACATGAACATTATGGGTTTGATCAAATTTTAAAGGTTTATTTCACGAAAAAAAATGATACAAGAACTACACAGCTGCCTGGAAACTGCACATTGCTGAACTCAACAGAGATTGTCAGGCATGACTCTGAAAGACCCCAAGTAACAGACTGGACCCTGAATACTAGTGTCACTTTTATACCAAATTTCCGGTATTATACAAAGTATTTGGATACAGCTACATGAGCTGTATCACTTTTACTAAAATATTCCTCTTCATGTTCATCCACAGCTGTTGTAGTGACATCCATGACTCGTATTTTTATCTGTCTTTTCTTGTTGTTTTTGTTGTTTAACATTAATTTGTCCTTATTTTGTTTTCATCCTGTCTGAGCAGAAAATAAAAAACATGAAATTTTGAAAAATGATATTGCAAAAAATTCTCATTGCAATCAGGACTACAAAACAAGACTTTCACTTTTTTCAGGCAGTTTGTTCTCTCTCATTTTTCCACCAACAAGATGAAGCAAACACTTTCCATTTCTACACTTGAATTATTTCCCAGGAGACTGGCCTTTTCAGACATATTTGTAGCTGTCTATAATCTTGCTAATCTGCACTGTAGGCTTGCAAGTTGGAGTGAAGGAGGTAATGTGATGAATAGGTTGAACACTGTAAAGTGAAGTGCGCACCTTTTTTTTGTAAGAGGTTGGGAAACATATTTTATCCTTGTTGAAGAAAAATGCAAATACAGACCAGTCTTAAAGTGGTGATGTTACTGAAGCCATTAAAAAAGCAGTCAAGAAATCAATGTCTGACTTGAGCTTGGAGATACTTAATCTGAGAAAACAACTCAAAATTTGCTGCAGACAGTCTCTAAGGTTTTTGTAGTTATGAATTTATGTTTAGATTTTAGAGTAAAACTGTTGAAGTTTCACAGCTTTGTCCAGAGGTGGGCAAACCCACAGTTGATCTAAAAATACATTCAGTCCACTTCAGAGCAGACTGGTGGATTTGTAGTCATAAAAGCAAAAAAACATCACTTTCTAGTTTTCTAGTTTGAGTTTCTTGTCTTGTCTAATCTGGTCTAGTTACATGACATTAACAGTGTCTTTTACAGATGTCCACCAGCCCAACTGATAGAGCGGTCTCTGAGATAGAGCGGTCTCTGAGATAGAGCGGTCTCTGATTGATTATTTCCAATGAGTATTTAGGCAGTAACACTGAAGAGAGATGGCAGATTTCTCTACTGAATGGCAGCGCTGCTCTGATTTAGACACAATCAGTTTTGCCCACAGATTCACAACTGGACTGAAAGTGGACTACTGCCAAGTTAGGGGCGAGAAACACGGGAAAAAAAATCATATCATGATTTTTGTGTGTGGCAGAATCACAATCCTGATTTCATCATTTTTAGTTTTTACATTTATTTTAAGACTAGTTTGCAAGTTACTGATCTGTTTAAAAAGTATATCCCTGAAAAATAACAAAAAAAAAAAGAGTAACACTTTAAAATAACCATATTTTATAAATGGTAAATAAATAGTTAATTAATGTTGAATAATCATATAAAAACAGCATATAGACCAATTATAAATGGCAAATGGATAGTTTATTAATTTAGGTTAATAGTTACTTTACCATTAACAAGCAATGAAATTATGATTAATAATTTTTATTAATTATTGATAGACTATTTATTAAAGGTTTTTAAAGGGTTTAAATATTGGTTTTTAAACATCTAGATTAAAATGTGTTTCAGTAGCACTTTGTAAATGTTTAATATTTGTTTATTTAAACCACCTATAAAAATTAGGGTTCGGTTTTTTAAATTGAAAAATTTACAAATTGAAAAATTTACAATTTATTAATTGTCTATATGCAATTCATAAATGATGATTAAACATTAATTTACTATCTGCTTACCATTTATAAATGGTCTATTTACCATTTATAAGTTATGGTTATTGTAAAGTGTGACCAAAAAATGGACCATCTAAGCCAAAGCATTTTTTTCCAAACAGCTTTAATCTGTGTGCAATCTCTCGTCAAGTTCAACTGACTGAATTAAATTTGACAAGTAATTCAAAAACAATAAAGACTGATTCTGTGTGCAAACATTAAAGGCTACACCTAAAAAGACCGCTTCTGTGAAAGTTCAAAACCACAGGATGTATTTTCCCCCCTCAACTTCATTTTTGAAGTTACACCAGGAAATATAAACAAACATGTTAGATGAATCACACATTCCTGTCAGCCCCCCCCACTCTCCCCTGACACCAGAAATGCAAGACAATAGAGGAAAAAAACTATGAAAATAACCGAGTACAAAGGAGCAGTAACAGTAAAACTGAATGGGGGTGCTAAAATTAGTAAACAAGTAAGACTACGACACAGAAAGGCTGTGATTCTGCAAAATACTCTGAACTGAACATTTAAATCATTCAGTATCTGCTTTATTTAATGGTGATGTTGTAACAGTTTGGGCCAGTAACTGATCTAAGCTCCTTTTAAACTTTTTTTATTCTTAATTTTCTCTCTCAGTTTTTTTCTGTCTCCTGCCAGCCCTGATGAATAACAACCAAGAGCAGAAGTATGTAAAACTGGAGAACGCTTTGATATTCTGCATATTTCATGAAAAAGTGTGTGAGTTCAATTTATTTCAGCTTGAACAAAGAACAAGCTTAATGATAAAACGTCAATGTGCAATCTCATTAATGTCACATAGTCTTTGATTTATGCCTTTGGGAGACTCTCTCTATAAAAGAGGAGTAAATTACTTGATGGTTTCAGCGCTGCATTTCGCACTTCGTTGAGCATACAGTATAATTCTGCCCAAAAAGGTCGATTTAAGCAAGCCCAAGTTTTCGCTTAAGATGGTTTCTGGTCTAGTCAGCTCAAAGTCCTCCAAGACGAGATCTTGATTGGGTGACAAGATCGGTTTGCTCGTGGGGCTTGTTTTTTAAACTTTAACTTTTTCTGTGACCATCAACAGCAGATGTGCCATAGCTGAAGCAAAAGCACACACCCTCACTCACTTTTTCAGCTGTCAATTTCTGGGCCTGTCATTGGTTAATCGTCTGTAACATATTCAGCGGCACGCCCTCACTGTCAGCCTATCACTCTGCTGCTCTCCTTTTAAACGTGACTCTCTCTGCCTCTACTTCTTTCATGCTGACAATCACACTCAACCCCCCGGTCTCCGCCTGCTCTCAGCGGTATATTCAGTCATCATTTATCATACACATGGCCCTGACAAGTCATCAGCCACCACCACCACCACCACCTTCAGTGTCTGGACTCCGTGGGGATTTCCCGACTGCTGCTCAAATCAGACATCCTACAATCACAAAGTTCTCCACATGGAGTCCAAATGACTGGAAGTTCTCCAGTCAAGCATCATTTTTTAAATTATTGTCACAAATGACTGTTGACTCTTCAACTCAACTCTTTTAATTGAATATTAACTGTTAACATTTAATAATAATAATAATAATGCATCAGATTTCATATAGCGCTTTATCAGAGACCCTCAAAGCGCTTTACTTTGGATACATCATTCATTCGCTCACACAGTCACACTCTGGTGGTGGTAAACTACCTTAGTAGTCACAGCTGCCCTGGGGCAGACTGACGGAAACGTGGCTGCCATTTTGTGCCTATGGCCTCTCCAACCACCACCACACAACACTCACAATCATACACCAGTGGAGGACACACACTAGGACACAACGGACAGACTTGGGATAGGGGGGAATCGAACTGCCAACCTTCCACTTATTGGACGACCACTCTACCTCCTGAGCTACTGCCGCCCATTTGGCTTTTTCCAGTGCAAGCGTTCACCATGTACAAGGTTTTTCTGCCTCTTCATCTCAATTCAGTATCATAGGGTCCAAGCCCACTTGGATAATGAGGTTAGAAACTGAGGTGGGACTTTTTTAACGTGCGTGAAGCTGGCCCCCCAATCCGCACAAAATTTTGGGAAAATAGTTTGTTTCGTTTGTGCTTCATTTGCGCCGCAAAATTTTTCTTTGTGCTTCTACGGTTTTAAAGTTATTACACACTTATTTGGCGAGGACGTCACCCACCCCCCGTTTTGCTCTAAATGGACCCGAAATGGTGCCGTTTGTTTGTGCTTTGTTTGTGTTGGTTTATTCCCTAAAAATGTTCATTTGTGCTGCTATGGTTACAAATTATTACTAACTTAAATTTTTGGCGATACCCCCCATTTGCCCCAAATGGACCCAAAATGCGAAATGGAACCGTTTGTTTGTGCCTTGCACGCCTGCCAAGAACTTAATGCACCTTGCGGAAATGCACACCGTTTATAGTAGAGTGGTCCCCGGAAATGTACAGTTTATAACCCATATAATTATTATTCATGGGGCTAAACAACGATAAGTAATGATCCGAAAGTGAAGTCTATATCTTTGTGTCATTTATGTTGAATAGACCTTGAAATTAGACGCTTTAAATAATATTTAATAACTTCAAAACCATAGCAGCACAAATGAATATTTTTACGACACAACTGAAGCACAAACAGAACAGACTATATTCCAGAAATTTTGCACGGGGTGGGGAGCCAGCTTCACGAGGATACTTCTTTAAAGTTTGAAAAGTTTCCACTAATTCCTTTGACGCCTTAATCTTAACTCACAACCAAGAGATGTCATATCTGCAAAGTCGGAACAATAATTGCAAACACACTTACTGCAAAAGTAGAAGTATGTGTAAAGCAGAGGATTGATTTTATGACACATAGGCTTTTCCAATGCTGACACTATTGATCATAGAGTCTTATAGGAGGTCCACAAAACCCAACCAAAGTGGCAAAAGCGTTGGATTTCATTAAACCCAAAACCAATACAAGTGACAGCATCCTCAAATCCAAGTACAGCACCTCTGTGCTCCAGACTGGTGACGCAAGTGACTGCACATGACAGATTTCTTCTTTCCCCCACCACTGCATGCATTAATAACCTGAGGCCAGCACTATAAAGATGTCCATATGCTCCCATATAGTGTAACCACTTTGATGGATGGAAACAGTTTGGAGGATGCGGAGCAAAATGGAAGATCAAACAAAACAGAATCCGGCTCAAAGATGTGCAGTTTGAGTAAAAATAGCCTCAAGATTGAATGAATATGAAGGAACAGAAATATCAATATCACAGAAAAAAGGGAAGACTGTGATGAAACTGACAGCAGAGATGCTGAAACGAGTGTCAGATGAAGAGTTGGAAATGTGCGATTGAATCCCGCCGAGTCCCCTGAGCTCATCAGCGGGACCGTCAGAGGGGGATTAGGAGGGCCAGGGATTACCGGAAGAATGGCAAGATGGAATCTGTCTGTTTTATCAGAATGAACCTTAATCCAGAGCTAAACCCTGGACATCTCTGTATTCACAGGCATCAATAAATACAACTACACACCGTCATCGCTTCAACACGCCCTATGATACAGGCTTTGAGTTCACCGCTGAAATACATCCTTGGGCATCTCACTGTCTTTACGGCCAATGTAACACTAACAGGGTATTAATAAGAAGAAAAAGTTAACAGATAATGGTTTCTGTATGTGTGGCACCTGGTCCTTCTGTTTTCAGTCTAAAGCGTCTGATAATCAATGTGTGACGAAGCATTTTCTCATTGTAAATCTGTCACTAATCCTATAACGACATACATCATCTAATACTTACATTTTTAATTTCCCTGAGGAAACCTTCCCAAGAGGATCAATTAAGTTCTATCTAATCAAATCTAATCTAATCTAGTCAGCCTGAATGGGTCGAAGAAAACCGACCCTGATTACCAGACGCAACCTAAGATAAAGACTCTTACCATCTCTTTCATGGTTTCGTTAGATCAGACATACACTGTTCAAATTTCAGCAGATTCTGACTTATTTTCTTAATCGCACAACTCTAGGGTGATCACATTTTGATTTTGAAAACCTGGACAAAAACCAGGACTCGACCCGGCAATGAGATGCTATATATCTTCAGTTCTCTTCTTCATCTGAGGGGCTCAATGAAAAACAATGAAAATTAGGACATTTTCATTACTAGGACAGGGCATCAAATCAGGACATGTCCTGGGAAAACCAGACGTTTGGTCACCCTACACAACTGGTTTTCAAGTGGACTGAGTCTACTCGATTGGGTGCTGATAGATCACTGCCTGATTGGCGAATTCATCGAACCAGATCGATGAATTTCTGGCATGTTAGAAATTATGGTTGGCCGACGGCACACGCAAACACCGCTGATGTGACGTGGACAACTGAAATACAAATAAATTCTTCAAATCGTAAACCTTTGACTTTTTTAGTTTTTGTTGATATGTAATGACAAGCAATGATTGTTCTTCACATGTGCTCATGAATCACATATACGGCGTAAGCTCTCAGGACTTAACGATACAGACAGAGAATATAATTCTTGAGCTTAGCTTGTGTGACCTGACATTCCCCAATGACATTCATACAACTACAGTAAATGCCAAGCCTTGGGAAATTGTACATGTAGTTTCAAAAGGCCGCAGCAGGTGTGGGGGGTCTGATATATTAAAAGATTACTGAGAGCTTTGCAGATGAAGTGGCGAAGGGACCAGAGGGAGGAGGGAGTTTGAAATGTGGATTGAACACAAAGCAAAAGATGTGCTCGATACATTTGGTCTTAAAATCCTTAAATACCTAATCCCATTACTTCTGTCATTAACGTTAATTCCTTGATATCACCATTTGTCCCTGCAATCTTCAAATCTGATGACCTACTTTCCATATGTACTTAAGGGCCAATCTGTATTCTCCTTACAAGTGTCCATGTTTCCGGAAAGGGGAAGCAGAGCTGATAAATTTCTGTCTCAACAGCTTGACCTTATGGAAACTTGCTTTAGAGCCAATTCTCCAGAGGGATGGTTAATATCTCTTTTTGAAGGGAATGAAACCCTTTCTTGGTGTTTCAGAGAAGTGTTTCTGGGTCTATGAAAAGCCTCTGAACCAGTCTACAACAAAGTTTTCCAAAGTAAATTTCAAGAATCGGTTATAGCACATTACATCATAACCGCTATTAATTATTATCAACAATAGACTGTATACAGAATGGACGCCATCTGCCTCCTCGCTGGGTAAAGCCACCTCAAAAACAGCACCCCCTGGTGACGGGCTGCAGTATAGGTCATGAATCCTGCCTCTATGATTGACACTTGATACAACCGAGTGTGATCACACAACTCTCCTGCCAAATGTGTACAATGCTACTGCTACTAGGGTGATTATACGTCCTCTTTTACCCCGATATGTCCTCTTTTTAGGGGCCGTTCAGGTTTGTCCGGCTTTGTCCGAGGAATTTTATAAAATCCTTCAAATGGTCGCAGTTTTGTACTTAAATTTCACTCTTGTGTCACGTGGACTTACTGAGTTAGAAGCGCATAAAAGACACTCAATCCGACCCGAAAAACTATCAAAATTAACTTAGCGCAACTCTGTGACCCCGCCCCCATGGTGTCATGTCCTCTTTCTGGGAAGTCAGAATATGGTCACCCTACTACTGCGCATGTGGTGGAGTGCGACCCATGCTACTGCTCAATGTTGGTTTCAGGAAGTGGAGAAAAAAAAGGAAATACTGAGAGCTAGTGGAAGGCAGAACCAAGTTGTCCATAGTATATACAGTCTGTTATCAACTGATTTAAAGATTTTTTGGAGGGCTTTTAAAGCAAAAGGACTGGGAGGAGAACTTACTGTACAACCATGGCTCCTCCTAAAGTGACAATCATTTCTCATCCATCCATCCTTTATCGCGTATCCGGAGTCGGGGTGGAGGGGCAGCAGCGTAAGCAAGGAGGCCCAGACTCTCCTCTCTTCATCGGCCACTTCATCAAGCTCTTCCCGGGGAAACCGCAACAGCAACATAACTGAGGAATAAAGAAAGTAAATGTGTCAGGGCTTAAAATAATGTGATTCTGATAAAATGCATGATAATTAACAGAATAAAAAATTTGTCAGCGAGTACACGGCGGAGGTTATGTTTCTGAGACAGAAAGAACATAAAATTTGAAGATAAACTTCTGTCATGAGCGCAAGATTTAAAAAAACTGAAAAACACCTACACGCTGCAGCAAAAGCCTTTTTGTCATAAAAAGGCTGAAGGATTTTCTTATTTTTGATGCCCTTGACTGAACAGAATAAGGCCTTTTAATTTACCCTTTTTTCCTTGACTCTTTTTATAGAGTCTCTTTTTTTGATACCTCAAAATTTCTCAACCTCACACTTAAGGAGAAAACAAGGACAAGATTAAAACAGAAAATAACAATGAAAGAAAAGAGGGAAGAGCTCTGTCTGAATTTTACAGATCAGTTCAAATCTCTGTTAAATAAAACACACAGAGAGCAGACCAATAAATTTGGTTTTGTGTACCGCTAATTTGTTTTGAGTAAACATTTTTGCCAATTTTCAACCTCGTCTCTTTTCATTTGAGATGAATGTGTCAGAAGCTTTCAGGTTACATTATTAATCTGTCAGTGTTTCCCAGGAAATGAATGAAACAGGGGTTTTATTTTTATTTGTTGAAAATTTTGAAGAATGCATTAAGATAAAAACAAATCAGCAACATAAAAAAGGCTTGAATTAACCAGGGAGGGTTTTCACCAGAAACACACAGACGAGTCGAGAAGTTTGCACGTTTTCTTCACGGATCATTTGAGTGTTAGGGAAACATAAGGCCTGGTAGGATTCAAATGAAGGGAGACTGTGTTCATAAGATCTGAATAGGAATTTCTGTCACTAACATCACATCAGATTTGACTTTTGATTTAAAGTTTTTTAGATACGCAGTTTTTTCATATGCTAAAAAATGCTCAAGGGTTCTGCCCAAGAGGTTTCTACGTATTCTATATATGCAACAGGGACACTATTTCTCACATTATCCATCTCGTTGACCGCAGCATAGTGTTAATTAGAGTGCTGTTTCGTTTTAAGGTCCTTCAAGCTCTTTGACTCTCAGCTTCTCCTGCAAAGATCTTCTCTCAAGCATCAAGTCAATGACTGTATTTCTTTTGCCTAAACTTGTGATGTTCTCCAAGCTCTTTAACTCTCAGCTTCTCCTGCAAAGATCTTCTCTCAAACATCAAGTCAATGAATGTATTTCTTTTGCCTTAACTAAATCTTGTTTGTGATGTTCTACAAGCTCTTTGACTCTCAGATTCTCCTGCAAAGATCTTCTCCTTAAAACAGCAAGTCTTTCAATGACACGTACACTCTGTGACTCCAGGCTCAACTTTTTCCTCAAGTTGACAACTTACGTGCCTCAACTCATCCAACTTTTTAGAAATCTCTGTCTGTACTTGTATTTTGTTCTTTTTGTGGGAAGTGGTGGGGTGGCCCAAACACTGTCTATTGACCGTTCCTAACTGGAAAGATCTTTGACTTGACCTATGGCCTACCCTAACCAAAATCTGTTCAGTAAACACATGCCACATTTCTCACATGGCAAGAACAACATGTTCATGGATCTATTTTTTATAATAAGTTATCCCACATAGCGTCTCACAAACATTTTTAGCCTTGGAATTTTTTGAGAAACCAGGATTGACAATGGATTTAACCTGCCTATACTTAACAACTGTTAACCTTCAAATGATCATAAAGATATACAGAAAAAGAAGAAAACAATGAGTGTTACCTCTGCTTCAATGTGCTTACAAGTAGATGTTTACTGTTTGTTGAATGTTTGTGTTACTGTCTCTACTTTCGCTTTCCGTCCCAGACACGTCAATCACTAGATGCTGCTAGTCGATAGTCATGTTCCTGCTTTTGTCTTGTTACTTTTATGACTTTGTACTCGGGTCATTTCTGTTGTGCGTGTCATACAGTGATAGATGTGTCGAGTCATTGTTGTTTTTGTGATTGCCTCTGCTATTCGAGTTTAAAACCATTTCTAAAGGCGTGTTTAAGCGCCCGGTGTTTGACACTGACCTCCCACTATGTAAAGTGCAGCTTTGTGTGTGGCATCTATGTACCTACACCATGGAAAAATGAAACTGGGACACAGTGATGTAAGGACAGCCCGGCCATGGCGTGTACTTTGGCCTCCTTTACAATAACGCTGTATGAACAGGAAACGACCTGAGGGAAACAAAGGAACAATGTGTCATTTTAGAGTCTGAATCTGAATAAAACAGCAAACAAGCCAAAGTGGCGAATAAGGTTGCAAAACACAATCCGTGATTAATGCTAAATTCAGATATTTCTGCTGCATTGTATAGAATGAAAGCCAAAAAAGAAGAATCAAGTAAAATCTGGATACTGATGAGTTATAAAGTTCTCAGTGTTTCTCATGAGAAAGTGCACACGAGCAGGTGAAGTGAGGAGAACTGAAGACAGAAGAAGGTCCTCTTTGTGCTCGGTCAGATGTTTGAGAATCAGATAGCTGTCAGTGTTTCCTCTTCCAGGGGAATCTCGAAGTCGACTTAAAACTTGTGACCAAAAATCAAGTGTTTAATGTTTGCCAAAATACCACCAATAATGCCCAATGAATACACCCACAATGGTGTAAGGACGCAAAGACAAGCTCCTTTATTATCTGGTTAAATAACTGAGTGATTGGAAATTGAAGAATTGTTCTTCAGTGTTTAAAGTTTGGAAAATAACAAACTGAAGCTGAGAGTACACACTGTAACAGCATATTTACAGCATGAACTGTCATTACCTGATAATGTCTCAGTTCTGAATCAATAACGTAGATAGGTTAGAGTGTAGTTTTGTCAGATTAACAGGCAATTTCCACTTCATCCATAACGGCTACGAAAAGGCCATATCCGCCGATTGTAGCTGATCGTAACTATTCAAGTAAAGGTGTCAATTTCCATCGACTTCTTTCCATTCCACTGCGCCAGACTTGTGCTGGAAAGGAAGTCGGGCACAGACACAAAAAAAAACATCCGGCTTCTTTTCAAAATAAATCACTCGGTGTTTCAGGCAGATCGTATTTCACACCAAGTAAACGGGCGGAGACGAACAAGTGAAAGGTTAATAGACAGCATTTCATACCGATGACACCATGGATGAGAGGATGCTGGTTTTAGACGTCTAGAAGTAGATTTCCTCCTCTACAGCAATGATCTACTGCTTATGGTCAGCCTATGTAGCTAAAGACAAGTTGTTATCGCGCGATTGAACATGAATCCGCATGGTTCTTGTGAGTTCTTGCGATTCCTGCTGTCAACAAAATTCGCCTCACAAACAGATCCGGTAGGAGTTGGCTTACGGTGAAAATTGCTGCCATTCTGGATCAGAGCTGTTCCGGATGTGGTGTGAATCTCGGTTAAGTCTGTTTTTCTTATCCTCTTTCAAATAAAATGTTGAATTTCTTCACAATAATTAAAGAAATGCCAATGTTCTTGTCTCTGTATCCTCCAAACACCAAATGCTTGATAATGTAAAACAAAGAAAGAATAGTGAGGGCTAAACTGGACATTTAACTTATGGTTCATTCTTCAGTTCACAAATAAATCAAAGTTTCCTAAAATAAAACACCCTCACCGCTAAATCTTCAGTCACTCGTCTTTTTTTTTTCTTGCAGCCATCTGTGAGAAGATAAAATTGAAAGCTGTTCTACTGTCCTGTGCACAGGACACAATCTGCAAAGCTGTTCTGAAATAAATTAACGGCTTAAGTCTTCTTCCTACAAGCTTTCCCTGAGATGCTTTGCCTGTCTGTGTGTGTAGCTGGAATTCACCCAACGGTGGAGGGAGGCAGGGACGGCGGGGTCTTAAGCTCCCCCCTGAAAAAAAAAGGCTGAGGCAATCTGTGAAGAAAAAGTATTTAAGAAATAAAACGTCCACATGTTTATAGAGAGAAGAGATGAACCTCGTGTAAAATCAATCTTTGTTGAATTTAATGTAATAAATTCGAGAGTCAGTGTGTTTCGGCTTCTTGGCTGATTACTTTTGCTATCTTGAAAAAGAGGAAGCAGAGTTAATGGCAGGAGATATTATGAATTTAATTATGGATTATACTGAGATCATTTAAGAAGAGGACTCGGAGCGAGAGCCTAAAATAGAAAATTAGTATTATGATAGGCCGAGGGTGACATTCAATGGTGAGGAAAGTCATATAACAAATTTAGCTTAAAGCACAGGCGCAACAGGAGTTTTGTGTATATGAAAATATCATATCAGGATATAAACTACTACATTTCTTCTTTATAAAACCATCTCTCCTTCTTCTGTAGACAGTTTGCCCCCAAAATGTCTGAGAAACAATAATTTATGAGGCAAAACTGCTTTTTAACTTTTTCCACTGATTTACACAAGGACGCTTAATCGTTGACCATAAATACAGAAAAAAAACTATTATGCGAATAATAAATCCACAATGAAATGATCCAAATAGAAAAAAAAAGCTGAAGAAATGCTGATCCATTATTTCTTCCCTGGCTTACTGTGTACCGCTCAGTATCAGACTGAAATTTACCTGAGAAACCAAACTGTTAAAAGTGGTAGAGTAACTTTTTTATCATAGTATCTGGGCATAAATAAATTTATATATATTTAAAAAAAATTTTTTTAACATGTATTTCAATTCTTTAGTATGACCTTGATTCCCTTTGTTAACACAAGTACGTAAAGCTTATAACCTTTACTGCAGCCAGCCAGCAGAGGGAGCTCTAAATCTTTTTGCCTCATAGTTACTGAAGACTTCCCTCACAACTACAGTAATAAATCACGTACAACTTAAAGTGTGGGGTTTTCCCATCATGGATAAAATAATAAAGGTGCAGTTTTGTTACAGAACAGTGGTAGTCAAAGTTTTTCTGTCCCCCTTTTACCGCCTCTGTACTCTACATCTGCTCTCCCTCTCTATAACATCCTCCTTTACAACCTTCAGTCTTACTACAGCTACTACTAACACTACACTGTCACTACTTTAAAAGACATTTCCTGCTCACAGCACTTCTTAAGAGGTTTTTCTTTGTTTTCCCTGGCAGAAGATTCTTGGGAAATTTAAGTTTTCATGACAAAAAGAGGTGTTGTTTTTGTTCTTTGTCCTTGAAGGAGTGAGGTTATTTATATTCAGGGTTTTCTCCTGACAGCAGTGAAATGCCGTTGTGGCAGTGAGGTATGCATGATTCGGATAGAGGACCTTTAAAACCTCAACAAGTTAAAGGTTGGCCCAAGAAAAAGGTCTTTTCCCGCCAAAAAAAAAAAAAAAAAAAAATGTACGAATGTGAATAAAGAGCAGAAAAAGCTCTGCCTCCGTCAAAGCAACATTTACACATTTCCAAATAAACGATCACTGCAAAGCAAGTAAGAGCTGCTGCTCTGGTAGATGATGGATTAGCTCTTATGGAAATATGAAAGCTGGGTGATGTGAAGTCACAATCTTCAAATGGAGTCAAAGGAAATGCGACTCCTTCACTTGAAACTGAGCAGTTCAAAACCTGATGAATACAACATGATGGAAAAACAAAAATCATCTCAATGAATCCAACGACGATCTTGTTTGTGGCACAATTGTGCGTAACCTTCGAAGCTCTATGCAACCCTTTAAAGACCCACTTTGATCAAAATTAATACGTGTTGTCTACATGTTCATATGGCATTTTTCTGATGCTACAGGACGTATCATGAGAAAACTAAGTGTGAAATTGCCTTTCTGTGTATTTCTGCAATCAAACTGCTGTGAATTTCTGGATGACCCAAACAGCAGGCTCAAAAAACAGTGAGATTTCCTACGTAGCAAACCCAAGCTCCACCCCCGGAGCCCCGCTATGCAGGCCTCACTCAGAAAAATAGAGAGAACAATCGCAGGACAAGCATTTGAGTAAGCGGTTTGCAATATTCGTAAGGAAGCTAATTATGATATTAGCTTTCATCATGTCCCTAAAGACATTAGAGTCCGAGAACTGAATAACTCCTGTTACCTGCCACTTCTCCGACACCGGCAATGTTAGGCTGCAAGCTACCGTCAAGACCAGTGTGCAGAGCAGCGCTGTCTCCGTCCACGACTCAGAGGTGAAATGCTAATGATCTACTGGAACTCTGCAGAAGAAAAGTCCTTAAAATGACACAGGTAACACGATATTGGCTAAAAACTTCATAATCAGAAATTATGAAGAACAAAAAACAATCGGAGTTGGGTTTCAAGATGTTGGTCAGCCGCTGATGGCAGTACTTTAATCCGGATTTCTTGACACACAAACTGAGTTGGACTTTTGTGATTAAGGAAGCCAAAATTTTGAGTTAATTGAATGTAATTTATTCAATAAAAGTGCTGAGTAGGCAAAAAACAATCATGGCTCAAGATTCCAGGTGTTACAACAAAAACCTGATTATATTAAATATCTTAAACATCTACCATTTGTTTTTGATGGAGTGCTGTGTAATATAACTTTATTCTGTGCTCGTCCTCCGCCTGTCCGATGAATGGCGTGTCCTCTCACGGAGGGAACTGGAAGTACCTGAATGATACAGCGTTTTTGTTTTTCAAAAGTTAATCAAATTTCATTTTGTCGCTGCTGGTTAATAAAAGAGGCCACAAACTCCACTTATTTCTCGCAATGTCACAACATGAAGAAAGGGAAGTCATTAGAAAGTAATTGTACAAATAGAAAATTATACAGCTCATTAAAACATCTTGGGAAATAGGGCTCCATCAAGTCCTTTTTTTTTTTTAAGTGTGGGTGTTCGCCACTTTGTGAGAGTGGCACTGTCTGAAGAGAAGATATTATTGTATCACAACATGACAACTGATGGGTGATCATTTGATGGACTTATCTATGAAAAAAAAGCATCTGGCTGCCCTGTGCACTCCTTCACATAAAAGGCGAACAGATTAGATTAAAATCGCATACAACAGATTAAAACGGCAGCGCGGGGGAAGTGATTTCAGTCAGCTGGCAAAGGAGATGAATGAGGGCATGTCAAAACTCACAAACAGCAAGTTGGACTCTTTCTCTGCGTGTATGTGTGTGTATGTATTAAAAGAGATTAGGTGAAGAGAGAGAGTGAAAGAGTCAGAGGGAAAAAAAAATTAATCACCAGGTTTTGGAAACGGTACAGGAGGTTAAAGTGTGTGTCTGAGGGCGAGGGCAGAATTTTAAATGTAGAATAAAAATGACAACAGAACAGTAAAAATTGACTCTTGGTGACTTTAGAGGTTAAAAAAATATGAAAGAAATGCAAAATATCCTGTTCCTGATAAACTCGGAGGACCTCAAAGTGATGCTGAGAGACAATATAGATGTTCTTATTGAGATGTCTGACATTAAAACAAAGGACATACTGTACATTTAATCTATGGATTAAGCCACCTGCTCACAATGTACACAAAGCAAACAGTCAAACAGCTCAACACACATTACAGTGTTTACTGTACATTGTCGGCAGGTGTGACCTACATCTGAATGCAAACAACCAAATCCCCTTTTTACACTCAACATAAATTTCACAGCGCCTACAATCTAAGACTGCAAATAGACGTGATTTCCCATGTCAAATAAACTGTTGGTTATTTGCAGTATCTGTCTATCTATGCTGATGCACGGAGTATGTGACGTTTCCTGAAGGACTTCACTCTGAAAGCTGGACATTGTACGCCACAGCGATACAACAAAGAGCCGTTGGAAGCTGAAATAGCCGATTCCTGCTGAGCCTAATGGTCTGGATCACTACTAAGAGCCTCAATTACCTTCATTTGAAGCATTTATGCTGAGGATGAAGGATTCAAACGCTGCTCTGACATGGTAGCTGCTGATACAAGGAATAAATCCACAATTTACACACGCATTTTATATTTTATTGGAGTTTGGAAAAGGAAACGACGACAGATTTTTCACTCTTGTGTGCATATACTAGACAACGCATGGCAAGAATGAGTCCTCTGTGCATAAACATACATTTCTTTATGAATTCCCCCAATTAAATAAACAAGCAAATAGATAAATATGGTTAGTTTAAGTGTGTTGGTATGAACTGGCATGCAGTTCCTGAAATGTCCACTTGAGGCTCGCTCCAAAAGACAAGGAATCATCATTAGGTATCTTGTTAAAATGCCAATTTTATACAGCTGAAATAAATCTGTTTACAGCCCAGTTAAAAGAGCAGTTTTCAACTCGCTTATTTGTTTGTACAAACTGTATCAGGAAGGAATAATTTCTAACAAATCCATTAAGATGGTACGAAAGGTAAGAGTTATGCATAAATTTGCATAATTATGGGCATGGCTGACTATTAGTACTATTTAATTAGGGTGACCATACGAACTCTTTTACCTGGACATGTCCTCTTTTGGGGGGCTGTCTAGCCTTGTCTGGGGGAGTTTATAAAATCCTTCAAATGTCCAGGGTTTTGTAAAGAAGTTTTCAGTTTGTGTCGCATGGACTTACTGAGTTAGAAGCGCGTAAATAACACTCAACACGACATGAAAGACTCTCAAATTAACTACGTGCGATTCCAGGACTGCTCCCTTTTTTTTTTGGTAATTCAGAATATGGTCGCCCTAATTAAGTACTCTGTAAAATTAAATAAACTATTGGCACACCACATTCAAAGCTTTATTTTCTGCTACAGGATCCCCTTTGTGATCAAACCTGGTTCAGTGATCATCACGTGGTCATGCTATCTTCAGCAGAAGTAGTCCACATCAGATTATTTAAGCATATGGAGCGTTAATGCCTCACACAGAGCCATGATATCTGGACGGCGTCCTGCTGTTCATCCAATTATGACTGTACTATGGGGGGGATCTGAATGTGGCAATTAAGCTGGTCAGCAAAGATGAATGAAGCACTGAGGAGGAGTGATAATTCTCTATCAAGGAACAAGAAATGTCAACGGAGCAATAAGGACCTCAAGATGTGGGGAGGATTATCACCAGGCACCAAACTGAAGGTCCCAGTACTCAGACTCACCTCAGTCTTTGACAAAGTGGTACGCACTGTATGTAGTAAAATGTGGTCATATTTTGACAAGGGGATTCAGGAGGGTCCCCCAAACCTTTTCCCTCCTCACTCTCTCTCTCTCTCTTTCTCTCCCACACACTAAAATCCTGTCCCTTCCACAGACTCTAGACACATCCTCTTGGATCAGGTTTTTTCCTCTTCCCTCTGTGACTGGTGCTGGAGGCATCGGCCCTCCTGCCTAGCTCTGTCCTCCGATTGTCAGAGGCAGTTCCATGTGAGCAACAGGCCACAGCTGTGTCGCCTGCTCGGCCGTCACCTATTGTCAGAGAGGACTTGTGGTTTTACGCGAGCTAACGGACATCCACATTTAAGCTAGGTTGAAATCTGATCGTCAGTGGTTGTACTGTGCGTTTAACCGCCTTACTTTACTTTGATTATCATTGGTCAATTTTTTTAGTGTGGTCATTACTAAAGTTGTTATAACTAGAGAAGCAAGCAGTCGGCACCATTTATCTCTCAACTGTTGGAGTGTCTTGAAAAAGAGAACATTAAGCTCCATTTTGTGTAACTAGCTTGTTAAAATGTTAGCAAACTGAAAGCGACAAGCTACACAAAACAGCCACTTCCCCTTTATTTCAACCAAGAAGCGGTGAATTCTCCAGAGGTAGAGTGACGAAACAAAAAGTGACAAGCAGGCTGACTGCAAAGCGAGTAAATGAACTGCCACCTTACGGGGGCGGCAACTGATCACACATTTATTGGAGTGTTAAGTGAATGTAGAGTAAAGGTATAGTGAATATAGAGGCGAGGCTCTGACCCCGTCACTCGCCAGCAGGAAACATGAGGCAGAGCGCAGCAGGGAGTGGGCAGTGACAATTATAATGTCAACCTAAAGGGTGACGTGGATTCAGAGGACACAGGTGGGTGTTGTGATGGAGCTGTGGGGTTGAGTGGGAGTCAGAGTCATTGATTTGTGTTGTATCTAACTAACACAATCACTGCCTTTATCATCATCATCATCATCATCATCATCATAACCATCATCATCAACATTACCATCATCATCACCATAATCATCATCATGATCATGATCACCACCATCATCAGCATTATCATCATCCTCATCCTCATCATCATAATCACCATCATCATCATCATGATCACCACCATCATCAGCATTATCATCATCATCATAATGATAATCACCATCATTATCAACATCATCATCATCATCATCACCATCATCATCAACATCATAACCATCATCATCATCAACATCATCATCATGATCACATCATCATCATAATCACCATCATTATCAACATCATCATCATCATCATCATCACCATCATCATCAACATCATAACCATCATCATTATCAACATCATCATCAACATCATCATCATCACCACCATCATCAGCATCCTCATCATCCTCCTCCGCATCATCATCAGCACCATCATCATTTTCATCATCATCATCATCATCACCATAATCATTAGCATGATCACCACCATCATCATCATCACTATCATCATCATCACCATCATCATCGTCACCATCATCATCACGATCACCATCATCATCATAATCACCATCATTAACAACATCATCATCATCATCATCACCATCATCACCATCATCATCATCACCATCATAACCATCATCATCATCACCACCACCATCATTAGCATCATCATCATCATCATCATCACCATCATCACAATCCACAATCACAAATCCCCCCCAACCAGTGTGGGTTAATTCCCCAGGCTAGTAATCAGATGGGGTGTAAAAACGGGCGCCCCAGTCAGTCGAGTACAGATGATAAGAAATTCTTCAACAATAATCACGTAAAATTCAAAGACATTACAGAGAGTTTGGGGGATTTCATCATCGACTTTAGATGAGATCATTAAAGAGTCCCGAGAAACTGAAGCAACAGACATGACTCTGTAGTGGAAATCACTGCTTGGGTTTGAAATAACCAAAGACTGAGCGCCATCTATAAAAATGCAGGTTAAAACTTTGTCATGCAAAGAGCAAACATGGTCCTGAAACCGAAGTGCCTTCTCTGAACCTGAGACCCTTGAAGATGGACTTGAGTGAAGTGGGTTGCTTACTGATCCTGATAGGCAACATTGATGCTGGACGACACAGGTTTTAAAGCAACAAATGCCTCTATCCAGACAATACCTTTTTAAAGAGGACCTTGCATATATCAGCAAGAGTAAACCGAACCAAAACTTCACCAAACTGTGAACAATATGCAGCTTTAACACCATATTTTCATTAACTTCTGATTAAACTGTATTTTGCATATTAATTGTTTTATCACTGAGGCGCTGCGCTTGAAATTTATCTTTGAGTCCTTTTTTTAAAGTGAGATCGTCATCACTGTGTTTTAAAGCCTTAACCTTCATCTGTTGCTTTGAGGGTCAAAATGCTAACCGCGCTCGAGCTTCTTTTTGCTGAAACACTCCCTCAAAAATACTTGCATCAAATATGATCATTCAGTCTTCCATGTTGGCTGAGTCCCATCTGAACAATTTGCTCGTTTTGATTGATACTGAAATAATATTTAAATTTTCCCCCCTGACAGTTTTCCTTTCAGTTTTTTTATTAATAGTGTGTCCTTAAACTGGAGCTGCTCCATGAGTGACAGGGAACGGTTAAGCTACCTGATCTGGAGGGATGAGGCGAGGAGATATGAGACGCTGGAGGAGGAGATAATTGAAAGGAAACCGAACGTGGGGACAAATGGGGAGGGGGACTGAAAATGCAGGATTTAAGGAGTCAGAGTGAATGTGACAAGGAATGAAGGGAGAAAGATGAAGAGTGGGGCGTAAACTAAAAAAGTAAAGGAGGGGATTCGGGGTTTGGCAAAAGGAGAGATCTATTATACTTGGGGAGAGTGGATGGTCTTGGCTTCAGGCATTATGGTGACGGATTAAGGGTTAATGTCCAGCTGAAGGAGGGGGGGGGTAATAGAAGAGTAGAGTACCTCCATCGCTCTCACATGCAGAGCGAGGACTATGCTGCCAAGTGAAATCAAAAGCAGTGATTTTGATAATAATAATTGCAGTGATTACCGCTTGTCCGCATATCTCCCACCCGTTATTCCCATGTTGTTTTTTCCCCCCACGCTACTCTGAAGCGTACATTAAATCTCCTCAATCTCTGCCTCTGTCAGCATGCACAGCTGAGGAGGAGATTTCAACAGGAAAGAAAATACTCCCTCATGCCCTGGAACCGCAGATGGACTGCTACAGAAAATGTCATCAAAACCCCCAAAAAGGAAGGTCTGATTATTATTTTGTAGGAAATAATGCCACTTAGCTCCTTCTGTGGGTGTGTGCATGCAGACTTGTTTAACCACTCTGTGGGGATTGGCAGCACATTGTTGTTATGAAGACGTGTTGGCAGATCATCAGAGGGGGAAAAGCTGATTTGTAAGTGAGGTTATGAGCGAATCACAGTCACATCTTTTCTTTTCTTCCACCCAAACATTCCTGCAATCTTATTACCATATTCAACATTTATGACTGGCAGCGCCTTCGTTTCCACTGGAAAAGAAAATGTACAAGGAGTGAGGAAGAATTGAAAACAATTTAATCCAATTTACTTCATTAATTCTGTATTTTTAAACTACCTTGAAGAAAAGGCTCATTTTTACACCAAGACTGCTGCAGTTCTCTGTCCGTCTGACGAATTAATAACTGAAAATAAATAACATTTCAATATTTCACTCTGTATTTTTCTGAGCTTTTCTCTTATTAAGTTACGTTTGTTTGCACTAGACATTACATTGTCAGACATCATGAAAGGACATCAATATGAACATCAGTCCATTTCTCAGATGTCAAAAAACTCCTCACAGGAGCTGAAAAGAGCAATCCCTGAACTGCATGACCTCATATTATGATTACAGAAGTCTTAAATTAAATTTGGAGGTTCTCTCAGACATACCACGCAGATTAATAGCACTAACAAAAACTTAATTTACCCAACTAATTAAATTTGACATGTTACTTAAAATCACAAAATCAAATTTCACAAATTTAAAAGAGTCTGTCACTTAAATGTGCTCTCAGTTTCTTGGTCTGACATCTACGCTTTTGTGCTTTTGTGCTTTTGTGCTTTTGTGTCATACAGAGGCTCCACTTTTAATTTAAGTCTGTTTGATTAACACCTAAAAAACTGAACACAGGGGCTTTAAAACTGGACACAAGATATGACCAGTAGGCTACCCACTGAGCAACAGACGGCTATTAGACGTCTAGGTTCTTTTTAGACCTAATTTTATCGTCTAGATTCTGTATATTTTTAGACAGAATTTAGACGTTGCACTCTAACTCCTTATTCGATAACTATTTATTTCAAAAAGCAACTGTGAGTTGCATAACTGAGCTCCAAGTACTTCACCAAAATAATTATGATAGCCATTGAGCAATATACAGTGTAGTACAGATATAGCCAAGATTTCGACTTGGTCTAAACTTGGTCTTAAGTTCCACGCATAAAAAACCTGTGGTAGCCTGATTTTAGACCAGTCATCTAGGCTACATTTAGACATCTATTAGACCTCTTTCAGACCAAAAAATGCTCAGTGGGTATAAACTCCAGAAAAGATCCATTGTTGTTAAAAGCAAACATCACGATGCAGTCAAACCACCTCCAGCATGACCATCGAAAAACCTGCAAATTCATTCATAGTAAAGTATTAACTATTTCTAAGATGAGTTGAAAATCGATATATTTGTATTTTTGGTGAGAACATTTAGTTGCTCAGACTCAGTTAAAGGTGAAATAGGCAGGATCTGAGGAAGTGCCAGTTTTTGGGAGAAATCATGAATGTAAACACGTAAACAATCAGCCGGTCGTCCATGTTGGATATACTGGTGAATCTGACGTCGCAACAACACGCAATCTGATTGGTCACAAGTGGACACATAGTATGCGAAACTTCAGAAAAATCGACCATGATTTGGAAAAATAAATGCCGCAATATCGCAGATCAGGGAAATGTTGCTTGTAAAAAACGCTTGTATTGACGGGATACGGGTTCGAGGAAAATATTGACGTCCAAAATAATCGCACGAAAAAAACGGTTCCGTTGTGAAAGGACCTTAAGAGTTAGGATTAGGGTTAGAGTTATTAGAGTTAGGAGATTCAGTTATGCGATAATGTTCTGAATGCTCTGTTCAATGTACAGAGCCGACGGCCTGCGCTGGCTTGAGCGTGTGATGACGTTTCCAGCTTTTCTAGCCAATCAGAGGCGAAGGAGGCGGGACCTTCCCCTACCACTCCACAAAAAACAGGTATCGCCTCCAGGACCCAAGGTTAACAGTTTGGCGGCACTACAACATGCAGCAGGTCGCGTTTGACAAGAAACACTTCTGTTACAGACACTTGTCTTACTTTGTTAAAGCAGTTTACCTGTCCAGCAGGAAGGTTACAGTGTCCGTAAGATCCCGAAGCTTCCCCCATCATTTATGCTAGCTTCATCTATGTTGACCCGGCTTCTTAGCTCTTGTACGTTCTACCTCCTTTTTAAGCGCCCGTTATTCCACCAAAGTCTCCGGTATTTACTTTGTTTTCTTGCTTGTGTCGGCAGTTGTGACCAAAAGAGGATCCAGACAATTTTCTGTACTTTCTGGTTGGATTCTACTGTCTGATGTTGTAGCACGCTAACTTTGTTTGGGCTAGTGGACATTATTCGAGGACGTGGAAATTTTAAAATGTTGACTACATAGACATAAGAGAACACAGCAATATTGTTATATTACCAAATGTCATCAATATTGAGTGATATTAAAAGCTTTTTTGTATATACACCACAAAAATAGATGCTTCTTTAACAGATACCTGTCTACCCCAAGATGACATCTACTTTTAATGAAGTATTTTTAATGGCTTTTTATTACATATTAATAATCAAACAATATTTCATTACTGCAGATATATGATGATCAGGCTTGTGTCCATCCTGCTGTATTTGATTCCTTCAGTTCATTTCGTTGCCAATACAGCGAATAACAAGGACTTATACTGAAGTGGAGACCATTACCTTCGTAAATGATGTCAATGTTTTGTTCTGCAACTGCTTCTTCGCACACATTTACGTCAAGTCATCTAATATTTAAATGTTTTCTGTTTCCATAGAGACCTTTGCCCATTAATCAACAATACATCAGAGGGCTGTTGTTCCGGACTGCGTATAAAATGTTGTAAACTGCGTCAAACGACCAAAAATATCAATATTTGAGGACAAAACACAAAGAGGAAGAAGGTAGAGGACTGAGTGTGTCAATGAGTGTCTAAATGAGTGAATGAATCGGTTTTTCAAATGGATGAATGGGAAAAAAAGAGGATGAATGACCAAGTCTGTGCACGTGCAGGCTGATAGGGAATTCATGGTTGCTATGGTAACAGTGCAGTAAGTCTGGGATGCTGGGGTTACATATTTTTCGGTCCTTGAAACAGGATTCAACCCTTTATAACTACATCATCATCTCTCTGCGTGATATGTCCAAAAAAGTTGAACTTCTCCGGTAACCTGCGCAATAGTGTTGCTGTGTGTGTGGGCGTGATAACGAGCCAAACAACATGTTCAACTTTATACAGCCTTGAGTCTCAGTGAACTTCTTAAAAAAAAAACACCCAAATCAAACAAGCAAGAGTTTAAAGGTCACGGAAGGTGCAGGCAGACGAAGATAGACGGAATAATAAAGAAGACAGGGAGGTTTTTGAGGGGGGAGAAGTCACGCCTGGGATGCAGCAGAGGGACGCACGGGAGGTAAAAATATCCCCCAAGTTTCTATTTCTCCCCGCTGTAGTCTCCTCACACTCCTCTCCCTCCTCCGCCGGCGCGCTATTTTTAGCCCACGATGACTCTCTTGCAGTGAGCGTGAGCTTCTGTCTGCCACCGAAACCGCACGTGAGTCCGCCGCACGTGCAACTCTGTTTCTCCGTGACAGGCAGCTCGAGCGTCAGACACGACCCACACCACTGCTGCTGCTGCTGCTGCCGGTACCGACACCACGCAGCGGAGGGAGACAAGGGAGAATGAGGAGAGGGAGGATATTTATAGAAAAGGGGAAACAAACTCACATTTTCAGCAACGAAACATAACTTTTCAACCCTGCAGTTTCAAACAATCTTCTCCTCTTTACATGCTGGGTTTGTGTGCGTTCATTAAACACCCTCCTGCTGTGATAGTGGGCTAAATACGAGAGAGCTGCTACATATGACAATGTGTTTGTTGTTTGTGGGTGTTAAAATGATCTCCAGGGGGTTGTGTCATTCAAAGAATGAGAAACTGAGATATGAATGTTCATTCATGGTGTCAATGGAGGACTTTTAGGGGAAAGGATGAGGAAACAGATGAGAAAATGTGTTTTTTTTTTCATTACACCGGGTCTCTGAGAATCAAACGCCATGTATGCAACAAAGACAACACCGCCTACAACACACGCAAGTGACTCAAGTGATGAGGTGGTGACATAGACTGTATATACTATAGAAAACTTGGTCCCGCCTTCCGCCAGTGTACAGATTTGAAGCCAAAAAGCTCTCCGTAATTCCGTGTTTTCTCTCCACTTCCTGAAACCAACATTGCGCAGAAGCGTTGTGCACATTCGGCAGCAGAGTCGCCGTGTGTCGCTATCACAGTGACTCTCAATGACTCTCCCGCCAAATGTGTACAACGCTACTGCGCAAGTGGTGGAGTGCGTACAATGCTACTGTGCAATGTTGGTTTCAGGAGTTTGTTCACAGCTCCATGAGGATGGCTGGAGGAGGTGGGATTTATGACCTATACTGCAGCCTGTCACCAGAGGGTGCTGTCCATTTTATATACAGTCCATTGGTGTTGATGGTTTTAGTTATGTAGTTTATAGCTCAGTACTGAGAAAGTATTCATGAGTTTTTTATTGTTTTCTACACAAGCTAACATTAGCGAAGTAACGCTAAACAAAGCTAGCATGTCTTACATTCAAGGAGTACCAGGGCCACATTGAAAAATTAAGATTTTATGGCCAATTTATGATAGTAAATATGCAGTAAAGTCAAAGTTTATGCCTAAAGTAAACCAATTCTTAATTTTAAGAGTCGTATCATGACAAAAATAAAGTCGTAGTAAAGTCATATTACTACGTGAATAAAGTTGTGATAGAGTTGTAGTTTTGGTTTACGGTGAGCAGCCAGCTGCCTGTGCTAAAATGAGGATCATGAAATGTCTCTTAAAAGTGTCTCTAATGTTTTAGCCCCTCAGCACCAAAAAACTGAGACGCTTCGAAACTGTGTTATGTGGCTAATCATTTGCTAACTCTGAGTATTGTGATCATTTAAAGGACAACGTGTTGCTGTCAGATAATAAGTGTACAAGTTATTGGCACAATGTCGCATCATGGTGGACTCTTAACTGAGAAAAAATGCTGTTCAATTCTTTGCAATGTCCCTTTAACAGATTAGTCTACAATGTGATGGGGACTTTGAAGATTTTGTTCAGGATTTGAAGTAGCCTATACACCCTCAGCTGAGCGTCCGTGTTTGGTAATGGTTTTGACTTTTCCTCTCAACATATTGACTTTATTCATGGAAGCGTTTCTCAACTTTACTCTCAAAACTTCAGCTTTTCTCCTCATCCCTGGCTCTGATGCTCTTCCACAGGCTTCTGCTAACGTCAGCAAAATCAAAACATGTTGGAAAAACGATTTTAAAAAGATGCAATGCTGCACATCTTCCCCTGAGTGTGTTTGGGATGCATGTGGGCGGTAAGTAAAGCCCTTACTTAATGTGCAGAGGGGCATCCAGCGTATCCAGTGGTCCAATGAGCACATGCCATGAGGGGACTAAAGGGGAGACAGCATGCAGATTTTATAACCAAAGTGTGATGGGAAGGTCTGATTCTGGACCGGAGCATCTGCAGATTAATTTCGATCAACTGAAGATAAGCACAGAGCGAGGAAAATGAATCCTCATTATGTTATCTTTGCTGCCAGCTGACCTGTAAATGTCGGTGTTAGGTAAAAGCCCTTTTTGTACAATGATGTACTCCCCTCTTGTTTTTACACTGAGCCAAACACCACCACAATACTGCCGTCCCACTGGGGGGAATCTGACACAAAAGAGGCATTACTTGTTACACAGCGGTACCAGTGTCACACGCATCCTCTCACATCTTGTGGCTCCCCAGTTTATGAGAAAGCCAATTTTGCTCTGTTTTTACCTCAAACGCTCACCTGAACCTCGTTCACATGTCTATATCCCTACACTCTCTGAAGTCCCATGCGTGTGATGTCCATGTGAAACTGTGATGAGCTTGCTGTAGCAGGAAATAGCCTCAGTAATAGTAATTGACGGACGGCGAAAACCGCTGCCGTTCCAGATCGAAGCCATTCTGGATGCAGTGAAAATTGGGGGTTAGGTTGAGTCAGCATTTCTAATTTCCAATAGGATGACCGCCATCAACTGGCTTCAAAAGTCCACATCAGAAACAAATGGGTGATGCCACTGGCGTTTTGACCGTCTATGGCAGGGGTCGGCAACCCGCGGCTCTGGAGCCGCATGCGGCTCTTTCTTCCCTAAGCTGCGGCTCCCAATGGATTTGGAAAATAAATGATAAATACTTAATTGCATTTTATTTTATTTTATTATTATTATTTTTTTTGGTGTAATTCTAAATTCAAAGATTATAATGCTCTTGTAACATTAAATAAACTATTAAGGCTGTAACAACGAATCGATTAAGTAGATTCGTCGTGACGAAAAAATCCGTTGCCAACAAATTCTGTAATCGATTCGTCGGGTCTTTATATATGTCCATGGACACCGGCGTGTAAACATCAGCAGGACGCACAGAAAAGAAACAGCCATGGCCGAGGCAGCGGCTGAGAAAAACATGGACACAACCCAACCCAAATCCCGACCTAAAACATCAGTGGTGTGGGAAAACTTCACCAAGACTGAAAAGGAAGGCGTTCAGTGCAACATTTGCAAAGACCGTTTTGCATGGCTCGGGAGTACATCGATGATGCGTGAGCACAGGGCTCTCAAGTCTCACGCATTCAGCGTATGACACACGCACTCCCACTCGTTCACACACTCACACACCACACATTGTATTTCTCACGCATTTAAATGAACACGGTGATGTCCACCAAGTTGCACTTCTTCAACTATGGAACTGGGGGAAATCAACTGAGTTCCTCCGAGAGTTCAGAAGCTGCGTGCCACGCACAAGCCAATCAAATAAAGTATATCTACTGAACAGCCAATCAAAAAGCAGCATTGCTGTATCCGGGTAGATTTTGATATCTTGCAGTTTAACTACAGAAGAAGACAGACACTCGCTGAAATAGTTCATTTATTTCATAAATGCAACTCGCTACAGTTTTTTATATACTTTGTATAAAGGTAAAAAAAAAAAAAGATATATGCAATGTTATCTTCATTTTAGATGTCAAAGAGGTTTTGCGGCTCCCTGTGTTTTCTTTTCTGTGGGAAACTGGTCCAAGTGGCTCTTTGAGTGTTTAAGGTTGCCGACCCCTGGTCTATGGTAACCACACTTGTGCTCATAGCACTTTAACACCAAACAGCGTCCTGCTGTGTGCACAGACACCCGGATCTGTAGATATTCTGACAAGATCCGTTCTCAGCTCACTGGGGGGGCGGCATTAAACGGGTACACAGAAAACAAGATCCAAAAATAAACAACGATGGACCAAAGTTTAGTCATCGTGCAAACATGATTGCCACAACATAAGAACTTATTCGTAGACGTGCGATAACATGGGATGGAAAACACAGATTCGGTTAATGGTTTTAAGAGACAAACTTAATGATGTTCATGTTGTTCTGTTAATGGTTTTTCCCGATTAGGAGTACAGTGTGTCTCTTTCTTAGAGATAGGGTCCTCCAAAGATGATTGTTTTTGCTCTCAGGGTTTGAGTCACAGGACCACACATGTCCTCCTGCATGACGTGTCTAGGATTTTGCTCCTGTATTACCAGCATGTTTTGATTTGAGATCTCAGTCTTATCCTTGGATTTTTGCTGCTCATTGATTTTCAAAAGGGATTTTCTGTGCTGTGGACCGGCCCATCTGGAGGTTGCTCTGGCCTATGTAAGATCAGCGGTCCTTCTTTTCACTTCCTCAGGAGTCCGGCTTTCTTGTTGACATAATGTCTCATGTAGAGAAAATCTCTTCAAGCTGTGTGTCAGTGAGTAGTTGGCTGGTTGGGTGACTGCTCGCGCTCTCCTCCGCTTTGGTCTGTTATTAGACGCCTTTCATTTAGTAGCTGCAGTCTTTTTCATAGGTGAAAGATGCAATTTAGGGATTACGACCATCTGCAGATGTTGATGTTAGCATGAATGAGGCATTTTAAACGTCAGGAAGTGTGGGCTTTGTGAAGTATGTGGAAATCCTTCAAAATTTATAAGAAATTTTTACCGGCCACTTACTCTGGACGAAAAACGAATATGTCGGAAATTTCTGAGGGATTACAGTGAACTTTAATTCAGACAGTAAGATTTAAATTTAAAGGGCAAAGACTCAAATTTAACCTCACATTTATACAAAAGTAAGTAGGGATGTCCCAATTCGATATTGATATTGGATATCGGTCTAATATCAGCAAACAACCAAATATCAACAGCAAAAAAAATCTCCGATATCAGGACTTCGTTACAAGCAGTCCATTCCAGACTCCGCTCCAGCAACTCAATCTAGCAACAACAGTGTGTGCAAAGGTACCAACAAAGCAGCAAGGAGTAGGAGTGATGAAGTCCGAAAAAGACGTTGCAACTTGTCATGCTCAAGTTTGTGCCAATATCTGACCGATATCAATATCGGCCAATACTGAAGGCTACAATATCGGTATCGTATCAGAAGTAAAAAAGTTGTATCAGTACACCCCTAAAACCAAGTACTAACTACAGAAAATGGCTTGACTCATCATGTGTTTAACTTTAGCCACAAGTTCGATAGATGCCAAGAAAGTAATAAATAAATACTATTAATCAAACTATTATCATGATTATTAAGCATGCTAACCAGCAGGGCTAAATTCAATAATGTTTAAAACAATTTAGACAAAACAACGTTAATAAAACATTTTACAAAATTCATTGAGAGAGTATAGATTCTGTTAATTTCGGAGCTTAGCAGAAATGTTTCAGGACCCGTTTCCACAAACAGCATTTTGGCGCTGGTGGTGCCTTCAACCTCATTTCAAGAGTAAATATTTCCAGTGTCGTCAGGTTATTAAAGATATGCTGAAGCTCTTTGTCGAGTTTGTTTTGAATGCTTTGTACTTTAGAAAGATATACTTGGTGATTTTCCACTCAATGGAAATGTAAACATAGAAAATGTTAAAAAAGTGGAAAGTGACTTTGACTTGCACAGCAGAGTTGAACTGTTAACTGAGAGCTACATGAGCACAGGAACCAAAAACAGCCGAGGGCTTTTCTGTGCTTATGACACAGAGCGCTAAAAATATATGACTTTACTGTTTTTGTGAAGGCACCAAAGAAAAAAATGCCTGAGGTGGACACAGGCCCTAATCTCCCAACAGTGTCCCGGAGAGAGACGCCATCTTACTGATACCGACACTGATACGCTATCTTTCTATTTGGCCATTTGGAAAGTGGATTCAGACTAGATGTCACCCTTTATCATCCTGGTTGATGCTGACTGGAATTGTCAAACCTGATCACAGTAAACCGTTAGCTAAGCAGCTTGTTTAACTTTTATTCTAGTAGGACAGAAGAGCTACCAGACCCTCAAAACCATGTCTTAACAAATTATGAATTTCGATGTACAATCACAGTAAACTGCAGAGATTCATTGGTAGGAAATCTCACCTCTGAGAAAGTCTGAAAAACCTCTTTTTTTTTTATTTTGGCTCATTTTTCTCTACTTGGAAACTTACAAGGATGAAAATTGCTGCACTGTTGATCACGTTAAACAAACAAGCAACGTGCTGCCTGGTTCTTGCTGATAATGGCAGAAACACTTTCATCACAAATATCAAACATAATTTATCATCTTGTGTAGCTCTGATATTTGGACCGGTGCAGCTCTGAAGGGTCTCAAACAAAGGCAGACCTTTACACAGCCGTGTTACATTTAAATGTTTATATGAGAATCAGATCTACTCCAGTCCTTTTAAACTGTACTTCCTTTGTGTATTCAACGTCTCAAACTGCTCCCCTCACAGACATTGAACTAAGAGAGACGCGTTTCTTCTTCAGTTGTCAGCCCCAAAGTGACTGTGATGGATGCAATCAAGCGCTTCCTGTTTCAGAGACTGTGCTACAATGATTTTGTCTCCTTTCAGCAGAATCCCATCACAGCTCATTATCTCCTCTTTATAATTCCAGCAGTCTTGAATGCACCTGTAAGAGCAGTCTCCTCTTTTCTGCACTGTCTCTCTCATTGTATGAAGTCTCTCTCTTCGCTGTCTGAGCGTTTAACATATTTTCTATACTGCTGAAACACACAAGGGGCTTTAACCTACAGCCATGTATAGAAACTGCCTCTGTCTGCTTCAGATCGCCATCAGGTGTATATTTCGCACACGCTAACAGGCTGGCTATCTTTAAAAGCTCCTTTGAGAAATGTTTGATAGCTTATAAAACAGACTGAAGTGAACGGCGCGGTTTCTCTATGGTGTGTTATTAAACCACATGAGACTGCAGATAACTGGATCGACACTTTCTATATTGTATATTTTTCTTGACGTGAGGAAAAAACCTGAATTACTTTTCCAACATCAAATATTCATGGTGAGACAGTTTGTTTACATGCCAGTCAAAAAACTTGATTTATTGCCCTAAAGGTGGAGTAGGCAGGATTCCGTTAAAGAAGCATCTTTTTTTTTGTGGTGTATACACAAAAAAGCTTTTAATATCAGTCAATAGCTATTAGTTATTGATGACATTTGGTAATATAATGATATCGCTGTTTTGTTATGTCTGTGTAGTCAACATTTTAAAATTTTTGAGCACTCCGCTCTTTCCGAATGTAAACAAAGCTGTTCTCCACCGCCCCCAACCTGATTGGTTGTAAGGCAGACGCTGCTCCGTTGTATTGTGAGGCACGCTCCACGTCTTCCAATAACGTTCATGAGCCCAAACAAAGTTAGCGTGCTAGAACATCGGACAGTAGAAACCAATCAGGAAGAACGGAAAATACAAGCAAGAAAAGGAAGTAAATACCGGAGACTCTGGTGGAATAATGGGCACTTAAAATGGAGGTAGACCCAACAAGAGCTAAGAAGCCGGGTCAACATTAGCATAAACGATGGGGAACATTTCGGGATCTTAAGAACCCTGTAACCTTTCTGCTGGACAGGTAAACCGCTTTAACAAAGTAAGTCAAGTGTCTGTAACAGAAGTGTTTCTTGTCAAACAGGACCTGCTGCGTGTTGTAGCGCCGCTAAACTGTTGACCTCGGGTCCTGTACTATGTCACTTTATCCTAGTTGTAGAAGTCCTGCAAACATTGTGTTTGCTGGTAGTCTGTTGGCATCTACAGTAGCACCAATGCTTTTTACTTTCAGTTGACTGGGCCCCATTTGTAATTATCTGAGGTATATCTGAGGCGAGCAGGAGCGTCTGTTTGTGGGCGGGGCTTGCTGGAGCAGAGACGGAGGGGAGAGGAGGAGCTGAGGGGAAAACTGGTTGGGAGGGGAAGAGTTTACATTCAAGATGTCTCCCCAAAACTGGCACTTCCTCAGATCCTGACTACCCCACCTTCAATCCGACTGAAACTGGACTTTTAAAAAACATGTAATCCAACTAAAATTGCACTAAAACGACTTCTTACTGCCTCACTACAGACTTCGATAATGCAGTTGGGGATCAATTTTCTCTTCCATGTATGCAGCTCAATGAGCTGAAACTGGCCTTAGCATTCTGTGCATGCTCCAGAGTTTGAATGCCAGAAGTTGAATAGCAATGCAAATATAGTAAATGAAGCCTCAGCAGACGAAGAGAGGAGCTTAAAGTGAGAATCAGACATTTCAATAAAGGTCGTAGGTCGGTCTGAAAGTGAGGAAAGTGAGTGTTTTGCTCAGCTGTTGATATGGAAAGGACAGATGTAGTGGTGTCAGAAATGAGAAGAAGAGAGAGGTTAAGTTTCTCACCTCTGCACAGCCGTCATATAATGGCCGAGAGTCTGAAGGGCAGGTGTGGAGGGGGAGCTTTAACGACATAATATAATCTCTGTGCATCGCCTTCTCTTATACGTCACATGTCTTACATGTGTTTGCAAGCTCGTCTTCATCTATCCTATCACACGCGCCACGAATGCTGATGACATTTATTAAGAGATGTCCGCCTTTCCTAGCAACACCTCCCTCACCGAATGATTAAAAAAGATCTCATTCATTCGTCTGTCTCTAATTAGACATCAACTTCACATGACTTTGCATCTCTCTCTTAATGTCTCCATGCACAAACTGAAGTGGGATGTTAAATTTCCTTTGTAGTTTTGAGTTTCAGAATCTTCTGAAATTGTTGGATTTCAAAAGAATTTCATTTTTCTACATTTCTTAGCAGCTTAACAGGAAAAACCAGGTTTCATTCAGGGGTTTATACTCTGCAGAAGCCCTTGAGGAAAACATGATGGAGGAACAATAGAGAAAACTGCACTTAGTGACAATGCTGTGTGATGGTAGTTGGTAGTTCACAGAGAAGAAGTAGGACAAACATAAACATCGATATATAGAAAAGAAGCACAGAGCGCGCCGTGTCTATAATGGAGAGAGGTTTACATGAAATATAATGGATATTGATCCATCACCTTTTCTTTGCTCTATTCTGCAACAGTTTCCAAGGTTTTTCTTTCAATTTTCTATGTAAAAACTTTCAGACTGATAATCGTCACCACAAGCTCAAAGTAAAAAGCTCTGTGAGTGTGTGTGTGTGTGTGTGTGTGTGTTTGTGTGAATGAGTGGGCATGACTGAATGAACTGTCATGTAGAGGCATGAGGAACGAGAGTGTTTCACTGCTCACATCTAGTGGTAGAGGGACAAACTGCAGACGGTCTGTCACTCAAGTTGAGTCAAGCATGGAGCTTCTCTTTAACACCCTCTCTTTACTGCCACACCGAGAACCTTTTGTCCTATTTTATATGTTTTTGCATTTTCTATTTTTAACTGGAATCTTTAAAGGGATATTCCGGTGTAAAATTAAGTTAGGGTCAAACACACCGTAACACTGAGTTGGACACCCCCTCAAGAGATAATTGTTGCTGATCGGTTGTTTCTCTAGTTATACCAACTTTAGTAACGACCGCATGATAGCAATACACAGCGGTCTGAGGAGCCATAAACAAACCTCAACCAAATCGTCACTCTATAGCCACAAATAATGCTCAGAACAGCACCTAACTTGGTTAACGTAAATTAATTTTACGTCAGAATGTCCCTTTAACTCTCTAGTCTACCTTATCGCTTGTTACTGCTCTCTTTTCATTATATTAAGTTTTTATGCATTTCTTTCAATATCAACAGTATATGCTAAATTTTATGGAACATAATTGTGTTTGGTGAAATATTTCTGCATTCATGTGACCATCAGGGCCACCGTAGTTTAAAGCAAGGTGGCAATGAATTTTTCAAAATGTGGAAGAAATCAGAAAATAAATCAGCTCAACTTGGTCCTATAAACTGTTCTTCTTTCTCTGTGGTTTGTTTCATTTCTTCAGACTCAACCATGAGATAGCATTTCTGTGTTTGCCTCGAGGAAAGTTGGAAGAAATCAGCTAGCTGTAGCGGCATGCTAAGTGCAGGTTAAAGCTGCTGCAGAGTTGAAAGTGTAGAAAGATGTGAGCTTACCTATCACAGCGGTGACCAAGGAGCTGAAGACTGAACAGAAACACATCATCCAACCTGAAATATGAGGTTAGTCGCAGCTGTGTAGGCGTATGAACCATGTTAGCGCCACTCAAAATGTTTGTTAGCACAAAAATGACAAACAGGAAGTGAAAGCAGCAAAAAGGAGTTTAAACTACTGGACCGTACCATTAACCAAGTAGTTGGAGGGGGGTTAGAAGTTGGAAGATGCAAACTTAAACAGGAGTGGGGACATATTTGAGACCTTGTGGTGTTGTTGTGTTACCAGAGAGGAACTTTTATAAATGTACTGCTGACGGTTAAACTTTAGACACACTCAAACCAAAAGAAAAACTTTCCTTTAGGCTTTTCTCCACAGCCACACCATTGTGGGGGAACAGGTTAAGGTTCAAGATGGAAAATGGAACAAAATCTGCCCACCGTTTCAGATCGATCGGCCCCCCGGGGAGCTGAGAGTTGCTTTGGTTTTCTTTTGATTGACTGTTGAATTTCCTTGTGTTGACTTTTTTATAACTTGCTGGAATTTCTTTGTCCGTCTGAAATGCCAATAAAATAAAAAAATAAATGGAAGTAAACAGCACACTATGTGGTGATTACTCCTACCTTTATGTGCTCTCCCCCCTCACTCAAAGATCAATCTTTTACATTACCAGACCCCTGAAGTCTGCGCCTCGGCTCTGCTTGAAGTGAGCAGGAAAAAAAGGGAAAATCCTGCACAGAGTACGACCTGTTAGCTGTAGATGAATGGTTCCTGTGTGTCCCACTTTATTCTGCTGTGACTGAAGGTACTCAGTCAGGAAGCAGGAGACTCTTATTGTGGGTACAAAGTTAGACTAAGTTGACTCTTTGTTCTGCTCCTGTATCATAATCTCCTTGTAACCAAATCGTTCAAGTTAGGGCTGGGTGATATGGCCTCAAATCAATATCACGATATATTGAGCAGTTCACCTTGATAACGATAAATAGACGATAACTACTCAACAAGCTGCTCAACCCCTCCCACATTAACTCCGTCTACTTCAGCCGCAACAACTTTTGAACCGTCCTCCATCTCCTCACCTGTCTTTCCATCTTTGTTATGGACTGGATGGGGTGGAGTCACGTCTCTGATGTAGGACAGCGTCTTAAAGGGACATGAAACCATAGCCTACCTACACACATCCAAAACCAACTTTATTTTTTTATTTATTTGACATAGAATATACCGATATATATTGGTTGTTATCGTAAATTTTGGTATTGGTAAATTTGCGGTTTATCGCCCAGCCCTAGTTCAAGTTACTAAACCTTGGATTTGTTAGGGTTAAGATGACATCGGGGCAGCACGGTGGTGTAGTAGTTACCGCTGACGCCTCACAGCAAGAAGGTCCTGTGTTCGAATCTGGCTCAGGGCATTTCTGTGTGGAGATTGCATGTCCTCCCTGTGTCTGTATGGGTCTACTCCGGTTTCCTCCCACATCCCAAAATCATGCCTGACTCTGAGTGGGGTTAGGTGTGAATGTGAGCGTGGATGCTTGTTCGTCTCTATATGTCAGCCCTGCAATGAACTGGCGACTTGTCCAGGGTGTCCCCTGCCGTCGCACAAAGATGCTGGGATAGGCTCCAGCCCCCACACGACCCCTAACAGCGGTAGAAAATGGATGGATAGAAGAAAACAGCCAATCAGTGTATAGAAACGTACATCTCTGGTTCTGGTGTGTAACTTTAAAGCTGTTTGTAGTGATTCTGTTGTTGGATGTTTTCAGTTCAATGTGACGACTCTTTGATTTTTCAGCCAACAAATGACAACACACACTTTGTACGGTGGTTACGCCCCCTGTGGGAGTGCATTGGTAATAACTTTATTGCAAAAATACAGGTTCCCTCTTTCCCCGAGCAACACCACCCCAGAACTGACACGCAGTCTACACACACCCACGAACAATAAACCCTCTTTAGCGACTCTTCACCTCTCCCTGTCTCCTCCGCCGTCGCACCAATTCACAGACACACACTTTCACCCTTTTATTACATTCATTCGCTCTCTTTCTCCCTCGTTCTCCTGCCTCGTTGCTCTCTTTTTGCATTCCATTGGTTAAAACATAGTAGTAGATGCAGAACAACAAAGTTCACCAGCAGCATTAAAACATGAGATCTCCTCCTCCTCCTCTCCGGGGTCTCCGCCAGAGTCCATGAGAGCGCCCGAGGGGTGGCTGTGTCTGCCTCCTGCACTGTCTCTGATACAGGAAATCGTGAGGGAAGGTTGATTTGCATAGCGGACTCATGCGCTACAATTGGCTACATTCTCCCACATCCGAATAAACGAACGAACAAACATACAAACTAAAAATCAAGAAAATCTGAACGTAAGTGAAAGTAAAAACAGCAATGTTAAATACGCTCTCTGAGTTAAGTGCCAACCTTTGGTTTAGTTACAACGTTCAATCAACATCAGTAAATTCTTGGAGAACTTTAAATTGGCCAGTTTTGTTAATTTATACCATATTTCATCGAATAAAGCATATAATAATAATAATCATAATAACAATACTCTACACATGTCAAAACGCTCCTCAGTAAAGGGGGGAGTGTGTTACATTGTTCATAAAGGTAGAAGAACTCAAGAATGGTTGACATCTCTGAAGAAGATAGCTCCCTGTCTGAAAATATACCTTTAATACATACACATCATATAAAGCATATTCATACTGGACATGTCAATGTCTCAGGCTGAAGATGAGATTTTTTTCTTTTCACAACTGAGGTCTCCAAACTGGTTTCAGTGTGAGAGGACTGAAAAGAAAAAAAAAACAAAAAAGCGTGAATTCAAAAGTGCCACTAAAGTTCACCTGAGGCCTTAAAGTTAAACACAATCATCGACTCTCCATCGGCTGCGTTTCAGTCTGAAAGCCTTCGAAAAGTGCACTTCTTTCCAGTAACCTTGCAAAGCGCACTTGATTCGTTCCCCTCCGTTAAAAAGGGAGCGGTTCCCTAACCTACTTACTCCTTCAAGACTCTTCCACCTCCCGTTGGCCTACTTTCTGGTGCTACCGTGTCGTGTTTGGGAAGAAAAGTAAGCAAGCGCGAATCAAAGGGAGCAAGAAAAAAGGAGAAAAAGAAAAGAAGAAGAAGAAGAAGAAGCGCTTTTCTTGTTTAATCTCCCGGTAGAAACGGGAGAGCTGTCATTAGGTCGGCGAGCGGTTAAGGGGGGGCGGAAACTCCAGCTAGACACTTGTGAAGTGCACTCCACTTCTATTTGAAATGCAGACATGAGGAAGTACCACTTTAAAGTTTATCAATATTTTCGTTAATTATCATTATCAACATTCCATAAGGTCTTATTAATTAACATACAGGTTTCATACATGAGTTTTTCTGTACATGACTTTTAGTTATTAGAGAGTTCGGAGTTCTTGGGCGGGTTTTACTGTGCGCGCACACAGGAAGAAGAAAACAAACAAACCCCGAAAAACAAGAAGAGAAAAAATATGGCTGTCCATCGGAAATAGACCCAGTTCGGCTACGTGTGCGTCCATCAGGAAATGCCCGTGAAGAAAGAGGAAGAGGCGTGGCTACTTAGTTAAGAGCCTCCCCATGAGCTGAGGGTCCTGCTGGAGGAGTCTGCAGAGTGTCCAGGTCCGCTTCAGACCCAACGGAGCAGGAAAACCCTCGGAAAAACCTCAGTGGGGGGGCAAGAAACAGTCCCAGGGAGAAGTGGGGAAGGGTTGAGGTTGTAGTTGGGGGTCAGAGTGACTGCATAGACAGAATAGTAGGTTAAAAGGAGAGGAGGGGAGGGAAGGAAGGAAGGGAGGAAGGCAAGGAGGGGCTAAGCAAGGTGCTGCAGGCGCTGAGGGAGGCTCTACGTCAGTGCAGATGTGTGCGTGCATGTGTGTGTGTGCGTGTGCATGTCGTTTGAGGAGGAGGAGGAGGAGCAGGATGAGAGGTGAGTTTCATCCTCCTGAGCCGATTCCAGGTTCTGTCAAAGCCAGGCTGACGAGGACCCCGGCGCCGCTGCCCCGCCTCGAAGGTGGACAGGGTGACGTTAGTGAAGCAGAGCGGGACTCTGGTCAGAAGAGAGCTTGACCCCCGTCAGACATAGCCAGAAACTCCCTGCTCCACCTGACAGCTCCTGGATGAGAGGGGAGAGGAGGGATCAGGCGGTGCACCTCAAACAGCACAGACGCAAGATTCTGTTTTCTGTTCAACTTTTTCCAAACGTTTGCTGAGACATAATTGTGAGACTTTTTTATCTCAGTAAAATGAGTCATTTCAAATCCTACATTTCTCTCATATCTATTAAGAACATTTCCCTGTTAACGTATCAGCGCTATCGCAGAATTTTGCAAAGAATTCAATGCAAAGTTCTGCGAACGACTGCAACACCAAAGAACTATTCCAGGACAGACTTGCTCCATTTAAATAATTCAATTAAATTTGCATAATATGTGATAAGCTGTAACGTCCCACTTCCAAGAATCAGCAGCAGTATGTATTCTTTCTTCTTTATATGTGTTTAATGATAAAACTGTCATTTTTGGTGACTCTGATCTCATCTCTTTCAATTGTGTTAAATACTCGCTCCTGATTGGTCAAAACCCCCACAACAACAGTGATTAATTCTCAACAGCAAAGGTGACTCCAGAGACGGTTTGATACTGTCTGTTTTCTCACTGAAATATCTTAAGGCGAGCCAAAGCACACAAAGCCACAGGACTGTCCACACGATACCATGCGTGAGTAAACAAACGCCATGCATACTGGTTTGCACTTTGCATTGTGGGAAGCCAGCCTCAGGATGCTCACTAAACTTATGTCCTTCACTATGTTGGCAAATCAAAACAAGCAACATCTGATTATTTGCCTTCCTGTCTGACCGAATGTACCTCCTCTTTCCTGCAGGTCTCTAAGGGTGTACCCCAAGGTTCTGGACTAGGACCCTTATTTATTTTCCAACTGGGTCAATAAACCGTGTGATAAGTTGTCAAACACTTTGTATCATTTTCACCTGATAACTTTGTTTTTTATTGCAGTTCATCATCAGTTTTACAAGTCTTTAGCTGATAGCTGTGGTGAGCAGGTGGTTATGCAAACTGGAGTTGATCTGTAACTTCGGGGTTGTACTCAGCCTGTCGAGATTCTAATTCACCTAAATGACTATACTTCAGAGATTTGGACTCGCACACAAACTTCAGACTTAGAGACTCGACTCAGACTCAAGCTTTAGGACTCATGGACGATCCATGCTCAATAAAAAGTCTAAGATACTCTTAAAACTTGATCATAAGAATAATCCCTTATCGAAGCGAGACCACTGTAAACATTTCTAATGTATCATTGATCCGTCCTGCTGCTTGTTTCATTTGGATTCCCCTCACAACCCAAACAGAGTGAAAATAAATCAGATTTTAGGGTCAGAGTCTCCTTGCTGATTTGTTTTCTTCTGTTTTGTATTTGTAAAATCATTTTTTTTCCTGGTTTTGCTTGTTACTACGGTGCCAACACCTCAGGCAGCCTCATAAATGTGATTTCCAGCTTTCAGTCGGGACAGTGGCTCGGACTACAAATGCAGAGTTTCAGTTTCATGTTTCGCCTTGTTTCAGTGAATTATCCACAGATTAAAAAGTTTGAAGATAAGCACTGAAGACAGATGACATTAAATGAAACTTCAGGATTTTACTCATGTCAGCAGGAACACAGTTAAAGTTAGGGACAAAGGTTCTACGTCGTCATGATAGATAAAACGTACGTAAACGCCTTCGCTACCTGAAAAATGACATATACAACAACATCTGGTAAAAACACCTCTGATTGGTTATCTTTCGCAGAGTGGTTTTTAACACGCCACACAGATCTGCAACAGCTCTGTCATTCTGGCACAGGAAAAAGTGGAAATAATCGGCTTTGTTCCTGTTAAATGAGCTTAACCAGATGAATGTTTTGGGTTTTTTTCTTCCTTTATGTAAATACGACAGATTTGAGGTAACCGTACACTGCATTTGATCTTTCTGAGAGTGTTAAACGTGTATTTTAAACACATTCATCTACTAATAAGCTGGTTTTGAGTTTTTACAAAATGCTGCTGATTTTCTGCCGGAAGTTTCAACTAAATTTGACACATGACAGATTTTCAGAGGGATGAAAAACAACTTTTGGCTCTCCACAGTAAACACAAATCAGTGCACTTCCTCGGGATATAGAGCAGTGCAAATAGGGGCTTAGCCTATTTTAATGCCAGATGAGTCAACTTTGCCAAAAAATGAAATGTTTCCCCCAAAATTATAATAAATAAAGATCAACTTTGCAAACGAGACCGCGACACTCCTCCCAGTGCTAAGCGGGCGAATAGTTCTTTGATTGAAACGCTACAGGTGTAAAAATCATGCGAGCTCAGACCAGTGTTTACCTGTAAAGCGGTAGAGGGAGGTGGTGATGGCAAGGTGTTGGTGATGAAGAGGATGGAGGAGATGATAGTGGTGGAATAGCAACAGGGACTCAGAAGAGAGGAAGCAAGCAAGGCGAGGCACTGACATCAGCCTGCTTAACCTTAGAGAGAGAGAGGGAGTGAGAGAGAGAGGGGAGAGAGAGAGTGAGAGAGAGTGAGAAAGAGGGGGACAGGTTGGAGATTGAGAAGCAGGACAAAAGGAAGAAAACGAGACAAACAGCGGGGTAAAGAGCACAGGGAAAAGCAATGTGTCAAGTGCCAAGGCAGGACATCAGCCAGGTGCAGTTTAACGGCACAGCCACAGGGGGGCAGCAGAGCACTGAGAGTTACACTTACAAAGCTTCGGGTTGCAGTCAGACGGCTGCGGCGCGGGGTCACTACTGTGCCGCTCAGGCTGCGTCCAATCTGCCTCAGGTTCTCCCCATCTTCAGGCTCCGCCCCCAAACGCAGATCCCGCAACATCATTGTCTGCAGAGGGACAAAATGTCTGTCAGAAGCCGGGAGATGGACTCGTCCGACAGACTGAGGAAATGTGAGGGAGGTCTGTGCAGGTGCTACCTTGTTGAGGTAGGTGGGGGTGCTGGTGCAGTCGGCCCCGTACACACTCCTCTCCATGTCTGCGTTGGGGGTCTTGGAGCGAGCTTGCCCTCCCACCCTGGATATGAGCCTCTCTGAAGGGCTGCAGCCTGAAAACAAACACAGGCCGAGCTGGAGGTCAAACAGGGGTCTCTGACTCTGAATCATAATATCTGTTCATTTAAGAGGAATCTTAACACATGCTTGGCAAGAATATATCAAGAAAAAATTAAAACTTTCTACGAATAACGTTCAGTTGGTATGGCTTTAAATTAGGTTTAAATACAACTTATAGTGTGACGCAATACATTTCAAGCCCTGTCCATTAACTTAAATTTGGATTTGAATTTTAGCTGACAAACTTTTTTTTTTTCCATTTTCCATCAAACTGCCTCTTTATGGCGGCGTCTTGAAAGCATCTCTTTTTGTGTACGATAAAATATGATACGATATGATACGATATGATACATTACAGTACAATACGATATGATATGATATGATACAATAAGATTCAATACATTATGATACTATACTATACGATTTGATATGATACATTATGATACATTACGATATGATATGATATTGTATCATATATTATGATACAACACGATTCGATTCGATATAATGGATTACAATACAGAACGATATAATATGATACGATACAATACATTATGATACAATATGATACTATTTGATATGATACATAATAATACAATACTATACGATATGATATATGATGCGATATGATACGATATTGTATCATACATGATGACACAATACGATACGATACGATACAATACAATACAATATGATACAATACGATATGACTTGATACAATACAATACATTACGATATGCTATGATATGAGACGATACGATACAACAGGACATGATGCAACACATTTTCATACGATACGGTACATCATAATGTGATAAAATAGGGCTAAATGCCATATTAAATAATATAATGTGGTCCAATACCACAAGATGCAACAAGAGAAGTCACAACACATTACAATATGACAATACAGTGTAAGGCTATATAACATGAGATGAAACAAGACACACTACATCACAATGATGACTTCATATGAGACAAAATACTATTCAAAACAATACAATATGACACAATGTGATACAATATGCTTTAAAACACTGATATGATCAATAATGTGATATATTAATATCCTCATATCCTCCAAAATGACAATAATATCACAATACGGACATTCTGTGATAATGGATTAATTAAAATCATGTTAATTTGACTTAACTGACACTATGCTTCTGTGTGTGTGTTTGTGTGTGTGTGTGTTTGTGTACCTGTCCTTCCTGCCTGCAGGCTGGCCTGGTAAAGGGAGTCAAGCTCCGACAACTCGGCCTCTTCTCGGTCACAGCAGGGATCTCTGTGTTGCCCTGGGGCATGCTGGGAGCTGTAGTGCCCTGGAGAGGACTGGCAACTGAAGCTGTAGAGCTTGGTGGAGGTCTGTGGCCTGATGGGAACGCACCGATCTGGAGGGGTGTCGTATGGCGTCACCACGGCGTCAGGGCGGTCCAAACTCCAGGAGGACCAATGACGCGTCCCGCTTTCGGCGGCGGCGGCGGCTCCGTGCAGCGGCCAATGCTGCGGGGTGCCCGTAGGGGAATGGGGCTGGGGGGGCTGCCAGAGAGGTGTAAGAGGTTTCCTTTGCCCAGAGGCTTCGAGAGGGGAAGATGGGGGAGGAGGTGAGGGGGGAAGGGGAGGGTGTGTGTGTGTGGGTTCAAGGTGTGTGTAGTGTGCGACGTGTGTGGTGTGTGTATCCCAGAGACGCAGAGGAAGCGAGGGCAGAGAGATGGCTAAGTGCTTCCCCAGGGGTCTGACACTCACCCCTCCTGCCTGCAGCAGCTCGCACAGCCTCACCCCCGTCCCCTCCCTCCCGTCCTCACCTTCCTCCCCTCTCTTTCCCACGCACCCACCCTCCTCCCCCTCCTCCTTCTTCTTCTCCTCCCCGCGGCTGGAAGGGGCGCACGGGTGAGGGATGCTGAGGGTGAGCGGGGGCCGATAGGGTGGAGGGGGCGGGTCCTGGCCCAGAGCAGCGTCCTGGTTGGGCGTCGCCTGGTCCTCTTCCTCCTCCTGATTGGGCGTCAGCAGTACTTGGACCGGGCCAGGCTGTTCACTGGAGGACACAGGAGAGGGAGGGTGTCACTCAGCGGGCAGCACGAGGAAACGAATCCAAACAAAAAAAAACACAGAGCTGCTCTGACGTCAGGTGAGTTACTGCATAGAGGGAAGGTCACAACAGCAGACCAGGATAAACAAGCAGAACACACACACACACACAAACACACACACACACGCACACAAGCTCAAATTGACTCAAACACACAATGATGCAGCCTGTGCAAGCATCGCTCTGTGTATGGGGATTTCACAAACATGCTGCGTGTGATTCAGGCACAAGCTCAGCTCTCCTCTGACTGCTGCGGATTCACCAAACTCCTCAAACTGAACGCAAACAACCCAAATAACCTCGCTTTAATCTGATTATTGGAATTATGAAGCTGCTCTGGTGCATTTGATCAAACTCGGAGGATAAATGCGGCCTCCTCGGTCTGCAGTCGTTCAGCCTGAGCGGGCCGCTATATCACCTTATTGATTTACATACCCTGATATGATATATGTTGAACATTAGAGGATCCTCTCTGCAGAGACGCGCAGCACATTCCTCACTGTGGCGGTGTGTGCGCGCACGTGTTTGTGTGTGGCAAACTTGTGTGTGTGTGTGTTGGAATGTGTGAACAGCAAGTCTGTAAATTTGTGTGTCTATTTTTAAAGACAGCATGCGCAAACCTGTGTGTGTGTGTGTGTGTGTGTGTGTGTCTACGTGAGTGCCAGCCCCCATCCCCCCACGTTAACTCTTCCCTCCCGTCTCTTTTCAGCCTTAGTAATTACCCAGCAGGCTTTGCAGCGGCGAGCTATAAATCAGAGGCTTGTGTTGATCAATAGAGGAGAGGAGGAAGGTAATAAAAGAAGCTGAGCGCCGAGCTTTTCCTCCTCCTCTTCTTCTTCTTCCCTCTCTCTTCGCTCTGCTGTTAACAGTTTGGGTTTACAGTTGATTAATTTTTAACAAATTTCGCTCCAGTTAAAGTGAAGTCTAATGAAACCGAGAGTAAATCGGACTTTATCTAACTTAGTTAGCAGATCCAATCGCAGCCTGTACTTCTGTAAAAACCATTAATTCAGCTGCTTTAAATTGCTGCAGCAAAATGTAAAGGGGAAATGGAGGTGTTCACATTGTAACGACTGTAATGACCTTAAAGGTACATATGGGAATTTCTCAAGACTGTATTTCCAATTTGCTGCCTCAGTGTGAACCTGAAGGCCTCTGAGTTTAATCTGAGATCCTCAAGGATATAAACCCAAGAGGAGTGGGCCCTCGACTCTGGAAATTAAAGGGTCGGTGTGCATAATTTAGAGACAACGTTTGAAAGCGTTTGAGTGCTCTATATCTACATAGAGAAGAGGTCCTCCTGTCTTAAGGCTAAAACATACAGGATGCGTATTTGGAGTGTGTCACACAGCAAATAAGTTGCCATTCTAGTCAATGCAGCAAAGCATACAGGACGCATATCAGCTCCGTCGCAGCATCGTATCGAAAGCAGCACTGCTAAAGATACGCAGCGAGTTTATTTTTGCTGCTCTACGATTCCAATGCGTGTTAATCCAAACAAAGAAGATCGTTCAGTAACAAAGAACAATTTGATGGTCAATCCCTGATCCATGTGGACCCCAACAGGACTTCTAACTGCTAACTCTGTCTGAAGGTAACAACACAGTATAAAGGAACATAATTTACTTTATTAAACATGAGTAAACCTGCAAAAAACAAGAATCTTGTAGCTTTTCCACATATAGTAGAGGTTCAACGGTCACTGAATTATATCCAAATTAGCAGGAAACAACCACAGAAAGGAAAAACAACCTGTAGTGAGCATGTTGTTTCCTCTATACTAAGCCCAGCTGACCGGGGCTGCACTACGCTGCTGCAACGCTCCAAATACGCATCCTGTATGTGATACCCAATGCTGCTCTACAGAACAAATACAGAACACGCTCAGTACGGATCCTGTATGTTTTTGGCTTTACTTAGCAGAGTGTTGTTTTAGCTCAGGGGTCAATCACAGAGACTGTAGTCCTCAAAGCAGGTTTAATCCTGGTACTTGGCCCTTTAGTCTGTGCCTTTATCCACTATCTCCTTCCAGCTCCTTACCCTATCTACTGTCTGCTCTCTCAAACAAAGACACGTGTACCCTTGGGTTGTGGGTAAAGCTAGAGCCCAGAGGGAGTTTCTAAGTCTTATACAGGGGCAGTATTTTTTAATAACTATATCACTAAACATGGGATCTGGAGTCTGGAGTTAAACTATGCCAAATTGGTCTCCAGAGTGTGGCTAACATTAGCAGAGCTAGCACCACCATTGTTGTGATTATTGTGATTTTTAACACAGATTTTTTAGCTAATTTATCATTTGTCTTTCCTTTATGTTTGTCTTATTTACCCAGTATTTTAATTTCATGTAGCACATCTTGCAAACCTTACATATTTATTTGTTGTACTAACTTTCTCCTGCTCTATGATGTCACCTCTACCAACCTCACCGGACAAACAGTTGATTTTATTTTTCCATTATCATAGATTTGACTTAATATTAGCAATTAATTAGAAAAAACGATTCTTGGTAAATGAGACGATATGATATATCATCAGACTAAATGTTGCAATACTATGCTCTATTGATTTTTTCTCCCACTTCTTCTCGGCTGGTTGCGCATCGCTCTAACCTGTTTTCGAGGTCAAAATCCTGCCATGAGTATAAATGGGCTTTTTTATGAGTATTAAGGCCTATCATGTAGATGGTGTGGTGTGCTATATTGGTATAATGTCTACGATAGAGTGTGTGTGAACTTGTGCTGGAGTATTGATAAATTCATTCCTGCTTTAAAGGGTCACTCTGAGGTTGTTGAAGTTTCAGCTCCTTCAAACTTCCCTGCTGAATCTCCCTTTCTCCTCCTCTCACTGCAACAAACTGACACATCAGGAGAAACCGTCTGAATCAGTGAAACACACAAACAGCAGCAAAGACGGAAAAAAAACAACAAACAGGATACCGGACAGGATCTGTGACTGCATTCACACAGCAGAACATAGGAACACAGTTGCACACACAGACACGCACAGACTGCAGCTTTCCAGTGCACAGAAGGACAGATCAGCAGCGCACAAAGAGCACAGGGAAGCCTTGGCAGCACACAGCTACAAAGAGCAGCACGACAACAATGAGGGGAGGCAGTGAAGCACAGCGAAGCAGAGAGAAACTCTCTCTCTTTTTTATTCTCGATGGCAACACAGAGAGAGCCCAGCAAAGCAGGTTTTTTTACTGCACTGCAACAAACACACAAACACACAAAGCATCAGAAGTTACTGTAGAAAGTCAAGTGTGTGTCTTTGAGAGCACACGCACATTCAAAACACACATACAGCAAGATATGAGAGTGCAGTGCTTGGGGTTACAAAAACAGGGAGTTCTGGGATTTTTGTCTTGGCAGCCAGAGCTGGAGACACACACATGAGGGTGTTGAGGTGTTTTTGGACAGCCAGCACCCAGAGGACACACACAGAGGAGTCCTCCTCAGGCGGGTTTTGGGATAGCTCGAGCCCAGGACACACACCAAGTGAGGGAGGGGGGAAAAAGGGAAGGAGGTCTGAGGTGGTTTTGAGACAGGCACCAGCTTTGGACACATTAAAAAGGGGGACAGTAGTGGTACCTGTGAGGCCCCTGTGGGCGGGTGCTTCCTGTCTCCCGTTCCATTTCCTGATCCTGCCCGCGTTTGATTGGGCCCCCAGTGCTCCTCATGCACGCAGCTACAGCCAATCCGCTATGAGCGTTAGCCTCATGCAGGGGTCTGAGCACAGCTGAAGATGTTAACAACAGAGCGGGAGATAAAAAGGAGAAAGAACAGAGAGATATAACGACAGAGTGGTAAAGAACGGAGGAGTCAAAATGAGAAGAGAAAAAGGAAACGAAGGAGAGGAAGAGGAAAAGATGGAGACAGAAATAATGTGAGAGTGAGAGAGAGAGAGAGAAGTGATACCAAAGAGAGAAAAACAGAGGCAGAGCAGAAGGAGTGGTTATGAGGGGGCTAGCATGCATTACGCTTCTCTACTGTAACTCAATATCAGAGTCAATTTCACAATGAACAGAGTTGCAAAGTGGGAGGAGTGATTTTTTTAACAACAAGTAAGAAGAATTTTGTAGGATTAATTAAACTGCACGTAAAACTATCAGCTCAGAAACTATTGTAGACTGTTTAAAAGGAATAACACGCCATAGTCGACCGTTACACTTGGCGATTATGTGTCTTTCCTAAATACAGTAAAATAGTAACACACAAAAACATTACACTTACTGAATACATCTTTTAAACATAAAAATATCAAGCAGATCCTGGTATTTATCTATACTTAAAGGGATATTCCGGCGTAAAATTAATTTAGGGTCAAACACACCGTAACACAGAGTAAGACACCCCCTCGAGAGATGAATGTTGCCGACCGCTTGCTTCTCTAGTTATACCAACTTTAGTAACGACAGCACGATAGCAATACACAGCGGTCTGAGGAGCCATAAACAAACCTCAACCAAAACGACACTCTATAGCCAAAAATAATGCTCAGAACAGCACCTAACTTCATCAACAGTACATATAGGGTCCCAGCCATAGCACTAGCCACCAAACATCTTTTTAACTTTGCCTAATTTCTTTAGCAAAGAGACTAAACACAACTCACCCACTCTCTTCCAGCAGCCGCTAGTTTGTACAGAGACCTCAGACGAGTCCATCATGACTGCTGTGAGATGACGCAGCTCAAGGAAGAACATTTATGATCTTTCCTTTATCATTTCCTTGATGTAATAATCACCATATTAATCATTTTGCACTGCAGACACGTTAGTTATTCTACATTAGTGTCTCAATCTGATTGCATTTCCATGAAGAAATGATCATAAATGTTCTTCCTTGAGCTGCGTCACCCCGCTGCAGTCCTTAATGGACTGGCCTGAGGTCTCGCTACAAGCAAGCGGCTGCTGGAAGAGAGTAGGTGAGTTGTGTTTGGTCTCTTTGCAAAAGAAATTAGTCAAAGTTAAAAAAGATGTTTGGTGGCTAGTGCTGTGGCTGGGACCCTATATCTACTGTTGATGAAGTTAGGTGCTGTTCTGAGCATTATTTGTGGCTATAGAGTGGCGTTTTGGTTGAAGTTTGTTTATGGCTCCTCAGACCGCTGTGTATTGCTATTTGCGGTCGTTACTAGTGTTGGTATAACTAGAGAAGCAAGAGGTCGGCAACATTCATCGCTCGAGGGGGTGTCTAACTCTGTGTTACGGTGTGTTTGACCCTAAATTAATTTTACGCCAGAATATCCCTTTAATGAATCTGTTGCAACATAAACATAACAAGCAGATCCTGGTGTTTATGTATACTTAGGTGCTTATATCTTATTCTGTTCCTTGCCACGCTCACGTTTGACAAATCTGTTGTTTGCACTTGTTTGCTACATTACAGTTAACATACAGATAATATTCACATTCTAGTTTTTATTACAATAAATTTACTAACTATAGTTTGCTTTGTTATAATTCTTAAATATATCAAACAAAGCTGCCCAAACTTGCTTGAGCTACTTAGTTTGGTTTTACTGTTACATCATAGATGCTAACGTTAGCTTATGTAGACAATCTGATCACAGTTAGCATCTCCTCCCATTTAGCAACTCTGTTGACAATGCATCAAAACATGAATCCGTACTTTAGTTAGTGAGTCAAAAAGTCAAGATTGGAAACATGAGGAGAAAAAGTTGAGGCTACGTTCATCAAGCCAAAAACACCAGACAAGAAAAAAGAGACAAAAGGTTTTTTTTTTTTTTTTCAGACACAGCTACTGTGGTGCATAGCTTCGTGAACGCACCTTGAATGGTGTTAGTTGGTTATAAAAAGATGAAGAGGAGGACAACAAAAGAGCAGCCATCCCCCATCTTGGCTGGAGTTTACACATTTCTGATTGATGGAGACAGAATAAAAGAAGACTGATGGCAGCTCTGTTGTTGTTGTTGGCTGTAACGTCCTCTAAAACACTGAGGCAGATTGTTCCGAGTCCGCCTGAAACCATCGATACGGACGTGGGAAACCAAATTCTGTTACGTAACCGCACTGATAGTGAGGCCATCTGTTCGTTCGCAAGTCGTCCTTTCACTTCATCAAGGTTGAGTGTACTCTCTTAGGGGTGTGTGTGTGTTTTTGTGTGTATATTTGTGTGTGTGTGTGTCAGGTACATGGGGCTGAACACACCGAAGCCCACACAGTAGGACAGACAGGACACAACATAATAATCCCTGATATAGATTTAGTTAGTGCTGAGCTGGAGGGGGAAACCTGCACACCTGCAGTTCATACATGGATCTGTCTCACACACAAACACACTCGCACAGACAGACACACATTTCCTGAGAACAGAACACACGTACAGACGAATCATTTATAGACGCTTGGTTAAAATACACCAGAGAGGAGCAGGAATACAAGAATATGAACCATGCCAATGCTGCGAGCGATTATTTATAATCTGTTTAAGTGTAAAGGGAAGACTTACGTATTGCAAGAATACAAGCATTGTGGGTCAATCATTTAAATTACCCATCATGCAATTATCCATCTTTCACTGTAAATTTATGCGATGAGTTGCACTTGTCAGTAACTGTTATGCCTTATCTCTCTCTTTTTTTTTGGTCATTTTTCATTTTTTCAGTTTAATTCTCAGTCTGAAAATTAAATCTCACATCCTAACCATTTTGTAAAATCCCATTAAGTTTGGGGTTTGAAGACCAAACAAGCTTATAAACCCACCGCCATGTTAGTGTCCATCCTTAAAGCTCCTTAAAGCTCCTGTGGGGAGTTTTTAAACTGGTAAAGAAACTTTAATTGATTCTTTAGGACCTCTGGCAGTGACACGACTCATTATCTTTTAACTAACGCAATACTCAGAGTTGGTCAACAGCTAGCTACGTAATGCTATTTTGATGGGGGATGCCTCTCATCTCAGCTTCTTGCAAAAAACAAAATTATGACCTTATCATGGCTCTCATAACATGATGACTTCATTATCATAATATAATATGGCCCTAATATTGTTATTCGTATGTTTCTGTTCAGCATTACTTTGCTAATGTCAGCCTGTTACCAAAACAATGAAAAGCTCATAATTGATATCTCAGCTCTAAACTCTTAACTGTATTTAGATAACTTAAAACATCACCACCCCTTCCCTTCATATACTACTTGAATTACTTGGGTTTGTTGTGGATGGCACCATCTTTGTCGTGTAAATCGCTTCTGGTTCTCGATTGCCACCGTTGCCTTGGTGACAGGAGAGATCGGCGAGGGAGTGTTGCATTCTAGAATCATACCGCTAGATGCCGTTAAATATCCTCATTCTACACGCTGCACCACAAACGAGGTGATATACCGTCAGAGCACAACTAGCCAAGAGCTACAAGGCACAGCTCTGTTCGCAGGAAGTACCAAAATCAACATAAACAAAAAGTTCCTCACAGGAGCTTTAAGAGAGGTAATAATCAAAGTCTGGAAGCCATTTCGTCCTAATAAGATTTTATGACTTTGGGGTGCTGGTTGGCTTATACTTCAGAGTCTACATCCTCACTAGTTCGACCCTTCGACCCTGCATGTCACCTTCTACTATCTATTTCCCATATCTCCTGTCTTTCTCCAGCTGACCTAACTAATAAAAGTAAGAATGCATGGGAAAAGGAAAGCATCAATTCAAAAGACTAATTCTCAGTTAAGACCAAATTTGTGAGCGGTAAAAAGTACATGGGTATCGAAAGAAATATAAAGAAAGAAACATACCCAAGGCGTTGGGGAAAAGAGTTAGCATGACAGATTTAAAGGCCTGGATACACTGACTGACTGACTGACTGACTGAGGTCTAATACTGATCAATTCAGGATGATTTATTCTATCAATTTGACAACTTCTTAAATACCCTACATCTATTAAACTTCAGGGCCTAATTTATTGTATCTGTAGCATTTTGAAGGTCAAAACAGTGCAACGAAGTACAGTTTTCTAGGTTCACACTCACATTAGATAGTAACTGGGACATTGAAGATTTTTTTCTTACCCAAACTCACTTTTCCCTCCACGATAATTAAGGTCCCGAAGTTTTTTACATGTTAGTGAAATCTAAACTTTCTGCTCTCTTCAACTCCACTGAACTTAGATGAACTAAACTGCTGTCAAACACAGCCTCACTCACTCACTCACACTCACACGAACACAGTTTTCTTATCATTAAACACTGATGGATGACCAACAAAAAATAAATACACCCTGAGTTATAGTCGCACACTGCGAACTAACTGACAAATTTAAAAAAGACAGAGGGAGACAGATGGAGAGACAAACCAACAGATGGGTATGAGGACAAAGAGGAGGTCAGACAGAACCACGGACATACAAGTCACTGCTGAGCTAGACAACAGGTGCTAATGTGACCTTAAAGCTGCACCAAGCAAGATTTTTACATAAAAATACACCTCATCAGCCTGGGTCAGGGAATGACGCAGAGCATTGAGCTACTGTGACCCGCAAGGGCAAACTGGCTACAGAAACATGTCCGCTGGGAGGAAGCATTCGCAGATTTAGAAAGAATGCCAATTGAAAAGTATAAACAAAATAAAAAAGAAATGGAAAATGCTGCACTGTGAGTCTGAACAAAAGGAAGTCTCCAGGCCTGTAGAGGGAGCTATAAGGGAAAAGCAACACTGACAAAAATCAGGTAAGAGAGTTTCACATGGGGGAAAAGTCAAGAGTATTAGGGACTGTGTCCACTGACAAAGTTTTGTGCATTTTAGGGCCTATTTTCGATGCCAACCAAAAGCAGATCACTATTTTCATTCTGAGTTAAGCCGCTGCACTCACAGCTCTCTCAGTTGACTGTTGTTTTACTTTTAAGATCCTTTCACACTGGGACCGTTTTTGTCGTGGGATTATTTTGGACATCAATATTTTTTTTCGAACCCGTATCCTGTCAATACAAGCGTTCACATCAGCGACGTTTTCCCGTCCTGCGATATTGTGGCATTAATTTTTTCAGATCATGGTCGATTTTTCTAAAGTTTCGTATACTCTGTGTCCACTTCTGACCAATTGGAAAGCCTGTTGTTGCGACGTCTGATTCACTGGTATGTCCAACATGGCCAACCGGCTGATTGTTTACGTGTCAGAGAACAGAGTGCTTTTTGATAAAAGACACAACATAGACACAACATAGAGTCGGATTTCTCATATGACGATGGTTTGTGTGCTTTAACAGTTTGCTTTAACGTCTTTGTTTTAACTTTCATCTGTGCTAACCTAAGCTAACGGTTGTTACCATAGTTTCATGTGCTTATCTTATCGCCTCTGATTGGCGATGAGTGCGGACCGTTTGGCATGAGTGTGTGATGACGTTTCCAGCTTTTTTAACCAATCAGAGGCGAAGGAGGCGGGACTTTCCCTGGGAAAAGTCTTCCCCGGGATGCGTCTTTTCCCCCCCGGAAAGTCGCAAAATCGCATCGGGCTTGATGTGTTTAGTCAGGCGCGTCAAAATTCACCTCTGAATATTTCGTAACTTAGCGTTCTGTATTTGCGTCGGCTCCGGTGTTTAAGGACCTTTAGACTTAATAGTGTCACTTCTCAATCACCAACCAATCAGAATCAAGAAAGAGCGGGACTTCTTTTATCAACTGTCAATCGTTTTGTTGGAAATACCAGTGAATGAAAACAAATAAAAAATGTACAGAGAAGTAAAACAGGCTAAAGGTCAAAGCTAAGAGAAGCAGGAGTGCTGCGGGACAACTTTTGTAAACTATCAACAGCATGTTTTTGACTTGGCAGGGTTAATGTTGATTATTATTTTTGGATTTTTGGATTAGATTTTGGATCTTCAAATTGTCATTGTTTTGTTTTGCCCAATTTATTTGGAAAGAATTATTTTGGCTGGTGTAGCGTGTTTGCAGTTGTCGGTCGAAGTATAAAAGTCCTTCTCTCTCTGTCGACTCAAAAAGCAAAAACAAATCTTGTCTTTGACTCATTTTTAGTGACATTTGAGATTATTTGAAAGTTTGCCAGTGCAGCTTTAACTCCTTTGTCCTGTCAACTTCTTCTTAAAGGACCAGTTCACCCAAAGACATCATTTCTCACTGTTTTTGTGATGCCCTGGCTAAGGTGAAGCTTGGTCTACACAAGGTTTTCATCTTAACATTTTCTCATAAAAAGCAGATTTAAAACATGAACCAAAAGTTGCATCGCCGCGTAGTTCCAGTTGTGAGAAAATGTGTTGGGTGAACTGTGACTCTTTTGGGACACCTGAAACCTCCCATATTTTCCACCTTTTCCTCCCACTTGTCTCTTCCTGTCTCTCCTCCTCCTTACCCTGGTGTTGGAGCTGGTCCAGGTCCATGTATTTGCTGGGTTTGGGGTTAAATCCCATGGCTGCCTCCCGCTCCGCCTCCTTCCGCTTCTGCTGCTCCTGCTGGCGAGCTCTCCTCGCCACCTCCTCCTGCAGCTCGTCCAGCTCACTCCGCCCTGTGCCTGAACGCAAATGGACACCAAAAGATGAAGAACGGAATCTTTCACTGAATCCAAAGATACAGTTGAGTACGTTCGCTAAGTCACACCTGAGATAGTGCCGCCGCCGCCCCAGCTAGGGGAGGGCAGCTCCTGCAGGATGGCACTGCTGCTCTTTGACTTGGGCACCGAGCGCCATGAAGGTCCTGACATCAGCACCCGTTTCTGTTGCCCCACCTCCCTGTGAGAGAAAGACAAACAGACAGAAAGAAGGCAAGAAAAAAAAGACAAAAAGAAACAAAAAGTTAAGAGTGCAATTCCCCTGACAAACATGTCCTTAGATTGATTTGTTTGGGTGACTATTATTGGACAATTTGTTGTTGTTAATGTCAAATTCCAATTTGAAGCTGTTAAAGTTAAATTGAACAGAAAATCAAGAGTGACAGAGAAAGTCAGAGGGGAAAAGACGATGAACGACGGAGAGAGAGAGACGGAGACAGTAATTGTTATGTGTGAGTCTCTTACCTGTCGGGGCTGCTGCTGTTCCTCTCACTGCTCTCGTAGCCACTCTCCATCCTCTGAATCAGACGTGGCTGGTGCTCCACCCCTCTAAGAGGTGGAGGGGCAGGCGGACCCATTGTCCGCCCGCTGCCCAGAGACCTGGGCTGCCCGACCAGCCCAAACCCCGCCTCCAACTCCCCAGCCCCCCTCCCTTCTGCCTCTTGTACCCCAGGCTGTGTGGGTGTAGGAGCGGGTCCCGCCAGGGGAAGAGAGTCCTGTGGCTCCGGAGGGAGAGAGGGACCAGGCAGGGTGTTGTAGCCCAGAGAGGAGCCTCTCGGTCGGGTGAAGATGCTATCGATGTTCAGGGCCTCTCTCCTGGGCCTCCAGGTGGGCCTGTAGCGGCCTCCAGAAGAACTAGAGAGCATGGGCGGTGCATGTTATTCATCTTTACGTAAGATAGTCCAAAAATAAAGTTGAATAACTCATTTCAGATTTCAAAGCTTAAGAGAAGTAAAAATACCTGACCTACAAAACAACTTAAAAACACTTTTTCAGTCAGGCCAAGCACACAGAGATTGGAACTATTTCTGCACCAAACACTTGCATTTTTGTAACAAAACATGAATCTACAATCTGTTCACAGACCTTTAAGCTTTCTGTGATTCTAAACATACTGAAAAAAACACGTTTTCAATCATAACGTCTATGCAAAACATTAACTGGAGAGGTGGAGAGAGAAGAACAGCAGCAGCTATGCAGTACTTTTACCCAGATACTGTAGATACTGTGGTGCATCGATTGATTAAGTTACTCAAATGTTTTATTCAATCTTCACTACTTCTATGGCATCTGAGGGAGCAATTCTGGTGCAGAAAACGAGCAAAGTGTTAGTCCAGGCAGGCTGCAAAGACAAGCTTTAGCAGATCCTAGCACCAGCTCATACCAGCCGACAGCTCAGTGATTACCTTCTGCACATCCAACTGGAAAATGTCAAAATGGGCGTCAAACTGCTTCTCACCCCAGCTCCTCCTTTAAACTCTGTGTCTTACCCCAGGGGTCTTTGCTGCTGCTCTGTCTGCCTTGGCCTTTTATATATGTACCTATTACAGGTGACTTATCCCCCTCCATGCATGTGGAAGAGCAGGAGCTTTCAGAACAGACTCAGACCTCCACATAAAAGTCTCTGCATGCGACTCATATATTCACTTTGATGATTTTCAGTAACTATGAGAGATGATTCTTCATGCAGGGTGTGTGTAGTGCAGTACCTGGACTTGCTCTCGCTGCTGGTGCTCTCATCCTCCCAGTGGGGCCCTCCAGCTCCCCCCTCGCAGCCCCCAACTCCTGACGAAGAGGAGGAGGACAGGGGTCGAGAGGAGGAGGAGGAGGAGGTGAGCGGCCGGCGGGATGAGAGGAGGAAGACGGCCGTCTCCTTGTACTCCGGCAGCGGAGGAGAGGGAGGGCGGGGAGGACCCTCCACCGCTGACTCTGTGTGAGCGGGAGAAAAGCGAAAGTAAATCCAATAGTTTTTTCCTTTTCATTTTATCCCACTGGGAGCAATTATCCCTGCAGCAGTGCAAGTAAACCTGAGAGTAAGGGAGCTAAACCTGAAGAGTCTGCAGTGGTGGAGCACAGGGACGAAGAAGTGGCTTCATTTGGACTTTAACTTGAACACTGACCTTTGCTCTTATTGTATTTGTCCCTAACAAGCACCGCAGTTTTGTCTTTCTTCTCTTTCTGAAATCACTGCAGCTTCTTGTGTCTGCAGCTGTGAAAAGCTGCCAACATTTCTAGATTGAAGTTTAGAGAACTTTACCTCCGGCGTCAGCACCGTGTGGGGGAGTGCCGATGTCGTAGTTACAGACCACCGTGGTCTGTGATTCGTTGGAGAGGTGGCTGCCTGTGGACTGGTGGAGGGGTCTGCTGCGAGAGGCTCTGTGACTGGAGCTGTCTGTCGAGGAGTCGGTGCGAGTATCGCTGGATATAGAGGGCTCTCGACCTGAGAGGGAGCAAGAGAAAAGGAGAGATGACCTTTGAGTAAATCCTGCGTTTCCATATGTTTGCAGCAAAGTAAGTCCTCAGCAATATACAAAGCTAGAAGCTGGATTACAGGGTTGAAGGTCAGGGCTTTGGAGCTGTAACCCCACATGCAACCCCACCCTCCTGACGGTGATAAAACCCAGAGAAATGTGATCTGATGTGTGTCGTCTCTGCTGTACCGGAGTCCTCGCTGTCGTAGCCGGCTTTGCTGCTGCTGCTGCAGTGCTGGAGCTCCAGCTGCGGGTTGGAGCTGCTACAGGGGTTGGGGCTCTCCTGCAGTATCACCGGCGTCCCACGGGGGTCAGCGTAGAGCAGCAGCAGGGGCTGATAGTGGCCTTTGATACAGCGAGACACCACGTCCTTCCACTTCGGGCCAATCTGGAGGTGCAGCAGGGCAACACACACACACACATCAGGACATGCATTAACATACATACAAAGCCATATACACACACACTCAGACACACACTTGATCAGAAAGTAGATCTATCATTTTTAAGACTTCTGAGGCATTAAAAGTAGAAGGTCAAACATGCACTGTGCAGCTGTGTGTCCTTACTGACACCACATAATCACACTTTTTCACCAGCTTTATTATCTATTTAGCTGACAGAAGAGTCAAGGACATGCAAATCCACTTTATCTCACATTTTGACTCAGCAAAGCAGCCCAGCTTTCCTCAGTCTAGCCACAGAAAAAAAATTCACATCCTATTCCAGGCGTACGGGACAAAAGTCACGCTTAAATCCCAAAATATCATATCAGATCATAAGACCAGTTCCAGCAGCACTAAGATCGACTTTAAGACGGGGAGAAAACCTTTAATGCCTCATCAGTTTGACAGATACGCCCTCACTTCAAAAGAACTGACCATACTGCACTGAAACTAACACACAGCTTTAGTTCTCGTCATTGCTGCTCTCACAGGCTCAGCTGGAGATGCAGCAGATACCGTACAGCACCCTCCCCTCCCCTCCCCCTCTCCTCCTCCTCCTGCCCCGTCCCCGTCCTGCAGCATGCAGCCTCCAACTGCAAACTGTGTCTCACCTCTTTGACGTGAGCGTCGTCGAAGTACATCCACTTGCGTATCTTGGTCTGGAAGAAGAAGGTGGAGTAGTGCTTACCGTAGTAGCACACCATGCCCACCAAGTAGAGCTCCGCCTGGCGAGCCCTCTCTTCTGTCACTCGGTAGAACAACTACAGAGAGAGAGAGAGAGAGAGAGAGAGGGAGAGAGAGAGAGAGAGAGGGAAAGGGGAGGGGGAGGAGACAGGGAGAGAAGAGAGGGAGAGGTGTGCAGCAGGAGGGAGGATAGAGATAGAGGAGTTAATGGGACTACAAGCACATTTTTGCTCACCTAGTGTATATGCCGTATGCAGTCATCCTTTAAATGCAATTTCATCTTCTCAGAGTGCTCACTTCTCCTGTCATTGCATTAAGCACAGTAACACACCTCGACATACAGTATTTAACACATTTTCACGTGTTCATGGATCACTAATCCGGCAATGATACCTCAGTACTGAAGATGTCAACTCCACATGAACTTATCTTTTTGGACTCTACTGGAGCACATCAGCCAAGATGCACTCAGCCAACAATATGAGACGAAATGATAAGAAACTAGACAATGTGATGTGAAACAATACCATGTAATACAACACAGCATGACAGGATGTGATATGGTGCAACATGATACAGTTCAGAACAGTGTGAAATGATTTGCTTTGAAACCGTTTGCGAAAACACAATATAACAGAACTGAACAATGAAATAATATAAAACCACACTAAGATAGAAAGAATCCTAAGATTCGATATGATGTAGTTCAACACTAATGACATGCTGTGATTGGATACCATGGGATCACATGATCACACTATACAGTAAGATATGATATAGCAGATTTTCATATGTAACGACATATGATAATACAATATGATTCAATTTGATACGATACTTAACCTTTGCAATATGACATAATATGATGGGATAAGACACGATACGCTAGATTTGACACTGTACGATATGATAGAATAAGATGTGACCAAATATGATGGTATAACACAATACAACACAATACGATACAATACAGAACAATACGATATGATACAATACAATACGATACCATACCATACAATACCATACCATACCATACCGTACCATACCATATGATACGCTAGATACCATACAATACCATACCATACAATATGATACCATACAATACCATACCATACCATACAATACGATATCATACCTCACAATACAATACGCTAGATACGATAAAATACGATACAATACGATACGCTAGATATGATACAATACCATACCGTACAATATGATGCGATACGATACGCTAGATATGATACAATAACATACCATACAATATGATGCGATACGATATGATACGATACAATACCATACCATACCATACCATACCATACAATACGATATGGTAGATACCACACCATACATTACGATACAATATAATACCATACCATACCCTACCATACCATACTATACCATACAATAAGATACGATACAATACCATACGATACAGTATGGTAAAATACGATATTGTACGATACGATACGATACAATACAATAATATATGATTAATTCGTTTAAACAAGGTCTGATACTTCCCTTTTAAAACATTACACAATATGATGGAGTTACAACATGATGAGGTAAGATATGATATTATGGAACGTTATATGATAAGATGAAACACCATTCATAACCTTTTAGATATGATGGGAATCAAAATGATTAAATTCAATTTGGCGCAGTGGCTACATAACCTTTCTGACTGGATGTAATACGATGAGGTAGGAGAGGAAATGATCCCGAATGATACCGAGTCTTTCTGTTAGTGTGAATGACACAGCTATGAAACAAAAGATCTCTATTCATTATGCCACTCTAAGTACTTTCTGTTTGGATGACTGCAGATTTAGTTATTATTAAAAGCAGTTTAATATCTCTTATTGTTGTGAGGTCTGTTTTGTGTTTATTTAAATGGTGTTACATTTAACTGTTTTCATTTTCTGCAAAGCTGCTATGAAGGTTCTGCCGGCAACACAGGACGAGAGAGAGAGACAGAGAGAGAGAGAGATCCCCCATTATTGTATTGATAGCAGATGGCAATCTAATGTGTAAAAATAAAGTGCCTAACTGGTAGGCAAATATGTTTTGGCGGGCTGCCTGTGTATTGTGTAAGGGAAACACTGGTGCTGCACCCTCAACTGCAAAAAACTTCACTTACTGCTTTAAAGTTTCGCTGCAGGCAAAAGAGAAGTAATGATGCAAAATGAGAGAAACCAAAAACAGGTAGCGCCTCCTGCTGTTTCCATTTCAACTCGCTTCTTAAAATTGTCCCTTATACATCTAAATTTTCACACAAAAGACACACAACTCCATTCACCAACTTACACTAACTTTGATTATTGATTATTTTTTCACACAATCCAGCTCTTCAATCATTTTTGTGTCTGAAAATAGCCAAACATCAGATTCTACAGCCTGACTCGTTTTCGGATCGCATCTTTTGTTCAACCAGCGAGCAAAACCTGTTCCATTTCCAAGAGACCAATCAAAAGATAACCAACAAATCCTCATATTCTAGCAGTCAGACACAAGAAGTGTTCAACGTTTTGGCTTGATAAACAGCTTGCAATGAAGATTAATCAAAACTGTTATCTCTTTTTTGCAACAGACTAATTGTTCCAGCTCTAAAATGCTCTTATCGAAGCGGAGGAAGAACATAAAAAGAGTCGCATGGAAGCAGAAAAGAGAGAGAACAGATGCAGACGACAGACAAAGAGAGAGCGGCAGAAGATGGTGGGGGGATACAGGAGGCAGATGGATTCATTTTTTCCTGATCTGAACAGCTAAACAAAAGCAGAAAATGCGATAAATTATGCCGCCGATTTCTATCTAACAACCAGCTTCATCTCGCAGCAGCAGAGGGATGAGAACGAGAGCGACAGCAGCAGGCGGAGACAGCAGATAGAAGATAGAGGGGAGAACTCAACTCCCTATAACACATACTCATATTCACTGATCCATTATTCATAGATATCACTTCAGAATGCTGCTGGAGATGTTACAGTAGCATTAAAATGCATCAACATTACTCAGTCATGACATGGAGTATCAGGGGTAGAACACGTGTGTGTGTGTGTAAGAGTGAGTGTGTGTGTCTGTAAGGTGTGAAAGCTGCAGCTGAGAACGAGGAATTTTCAGAGCTATAGGTGAGTAAAGGCAAGGCTGCTGAGGCGTTTTTCATAAACTTGATTTTTGTTCGTGTGTACGTATCCTTGAGAGTGTGTGTTTGTGCATTAGTGTCTGTTTGAACATTGTGCTGTTAAATGGAGGGGAAGTTTCTAATATCCTTTGTTTGTTTGTTAGCAGGTGGTCAACCAGGACTAAGATTGTCCCAGTTTGTTTGATTTGTTTTGTACAACCTCTTATTCTGAAAAACAGTTGGGGCAGCATGTAAAATGTTGATGTAAATTATGAGATTTAATTGAGAATAAAGAACAAAAGTGTAATGCTTAAAATCCTGGACAGATAAGGTTAATTTGTAACAGGGCTGGGTATAAAAGGGTATTTCAGAGAAGTGGAGTCTCCCAGAACTGAAGATGGGATGAGGTTCACTGCTCTGTGAGAGACTGCGTGAGCAAGCGGTTCAACAACTGGTAATGTGGTGGATCAATCTGGAGCGTAAAATTGTAAAAACAGTTTGGGATTACCCCATCTACACCACAAAATATCATTAAAATATTCTGAGTCTGAAGAAATCTCTGAGCCCCTTGAGCCTTAAAGTAGCACAACAGTAAGAGACAGACATGACTTTGCAGTGGAAGTCACTGCATGGGCTCAAAATCACATCCAAAAACCACTGCCTGTCAGTGTAATTCATTGTTGCATCCAAATGTAGGTTAAGGCTGAATGCAGAGTGTGAACCATGTATAAACATGCATCATGGGTTAGACAGATCGACTGAGCCTTGGTCCAAAAACTACCCTTAAAATCTTAGGGTGTCATTTTTGGAAAGTGCTGAATCATTACTCAGAAGGCTTTAGTTGGCTTGCTAACAGTCCGCTACTACTTCTGGATCCAACCCCTGTTTAAAGACAAATGGCAACCAGAGTCAAGACCACCACTATGATCTCACAGTATTACTCTATGCTTATTTTACCACAATATTAATATATTATTTATATTTATATATTAAAAGACAGTTGTTGTCAATTTCAGTATATCTTGACAGCCCACTAAACATGCAATAAGAAACAGTTAGCTTAAGATTTCTACTGACATTAATCATAGACTCTTCATAAAGCTTTTTTCTAACACTATGGACACATTAACCGTCCTCTTCCTTCATGCTTTCCTCTGTTTTCAGCCAAGTCCAAACAAACACTTTAGGTTTGTGTAGTTTGTGTAGTTCCATCTGTTTTGCTAAGTTAAGTTTACAACCTAGCCACCACTCTGTAATCTCGCTTGGTCATGACAGTAAGTTTTAGCTGCATTATAGTGCCATCTTCTGAGTCAAATTCTGTGGCACACTAAAACACCTCCCTGTACTAGATTTTATACCAGTAAAGGAGATTAAAAGTATGTCTTCTCAGCTGAATTTTACTTTTTGATAACTAACCTTGGACATTACAGATCCACTTTCTGCTTAAATAACTGCGCTTTCGAGTATTTCTTGAAAGCTTCAACATCACAAGCTGGCATCTTTAAAAATGTAGTAACCCAATTTTAATATTTAAGCCGGACCAATGCGGCAGACCACAGGACTTAAAAATGTAAGACAGGCTTAAAATCCGAGAGTTTTCTCACCATTTTTACTAAAACAGTTATCTCCTCCCCTCAGGAATCAGCGCCGTACACACTCAACGCTTTCTAACAACAGATGTTCATCTTAGTGCTCCTCGTTGTTTGAGGGGCAGGGTGATGAAACAATAAAAAGGGCACCAGCTGCATGCAGCAGGGCAATAGTAATCAGGATGTTTTCCAGTGTGTACGGCAGCCTGTACGGCACTGTATCATGCTTTCTACAGCCCTCTGGAGGGCACTTTATCCTGTTTATGTATCAGTAGGCCATCACAAAGGGCAGCATGCAGCTTTTTTTCTAAATTGGAGACACTGAAGCCCCCATGAGTGTACTAGTGTTTAAGAAGGCTCAGTTTGCACATGTTTGCATGTTTATACTGATGTATTTATGTTATTTTGGAGAGGGTACATGCTTGGTTGCTAGTTGGCGTTCATAACTTGTGTTGATGTGTTTAAATGTCTGCAAAATTCGGGTGTGTGATCTCCTTACATCTCCAAGACGCAGGCAGGTCCCCAGGCTGTGTATGACGTCCTCAGCCAGGTCTGAGTGGTCCGAATCCCACACCAGCCCGATGGACACGATCTCCGGTGAGTTCATCAGCACCCGGCGGATCCGCAACACCTCCCCACAGTTACTCTGAGAGAGAGGAGGTGAGAAAATAAGAAGAGAAGTGTGATCAAACAGGTTTATTCATCCTGTGTTATGAGGCTGTGTGACAGCGGTGTGCAACATTAAAAACATCTATTTATTTGGCAGTGATGAACACACACATACACACATATTTGAGTGTGCAGATACACACTCAGATAAAGTGAGCAGTGGAGAAATGAGAGGCAGAGATAAAAGAAGAGAGGAAAGAGATGATGAAAGGACTTAAAGAGAGAACGAGAGAGGAAGAAGCACAGTGCTGAGCTGTATTTGTCCCTTGGGCCTTCTGTCGAGTTCAGAACCGTGTGTTCTGACTCCTTCCTTTGAGTCATGACCCACCACAGAGCTGCTGCGCACACACTCAAAAAGCGCACACGCGAGCATGCACGCAGCGTTGGCAGAGCCGGCTCGGAAACAGCCTGAGAACACCCCGGCAACCAGACGCTTTGCCAAACACTCGCGCACACACATATGCACGAAAAACACACACAGAACTCTCCCTTTTTGTGGGCGGCGGGACGTCTCGCGTTGGCACCGGGGATGGCAGGAAGGTTTTCTGCCAGCTTCTCAATTCTCAGAAAAGAAGAGACGCAAACGCGAGCCAGCACTGACACTCGGGCTATCTGTTAGCCCAGGACACAAGCATGGGACCTGGGTTAGCCCTCTGTGCCGTCTCACTGCTGGTGACAACATCATTCATCACATGATGGCACAAACACAGCCGCCCTGCTCCATGATACAACCCTCCTGATTGCTGCTGCGGACTCATCTCTGAATTTTTATATGCAAAGATTCCTCTCTGCTCGCTGTGGCTCTGCAGACCTTTCAAAGAGGGGGAGCGTTATGTAACAGTGCTGCTGGTCAAAGGATACATGAGGTTTGCAGAGTGCTGATCGTTGCATTCTTCTGAGCAAAAAATTGAAACTACTTTAGAAAAATCCGTGCAAACGCTTTCTCAGAAAAACTGAAATAAAAAGGACAGAGCCAGCTTTGATGAAGCAGACGACTCATATAACAGAAAAACTAGCACTCATCCAGAAAAAAATAGGGTTATTGAGTGCACTCCGGTTCGTTATAGCTCAGTGTTTAATTTGCAGTTTGTGTCATCACTTCCAGCAGTCACACACGAGTTAGTGCTGCGAGCTGGGGAAGTGGAAAAGCTGCTACGATGAAGCTTTGACAGGATTGGGTGTCGAGAGAACACAAATGGCAACAGCAGCAGAGGACATTTACAACCATCGAAAGACGTGAAAAAATTTAGGATTCTACGTTAAAACAGAATTTGTGAGTCAAATATTTATGAGAAGATAGTAAAAAGAATTTGATTTGATAACCTACAGTATATAATATCATTAAAAGATGTACAAAAAAGACAGGAAGGAAAACCAAGTACTGGATGGCTGTAATTTCAGGAAGAAATGCACAGATTAAAAGAAATGACTCTGCAGTGGAAACCGCCACATGGGCTCCAAATCACATCCTGAAAAAAAAAGGGTGCACTCAGTACGTTTATATCTTGTTCAAAATAATCAATTTACTGAGTTGGTCTGGCAGAACCAGGATTTTTAAAAATACATGTTAGTCCAACTGAAATCGCACTTCTCACAGTCCGACTAACATACCTGGATTATCCGGTTGGGGAGAGATTTTCTCTTTGTTTAGGCTTAATGTGGAAATTAGGATTATGTGTGAGCTGAATCTACCTTTCCTTGTGTCTATTTGGGATTTCATCTCAGCTTCTCTGTGGATTGCTCAGTAGCTTCCCTGAGATACTAATTTGTTACTATAAACTTTTGGATTTTCATTTACCTGGGCTTTGGAAAAACATCTTCCTGGTCTTGCTTTCATTTCATGGTCCTTTTCCTTTGTTTGATTCCTGAACTGTGACAGTTATTGCTACTTTAAACAACTTTCCTTTTGATATTAGAGGAAAATATCCCACACTTTACTCCTTCATCATTATAAATAACTCTATTGGCTGGTTAATTTGCTGATTTTTACATACAAAACAAATCCTCATTTTATCGTGTCAGATCAGTCTTCAAAGCAGCAAAATAAGGTTTCCACCAGCTGTGTCTCAGACATGTACAACCTCAGTATCCTGCTTTTAAATTAATACTTTGCACTCATACAAAGAACACCATAACACTAAAGGGGCGATCCCTGCTGTTATCAGTTTCTGACTCTAATCCTCTTTGTTACACTTTGATAAGAACACGGATATGTATGACATCAACCTTTCCAACAAAGACCTGCACACTTCAAACCAGCAAGAAGACGACAGAGGAGGTAAAATATAGAAATCTCAAATGAGACATAACAGATATTAAGCTAGTTTTTACAGGGAAAAAATACACAATAGTGTCAGACCGTAGAGTTTAGGTTTTTTGTTGTTTTTGTTCGATTCAATTTATGACGATAGATGCTGGTCAACGACGTTTTTCCACTACACAGCCATGATGATAACTACCTAAAATTCATCAACCCTTACACAAACTGACAGAGATGAAAATACGAGAGGTGGAATTTAAAATCCATCATATTTTACACACTAATCTAATATTTTACCTGAGATTCGAACAACAGGCTTCATTCCTACAACAGGCTGAGTTGGTTTATCGCACTACTTTTCCAGCTAGGTGTTGCTAAAGACGCAACCAGTTACCGAAGTTTTTTACCGTTAACAGCTTCATATCCAAACTTGAAAGTTATCCTACATATGATTTGTTTTAGGGGGCTAATTTCATGACACGTTTTGTGATAAACTGTGAATTACTGAAGACGAAGATGAGAGCAGTAGTGACTGAGTTCCTGTTCAGCGTGCCAGTCCAGTGGTGTTTCTCAGACTTGAGGGCGCTGGGGACTGAGCCCCGACCTCATCACCCCACAGAAGAAGAAGACAAAAGAAAATAAATATATTTACAATGGCCACAGAAAGAGCTTTTGACTAGGAGTAAGGATAATTTCTTTGTAGTACTACCAGCATTGATCGTGGGAGAGTCTACAGTAAATCATCCAACTAAAGTAAGAAATCCCGATACAACACAAGTAAAAGGGTGAGACACTGCAGATGTGAACACTATTACATCTTTGATGCTTATTTTTGATTGGAGATAGAAAATGTTTTCTCAAACAGTAATGACTAAAACATTATTGACCACAACTGGACTAAAAGTTCAACTAAATGTTGTAAACTTAAACGAAACTCAAGCTATAAAAGACAAAAATCACTCAAACGTGACTAAAACTAAAAGGTATTTAAGTCCAAAGATTAAGACTGAGACTAAATGTATATTAGCTGTCAAAATAAACCCTGGTGTGAAAGCGGTTGTTCCATTGACTGTCTATGGGTTAAACATTATGATAACGTATTTTTAATAAATGTTGAATTTATTTTCTCCTTCTATAGATTCAGTAAACTTAATTTTAGCTCATGGCTGACAAAAACAAGAAAAAAAAACATATTCACAACTTCACAGTTTCCTCTTTGGCACCCCATATCCAGTCTGGCACCTCCAATATCTCCCAGCAGCCTCTCTGCCATCCAAATACCATCACTTTGTTTGAGCAGAGCCCAGTGTGGTATTAACAAAAGATCAGCGCTGCCAGTGATGGAAGATAAACAGAGGCAGGTTGCTCCACTCCCACAGGACTGCGCACACAACGTCAGTGGTGGGTCTGTGAATAAGCCCAGGGTGTGTGTTAGCGGTTGTTTTTTTGTGTCGTTGCTGCTGTGTGGAGAGAGAGAGAGAGGCCGCTGAGGAGGCTCTTTGTGCCGGTACTTTGGCAGAGAGGAGCAGGGCCGAGCGGCGCCCAGTCGAGTCTATTCAGCGGCAGAACTTTCCCACGTGGCGGCACAACATGCTGCAGGACAAAGAGGAAGCATGACGCATGTTCGTCCGACCACTTTCCTCCATCAACCTCTCCTGACTGTAATGGCTCTTCAATTTAACTAATAAGAGTACGCAAAAATACACACCCTATTCAGTCAGAATGATTTCCCCCTGCACAACCTAATGTTCTTTGTGTCCTGCTGCAACGAGACAATGATTATTTTGTTTAACTGTACAAGAGGGCTGATGACGACAACTCGGGAAAATGCTTCCGGTAATAGAAAGTGAAGAGAAAAATGGGAGGAAAATGCAAATGGGCTGCTGATTATGTAACACACAGACGCACCAAGAAAGAAAAGAAAGAAAAGAGGGGGAAACAAAGTAGACATGATGAAACTACCAAAGTGGTTACGCTGCAAATTATGTTCTTAAAATGTGATTTTTCAGCCTGCTCTTAGTTTTATTGTTTCTTTTATCTCTCCATCTGTTGATATTTTAGATTAAATCTGCAGATTTTTCCTTTTTTCTCAAACACAAAACTGAACTCGCAGCAAATTCACGCAAGAAAATAACACAAAAAAGATCATTAAGCTCAGCGTATTTTCTAAAATGGGCTCATATTGTGTATATGTGTGTGTACGTCTGTGTAAGTGTGTGTGTGTGTGGTCTCACAGGGCAGTTGCGCAGGTCTCCCATGTTGCTGGCATTGCGTAGCAGCTCTCCAAACATGTCCGGTGTGGGTTTCTCTCTGCACTCCAGCATCCTCACTGCCTGGTTACTGCAGCATCCAAACACACACACACACACACACACACACACAAACAAAACACACAAAAAATGAGTGCGCCTGTGAGCAAAGCTTTTGTGAATAGGAGAAAGCATCTATTGTTCGGCCTGAATGTGACTTGTGGCCACCCGAAACTTTGCCTTCATTCTTTAAAAACCTCTCAGTTTGTTTGTTTGTTTCGCGACGCCGCGCGGTAATCTGCAAACAATTGTTTCATTTCCTCTCGTATTTCTGGTTGAAAATCAGTTCAGAAGCTTTGAATTCTGCAGTGTTTTGTCCGCTCGCTTTGCATATTGCTTAGGCAACCATTCAGCACGCAGACCGAGTCGCTCCCTCAGGCTTTTTCTCATCTGCTTTAATTAAGAAAATAAAACAAAGGGAATAGAGGAAAAAAAAACGTAAAAAGTAAGAACAAATCTAGATTATACAGTTGTTAAGGCGGTAAAAAGATTCCCTCTGAGCGAGTTTTTAAATCCTATCTGGCAGATTATGATCTCTGACCTTCCTAAAGTGGTTAAGCTAAAAGACAGCGTCCCAACTGAGAGCGCAGTGAAAGAACATTATTACTGTTGCGTTTATTAAAGAAGTACAACCTCAATTCCATGGTTTGCAAATCATTTAACAATTGAAAAAGTGCAAAGACAACAAATCAAATCTTGAAACCTGATGAGACACTTTGGGTTCTTTCTATTTATAATGTTTGTGGCGTGATTTACCGAATGTTTGCACTTGTAATGCCAACAAAACAGCCCAGCTTTCCTGAAAATCTCATTGTCCAGATGGCGGCATATGATGCTCTAAAACCTATGGAGGAGTGACGGTGCCTTCAAAGATGATGAGATATAACAATGCAGTGATAAAAAGCTGAATGGCATGATTTCCGACAAGAATTTAAGATACTGATTTGTCACATTGAAGTTTTAATCGTCAGTCCATCTGGATTGGACTGACGGTTTGTGGATGCAGCGATTCACCGTGTTGTTTCAGTTTCATCATCTTATTTGTAATCTTCATGCTATTCTCAGTGAAAATATACGCTTCAAGGATTTGCAAACCATCAAACTCTGTTTTCATCAACACTTTTATCAAAAAACTCGTATTAAAAATGTGGAACGAGCCGTATTTTCGAGACAATCTCCTTCAGCAAACTTTGAAGCAAAGACACTTAAATACTGAGCTGTATTTATCAGTTTTAAGTCCTCTGAAGGACAAACTCAAACACACATTATTATAATCTGTGAATACCAAATGAACTTGAGCACCCTCTGTGCCATGTGCAGGATTATGTGTGCGATGAATCAGCATTGTTTTTTTGCTCTTTTTCAGGGGGAAGTATTTCTTTAAGAATAATAATTTAAGAAAACTTCCCCTCCTCCTCCTCGTCCTCTTCCTCCCCCCCTGCTCTTCTCCTCCTGTCACCCTTACTTCCAGCCTTACATGAACTCGACCTCTTCTCTCTACTCTCTCTCTCTCCCTATGTTTTATCCCCTCGCTCGGCCATGAAAGCAGAAAAAACAACAACACTTGTTCCTCTGTTTGCTTTCCTCTGAATCGTGCCTGAACCAGACGTTTGTTTTGTCTTTTTGCTGCCCTCTGATTATCTTACTCATGTTGACTTTTGCATATTCGGCGATCTCGTCTGTAAACAACAGGCTCCACTAAGGGTAAAAATAGCTTGGCAGCGCTAACAGGCACAAACAAGAGAGCAATGCCCCACGACTACCTCCACACACCGTGTGTTTATTTGTACTTTTGCCCCCACATTTATCCCTCGATTTCCTCTGCCCTGTTCCATTTCCAAAAGGGATACAGAGTGATATATCCTTTTATTTCCCTCTCGTTCGCGCTCTTTCCGACCCACTGTTCCACTTATAGATTTATGCCGCCCCCCGGGTCTACTGAATCAAACAGCTGATTGATTACTTCCCCTCTTCCTTATTTCATTGACTGAGTGTGTGTTTTATGTAACAGCTCTAAGGAGCCACACATGCCTCCTTCGTCCTGCGTGCGTTATCTTTGAGCCACTGTCCACCTGAGTATCGAGGTGAATTTAAGCACAAATTCACCTGCTCTGTCATATGCATTAACATAAATGTGTGTGTTTCTGTGTGTGTGAGTGTGTGTATGCATGTGTGCACTCGGTGTTCAGCAGGGACCCGTGCAGGGAAGAAGAAGAGAACACGCTGTACCTTCCTTTACTGCCACCCAGCCTGAGCTTGCTGCCAGATTTACTGCATTATGTGTGTGTGAAGGTGTGTGTGTGTAGGTGTGTGTCTGGTCTTACCAGAGGGATGTAGTGGAGATGTAATGAACCATCTGAATGAAGGGCAGGGGGTCTGATGTTGCTCCACAGCTGTTGCACACACACTGCAAGTATACAAACACAAACACATCCTCTTATTCGTCGCCGGACATTAACATGTTAGCATGTGAGGTAATATATTTTAACAACAGCGCAACACGCGCTTATGTAACAGCCTCTCAAAGCCTCTGAGAACTTGGCTTTAAATGAAAAAAGAGGGATGATTTCAAGCTTAAATGTCACATCAGAGTCCACTAAAATCTGAGTGAAATCGAGGGACCGTAAATGTTGGAAAACATGGTTTAAGAGGACAGATGATTTGACTGTTGAGACCGTTTCATGGGACGTGATGAAGTGGGCGTGTTTATTCAGATTTTGATTGACATCTGCCTGGTTCATCAGTATAGTGCAGTCCTAAACAGTTTGGAAGTACTTTCAACATTTTGGAGGTACTCAGGAAAAATTAACCAGATTTTGATCACAATTAGAAGTAGTCTCCCTGACTCAGCAGCGGCAAAGTAGCTGTCTAACATGAGTCTGGTCCTACCCAAGGTTTCTGCCTGTTAAAAGAAAGTTTCTCCTTGCCACTCTCACTCATGTTAGATGAGATGGGTCAAATTTGTCCCATCTTCAGGTTGGGTCTTAATAATTCGTCAAACAATTAGCCTGATCTAGACCTGCTCTTTTGTGTAAAGCCTCTTGGGATAACGACTGCTGTGATTTGGCGCTACATAAATAAAATCTGATTGATTGCTCGATTGATTGATGGTACTTCCAAAATTATTGTATCCAATTTAACATACATAACAACAGGTGATCCTGTTGTCAAGGCATGTTGTTGATGATGATTTAGTATATCTTGAAAACTCCTGTTAGAATCAATGCACCTGTGGAAAACTCTGTCTTCACTCATTTTGTCCTCCACATACCAAAGTCGTGTCTTTTTGCAAAAAAATCTCACCCTGATGAGTTTCAGGTCTGTTTCTGCAGATGCTCGGCTGACCCCAACCCCCTCACACTAGTTTCAGGCATTAAAAATGATGATTTACGAATTTTCAATCATGTCCCTCATGGTTTCATTTGCTTTTGGATATCACAAAGACAGCATTGACCTATGACATATAAATTTCAGGCAATTTTAGAAACATCAAATCAGCTTTAACTGAACGCCAAGGCGGAGTTTAGTCCTGGTATGGCTCCATCAGTGAGTGAGATGCAGGATATACGCCTTTGGAGGGTCACTGGTTCAAATCCCATCACTTGTTTGGCAAGTTTGGCAGTTGGCCTAGTGGCTGGAGAGGTGCCAGTTCACCTTCTGAGGTTCCCTTGAGTAAAAATGGGATTTGTTGTCCAACTCCGCACGTCATTTGTGCTCAAGTGTATGAGTGGATTTCAACCTCTATGTGAGTAACATGTCCAAACAGAGTGGAAAAAAGTCCACTGGGGGGATTATGGTATAGTGAATGAAATCAAAGTTAAAAAGTGATTGGCTGCCTCTAATTCGTGAATGCCAAATTACTAGTCAATGAACTGTTTTTGTTGACAGGGCCAGTATCTCAGCTTATGAATGCAACACCAAACAATAGCTCTGTAAAGCTAGCTAGTACTTTATGATTACAGAGCTCATTTCCCGCAGCTATGATCAACAAAAGCTGTCAAAGATAGATCATCCACGAAAAAATCCTCATTCCTGCAGCAGAAAATTCACTCAACACCCACAGCTCTGAATATTTTATACATAAAGGCTAACAAGCTGCAGTGTCTTTTCCCATGAATGGATCACAGAGAAAACTATAACCATGCCCAGTTATAACCCGGGAAAGATCAGGAGATATTTGCTGGTTTTAAAACAGACTTGGATGCCTCCAAACTGACTCATGTATTGTTCATTTTAATGTCTGCAGGGTACGTGCAAAAATCCTGGGGTTTTAATTCAACATTTTTAAGACCTTCTTATTTCCACAGCAAAATTCACTTTCAGACACATCTTTAGAAGGAAATCTCTATGCGAAAACACAGAGTTTGTACAGATAAGGATCAGCAGAGAGGATCATCCACAGGGGGCGCTATAAACGACACAAACCAAAAGCCCCTCCGAGTCGCTTGAAAGTACAAAACTAGGGCCAATTTTATCCCGTTTGAGACTAATTAGTAATCGGCCAAATCTCCATAAAATGGAGAGAATAAGATTCGGTTTCACTTTGAAAATGTTCCGCCATTTTAAAAGTTCCCCGACTTATCCTGTAGATGGCGCAGCGACCTCATGACAATCTTCATCCACTAACTACCTCACAGCACAGCAGAGTGACGGATCTGAAGCAGGCAGCTCAGGGACGCACGGAGGAGAGTGGTCCGCCTCAACGGTAAATAAACCAGTTTGTGAAATACACAATAAGTCAACAAGTTTCAGTTCAACCCACTTCACGATGTTCCCCGCTGTGCTAGTCTCGGTCACACCGAGTTAACGGTGAAGCACCATGTAACACGCAAGCTAAAGTTAGAGTTAGCCATCTGCTGTTAGCCTTGCTACACTGTTAGCCGTGAGATATCTACAGAATATATTTTTATAACTTCATAAAAAATGTAAAAAATCGTCCGATTAATGATAATCAGGTTTTTTTCCCCCCTAATCGGCCCCAGAAAATCCATATCAGTCGGGCCCTAGACAAAATTTCAAACTTTTCTGTTTCTTCGTGGATGACTTTAGTGAACATATGAAAGCTAATCTCAATGTTGAAATGCAACAGTTGGTTTGTGTTTAACTGGTTTTACGGTGACAGAAGCATCTGGTACCTGTTCAAACAGAGTCATGGCGAACTTCTGGTGTGGTATGCAGTGTTTGGCTGTGCAGATGTCCTCTCTGCTCTCCGCACTGATGTGGAAGTGGATTCGCATCAAGAGATTCTCCTGAGAAACAAGAAAAGGAAACCAATTAATGTGTTTGCTGTGCACTTAGTTGGCATATGTGCTTGTTTGGATTGTAGACGCATGTACAGTTTGTGTGTGTGTGTGAGAGCGTGTGTGTGAGTGTTTGATCGCTCCTCTCTGTTGGTGCTCTTGTTAATCTGACCGTGGGAGCAGCATCTATATTTCATAAGAAGCCGACGGATTCCCTGACTGAACACATTTACTACCAATCGATCAGGCTGAGCTGCTCATGCACACACATAAAACACACACACACACATAAACACACACTGTGGAGGTCTCTAAGGCAGAAAGAGAAGGAGTAGAGAGAGAGAGAGAGAGAGTGGAGGTGGAGGTGAGAAAGCAACAGGAAGCTCTGCAGAGAGGATAATGAAGACGTGTAAGGACATTACAATAATAAAACCTTTGACTAATGACATTTTCTTTCTCAATTTTCTCCTTCAATAATTAATAAAGTTCATTTTAAACCGAGACGGTCAGGATTTCAAAGTGCAACACTCTCAAAGTTGAAAACCAACTTATGCGAAGATGTTTGCGTCTGAGGAGGCAAATTCCAAGTATTATTTGATTTAAGAGCAGAGAGAAGAGTATTACTGTCGGAGTTTTTTTTCTGCAATACAGCAATAAAGAGTCCGTACGGCGCAGCAGAGCTGAGCAATGTTTTCAAATCATTAACCTGCAATATGAGTCACTGTAGATGAGGAACGTCGTGACTGCCTTCCGGCTGAATTTTAGAAAGAGTGCGACCAGATTGTGTTGTAAAACTCCGACACTTTTTACAAACCTTGATAAAATTCAACATTGTACCCGATCACATTAAGACACATAAAAACTAAAACTAAATCAATTTAATTAGCCAGATAGGCCCGACTAAACTAGCTCTGCTGCGAAATGTTCACTTTCACCACTTTAGTGTCACATAAGCTGATAACATAAGGAAATATTATTTTTATTTGGTGTTTTCACAGATTTTATTATAGCAGAACTTTAAATTAACACAAAACGTCTTTATTTACAAACGTCCTTTGCTATTTTATGTCTGTAAGTTGACTCAATCTGCGTGAAAACCTTTAAACACACTTTTTGTTGGCGTCAAACGTTCAAACTAAGATGTTTAAAACTGAAACTGAATAATGAGAAAAGCAGTAAAGTAAGAAGTAGTCAAAATAATGCCTCAACTGTGTGAAAGGTCAATTCTGATTGGTCAAAACTCAATAAACAGACATAAGAACAGTCGCTGTGTACGACAGAAGGATCCTGTCCTGCAATCCATGCCACAGCAGCAGAGGTGGTGAGTGCATCTCTAAGCTGCAGAAGTACAAGCTAAAGTTAACAACGACAATGAAAGCTGTGACATTTTCCTTATTTGTGTTTAATTGTAAAGCCCTCAGGAGAAAGAAAGATGACAATATTTCATTTTAGGTTGTTTGTAGCGTTCGTTAGCTGGTACAGGAAATCCTCTGGGTAAAGTACAATGAACAGGTGGCTAAGCTTATTAGAGGTCCAATTAGGTGAGCAGGAACCAGGTGCAGAGTCAGTTAAAGAAGAGTGGTATGATGTGATTTAGAAAATTCAAAGAAAAAATCAAGTTTAAGGAATTATGGGAGAAATGGGAATTAGGTATCCTCCCAAATACTTGATTTGACTCCATTTTGAAATAATAATAGGATCTAAAACACCTTTAAATGCTCATATGAACATATTTATCATTCTGCATTATATAAGAACGCACACGGGAGTATTAGGGCCACATTAAACTCATAAAAAAATCCCAGTATTAGGAGAATAAAATCATTATTTTACGGAAATAAAGTCGTGATAAAGTTGCTGTTTTGGTTTTAAGTGAGCAGCCAGCTGTCTGAGCCAAAATGAGGAACATGGAGCCTCTTACTGAATTGCACTTTTAATTTCTGGCACCTCATTATTAAAAGTATCAGGACTGTGAAGACTGTGCAAAAAGAAATGTGTGGCATATCCCTTTAAAGCAACAATAAGGTGGTAAAAAAAAAAAGGCCTGTGTTTTCTATTAGTTTGAAGGTACAAATCAAGTTTTACTTCAAAATATTAAACTGAGAAATGGAAAAAAAAGATGATTGCAGCCTCACAAACACAGAAAGGAGAAGTTCAAGATTACACACTTAAGAGAAAGTTTCTGTCAAGGCTGCGGTGTTGGATATCTCCGCTCCCTGAAGATGTCTGACTCAGACACCCACACAGTTAAACCTTCAGGCAAGTCTTCAGCTTCTCCAGTAAGAGAGTGTGTGTGTGTGTATGAGTGTGTGTTTGTGTGACCGTGTTGTGTCTCATACTTACGAAGCACTCTGCAGCGTCGTCCATGATACCCAGCTGAAAGCGTTGTTCGTCTTGGAAAGTCTTGGCGAGGGCGCTCCGCAGTGCATCTGATGGCAGCACACGTTCACTGCTGAACTGGAACTGAGCAAAGATACTCTGAAAACACACACACACACACACACACACACACACACACAGAGACACACACACAGAAATCCATTAATTCTATATATCAATGCTGCAAATATACACCGTGTCGTAAATGTTTTACTTGTGTATTCTTGGAGTGTAAACCCACACTGTCCGTGCACGCACATTTACATTAATGTGAGTGTGTGTGTATGGATGACTCCATTCCCCCTCAGAGTGAAAGAAAAGCCTCTAAAAGCCGTAAATCAGCATCATGTTCTCTCAACTGACCCATAAAACACACACACAAAGTGGAACTAGTTGTAAGTGTACCAGGAACCAAAGTGCTGGTCTACAACAAACGCCGCGGCCGAGCCTCGCAGCGCTGCCGGCCTCAATATCAGAGCGTATCAATAATAAATGGCGTTAGTGGTGCACTTTTCTTCGACAAAAACAGCACTCATAGTGCTTTATAGTGGTAAAACAGAAGCAGAATCAAACTGTTGCGGGGAGGGGTCGGTCGGAGAGAAAGATAGGCCAGTGAAGTGTGTTTCCAGGGCAGCGTTCAGAGGAGGATCGCTCGGCTCGGCTCTTCTCTAACAGGATGGCTCATATTCCAAAACACCTGTTCGTGAATTTGATGAGTTATATTCAAATAACATCATTAATCAACTCTGTTTGACAGATTTTCAGTCAAAACTCTTTACATACAGCTGCTCTGTTGACGGCCATATGCTTCAGACTCTGCGCGCAGGTACTCCTCTTGTGTGTGCGAGCGGTAATTAATAAGGAACATCCTCTTTTGTTTACAAAATAAAGACATCAGAAACTAACATTTGCTGTGAATCAGTGCCATAAAAATGAAGATTGACTGATTGATCCCCTAAAAATCATAATAAATGCTGTTTATTGGCGTGTAGGCTCACACAGCAGTGCCAGTGTCAGGGTTGGGCCACCCCAGTAAAAAAAAGTCTAGACACGCCCCTGCTTGTTAGCACCCTGAGTATGGTATTTTAGTAACAGATGAACGCACGCCTAACAGGGGACTCTGCTGATGGATTAAAGAGGACTACAGTGAAAATCAGGGTCTCAACTCACAGGTAAAAGTTAGACAACTTGTCAGGGTGTGTGTCCATGTGGATCACTAATCAGCAATGTCTCTCTCGGTGCCATCAATATAAACAAATGAGGCAAATCCATTCAGATTATTTAAAAAAAAAGGGATTTTCTCTGACAGATCAGGAACAACTGAGTCCCAAAAATGTATTTTTCCTCACTGTCTATGGCAAAATATGAACAGGCCGATATATGAAGAGGAGCAGCATGCTTTACTTGTGTGTCAGTCAGAATATTAGTAGTCAGAAAGTGGAAAAGAAGTTGTCTCAGTATCGTAAATGTGTCAGAGAAAGACCTCAAGTAGCCTGTATAACACAGAATAATAAAGAAAAGAAGGATCAAGTTCTGCTGGAAAGAGATCGGACTAAAATCCGAGTCCTGGCGTTGCTCCAGGGTGTGTGTTTCTGTGAGAAAAAGACGAAAACGAAGGAAATCCTCCTCATAATTTTATTTTATCGAATTTGTTTTTTTGAACACACAATAAAAGGTAGTTGTCTTTCTTTTTGTCAAGCAATTTCATTTTGTTTTTGACATTTTAGTTTTTTATCCTTTCATCTGTGTATGTTTGATCTGTTTTGAACACATGTTGATTCTGCTTTTATGACACTTTTGCAAAACATCCAGAGCAGGGTGGCGTTGCTTTTATATCATATTTTGAAGCACCGGGCCTGGACTTGGTAATTCTCCATCATCATTGTTTAAGGAGGAGTAAAATGTAGCTCCTGTCATCAGAACTCATGTTAAAAATCTCAAATCCCTCATTTTAAAAGTTAAAATCCACAATCACGAGTAGATTATGGGGGAAATATTAATCATAGATAGAAAATTTGGGGAAAGTGTTTTGGTTTGTTTAACTCTTTATCCTCTCTGAGTACTTTCTATTAGATTTCTCATTCATAGTAATGAGACTTGCATTAGCAGCACTTGTAGGAACAGTACTGGGAATAGTAGCAGTATTAGCACTGGTAGAAGACACGGTCTTAAAATGCATAATTTAAGTCCAGACATGAGTACCAAAAGTTGCATTCAGTTCAAGCAGAGGCCATTAAAGTGACTCCTGACTGAGCTGCAGACATCTGAGAGGGGGAGATAAAAGCAGGGATACTCTCTCCACGTCGCCAAAGGACAAAAATGACCTCCTTTTTCATCAGTGAGACTCCTCTGTCTTACAAAAAAAAAAAAAAAAAAAGAAAGAAACTATTTTTGACTCTTGTGCAAACAGCCCAGATCGGACGAACACACAGGACAGTGATACGTCTGCATTTTTTGTTGTTCTGGTGCATTTCTGCTCCAGTGGTGATTCAGTCTCTTACTAGACGGCTGGACTAAAAACCATCAGGTGCCCCCAGTTCACAGAACTGACTGTCAGCGAGGAGGTACAGCAGAGTTCCCCAAGACACTTGTTATCTGCTCGTATCCATACTTAAAAAAAGGCCTCTCCTCAGAGTTAGAGTTACCATTTTTATTGGCTGTCTTTGACCAACATTTCAAACAGTAACAGAGTGAATAAAATGAAAAGTTTGGGGTTATTACTTGAGTAACTTTTTGTCACTTATAACTCTTTACAATACTTAAAACCAATACAAGCAGCACGAAAGCTTTAATGGTTTCTTCTCTTTTTTTAAACAAGCAGCTCAAAGTTAAAGGAAAGTTCGTCTCTGTTTCAGAACCGTGAAATAATAACTATAACTTTATTTAAAAACACAGTTTGACAATTAAGAGGACAGAAAAGAGCAAAACAAAGAGGCTGCTGATCTGAAGAGTGTCAGTCAAGGTGTCCATCCATCCATCCATCCATCCATCCATACATACATCCATCCTTCCATTCTCTACATTCATCTGTCAGGTCTGCCCATCCATCCAGCTATCATCCATTCATCAATCCATCATGCATTCATTAATCCATCCACCTTATCCATCCATTCATCCAATTTTCTACCATCATCCATCAAACCATTTATCATCCATTCACCAATTCATCATCCATTCATAAATCTGTTCATTCATCCAATTTTCCATCCATCCATCCATCCATCGGTCCATCTGTCCATCCATATATCCATCCATCCATCCTTCCATTCTCTACATTCATCTGTCAGGTCTGCCCATCCATCCATCTATCATCCGTTCACCAATCCATTATGCATTCATTAATCCACCCATCTTCTCCGTCCATTCTTCCAATTTTCCATCATCCATCCATCCATCTATCATCCATTCATACAATTTTCCATCATCCATTCATTAATCCATCTATCTTATCAGTGCATTTATCCAATTTTCCATCCATCCTTAATCCATTTACCAATTTATCATCCATATATTAATCTGTCCATTCATACAATACTCCATTGATCTATCTATCTATCTATCTATCTATCTATCTATCGATGCATTCATTTATTTATACAATTACTTATTCATTCATTCATTCATTCACTCACCCACTTGTCAATCTATACATCCATCCTTTCACTAAATCCACCCCTTCCACTATTCATCTAACATCCATCCATCCGTCTGTACACTCTGTCATCAATCAGTCCATCCACCCACTGATCCATCCATCCATCCATCTGCGCATCCCCCTGATGTATTCACCTATTCATCCACCTTCCACCCACTCGTCTATTTATTCACCCATCCATCTTTGCATCCACCCATTTAATCTGTCCTCCTTTTCATCCTCTCATCCATTCATCTCTCCATCCATCCCTCCATGCATCAGTCTATGCATCCACACACCCATCTATTGATCCACCGACTCATGCATCCGCTCTCCTGTCCATCCTTAATCCGATCCTATCTGTCTACATTCATCCCTCCACTTACTCTTTAATCCTTTAATTCATCAGATTTTTTTTTTTTACTTAAAGTACATTTAACAAATTTTGTCAATGTACAGTCAGGATGTCACATAATCAAATATTCGACAGGCACACATGAGCAGCTTTGTATAAAAGCACCTGTTGTGTCTGCCTTTATCGAACCTCTGCCTCCAAATATGACACAGAGTTCACGCCAAGTTAAAGAGTGCTGATAATAACAACAGTCTTCTTGAAAGTTCCTCTCGTCTGATTCCCGACTGTGTCACGCAGTTTTATTTTTCATATTTGATCATTAAGATCTAATATTTAACATTTTGGAGTAATAAACGGCTGCGATCATATCGAGTGGAAACATTATAAAACAATAGGCCTCAGTGTGAGAGTCTGTGGCTGAGAGCTGGCAATGGGGAAGGTAATGCAGTCCTACTGATGGGGGTACAGTGTGTGTGTGTGTGTGTGTGTGTGTGTGTGTGTGTGTGTGTGTGTGTGTGTGTGTGTGAGTGAGTGAGAGAGAGAGAGAGAGAGGGAGATGATGAGAGAAGGAAACAGAGAAAAAGAGAATAGGAAAAAGGCACTGTACGAGCAATAGAGAGTGTGTGTGTGTGTCTTTTTGAGTGTGTGTCTTTTGGTTTTGTGTGAGTGTGTGTGTGCGAGTGTGTGTGTGTGTTATGGTGGCTGTGCTGACTGCAGCAATGCGCCAAGGAGAATGGAGGGGGAATATACCCTACAGAGAGAAGACGGGAGGGAGGGAGGAGAGGAGGAAGAAATGGGGAGGAGAACGGGGAGGGATGAGGCAGAGTGAGTAAGAGAGGAGTGTGTGTGTGTGCGTGCGTGCGTGTGTGTGTGTGTGTGTGTCAAGTGTGTGTGTGTGTAAGAGGACTGGTCTGAGCACAAAAGGAGAAACAATCCACAACTACTTCCACAATCATTCGTCTTTCTGGTTCCTTCCCCGCCGCTTTCTTCCCATCTCTCCACCTGGTCCTGTCCTGTGTGTGTGTGTGTCTAGGTGTGTGTGTATGTGTGTGTTTGCGTGTGTGTGTGAGTGCTGTTGAGAGAGATAAAGTGTTGCAGTGATTTCTAAGGGGTTAGCCACAGGCATCCTCTGAACTTATGTTTACTACAAGGGCGAGCGTCTTTATCTGCTGCAATTAAACAAAAAAACTCACTCGCGGCCCCTTTCAAAATAAAAGCACCAATAATCATCACTTATCTTTGCTGCTCTAAAATGGATGTTTCCCGAACGCTGTTAAAGTTCATTCGGTGCCTGTCTCGCTCAGTTATTCAAAGACTTTTATCTCTGTTGCCGCGGGGACCACGGCTACAAACACGCCGTAAGAACGACATTACATCTGTTGGTTTCTGACAAAAGGAGAGGCGGTGACAGGACGCTTAATGAAAACTGACAGCAGAATGTGAACACTTAACACAGCGACAATACCTTTGATTTGTACGCCTACGCCTGACTCACAACACAACACAACCACGAGCCCATAGTGTGTGTCTAAGTGTGTGTCTGGAGCATCCCAGCATGCTATGAAAGATTTGCGAGCATCTCAAGGTGCATGTGTGTGTAACAGCCTAACGTGTGCAGCATGCAAGTAAGATTTGTATGCATGCGTAGGTGTGTGTGTGTGTGCGTGTGTGTGTGTGTGTGTGTAGCATCCCAGCGTGGGCTCTGCTAGCTCAGCGCTTTCAGTCAGCCAATTAATTACAGGGAAGCGCAGGAGACAGAACAGCGTGTAGAACACACACATCGACACTGGCACACACTCACACACACACACACACCACTACACTAAAGCACATTACACACAACACTTCCCTCCGCTCAGACACATATTTGTCATCATCCATGCAACAAATGGTTCGAGCAGAGCTGCATAAGTCCCGTTCATTATGAGGGATTCACGGCGGTGCGGATCTTCAGCTCCTGTTTGGTTTCTTTTTCTTTTTTTTTTTTTTCTGCAGATGCTGGAACACAACGGAGACCCAACTGAAGCTGAGTTAGAAAGAGATTTAATGTGCTGTTTCTCATTCACAGAGAGATCTTTACTTGGAAAAACTACCTCCTGCATTTCACCTGGTTAGCTCTGGTACAGCAGTGTTAAAAAAAACTGGAAGACGACAATGATGGTAAAGAAGGTAAAGGTAAAAGTTCAGCTTTGAAGGGGGAGTGACAAGAGACAAACAAAGATACTAAAGATAATAATAGCAGGGGGCAGGTTAGCTTAAAGGTTAAATCATGCGCCCCATGTACTGAAGCTACAGACCAATGCATGAACCACCAAGAGTTAAAAAGCTGCCAGTACTGCAGCGGCATATCAAACTTTTTAATGCAGACTGTTCAAGAAGTGATCCATTTTCTATTTACCTCTACTGTGTACATAACAACTAAGACCTGCCCTGGTTCAGGATCAGGCTTGGGCAAGCACTTATGGGGCTTTCACACCAAGCGCGAGTAAAATCATCTACTCGCTTTATTGGCGTGTGAATGAATAGTATTTACTGGCTTTGTTTGCGCGTCAACGGTAATTTCAACAGTTATCCCTGCAAATTCAACTGGCGGGATAAAATGATACAAAGGGTTTTTTTACAATTTACCAGGTAATCCCACCTCCTCGCCCACTTGCCTCCAGGTGAGCTCCTTTTTATTCCAGTTTCGGTAATTGAAAGAAAAGGTATCATATGATTCGGGGTACCAACACACCAACATGATCCAACGTTTGTCCTCCATTTTAGATTTTTAGCGTCATTCGCGCCACCAGAGTAGTGGGAGCATCTAATCACGTTGTTACGTTGGCTTAACATGTAATTCAACAGCGCGAATGATTTTGTGAGCTCGGAGTGTGGAGACAGTTAGGTATGCTGCTATAGGCTTAGACTGCAGGGGAAACTAGCACACTGAGCACCCCTCTTTCCTTTTCTATCCCTTATCTGTCAGTGTCACTGACTTTGAATCATCATGTCCTTTTAAAGCACTAATACAGTCTTTTCTGGGAGTCTCTGAGCTCCCTCATCCTGTACCTTCCTCTGGATCGCTGCTGCAGAGCTGCCTGTTTCCATCTACATGCATCAGTCCCACCACTTTTAACAATTTCACAGAGCTAACGTTTATCTATTAGCATCAGTCGCTCCATTATCATCACTATTTCAAAGCTAATGCTATCACAGCTAATGATCTGATTAATTCCTTGACTCATTGATCGGTTGATAAATACAACTTGTGAAGTTTCAGGTACATCTGAGACACCAAGTTGCCATGGCAGTAAAGACTGCATCATAAGGCGGCTAAAAACGGATTCGTCTAAAGTTGTTGAAATAGACAGCCAGGATCCCAATCCCACCCATGATCCTTTGCAGTGGGCCATCCCCTTTCCTGTCTTTTCAGAGTCTGTGACATTTTCTTTTCCGTTTTATCAGCCATCAAACATCTCCAAATCTTCAAACTTCTTTCATTTTTTTGTAGATTTCTCCGTCAAAGTTTTTGTGTCTTTAAACTCTTCATCTTTTCTTTACTGATTTTGTGTCTTTGTTACTCCCACTGTAACCTAACTAAGCAGACGTCTTTCCGTGAATTAAAATGAGTAGTTAGGCGGCTAGAGGCTGTGATTAGAGCTGTAGCCATAGCAACAGTGTGCTGTCAAGAAATAAATGACTGTTGCCATGGAGTACAGAGCAATCAGGATCACATTATGGGTTTTATTCATTCTCTTACTCAGCTAGGAGGGAAAGTAGAGGCAATTAGTGAGGGTATGAAAGGGAAAATGATTTTTTTAAGAATCATAGAGGGAGGAAGAAAGAGAAAAATAAATTTCTAAGAGTCTTTCAAGTGATTGTGATTTTGCTACTTTTGCTCACCACACAGAAAAGTCAGGAAAGATTTGAGTTTGAAAAACTTGAAGGGTCAAAGCTGTTGCAGCAGTGAGGAAATAAAGCAAGAGGAGAAATACTGGGGCTGGTTTCTGTCTTGAAGGGGAGAAAGAAAGGGAACAAATGGGAAAAACTAAAGGATGGATTGGTGGTCAGAAAGTTAAGCACCATGTCCGCAGAGAAAAGCAGTGAAACAGAAAACAGTTCCTCCTTCAGTAAAACTTGGTGAAAAAAACGGCGTCACGGCGCTGTCAAGAAATGTGCGAGTCATTAAAGGACAGAGGCGAGGTTTTATGTTTACCTTCAGAGCGCAGAAGATACACGAGTCTTCCATACACTTGTGTGTGGTGAGCTGCCGGAAGCTTCTGCGGAAGATGTCGAGATGCCACAGTACCTGAGAGACAAAACACAAACACACAAAAATAGCTCAAGCAACTGGATCAACTTCTGAGATTTAAAGGGGATATACTGTGTTTTTTATTTATCCGTATAAATATTTTTTCCCTCCGGTCCCGGCAGACCTCAGGCCTGTTTTCCCGTCTTTTTTACTTGATTTGTTCCTTTCTTCATTTGCCCATTCTTCTTCTCATCCCTCGCTGAGCAGGTTGTTTTTAAATGGGTTTCAGCTCCGTGTTTGAGCTGTCATCTGCTGTGTCTGGCAGAGAACAGGGACATTTCCAGGACCTACTTTAAAGAGGAATTTCCGGTATTTTTAAACCTGGGACCGGTTTTGATTTGTTTTGGGTCCAAATGAATGATAGGCACAAAAAGTTTTAGCGTTACGTAATGTTAAATAATTTCACGGGTAACTGCAGGTTGAACGTGAAAAAAAAAAAAGGTTGTTGACGGAAAGAGTTTGAGTCTCAAATACGAAGAAGATGAAGCTTTAGTTGTGTGCTAATGGACTTGTCATAAAAAGGACTCACTGTGACTTTCAGTCCATTTAATAAACACCAAAAAACTCCTCATGGGAGCTTTTAATACAGGTTTTACTAACTGTGCAGCTGTGCTAAGTTTTTTTTGTTTTTATGGACTGTTGCCATAGTAACACATCATGCTTTCTGGTACAGCAATCAGAAACAGTGACTGACGGAGAAAATGGTGGAAAGATTCAGAAGGGCACGTTATTAAGATGATGTTTCATGGTTGGGAGGGTGGAAACAAGGAGGGTAACAAAATATTACAGTGATTCGGGTTTTCACAGATCTCCACATTACCAAATAATCACAATAAATCACATCTACACAGGAGAGCATGTAGGTGAAACCACGGCCAAACTGCTGCTTTCCTTCAGAAACATGCTGGGCTGAAAAATAAATCAAAGTTGCTCAGTGATATTTTCATTTCAAAGGGTAAAACACTCAGACTGCAGCAGGTAGAGACCCCTCTGCTACCTCTTCACTTCGCATCACCCCACAGGTATTGCCATGGAAACCTCATCCATGTTACTTTGTGTCTGAACGGGTAGAGATCTGTCTTTATTGATCTTTTTATTTTCACCAATCTCGTACTCGACCAGCTATTATCTAATGAGGATACGCTGTTCCTGTTCTGGGACGGACAGAGAGCTTTTCAAGCATTCTGGTTCAAGTTAGCTGAACACAACCTTCGGCCAAGTCTTCTCTCAGTGCAACTCGAGATGTGAACATGTGTCCAGATCAAACATTTAACAGGATGGATGTGCAGGGGCTGGAGTTGTTGGGTTGGATTCTAGCCTGCAGAACTTTGCTGCATGTCGTTCCACACTGTTTTTTTTTTACTCTGTCTTGTGTCTCACCCTCTTAATGATGGTGTAAAAGCTCAACAGTAAACTTAAAAAAAATAAAAGTAAAACAACATTCAGCCCTCGAGATACGTCAGCAAAATAAACACAGTAACTTCTGGTTTATTACTTTCTAGGGGCGGCTGTGGCTCAGTGGTAGAGTTTTGATCGGAATAAAAATGCGTCATGTAAAATATGTCAATCGGCAAATTCTGATCCGATTTGGCTCAATCGGAGAGAAATTGTAGTCTGATCAAGAGGGGTGGTTTATACCGATTGTAATTCTGAAACGCGTCCATGTAAACACTTATTCCGATCGTGACTCTCTTACCTGACTCGATCTCCACTCTTTAGCTCTAGTTTATTTATTAAGGCCTGTACAGGTGGTTTCATTATTAACACTCTGCAGGTGCCGTGTCTGCTCCTCCAGCAAGCAATATTGTTTTTTCGTAGGATGGTGGGTGAAGGTTCCGCCTCCTTCGCCTCTGATTGGTTATAAGTGCTGAGTTCCGATCTGTTATTCCTTTTGGCTGTGAAACGTCATCCTCTGTCAGGTTGGGGTTAGGGGATTCAGAATTGCGATAATGTTCTGTAATTATCTGTTCGATGTACAGAGCCGACAGCCCGCGCTCGGCTTGAGCGTGTGATGACGTTTCACAGCCAATCAGGGGCGAAGGAGGCGGGACATTCCCCTACCAACCTACAAAAAAAAATATCGCCTCCGATAACATAACAAGGCGTACATACAACGTAATGATGTCACATCTGCACACACGGTGCAACTTTTGCCAGAACAGTAGAATAAGTACGCAAGGGCACCATCTAGTTACAACATTTAACAGGGGAAAACTCTAGGATTGGATGGAGTGAGCCACTGACACGTTAGTTGACAGCACAGGCGTAAATACAACTCTTCTTCTGCAATTGTTTTAGCGAAATTAGACAACTCTGTGCATGTCTGAATAAAGCTTGGTGCATATACGCATGTCATGATCGGATTACTTGACTTTGCACCCATATAAACAATGGATTCAGATTATCCGATCCCTCAAATTTTTGGTCGAATCAAGAAATTTTGTACATGTAAACACGGCTGGTGTCAGGGGTTTGATCCCAGGGGTGTCCACAGGCTGAAGTTTCTTTGGGCTAGACACTTAAGCAAACATATGTGATGTATTGGGTTTGATAAAACACTTGTAAAAGTAACTCCTGTTTCAAAATCTGCAAATGCATAGATTTTCCCATAGTGCCAATAAGTGCAGGATATATTTGTTTCCCTAAATTTGGATCTGAAGACTTCCTCCGTTGTCAGAAGGTTGCAGAGAATCAGCTTTCCACAGCTTTGTGTGCTTTCCAGCCATTTGGAGCTAATTGTTTTTTCCCAGCAGCTCCTGCTGAGTGTGTTTTCCACTTTGTATATTTTCAGCTACAAACGAGAGAAAAGGCAGAGAGATTCAGCGGGACAGAAAAAAGCATCCGGCACAGAGCCCAAAGAAAAGGAGGAGAAAGTCCTGAAAAGTAGTGGAGAAGTGCTGTGTGGAGGTAGACCTCTTACTGTCCTTTCTCTCTCTGGTGCATAATTAGAGGAAAGAGCCTTTAGTACATCCATCCAGCATGCCGAAAGATAATATTGACACAACACGGTCCCTGAGGCTTCCACTCAGATCTGAAGCACAGGACCACACATGCAGACACACACTCGCATCGACACATACAGTACAAAATACACACACAAAACCAATATGTACAGCAACCTTAGCTACACATTTCTCCACTGTATGAGTGTGTGTTTGAGAGAGTGTGTGTGTTAAGTAGAGAGTGATAGGTCGAGGAAAGAGGGGGCGGAGGATGACGGACTGCATGCTGACGCTGGTGTATGCGTTCTACCTTTCTCCCTCTCTGTTTCCCTTCCTCTCTCTCTCTCTCTCTCTCTCTGTTTTTTGGTCGTGATGAATCGGCTCCCTGCACAGCACTGCAGCAGCCACAAGGAGGGAGCACTCTTTCCATGCCCGGATCTTCTTATCTATCTATCTATCCATCCATCAGTGTTTCTCTTCCTCCTCTCAGGACAGCCCTCTCTGCTCTGTCTCCTTGTATCACTTTCATCTCTTTCTCTCTCTCTCTTCTCTCATTTCATCTGTATCTCAAACAAAGAAAACTCCAGTAACGTTTACAGGCCGGCATAAAAAGTGATGAGAACGTATAAAGAGCAGAAACAGGCTTTGTTGTGTTTTCATTGAAGTCATCAGTTTCCATCAGATTGTCATCGTAATTTGAGAAACACATAAAGCTGGACAACACTGCTGAATGCAGGAATACCATCGCTTTACTGTGTGCTGTCTAGCTTGGTCTCTTTTTTGAAATGCATGTTTAAGGCAGGACAGGTAGGCCTCTGTTATGTTACACCTGCTCTTTAATGGGAAGTACAAGGAGGTGCATACTAATAGGGATCAAGAGGAGCTCATTTGTTGGAGTGTGACAAAAACACAACAAGTTAATGCTCCTCGATGCTGTAATGCAATGTCAAATCCAAAAGCACACAGGTTTAGTGACAGCAGGGCTTTATCACACTGCTATTTAGTTGCAGAAGCTTCTTCACTGTTAACCACCAGGGGGAGGACACTGCTCTCAGTATTCATATTGCTGTTTGAATTCATGCAAATCTGTCATTTCATCTCCTTTTGTGCCTTGTTATCAAAAACATGCAAGATCGATTCTATCGGCAGGAATGGAAACAGAGTTAAAGGTACGTTATGTTGAATTTAGCCGCATTTTTCCAAATAAATGAATGTGTTATGCCGAGATACATGATGGAATATAGTAATCGTTCATTTCTGATGACTTAGAGGAAGTCATTTCACATCATAAAGCTCAGAAGAGACAAACTGAGTGACTGAGTGGCTGGTGAGACAGAGTGAGATCAGTTTTTGATCGTAAAAACTTCAAAAATGGAGGATCTTACTTATAAAGCATCACTGTGAATCTGAGTTTTAGTCCCAACAACGAAAAGTACGATAAAGTAAACGTGTTTTGAAGAAGGATGCCAACAGTCTCAGGTTTTCACTCAGTCTTTTCAGAGTCCTGATACTTCACAGATGTGGTGCTGAGGAGCAAAAACATCAGAGACGATTTAACCAGACGCTCAATATTCCTCATTTTGACACAGGCAGCTGGCTGTAAACCAGAACTACGACTTTATCACCTCTTTATTCTTCTTCCCTGACTTTACTCTCATGATATTATGACTTTACTATTACTTTATTTTCTGTAGCAGTGTGACTCAGATGCAAGGAGAGAATAGTTTAGCAGGGAGAGAGAGTGGGAATGACAGCAAAAGGCCATATGTTGGAAACAAACCCTTGAATTTAACTCAATTTATCAACATTTTTAATTATTATATCACAGTTTATATGGCCCTGCTGCTATTTATCCCATAACTGACACTATCTGCATAAAATGTCCTAACATCCCTGAATAATTCTTTACTATTGATTTATATTCACAAAGGTTTTTAAAGCTGTAGTTTAATCTTGACCCTTTTGGCTCTATGGTCCTAATTCTGCACTTTTGGTCATGACAGTTAACTGTATTTCTCAGTTGTAACCTCTGTTTATTCCCCGGCTTTCTCACTGATCACCAGGCTGTTTTAAATCTTAACTCTGATGGGTCAACAACCCCTATAGCAACAGTAAGTATCTGAATAGACGAGAAATTACTCCATCATACCAAACTGTGGAAAGAAGTCTGACTTATTTCACCTCTGTCAAAATTTGAGTCTCCATTAGCATCAAAAAATGAGTTATCTTTGTTTAGATAAATCTGTGGACAGCATTTTGATAGAGGATCCTGTCCTGCAGTCCAGGCAATGGCAGCAGAGCAACAATTTGTTTATTCATTTTTTGTTTAGACTGTTTTTTAGGTTCCCAATGCAAACTAAAATTCCTTTTACTTTAAATGAAAAGTGCTCCAGTGGTAAAACAATGGCTTTTACTTTTCTTGAAATCTCCAAAATCCAGCAGCTGGACTGTTTAGAGTTAAGAAGACGTTTCAACACTTATCCAAGAAGCTTCTTTGATTCTAAAAGAGCAAGTGGGGATAATCAGGATATTCACCCGGTGATGGGTTTCTACGACCCATTCATTCCAACTCCTCCCAGTCGTTGTTTTCCCCTCCTCCAGTAAGATAAAATACCAGCTCCACCCACTAGCTCTTTGTGGGAGCTCAGCAAAACGTCTTCTCAACTCTACACAGTCCAGTTGCCGGGTTTTGGAGATTTCAAGAAAAACCATGACCTGGATGAATGAGAATCTACGTGGACAATGGCTTTTACTGTTTGTGAACACCATAACCACTGTCGCTTCAATCACAGTGATGCTGAGTTAATGCACTTCTATACCTGAAACCTTTGTAAATACTAGTGTCACTGAATCACGCAGACCCCGAAAACATTTGGATTTTAATTTGCCCATAACATCAGATTGGCTTAAATCCTCTTTGAAGACAGTTTTCTTAAGGTTTGGCTACTATGACAAGATTTTTAAAAATTCAGAGACACTTGTTGCTCACTCCAACAGAAGCTGTGCACATCAGCTGATCATTAACCTTTTAACCTTATTCAGATATCACATTTAAAACAAGCCAATCACTGTATTCACTAACGCGGTCATTTTGACACAGTCCTGTAAACACACTCATAATCTTCTGGAACCGTCTGTGCCGGGCCGATTTCTGCCCTCCATGACCGGTGCCTCTCACGGCATTTCTTCTCCTGAGAATTTTGTGTATCACATGATACTGCTGTTGGCATAGCAACAGTGCGATTTTAATTTTTCCTGCACTTGTGACCCGGGTCAGCCGTCTGCCGGCTAATAGGTTTTCACAGCAGATATTATGACTTCAAAATCACATACAAGTTAAGAATGGCTCTTCGTAAGTGTCGCAAATGAGCCGCAGGAGAGCGACACAGCGAGGACCCTGACACCCGGAATGAATTCAGACGTCAGTGGATTTATTATTCACACCTGCACACGCACTTTTCTTGCTGAGCAATGACAGAATGTCCTAGCGCCTGGTAATTTGCAGAATTTTTCTGTTATTTCACCCCTGCCCTGCGATTTCCCCTTTTTTTGCCTTTCATCATTGCCTGACCTCCACACCGACCTTTCCAAACACTATAACAGCTGAGTGCACATACAAACCCCTGTACCAGGAATACTCTCTGCTCTGTGGATGCGTCTCGCTCCAGTGCCCAGAAAACCCCTCTACAGTGTTAAAAATGATTGGTTTCTCAGTGTCTTGCTGAATCCTGCACTGCTGCTCCGATTTATTAGAACTCACACCTCATTATGCCTCATAAAAATGCAAAAACAGCCCATGCAGTATGTGTCCCCGTACCCTCTCCTGAAAGTGTTTTTTTTACAGAGACATTAATGCAGACCATCAGCGAAAGCGACTACACAATCTGGAGGAAAAAAATGTCAATTAGTGTTTTCATCAGCTGCACTGCGACCCTGTCTCCTAAAAATTATATTTCAATACAACTGAACTGTTTTCCAAATTACATTGTGATGGAAAATGTAATCCAGGCCCGGATAATGTTCAGGAGCAACGTTATTTTATCTTTTATTTACGAAGCGCCTCATTTAGGAGCCACTCAAGTCATGAGGAGGGCTGGAGGGATGCAGGACTTTCACACCAGAGACCGAGCGAAGCATCCTGAGTCCTGCGTGAGGTGAGGCATCAAAAGCACTTAGACTTTAGCAAAGATGGGTTTTCAGTTAAATATGGAGAGACGCTTTATTTTTAACTAAGACCTGCAGATTTGTCTGTTTGAAACCAAAACCACAATATTTTACCAACTCGGGCGAACTCCCCCAAACACAAAGACATAATTGTGACAAGGCTGAAATTCATATTAATGCTGTTTTATCAATCCAAAAGTAAACAAGCCAATAAGTGGCAGGATTGTGGATTTTTATACCGTATTTTTCAATGTCTGAAACGAGTGTGAGGGGGTAGGTGTCAGCCCAGCAGCTGAAGAAACAGATCTGATTTTACTTTTTTAACACAGAGTGGTAGGTCTGGGCAATATGGCCTAAAATCAATATCATAATATATTGAGCAGTTCACCTCAATAACGATAAATGAATGATAACTACCCCACAAGCTGCTCACCCCCTCCCACATTACATCTACTTCAGCCGCTACAACTTTTGAACCGCCCTCCATCTCCTCACCTGTCTTTCCCTCTTTGTTACAGACTGGATGGGGTGCAGTCACATCTCTGATGTAGGACAGCGTCTTAAAGGGACATGAGACCATAGCCTACCTACACACATCAAAAACCAACTTTGATTTATCAATTTATTGTTTTCACACCAAATATATTGACATGGCCAAAATGACGTTGGTTATTGTCGTAAATTTTGGTATCTGTAAATTTTTCAGTTTATCTCCCAGCCCTACAAAATAGTCTCCTTAAACAACCGCTGTGTCCACCGGGGGCACCAAAACTGACACAAACTGAAAGTTCCTTACAGGAGCTTTAAGTTGTATTATCAGTCTATGTTCATTAAGAGTGTTTGGCAATTTTAATCCTTTAAATCACATATATTTTAGCAGATGTGTGAGTAATACATAAATGTCTGTATGAGCAATACAGCTTGAAATGTCTAGGAACCAAATTACCACCTTATCAGTGTTTTCTGTGTCATTTGTAGCTAACGCAGAGCTGCAGGTTTCTGACTAGATGCATCTTTGGGTCTCTTTCACTTTATCACGACGTTTACAGGCCTTTTAACCTTGTGTTATGTCTTCTTTTCCCTGTTGTAACATACACATGGTATTTTGCAATGTTAACATTATGCAGTTGATGCACTTTGGCTTTGTGCAGCACACTGGAGAAAAATCTGAAAAGGTTTACACTCATACATGCATACAGACACAGATGAGTGCATCTGTGTGTCAGAGCCAATGCAGTCTAGAACTCCTTAAGCTGTTTTACTCGTACACAGTGAAAAGTTGCTGAGCCTGTACACACACTTTGAATCTCATTAAATTTAACACATCCAAACAGAAAGTCTATTGTTTCTGCTGCTGCTGCTGCTGCTGCTGCTGCCACCCTGCAGCTCCACTGCAGCAGAGGGGGGTTAATTACCCTGCCCAAGGGGCCCCCAGGGGCCTAAGAGAAGCAGAGAGTTTTTCATATCTGTCACGAAAGAGGAGAAAATGTCTTTTTGTCGGTTGGTTATTGTAGATAACCTAACCTTAGATTATCTAAATCTGACAAGTAAAAAAGAGAAAGACAATCAAAACATCACTGCAGAGAAACTCTGACTGACACTCTTCACTTTTTAAAGGTGCAGTATGTAGTATTCAGGGATGTGTAGCAGAACAGACTTGGTAGAAAATGAATATAAAGTATATGTCATTATATTTAAGTTGGTGAAGAATCACATATTTTTGTTTTTGTGGACTGAGAATGAGTGTTTTCTGCAGTGTTTCTTTTAATTTTACTGTGCAGCACTTTGGTAAACTTGAATGTTTTTTAAAATGTGCTATTTAAATAAAGGCAGATGGGATTGGATTGTTTCAGGTCTACATAAGAGAGGGACATATGAGAAGAAGAAGAAGAAGAAGAAGAAGAAGAAGAAGAGTGGTTGCTGTGCATTGACACCATGAAGCTTCATCAACTGGAAGAGTGAGCAGTAGAGTCTGGACAGCCAACAGCAGATGCTTAAAATCTCTCATTTTGCTTCCCACTATAGCTTTAAAATTATCGATTGACACAGATATACACTGAATACACAAATTGGAAAAAAGTATAAATAATAAATCACACATTTTCAGGAGAATCAAGGATGTTCTGATGCTGTTTCTCATTCCTGACACCGATTCTGCTAGCTAGCCTGACATAGCATACTGGTGTAGTAATAATGAACACTGCTCTAGTGTATTTTTCCAGAAAACTCTGAACAGTTTTAACCTTTAAAACAAGTGTCAGCCATTATATAAGTTACTGTTACTCTTTAGGGAATAAGGAAGCAAGCAGTTTTTTCAAGAGGTAGTAAATAATGATGCAGAGTCAGTGCAGTGTCAGGTGTACTAGCAGATCCCAGACAGGGCAGCAGAGGGAACATCACAACGCTAGAGACAACATTTGCAACCACGCTGCTAACAAAGCTAAGTTTATCACAACTTGAACTTTGACCCCTCATACTTGACTTCAAACCAGCTACGAGAAAAACCTCTTTACTGATTTAAAGAGACAAAATCATACAGCTAGAACATAAATACATGTGCAAACAGCCCTAAATCTGTCCCTCGTCCTTACATGTCCGATAAGGCATCCTCTCTGTCATCCGTGTGTGTGCCCACATGTGTGTGTGTGTCCTTGAAGTGGCCCATTTCTCCCCCTCTATGCTCGCCTTTGTTGAGACATTTTCTTCATTTCTAAAATAAACTTTATGTCCTTCACTTTGTCTTTTCATCCTCTCTCTTCCTCTCATCTCATCACAAGCACTCCTTCGTTTCTTTAAGCCCCTACCTTATTTGAGTCTTTAATTCCACTCTTCCTCCCAGTAGAAGTATCCCCTGTAGTCTTCTCCTCAGTTTTCTCATACTGTATACTCCTCATCCCTCTTTCTTCTCTTCTCCTCCTTCAGAAACTTTTCTTCCTCTCATCTATCCCTCCGCTCGCCTCAGCTCTCCCTAAGCTTCTGCTTCATCACCCCTCTCCCTCTTCAGCTTACTCCAACTCTCTCTCTCTTTCTCTCTCTCTCTTGCCTCCCCTCTCCCCACTCTCTCTCCCTCGCTCTCTCTCTCTCTCTCCAGTAGTGGAGAGGAATTTGTGTGTGTGTGTGTGTGCGCAGAGGGTGTGTTTGTGCCAGCTGGAAGTCTTGAGAGGAGTGTGTGTGTGTATGTGTGTGTAAAGAGAGAGAGGAGATGCAGCAGCAGCAGTAGCAGCAGCAGCGCAGTGTGAGCAGCATCTCTTCACACACACACACGCACACTCACATACTCACACACACACTGACTGGATGTCCACGATGAAGCCAGACTGGCAGCTCTGCCAAACACCACCGAAACACGCAAACACCCATTAATATGGCCCTAATCTCATCCCTGTCGTGCTTAAATATCAATTTACTGCAGTGAGGGTGGAGGGGCATGTGAACTGTGGGTGTGTGTGTAGTAGCTGATGTGTGTGTGTGTGTGTTAGCATTATGCACTTTGTGCATGTCATGAAAATATACCGATTAACACTATCCAATAATACAGAAAAATATGTTGTAGGAAAGCAGTGGACAAAAAAAGGCAAAAGAAAATCAAAAGAGACACCGTCATTCAGAGATGCAGCTATTAAAAGATTCAAAACCCCACAAACAAATAATTACTAAATATTTTTGCAGGTGATGAAACCAAAAACTCAAAACCTCAAACTTTCATTGTATAAAACAACACTGTATAACTTCAATTTATGGATTTACATTGCTGCTCAGTTACTGGCTTTCTGTTAATTTACACTATGTTAAGGGCTGGTGTCCATTAATGCATGTACTGTATGTTTAGGGCTAGTGTCCTTTAGTGCACGTACAGTATGATAAGGACTGGTGTCCATAAATGCATCTATAGGATGTCTAGGGCTAGTGTCCATTAATCATGGTACAGTATGTTTAGGGCCAGTGTCCACTGATGCAGGTCTAGTATATTCAGGGCTAGTGTCCATTAATGCCCGTACTATATGTTGAGGGCTGGTGTCCATTAATGCATGTACAGAATGTTTAGGGCCTGTGTCCATCATCCTTTCTTTACAAAAATAAATTAGTCCTGTGCTTTTGCCACTCAGCATCTTCAAAGCAAACCTGCAGGTTTGTGGGCAGTAAGGGCTGGTTAGCAGAGCTCTCGCATTAAGAAGGCGGTGGACACAGGCCCTACTCCTCGTCAGAAAGCTGACGCTTTTTTTTTTTAATAATAATTTGATTTATTCAGATTTAGTATCATGGATAATAACTAATTTACAGTTATTTATTATTCTTTACATGTGAAAGTAATCATCTTCAACTACTGCTTCAATAAAAGGAGAAATTTCACTTTAGCCTTTGAGGAAATAGTTTTATTTTACAGATAAAATGAATCATGGATCATTTTTTGGGTGAAAAAAATCTGCAGATTGAGTGTCACCAAAAATAATCACTAGTGGCAGCCCTGCTGTCATTAAAGGTTCTCCATAGAAAACTTCATTGCCGTCACGACATCACCATAAAACGACTACAGGATTAAAAATGCATTTTCAGCTTTAATATAAAAGTGCTCATACCCTCGGTGGGTCATCAGTGTAGTTCTGTCCTCCTTTTTCTGCCACATTTTTCCCGGTTAGAGATAGATAAGGTACTTGGACGAGTTATAGTGCTATAAAATTCAAATAAAGTCATCTTATTCAATATTTCAGTGACTGTTGGAGACTCCGTCAGACACCTGTGTTACTCTGCAGGTCCAGCTCTGCAGACACTTGCACTTCTTTATAGCTAAGGACCGGTCTTAAGCAAACAAACTAAAGCAGCTCCAAACACTACAGGTTTGACATTTTTAGTGGATGTTTCACTCTTATTCTTTAAGTTACACTAAATTCAGGATGTTAGAGGTCAGCTGATTGACTTGGCCTGTAGATACAACCAAAACATGGTCCTGAAAGCTTTCTTTTATGAAATGTTTCTCCCTAAACATCTTCTGACTACCTTGAATACGTGTGTCTTTATGTACATGTGTGTGCTTGTGCATGTGTGTTTATCCGACTGACCTGCAGAGCGCTGTTGAGGAAGCAGCTGTTCTGTCCCGGCTCGTTGCTCAGGCCTTTGCTGGGTGCGATGGAGGTCATGGTTCTCGGGGTCACCAGCCCCTGCACCCCGCCTGCCGCTCCGCCACCCGAAGCGAAGTAATTCCTCTTCCACGACATCACTACCTGGACGCCCCCGTCACCACTGTAAGGCAAGGAACAGGCGGGGCAGTAGACCAAACGATGGCGTCTATGTCACTCCCATGAGAGAGAACGAGGGAGAATGAGAGAAAAGCTGAAGAAGGAATGAAGGGAGCAAGAGGAGGGAGGAAGCTGAGGGAGATCGAGGAGATTTGAGGTGTCTTGGGTGGAGATTCGGCACCCATACAACTCTCCCCTACAGCCGTGTTTTTTTTTTTAAATCCGTCCTTTTTTCGGAGCCAGTGGCTGGCTTTTTTTCCTTTTCTTATCTCCTTGGATTTAGTTGGTTGCGGTTAAAGACATGTGAGCAAGTCCAAAGAGTCCTTTGACAGTCTGGTGGATAAATGTTGATTAGAAAGTGCTCCTGTTCCCATGTGGCATCCCCTCAAGGCTTTCTGTTGCTCTTTCACTTGGTCTGCAAGACACAAAGAGACACCAGTGAGGAAATTTGGCTAAAAGCAAAATCAACAAGATCAAAACAGAATCTATTTACAGTTTCTACGAAAAAAACGGACAAACTTAATTCATTTAGATTTGGCACATTGTGGAAAAAGTTGATAAAAACATAATTTGATGATTTGGAAATAATTTACAGCCTTTACTCAGTCGAAAATAACTCAAAAACAAAATGCCTGGCTTGTTTTATATTATGCCAGCCAGAGGCACATTTCATAACAGTACCACCTCTGCTGACACTGTCCATATTTAACAAACTAACTTGTCATCGTTTCCCTGATGACTCTGGTTAGCTGAATTTTGACTGTTTTCTCAGTGTTTCATTTCAACTTTCCATTAAAACTGGAAACTGGTCGCTTCAGAACTGCTTTAGTAAACCAGAGTAAAACCTCTTCTCAGTCGCCATTTTGGAAATGCTGACTCAACCCAGAGAGGAGAATTAGACGGCCTCAATAAAAGAGAAATAATTTCCACCTCACCGCTTGGAAATAACCCACATTTTTCCAGCAAGGCTGGATTACAGAAGGTCAAGAATTCCTTGAGTCAGCTAACCAGCAATTTTGGAGCCTTATTAACTTGGGTCGCATTAAAACCACAGTATATCAACATCATCCAGACTGGATAAGTTTACACCAGGGGCAGTTTAAAACCAGGGCAATCCCTATAAACCAGTACTGAATGAGACCAGGTGTTTGAAGAGGTTTAATGTTGATGTTGTGCTTGAAATAAAGGTACAATATTGCTATATTGAGACTAAAGGTCCTTACACAGCGGGAGCGTTTTTTTCATTTGATTATTTCAGACGTCAATATTTTTTTTCAAACCCGTATCCTGTCAATACAAACCTTCACATCAACGATGTTTTCCCTTCCTGCGATATTGCGGCACTTATTTTTTCGTATCACAGTCAAATTTTCTAAAATTTTGCATACTGTGTGTCCACTTCTGACCAATCCAATTTCGTGTTGTTGCGATGTCTGATTCACCGGTATATCCAAAATGGCTGACTGGCTGATTGTTCACATGTCAGAGAACAGAGTGATTTTTGATAAAAGACACAAATATTATAAAGATAACGACCTGAAGGACAACTTGTGGAGAGTCACAGCGTCAGATTCCTCATATGACGATGGTTTGTTTGCTTTAACAGTTTGCTAAATGTCTTTGTTTTAACTTTCATCTGTGCTAAGTAACTTTAGCTCGTAAGCTAACCTGTTCAGATACAACATACCATATGTATTTTCACTGTCTCAAACTCAATCGCGTTGCTGTCACAGCACCATTAGGTCTCGGTTGTTGCCTTATGTTTATAGATTATAGTTTACTGTGTTTATCTGGTACTGGCTCCGACTCATTACATGCTATCATGACAGACAGCCATCTCAACACTAGTGTCTAATCAGAACTGAAAAACACTCAGTCTGCTGTTGTGTCAGTCTTGCTTTCACCTGGGACGCGTCTTTTTTCCCCCCGGAAAGTTGCAAAATCGCATCACGCTTGATGCATATAGACAGGCGTATCAAAATTCGCCTCCGAATATTTCGTCATTTCGCGTCGTCGTCAGGGTCAGCCATGCTCCTAATAATGCATAACCTGAACATGTTTACTTTTGCTGCGAGGATCAGCTTCTTTGAATGGGTGTGTATGTGGTTTTTGGTGCTACTGCAGCCAGCCTCAAGTGGACGCTCGAGGAACTGCAAGTTTTATCACTTCCTTGACTGAAAATTAACTGACATGTAAATGTTAATCTAGGCATTGGTTGAAAACATATACAAACACCATACTAAAGGTCAAAGCTAACAGAGTAGCGGTACACTTGTGAGCTGATTTTGACGCTCCTCTGCCCCCTAATGCCGATATCTCTCACATTTAGTCTCAACGATGACGATCATCACATGAACATGACTGAGTTCGCCGGGCCAACATTGCATCATTGCTGTGACTCAGGGACTGTTTGGAGAAATCTGTTATGTCATGTCATAATCGGTACTTAGGCACATTATCTCGAGCTTATGCTGGTTCAAGTGCGCTATGCAAAGCTTCCGATTGTGTTGATGCGTGCGTATGTATGTGTGTGTCAGGCAGAAAAAAAAAGAGAGAGAGGGAGAGTGTGTGTTTGTCACCCTACAGTAAGTGTGTGTGTGTACATGAAGTTGCATAACACCACAGGGCAGTAGCGAACAGATCCGCAGTGCCCCCCTCCACCCTGCCCTCCCTCTCTTCCCCTATAGCTTCCCCACTTTTTTGGCAAAGCTCCCTCGCCTGGTTTGTCGGGCTGCGTTGTCACCACAGCACCCCCGCTGGCGAAAGGCCAGAGGGCGCGGGGATGCTGCAGCGAGCGAGTGTATAGCGTGGGCTGTCGCTATGGCGATGGCCACATTAGGGGTGATGAGGGGGCGGGATAGAGGTAGGGGAAACATCGTGACAAGGATGGCGAGAGGAATGCATCAGAGCGGAGAGAAACATTACGCAATATTGCAATGTCAGTTCATCCACTTTTCACACAGTCCCACTGCATAGTGACAAATTCCAACACTTATCCATCCATCCATCCATCTATCCATCCATCCATCCATCCATCTATCTATCTATCTGAAAAAGTCTAAAATGCACATCCAATATATCCCTCCATAAACAAACAAATCCAAATTGCCAGAGGATTTATAAAGGGATTTGGCTGGCATGCCGGTGTGCCTTTTTTTCTACATCCCCGCATCCTGAGCTTCTGTCTCAGCATACAGTGTGTGTATCTGTGTGTGTGTGTCTGTGTGTGTCTCCCGCCGAGCCTATGTGGAGTGTGTGATCACACATCTTCTCTCTGACTGCTCCCTACAGCCGCACACAGCCGAGACCGCTCTGGCAAACCGGTGCACAACCGCTGTTTTTGAGGCCTGTGTGTGTGTGTGTGTGTGTGTGTGTGCTCGTGTGTGTCCTCACATCTTCGGCTAGTTACCATGGAAATAGGCCAAGCAGCAGGCACGCGGGGGAAAAGCCGAACCATGTGATTTAACTGAGAGACACACTGTGCTGCACCGGTTGAGAAGGCGCACACACACATGCGTGCGCACACACACACACACATAGGGACAGACGCGGCTGGCGAGTGATGATGATGTGTATTGATGGTGGAGAGTTCCTGGAAGCCAGAGTGAGTCAAGGCACGAGTCAATCAAACTCCCTGACCCCCGGCAGGCATAAGGAAACCAGGAGCCGTGGTCACGGTCCAGACGGAAACCACACATGAGTCTTTTTACCACGTGAGATGTTGAGGTGAAGACAGCGGTTCAACATCCAGACACAACGTCTCTGTATGATGGTGAAAAACATGTGTCCGTGTATGTGGGAATCAGTCCCGGCATGACTCTGTAAAGTTGTTGCGAAGTGAGGCTTTAACATCACAAAGGGTCAGAATGAGGATCTAGTTTCAAAGATTAGGTTGAAGCATGTGCTGCGTTGTCTTTCATAACAAAACCCCATTTCATTTTCCTGCTCGGAATTTCACGAATACCTGCTGTTGTCCAACTCTTGCCCTATCCACCCATTTTTAACAATATTCAAAGTTACATTTAAAGTGGCCCATCAGCCAAATAGTAGCAGGGGCGCATCCAGACTCTTTAGAGTGGGGTGGCCAGGACCTATGCTGGAGTGGCCTTGAATATCATCTTTAACTTTGCTCCCCATGCTCCCCCATTTTGTTCACGAGCCCAAACAAAAGTTTGCGTTCTACAATATCGGACAACCATAAAATACGGAAAACTGTCGGAATCCTCCTTTAGCCACGACTGCCAACACAAGCAAGAAAATGAAGTAAATACCGGAGACTCTGGCGGAATAATGGGCGCTTAAAAAGGAGGTAGACCAGAGAAGAGCTAAGAAGCCGGGTCAACAATGATGGGCGACGCTTCGGGATCTTACGAACCCTGTAACCTTTGGACAGGTAAACCGCTTTAACAAAGTAAGCCAAGTGTCTGTAACAGAAGTGTTTCTTGTCAAACGGGACCTGCTGTAGCGCCGCTAAACTGTTGACCTCGGGTCCTGGACTATGTCACTTTATCCTAGTTGTAGAAGTCCTGCAAACATTGTGTTTGCTGGTAGTCTGTTGGCATCTACAGTAGCACCAGTGCTTTTTACTTTCATGTTGACTGGACCCCATTTGTAATCATCTGAAGTATTTATCTGCATTATATCTGAATTTAAATGAAACAATGCAAGCGAGCAGGAGTGTCTGTTTGTGGGCGGGGCTTGCTGGAGCAGAGACAGAGGGGGAAACTGGTTGGGAGGGATAGTGTTTACATTAAAGCCTTCTCCCAAAAACTGGCACTTCCGCAGATCCTGCCTACCCAACCTTTAATGTCCATCAGGAACAGTCCTGATGGATTTGGACTGATCCCTCTCCCTCTCTCTCTCTCTGCCCATGTTCCCTCTTTATTCACAGTCCTTTTCCACTAAGTAAGGGCATAAACGGCTTAAAAGTTCATCAGGAGTGTCTCCTTCCCCAAAACACCCTAACGACCCTGAATGAT